CATAATCTTCAATTTATTAGGAACTAATTATCAGGTTGAAATTTTCCTTAAGAATATTATTGAACTTTTTTAGTAAGGTTTTAAGTCTTAATTAGGATCAATTTCAATGTTCTAAGCGATGAGATATTTCAAAATTAGAATATTAATTTGATTGAGAATAAATTAATATATTTATTATTCATATATTAAGTTAATTATTTAAATGAATATATTCCGTTTTCCCAAGATTATTTTAATACAAATTAGTAAGTTAGTATATTATAGTTATAAATACTATATTTAAGTTAAGTATAAATTTAAGGAGAAAATATCAAATATTTATAAAGTCACCTTAGCTTAAATACAAGATATTACTTCTGGTGATCCAAAATACTATTTAACAGCATATGATATGCTGAACTGACTGGTGCATGATTCATTCTAAATTCTATTATGACAATTAGAGTTCCATTTAAAATTATGCTTAATAGATTTAATTAAAATTAAACAAAGAATTTTTTGGTTTAAAATATGTAGAATTATTTTTATTTTATTGAAATTTTTGAATTTTTTTTTATACATCAACAATAAATGATCAATTTATAGACTCAAACCAAATCTAATTGAATTTAAAATATGTTTCTAGGTCAACCTTGTTTCCTTTTAAAAATATAGTTCCCCATTTTAGGTTTCCAAAGAACATCTAAGCAATTTTTTTCAGTTATTAACAACTTTACAAAGAATTCTATAAGGTTTATTTGCAAGCCTTTTCTGGTTTAGTATCTAAAAACTTCTTAATTTAAGGATTTTGTTATACACTAGAATCAAAGTGATTGAGTATAAAATCTTTTAAGGCTCTGGTGAAATTTTTTGGGATGTTTTTACTTTCCCCTGGATACGTTTAAACAACCTTTCTTTCTCTTGACTAATATTTTCTTAGCTTTTAATTTGTTTTATTCAAATATTGAGTTTTATATATTTTCTTGGAAATAAAAGCATTCCTTGTTTTTGACTTAGAGCCTACGTTTTCATCTTCAATAACTATAATTTTTAATTCCCCTTCTTCATATTCTAAATTTACCCTTTTACCAATTTAATCTTGAGTATACAATGGAGAAGAAATACTAATATCCTCTTCCGAGGAATATGGAACAGAGATAACTCTTCTACTTTCATATTCCTAGGAATTTTGAGGGGAAAAAGAATCTTGCAAAAATTTAATGTATTCCATATTTTTTATTATTATTAAAGTTGTAATTTTCGGAGCTAAAAGGGATTTAATCCATAATTCTTTCTCATTTTCTGATAAATTTTGATTATACTTTTTTAAATTTAATTAAATCATATCCATTATGTCTTTTTTAGATTTATTTAATTGCAAATTTTTTTTTTAATTGTCAATATTATTTCTAATTATTCTTAAAAGAAACATATTAAAATGGCAAATCCAATACTAGTACATTAGAGTAATAATGATTGGATTAGATGGATTTAGCAAAACATCTATACTCTATAGGCTAAAATTAGAAGACGAGATAAAATTCACTATCCCAACTATCGATTTATGTATATTACCACAAGCAAAATAAGAGTTTATGAGATTTCTTAATTATAAGGAAACAAAGGCTCTCCCCTAATGACTTTAACTAATAAGCAAGATATTGTTAGATATAGTGTTGAGAAATTAAAGTAGTTTTGGAGCTGCCAAATAATGAAAGAAAATGTTATATACAACCATGCTCTGCTCAGACTGGAGAGGGATTGTATGCTGGTTAGCTGCAATATATAGTTCTAAATGATAATATTAGTATGTCTATAATTTTATATTCATTTCTACACTTCATAACAAATAAGGGTACTCTAGAGAATTCAATTTTAGAATATTATAAAAACAGCATGGTGCCTAAAGGGTAAGTCAATCAAATATTTTTATTATATCAAGCATGAGTTAACCATTTAGATATGAAAATCTAATAATAATTAAAATCAAAATTTATTCAAAATATAGACAAAATTAGAACTATGTAAATTTATTATAAGATTGTTCTATATAACTCTAACTTTATTTAAATTCAAAGTATTGGCTTTCATTTTAATATATTATTTCTAAAAAAAATGAATTATTAGATTTCTTCAATTTCCAATATTAAGTATATATTATAAATAAAAATGAGATAAAATGATAAACATCCTGTCAAATCAAAAATTCCTGTTGCAAAAGGCAAACATGCTTTTGAGTGTGGAGGTTATAGTATTTTGTCAATTATTAGGCCAAACATTTGTGGTGGATGAGAAATATGAATTCATTAAACAAATAGGACAAGGAGCTTATGGGGTAGTATGCTCTGCTAAAAACAAAAAAAATGGATAGATGGTTGCAGTTAAGAAAGTATCTAAATTATTTAGTTAAGATTCCAAATGCATTTGAAGATCTGGTGGATGCTAAAAGAATAGTGAGAGAGATTAAATTGCTAAGTAATTTAAATTTGCTATTTATAGAGTTTTTTGATCATGAGAACATTATTTCTTTAGTGGATTTACCTAGACCGGAATCAAAAACAGGATTCAATGATATTTATATAATTACAGACTTAATGGGCACAGATTTGCATAAAGTCATTTATTCATCATAAGCTTTGACAGATGAACATATCTAATATTTTGCTTATTAAATGTTAAGAGGGTTACTTTACATACATACAGCAAATGTTATACATAGAGATTTGAAGCCTAGCAATATCCTATTGAATAAGGATTGCGACTTAAAAATTTGTGATTTAGGATTAGCCAGAGGATATGAATCCGAGGAAGAATTTAAAACGGAATATGTGATTACAAGATGGTATAGGGCACCAGAAGTTATTTTGAATGCATCTGAATATACAAAGGCAGTTGATATCTATGCTGCAGGATGTATTATAGCAGAGCTTTTAGGTCGTACCCCATTATTTCCAGGTAAATATTAAACTGATAATCTAAGGTGAGGACTATTTAGATTAAGTATAGAGGATTATTTCGGTCTTAGGAACACCAACTCCCGATGATATGAAATACATAGGAAATCCAAATGCGATAAATTACATTAAAAGTTTGCCTAAAAGAACGAAGCAGTCATTCGCTCAACTCTATCCTAAATCTAATCCAAAAGTTTGTGAATTATTAACTAAAATGATAACATTTAATCCAGATAAAAGATACACTGTCGAATAATGTTTGGAACATGATTATTTTGATGGATTACATAATCCAGAGGCTGAACCAAGATGTGACAAGGTTTTTGATTGGGGTTGGGATAACTTTGAGTTAAAAAGAGAAACTTTATAAAAAATGGTTTATGAAGAATCTTTATAATTTAATCCTGTGAAATTGTGAAATAACTATTAATATATTAATTTTCATTTCTACTAAAAATCAAATATTTTTGATTTCGTTACCTATACTAATCCTATTCTATAAAATGAAATTAGATTTTAATTAAAAAAATAGTTTATTAACTTATTAACTATTAACTATTTTTTCGAACAGAAATTGCTAAATATCTAAACAAAGAACTGCTTGAAATCGGGTCTTAAATTATTTCCATAAATTGAGCTCATCAATAGATAATCATAAATTATAACCTACAAATTATCTAAATTTAATTTCAATATATAATTTTTATATCTCTAAGAATTTACTTAAATATATGTCCTAAATAATCTTAGTTTTAGACAGAAATACAAAAATTAAAAAGTCTTCTCATTTATAATAAATTTTATTTATTCGTTCTAGAAATAAGTTAAGCTGATTTAATCATTTTAGATTTAAGGGAAAAATTCTATAAATTTAAAAGAAAATAATTCAAAATCATATTATGCTTTTTAGTTTTAATAGTAAGGTAAATCTGTAATAACATATTAGAAAGCAGCAACTAATTAATATTTTGATCTTCTAAAATCGAAGAAAAAAAGTTAAAGATGAGTTGGATTCCATATTATCGATATTGTTAATTCACCTATTGTTTAAAACTTATTTAGAGCATGACCAAATTTATCAATATATTTTATAATAATTAATATTTATGAGAGAGTAACAACATTTCTTAAATTAGTTTACAATCCGAATTGAGAACTCTTTATATCAAATTAGGCATCTTCTACGTGTTTTTAATATTTGATTTAATTTGGTCATCATTTATTGAACCGACTACAATGAATCAAATATCTTAAGATAGTAAGGAAGGATCGACCTAAATTTTATGGATGAGCTCCGTTCATATAATTATCACAGGAATAATTTTTGTATTATTCTGTACTTTGATGTGGTAGACGTAGCCACTAAAGTTGGGAATGATTAAGCTGTTAATCAGGTATTCATGCCTATCAATATTTAGAGATTTCATATATGTCTTTGCAATAAGTGGGCTTATGCTTATTATTGTTGTAATTGAAAGAGTAGCTATTTTCATAACTAATACAAAATCGAATGCTACTGTAGTTGAAGTAATTCAATCGAATTGGTCCAGTTTTTTTTATTAATTATTTTATTTTATCAGATATCTTTTAAGACCACTCTACATCTTTGTGATGCTACATGGTTCTATGAAAATAACGAAACCCTATTATCACATGAGAAACCCAGAACTATTCATTAATTGAAATCTTAATTATAAAGTGAAATATAATTCAAAATATAATATTTTTTATATTAACTTCTCAAAATTTTTATAATGCTTTGATTCAATATAACTAACTAAAAAGGTTTAAACAGAGTTCATAAGTTTTAGCTTAAATTTTAGATTGCAATTTGTACTCAAATAAATTCTAAATTTAAATAAACTTTATAATCAAATAGTTAAATATCTTGTTAGAAAATTTCATACTTTTTGGAACAAAATTTAAAAAAAAATAGTTCTTCAAGACATGAAATTAATGGATTAAAATTAAATTTTCATAGGAATGAATTTGGGATAAGATAAATTTTAAATTAAATTCTTTTTTTATGTTTTTATTAAATGAATACATTGTGTTTAGAAACAATATTTCTTAAGATTAAAAATCAGCCTTGAGTTTAACTAAAATAGATCATATCTTGAGAAAAAAGATATAATGTAATGCAATTTAGAATTAGTTTGTAATTTGTTTATTTAATTTATGAAGGGTTATACTCATATTACGTTAAAAAATAGATTGACAGTAACTTAATTATTTCATTATGTAACCTGTCTTTTCTAAAACTTAAATAAGTTTAATTTGATTAATATTACCTTGATAATTCAAATATAAATTTAGCCAATTTTATTAACAATAGAAATAAAAAAATAGAAATGATTTCATAAAATCCAGAAAATATATATGTGAAGATATAATAGATCTGATATATACATATTAAACTTAGATATTATCAACTAAACTATGAAAAAAAATCATGTTCTTTTGAAAATAGATTTTGTACAGCTTATGGATTTATTCCATCATTTTGATAATTATTTGTTACTGACTCTTAAGGTGTTGCAAAAGATTATTTAACATTTACTTATTTTTTAGGTTTTTGGTTTTATTACTTATTTCCACTCTATAGGTTTTTTTATTATTTATCTTGTTTCTAATTTCTGTTCATTTTATCATAGATGTATTCTTTGTACATTGTTTACCATACTAATTATTTGCATGCTTTTTCTTATTCGCTTAATATGTATTCTTATTCATCTGACTCACTCAAAGAAGATAAGACTTCACAATCTTTCTATTCCTTGACTACTTCAGAAAATGAAGCAGGATCTTCTTATTTTAAATTAGTTTCTTATTTGAAAACCTCAGGCTAGACCTTTAGTAATTCTATCATTTCTAAGGCTTTTTTTAAGGTGCTTTCTTCCAATGATTTAATCTCATCTTCTGTCAAACCTTTTCTCATTTCTTCTTCCTATTATTTTATTCTTCTATACGATGGAGGATCATTCACAGGGCCTGGGATTCCAGTTTCAATATTCTCAATTTATTCAAATTGTTCTCTTGTCAATTGAGATAATCCTGTTTGATTAAACTCAGCCAATCTTTTTCTAATAGTTTCATCACAAACTTGAACAGTTTTACAAACCTAAGAAGTGGACACGTTTTCCCCATGAAATCTAGCAGATATCAGCAATGCAGCTCCACACAGTGATGAGGGTCTTCTTCCATAAGCCATCCAATCCAACATCATTCTTTTAATTAACTTCATAGCTGTTTCAACAATTTGCTTATGCTTATCTCGGCTAAGATTTACATTGATTGAAATACCTTATCTCTAATAGCCTTACGAACTTAGGTATATAAATAGAAGGATCTATATATTATAAACTTTTTGCTAATTGAACAATTTATGGGACTTTAGCATCTAATTTTACAAATTTCAATAGTTTCAAGTAACATTTTGCCACTTTTGTTGCTGACTCCTTCTTTATCAATTCTGAAATTTCTATCAGCAAGTAAGGGGCATTTTTACATCTGAACCCAAAATACAATGCTTCGATATAATTGTAAATTCATTACCTGCACCAGCAAAATACTACCCATTCTTTATTGAATTTTCGCTTTTATAGAATTTCAATAATCTCCTTGCTATTTCAAATGCTTCTTTGTATTCTTCATCAACTGCTAATTCTAAGTCTAATTGCTTTAAGGTTTTCTCCGTTTCATGAGGCAATTAATCTTGATCCTAAAACCTAGTCTCTTATTAGTGAGCCAACTTTCCGCCATTTAAAAATTCTGCTTGTTCATAAAAATTAGACATTAATCAAATAAATATTAAATATTAATTTATATCTCCAAGATATAAATTTCTTTTTAGAAAGTACTATCATTCTTTTTGCGCTAATGGCTTTTAAGTTTGAAAGAATCTTGTTGAGATAAAAACTATGAATAATTATACTTATTAAATTCTATAAAGTAAAGTAATTTTATGTAAATGAAATTATAATGGTTGAAATGATATAGATATAATAAAAATGTAAAAATATCTCATGTTATATCTGTTAGTATCGTGTATAATATTAATTTCATATTTTATTTAAAGCAATACCAGTTAGATATAAATTTGACCATTCAATAGAATTATTAAAATTCAATTATCCATCTTTTTTAAATGAACCCCACTTTAAATTATGTTGAATAAAACTGAATAAGTATTTGATAAAAAAAGTTCATAATTTTAGATACAAATTAGGCAATAACTAAGCATAGATATACTAAATTGATATAAACAAAATATTCAAGTATCATCAGAACACATAGTAAGCTCAATTTAATTTGATTTTAATATAGGGAAAATGATTATCTTGAGTTTTTCAGATCTTGTTTAATTTTTGTTTATTCTTAATACATATCTTTTCTGTAGGATGACCTATTATAACCCAAATGATCTTAATTATTTACAGAGAAATCTGTCATCTACATAGATAAGTATACTCAAAATAAACTATTTGACCTAAGGTAATGGATGCTGAAAATCCTACAAGTTTATAGTAAGAGTAGATTTAAGTGTTTGCTGCAATGGGTAAGGTATAATCATTAATTATAATGTTTCCTAAATCTTATGATGAATTATATTAATGTCGACTCTTCAAAAAAAAGTTCCTGGGAACTTCTGCGAGATATTTTTATATCTTTGTGGATAAAGTTGTTGTGAATAAAGTAAAATAGAGAGTAAATTCATTTCATAGGAATCGAATCGTAAGAGAACCGATCGTGTTTTTAATATAGAAAATACTAAGAGAATAGTTTGGAAATACACCGCAGAATAACCAATAAAATTGAAGGGAATCACAATTGACAATGAAAATTCACAGTAGGAATACTTTGGTGAAGATGATGTGCTTCGTGAATTAAAAAAATATATTTCTAAGTTATTCTTCTAGGCGAAGATTCAAGAGGAATATGTGGCTATTCAAGTGATTGGATAGGGGAATTATGCTTTAGTATAAATTTGAATCATTTATTCTTAGGTTCTCGAATTATAACATTTACACTCAAATCAAAAGTTTGCTTCGAAATGTATAGACAAGAAAAAACTGTAGGCAATTGAATAGGGAATGGTAATCAATCAAGTTTAAATTTATAGGAATCGGTGATGAATGAAATCTAAATCATGAGGATTTTAAGTCCGCATGAATAACTCATTAATTTGATTGAGGTCTATGAAGGAGATAATAACATATATCTCATAATGGATTTGGCTCAGGGAGGAAGTTTATACAAGGAGATGAAAAATAAGTTGACCCTGTACAGCAGGTAGGAAGTCTAGAAAGTATATATTATTATTTAAATTTAAGATTATGTATTAGGTATTATCAGGATTATAATATATTCATTCTAAAGGAATCATGCATAGAGATCTAAAACCAGAGAACATTCTCTTCAAAGAAAAGGGGAATATAAATGCTTTAACAATTGCTGATTTTGGTTTATCTGTTAAAGTTGATTCATATCCCTACCTCTATCCAAAATGTGGAACTCCAGGCTTTGTTGCCCCAGAGGTTGTTAATTTGATGGACAAAGCTTAATCATACACAACAGCATGTGATATTTTCTCAGCTGGAGTTATTTTTCATATATTGCTTTTGGGAGAAGGTTTGTTTATTGGAAATGGACATTAGGAGATACTGAGAATGAACAAATAATTCTAGGTTGATTTTAGAAGATAAAAATACCAATAATTAGATTCAGATGCCAGAGACTTATTGTAAACTTAAATGTTATAATTAGATTCAAGATGATAGCCTAGGATGCTGATCAAAGATATACAGCAACGCAATGTCTTAATCATATTTTTTTTTAGAATGAAATGGCTCCATAATTATTACTAAAAATGTAAGATAATGTTATCTATATGCATTAGGCAAGGGAGTCCTACTAAAGAGTCTTTTGATCATTATTTAGATACGTACAACAGTCCTGATCAAAAATTAATGAATAAGGATAGCAAGAATTTGTCAATCGTCACTCGCACTCCCATCTATGCTCCTAAGGCTAGCACTCCTGAATTGCCAAAACAACGATCTATTTTGGAAGAACTAAGTCCATTAAGTTCATTTTCTTTAGATTAGCAACGCAATGAAACACAAAGAGAAGATTAATTTTAATTTGCTTTTACTAAATGATTATATTTATATATTGTTCTAAAAACAATTTAGTTTTTTTGTTAAATTTGAATTCGAATAACATAAAAATAAAGAAATTAAAATATCATAATTGATATTCTTAAATAAGCTTTTACACTTTGTCTTTTAAAATTGGTTTAATTATAAAACTTTTGATCCCTAACTTTTCACCTTCTTACTTCAACTTATTATCATCATATCCAGAAACAATGAATATTTTGATGTCTGGTTTGATCTTCAAGATTTATTCTGAAGCTGTCATTCCATTCATTATTGGCATTTCTAAATCCATAAAGATTGCTTCGTAGCCAGTGCATTATTCATTGCATTTTTTAGTATTTACACTTTTAATAGCTTCTAATCCATTATATGATTTATCAATTGTAGATTTTGTACTAAATTTAAGATTCAAACTTACAATTATTATATTTGCATCTCTAAAATGTTTTAATTAAAAACATTATCATCAACAATTAATATATGTTAACATGATGGTTTTGGCATTCTATCAAGTACTTTTTACTAAAAAATGTGATCGAAACTCTCTAACTTTTAGTTTAAAAGATCCTCATCTCCAGAATAGGTTATTGGAAAATCAATAGAATTGCTAAGTTATTCTATTTTAGTTGATGCTGCCTTTAAATGAAAATCCGATATATTTAAAGTTAAATAAAATAATGATCCATGGTTCTTTTCGGCACCACCACTGGAAATCACTTGCAAGCCTTAATTATTATATGATAACTATTAGGCTATTTTATTGCTTATCAATAGTCCCAAACCAACTCCTTATTCATTTAGCTTTTAATTTTAAGCATCCTTTATTTTGCCAAAAGCCTTAAATAACTTTTTTTATTGATCCTCTGTAATTCCAATTCCAGAATCTTTCACTCCAACATCGACCAATAATCCTTTTTATTCAAATTATATTATAATCGAACCAAATTATGTAAATTTCATAGCATTAGCAATTAAATTAATAAAAATCTATTTCAATCTATTTCTATCAGTAAATAAAAATAAGGGTCTCGTATTTGTTTAAATCTTAAGATCTATCTTTTTTTATTCTGCTTAGAGTTTAAACATCTCAAGACATTCTTCCCCTAGCAGTATTAAATTGAAGGTTTTTAAATTTAAATTAAATGTCTCCGCTTTTATCTGAGCTAAATCAAGTAAATCATTAGCTAAATTTAACATATAAGCAGCATTTTCTTTAACAATCTAGACACTTTTAAAAAGATGTTTGTTCTAGAAGGAAGCTTCTTTTAATTCACTCAAAATGTTAAGCATTACATTTAATGGAGAACGAAATTCGTGACTTACAAAGGATAGAGTCTTAGACTTCGATTAGTTAATGTCCAATAACTCTTTAATGTTTTTTCTATGAACCACATCTCGAGCTATGATTAATAAAATATTTTCCCCTCCAAAAGTTATAATTAATTCAATCTATTTTTTATTATTGTCAGTCTCGAAATTTGTCTCAACAATCATTGCCTCAACTTTTCCATTGATTTCAAATCTAAGTTTTTTTGTTGTAAAAACGTAAAGCAGACATTTTAAAACTGTATTAAGCTATGCTATAGAGGATGAAATATTACTTAGGATGTTATTGATCCATATCCTGGAGATTAAGTAGACATTCCATTTACCTTACAATCCTTTTTGGATTCTGAGGAAAGGGAATAAACAGCATTCAATACTGATGTTTTTTTATTGATATTTTTGTATTGTTGGGAAGCAAAACTCTGTAATAATACTAAAGAGCTTCTAGCTAGCATGGGAGATTCATCCTAGAGTACTTCACTTGGCATTTTTTCAAATAATAGCAGAAGCTCTCTATTCGTCTTCTAAAACATCTTCTTGCTCATTTAATTTTAGTACTCCACCTTAAGGTTAGGATATGCAGGGTCATCTGATTTTTCAAAATGAACTAAAATCACACCTTCTTGGAGTGCTTCTAAAATCAAGTTGAAATCAACATTTTAATGGATAACACTTTTACTTACAGTTTAAAAGTCTTCCATAATTTCGCTCACATGAGATGATGATGATTTTTAAGTAAAACAGCGTTTTATTTAATTTTCATTTTAATCAAAAGTTATTCGAAATTGATCTCCTTGTGTAGATCCTATTTTTTTTAACTAAGGCTCATTTTGACTTTTGTTCTCAAAGAGTAAGAAAACCACAAGTAAAATATGTAATTTGTAGTTTATTAGGCTTAAATATTTCAAACTTAATTTGATATTTTTCTCCTCAAATTCTCCTTCAAATTAAAAACACAGAAAAAGCAATAATAAAAGAGAGTATTTAACAAATTACCATGATGCTTTTAGATTCTTCTCTTTATGTAGATCACCTTAAGCATAAATAATTATTATAAAAACAAAATTTTAATGAGCATCATTAAATCCATATCTTAGGGACTCAATTTGAAAAACAATTAAATCTGCAAGTATAATGAAGTATTATAATAATAGGTGAAAGAGGCTTTGTTTTGAATAGCATAATATTTCTAGAGTAATTTGCAAGATAAATAGAACCATCATAAAAGTGATATATTAGTCTTTCTCTCTATATAACAATAGCAGTCTGATAAAATGGAATATGAGCAAAATGATCATTGAAATTTAAAGCCTCCTTGAAGTTGATAAATTTATTTTCATTTTAATAATAATTATTCTTAGCAAGCATTTATATTATGTAATAACTTGATCTAAATTTAATTAATCATCCACCGTCTGCAATATGATAAATAATTCAATAAATATTTGATAGGAGCAAGTGAATAATTATATTGTAGTCAAATTAAGTCAGTAAATAACTCTGCAAAATGAGAGTCCAATTATCATGACATGTTATGCTGTTTAAATGATCATAATTTAAAGATAGAATGATTCTGTTAAGATTAATATTCAGGAGTGTGCTTGAAACAGAAATTATAATTTAATATTAAAAATACCATTGTTAATATTAGTTTGTTTAATAATCTAAAGGAAAATTATTAATATTATAATTATAATAGAAAAATTGTTAATTAAAATTTAAAACTTCATCTTCACCTTATTATTTAAAAATATATTTTATTGGAGCTGATTGAGTTATATTGAATTAACCTCGATATGAAACCTCAGAGATGCATTGCCTGATGTTAATGAATTATAATAATTAATATTTTTAATTATAATCAAAGTAATATTTTCTTATTGTAAGCTTTTTCTAAATTATTTATATATTCCTGATGGTGTATGTAGAAATCTTCAATGAAATTAGGAGGCAGATTAAAACTGTGTTCTGGCTCTACTTCGTCTTGAAATTTTGCTTCTAATATTTTTTTCTAAAATTTAAACACATTTAGATTACTGCTAATTCTTCTCTTTCAATTTTTGATCCTCCATTATGTTTTAGTCTTATATGCAAATTCAATGAAATGTCAGTTCCATATATTTTGTCACATTTTTCGTAAGGACACTATTTGGGTATATAAAAAAAAAGTACTTAAAAATCTCTTTTGATGAGGTTGGCAGTTCTACGTTTTTTTTTGGTTTCTTATTTTTATGGTTAAACGAGGGTGTAATGTTCTGTGATTGATTCCTAACAAAACTCATCAAATTTGGCTTACTTCCAAATAATCAAGGCGTTTAGCCAACTGATTTAAATCCTAATCTAAATCATCAATGTTCCTGGAAATTTGTTAAAAGTTCATCATAAGCTTCTCTATTGTGCTTTTGGTACATGCTGGTGGTTTTTTACCCAAGAACTCTACTTACTCTTTGTCGCTTAACATACTAATTTTCTAAACTATTTATTAAATTGAGGATCGTTGCATACTAAGTATTTCTACAATATTTCAATATTATTACTCTAAAATAAAAAACACTAAACCAAGAGAATTGTTTCATTAATAATTAATAATTACAAGGACAAATACTCATAATAAGTTTTAGAATATTTTCTATATGGATTAGCATAAACATTAGACTGAAATCTTAGAAAACAGAGGAACAATATTTGAGCAATATTACAACTACTCATCAATGCCATATAATAAAGAAAAACTATTCAAAGTAATTATAAATTTATTTCATCAAGAAAGCAGAGAAGAGATTAATTGGTTTAAATACAAAGATGTGATACAATAAATTGAAATAAAAACCAATTGTCATAGGAGTTTCTTTTAAATAGAATTATTCTTGGTTTATAAAGTGATTGACTAAAATAGACAATTGGAAAAGGAGATATATTCCATGTAGATGATATTTAAGAATATCTTAGTGAGTCTAATAATTAAGTGGAATAACATATAGATTTAAAAGAAAATGATGTATAGCTGTATTTTAATAATGATTCTAATCAATTTGATATTAATTTTCTCTTAAGTTATCCTAATTTTGAAGAAATCAAATCGACGGCTACAGCAACGGATCTCTTTTATTTAATTCTAGGTTTATCTATATAATGTTAATACCTGCTAGCGGTGTCAGTTTCATATTCTTGTCTCTTCAATCTGCAGTCGTTTTCTCTGTTTTCCTTCTCTTTGGATTTGGTGGTAATCTTTTGATCTACTTCGAATTTTTCATTTTTAGCTTATTGAATTCTGTTTGATAAGGAATCAATCAAGCCTGAAATAGAAATTAATTATCATAATACCTTCCATATAGGTTTTATCTTGATTGGCCTTAACCAATTGATCTGACAAAAGAGTTCTCAAATCCTCATAAGAACTTTATCTGAGATTTTCAGCTTGATCTTCTCTGATTCTTTCTGATTGAATGTAATTTTCTATTTATTTAAGGATGGACAAGACCTTTCTGGTTAATACTTCACATTGACTTGGTTCATCGGCTGAAGTTTATGCTTTGCTAGCCAATTGACTAAGAATTTCAATCATGGATTTATAACCTTCCAAATGAACCTTGAATAGTAATTGTTATTGATTACATGGTGCTTTAATTTATTGACTTTTTGAGCAACTTAAGCAAATGAAGAGATGCCTTTAGAATCAATATCTTCTTCGACATCTTCATCATTGTATTAGAAACTGAAGTCTTCTTAAAGGAATGATGGTTATGGTTATTAAAATCTATTTCTATTCTTGACCAACACATCCAAATATTTATTGAAGTACCCTTTAACTTAATTAACTCCGAATAATGCTTATTCAAGATTGTCTAGAATTGTTTAATAAGTAGCTGATTCCTTTTGTCTCTTTAATGTCTAATAGTCTATTTCTGCTTTCAAATCTGCAATTTCTAGATTCTTTCTCTCCAAACTGGCAACTGCTTACACTTTCTGTGGGTTTAATGAATCTAAATCACTCTTCAAAGTAAGTGAAGTGACAGTGCTTGTATTAATTATTTCTGTCAATTGACTCAAAGCAATATCACAGTTTTATTTGAACCTGACAATTCTCTCATCATCTCGTTTTTGTTCTCCTTCTAATGTTTGTTCTAAATGTTGCATAATATCGACTAAATTAGAGACAACTGGATCATCTGTTTACATCTCCATCTGAATTGTTTGTAAAATAGTTTATCCAAATTGAGTTTCTTCGAGTTCAGCAATTTAATCATCGAATTCTGTTGCCAGACTGCCCACAATCACCAATACAAGAAGCAATGCTTTTTTCATTTTTAATATAATTAACAATAAAAATCCGTTTTCCACTCCATTTATTAATCTGCTTATATATAAGATAAAGTTAAACTTCTAAAGCAATACACTCATCTCCAGATCATTCTCATTCCCTCCTACTAATTCCTTTACAAATAATTCAATAGCATTATCAGTAAAGATAGGATGAGATACAATTGGGATTACTAAATAACTTATATAAGTAATATCGCTCAAGAAGTGACTGCCAATTTAAATTCACTATTAAATGTTCATTTTCTTGCAAAATTTAGAATATAAATTTAATTTTTAAATGAACTCAGAAATAATTGAAGTGTGTTAACATTAAAAAGACAATATTCTTGTCAAGTTGAAGAATGGTGAAAAGAAATGGTTTAAATTTGATGAGGTTCTCAAGTAATAGCCTAAGATGCTTGCTCAATGGCTTGAAAAACAAGTATTTTTTAGAGAAGTAGAAGAAGATAAATTATATTGATGTCTTTTTGGTTTATTTAAATTCAAAGATAATAACTCAATTCTAAATTTATTTATTTAATGTCAATAAGCTCATCAACAGCTTGCTGACATTTGTTCTATAAATTTTGGTATAATTTTAATTGATTATCAAAAAAAGCCTGTCTCATTAATAATTTCCAATTCAATTGAATAAATTCATTTTGAAATTCAACAAATAAAATCCATTATTAGTTCGATTTAATTAATATTTTCAATAAAATTTGCATAATATGAAACAATCAAATTAATCATATAAATGACTCTAAATCTAATATCAAAGTACTGCAATCTTTGATTATTAAATATTTAATATCCTATAAGAATATATAAAATTATTTTTTTGCTTAATTTATAATTATTTTCAAAGATTGTAAATTATTTTTTATAAGAGCAATATTTACAAGAATCGCTTTTTATTCTGATTTGATTAATAAAGATACATTAATAATGATGATTATATAATTAAAAAGTTGAATTACATAGTGATACTCATACAATAGAATAATTGAGAATGATGATGTATGCTATATCATATAATATATGTTTTTTTTCAATAATATCATTCAAATATATATCAATTTATTAAAACAACAAAATATTCTTAGAAATGAAGAAGGAGCAGCATAAAATCATTGAATGCACTTAACCTAAAAGTGCATTAAAAAAAGAGATTAACAAAGGAAATTAGAGTATTTAAGTTCAAAATAACTTAAGTTTAAAGGTTCGATAGAAAAGGATAAGAAATTAAACAAGGTTTAAAATATGAGATCACTATCAATGATAAAGCAGAATTATTCACTCTGAATAGTGAATAAACTCAAATCGTTAATCTAGATTTATCGAACTCTTCGAAATAAGAGAATACTGAATGTTATATTAGACCTAGCTTAAGGACTTTGAAAAGTTTGGAACTCAATTCAAAGGAAGAGGCGTTTTTGAAAATGTTGAGTTATAATTTCGAAAAAAATAAGAGGAAGGGAAAAAGAAAAGAATGTTGCGTTATTTAGTGAAAACAGTCACTTATTGTATATATTTATTTTAATTTATCAATAATAATAATATAAATAGAGCCAAAATATTCTTATACCATATATATATAATTTTTAAAACTTAAAAGAGCAAGCGACTTTTTAAATAGAAATAGCTACATTTATTTACAACAATTTTATACAGCTTCTTAAATCTTTGAATCTAAGAGAAATTGCACAAAAGCTGCATTACGAAAACTTTAATTTTGTAATAAATATTATTATATTGAAGAATTAAATTTAATGAAATAAACAAATCTAAATCAGTTAAATCATTTTACTTTTGATTTTCAGGTATTGATTTTTTTAAATAGTGTTTTTGCATGCCTTGTTAGAGTATACCTGTATGTAGACTCAATTACCTGCCATCTTCCATGTATTAAATAGTTGAGACATCTTAATTTTATTTATAAAGAATTTAAGAAAATGATTATTCATAATTCATATTTGAGGCATCATCAACTTTATTTATTGTATCTATTGCTATAATCCACTAATTAGTGCAATCTTCTCTTCCATTTCATTTCGAGAGACCTCAAAATAGTTTGGAATAGTCTTTTTAGATTGAACACGCTTTGACTCTTTTTTATAGGTATGGTTTTTAAACCATTTTTTCAATACTCTCTTCTTTCCTATTCGCTTTTATCTTGATTTAGGAGGTAAGAGTTTTAAAGAAACAGTACAAATATGTTTTAACTGCTGACAGATTGATTCAAGTTTTTGATTTTCTGTCATGCCAAAATCTAGAATTTGGTTATTCATTATCATCTCATCCTTAATGATTTGCATACTATTATGATAAGGAAAATTTTGGAAAATTAAATTATATTAATTTCTATATTACATTTAACAAATCCGTTTTAATATAATTTAAGAATTTACAGTCACTTAGAAAAAGTATCTAAACAAGGATATTTCCACAGTAAATATAAATATAATTATTATTGATTTATTAATTCAAAACCAAACAATTATTTGGTCAAACTATTAACAACCTAATAGTAGTAAAAGTAAACCTAAAAAACTCATTTTTTACTGCTAATTCTAAAGCTTTGCTATCAATTTCTCATTTAATCCTTTAATTAAACTGCTTTTCACATAATATTAACTCTATTAAAGAATTAGATAGCAAAATAATTTTCAATTTTATGCAATTATTACCAATATAATAAAGTATATTTATACAGATATTCAAAATATTTATAATACTTTATCTTATTTGTATTTTTAATTCTGACCAACCTCTATGATGATGTGGCAACTTGACCGTCAGACTTTTTAGTTTGAAATTGTTTATTAGGATTAGAAATCTTAAGTAGAAAACATTATTATATACTATTAAGGTAGACTGATAAATTTAATTTATAATCATTAAATTAAAATGTAAAAACTCACTCCATCAGCGCATTCTTAGATATCCACACCTAATTCGATAAGAAGATTGCACTCCTTCGGAAATTCCAATGGAGTCGTTCTGATGAATTAATATTTCAACTTACCTTTGATATCAACCAAAAGCACAAAAGAATATTAGGGAATTTAAGTGATTAAGCCGAATACGATCTCAATGATTGGAGAATTTGATGATTACAATCAGTATCATCCTTAGGAGAACAATAAAATCCAATTATAAACCTTAGTTAGCAAAGGAGAGAAATCTCCTAATTGTCCTAACTACACTATTTTAGAGATGTATTATTAAAATAAATCCATCTCAAATAAAAAACCAATAAAAAAAAGAAAACTTGTAAGACCCTCGTAAGAAGCAATAGAAGAATAGAAACCTTCTAGACTTCAAAATAAAATTGTACAAAATTTCGACAAGCCAAATGATAGTTCAAAATATACTTTAGAGAGAAACTATTATTCAAGATAAGGGGAATTAAATGAAGACGCACAATAATTTATATTTCCAGATTTAAATTAAGTGTCTCATAGTTAAAAGAACAGCGAATTTGAGATTTTGACTTAACGAATTAAACTTAGGAGAAGAAAGCTGAAAGTTATTTTTCTATTTGTTTTTTCAACTATGGTGATATCAAAATAATTCAGGTATTTATAAATATATTGTATAGGTTTTTTAAATAAGAAGAGAGACAACTTATATCCAAACTGAATAAAAAACTCTAAAGTTGCTAGAAAATTATACTCTAAAATGGGGTCAAATTCATTGAAGAATAGCAATAATAGTTTGTCTAAATTATTTCGAATAAGGTTATTCACTACCTCAATAGTCGGACATATATTAATGAATGCAATTTAATTGATGAATTATCTAATCCTATTTAAAGTTTGGATTTGAAGAAAATAAGAGCACAAAGTTTTTCTAAATTGATATACTAAAATTTGGAATTACTGACTCGATCAAGTAATTTTCCTAAATTGTTAAAATGTTAATTGATCACTAGTCTTTACAAGACTTCAAAACAATAATCTTCGTTCTTTGTAGGAGAGAGATGTCATTTTTACTCAGCCGATAGAATTCATATTTCGAGGGAAGAGAAATTAGTAATTTCTATGGAATATCTACTTTTTTAAATAGTGGTTCCAAATTTAGTTCAATTAGTTAATAAGATACCTTAGAGTAATAAAAAATGTAAAATACAAACCTAAAAAATAATAATTATCATTGCCAGTCTACTACATTAATAATTTATAGATAGATTTTAAAATATGAGAAAAGTGAAAAATCCTAATGGTTATATGGTCAATAAGCAATTGATTATATAATATATGCAAAATGACCTATTTCTTAATGAGATTAAGGTTGCACACAGCACAGGCGACAATAACAAGGTTCTTGAAGGGCTAATAGATTAGGAGTAACTCTAATACCTTGAAATTTCAAAGCCATTGTGGAAATCACAGATCGATATATTATTTGAGAAGGTTGTGTAGAATGTCGAATCTCTAATAAACTTTTGATTTTGTTTATGTTAATTAGTTTTATATATATATTATGCTAATAATCGTTTTTATCTCATTGATTTTAGTGAATTCGAGTGTGATTCGTAGATCAGAAACGAAGGTGGATGAATAAGGAAGAAAGTATCATTACAGTGAGAAATACGAGGAGGAATTTTCATATGAAATTTAGAAGAGATGTTCTGATGATGATTCAGAAGGTTAATTAGAATTTGAAAATGGTATTATTTAGCCCATAATATTCAGATTTCAAATATGATGAGGATGTGGAGGGTTAGGGAGATGAGAAAAATGCAGATGGAAATGAGGAACTACAACAATAGAGAGATGAGAAACAACCTGACAATGAGGATGAATATTATAAGGAAGATGAGAAGGAGCAATTAAAAAAGGAGAAACTGAAACATAAAAGATAAGATAAGGAAGTTGATGAATATGTGCTGTTACTTTAAAATGAGAGTTTGAAATTGCATTTGACTGCTAATTGATGAGAGAAACTATAATTTACACATTTGATTAAGATTAGTATTTATATTTAGATCATCTATCATTTGCATAAATTAAATATAGCAATGAATCATTACAAACAAATAGAAGAATCAAAATTATTAATTTAATTTTATATATGAATTAAGAAGTGGAAAGCAAAGAAACTAAGGAATAGAAAGAGCAAATTGAATAAGAATCCGATGAAAATGAGAAGAATGACAAAAAAGAATAGACATAATAATAGGAGTAGAAGAAGAAGAAGAAGAAAAATAAAAAGAAGAAGAAATGGGGAGAAGAAGGTATTTAGAAATAACAAAAAAATTAGAAGAAATTATGACTGATTTTGATGATGATTGGTAGAATAAAGTTAAGACATCCAAGATATTACAAGACCCTGATCTGCCTTAGCATATTAAAGAAAAATATGCGATTTATGAAAATAATCCATATATGATGATAGTGTCAAATGTGCCTCTGAATGTCTAATTGAAAGAATTGGAGGAATACTTTAATACTCTCATCACATCTCTTGATCCCAAAATCAGTATAAATAAAATATATATAAGCCGAAAGACCTATTAAGGCTATTGAATATGGGGCGACAAAGTCTTGGGTAGTGTTGGAATGCAGTTCCAAAGAAGCTAAAAGGGCCTTGGTGACTCAAGATTAGGTCTAATTCGTGAATAATTGCAAAATCAAAGTAGAAAAACCAAGAAAATTTCTAGAAAGGATATTAAATCCACAGGCCAAGGAAGCGGAATTAAATGCAGATCAAAAATAGGAGGACAATACAAGATTATATTTGGGAGGGCTACCTACTTATCTTAGAGATGAGGATGTGATGAAACTCATACAATCCTTTGGAACAACTAAGTACTTTAATTTAGTTAAAGACACCACATCGAATACAGAGATTTCAAAAGGTTATTGTTTTTTTGAATATGAAAAAACTGCCTCAACTGCTAAGGCTTTAAAGGCACTGAACAATTTGTAGATTGGAGACAAGAAATTGAAGATATGCAAAGTTCAAGGAGAACCCTAATAAAATAAGAAAATTAATGGAAGAGATCAGCCTTCAAATTATGCTGGTTCATTTTTGGCTTCATGTGATTTATTGCGAATCCCATAAGTGCAATAGATGTTAACAATCCCTTAGTCAGCATTGATTCCAAGCAAGGTTGTGCAATTCTTGAATATGGTATTGATTAAATGATAATATTACAGTGCTCAATTGAAGATCTGTATGAAGATGACATATATGAAGAACTGATGGAGGACATTAGAAGCGAGTGTATACGTTTTGGTTAAATTGAGAAGATAGAAATACCAAGGCCAGACAAAGATTCAGGGTAAGAGATAATACTTAGTATATTATTATAGTTTTTGTAACCCAGCTGTAGGAAAGATCTTTGTTAAATTTTATTATTAAATTCCTGCAAAGAAAGCTAAATTCCATCTAGCAGGTCGTACATACAATAAGAGAACTATTATTACTTCTTTTTATCCTGAGGAACAATTTGATTATAAGGATTATTTGATAAATGGATGATTGTTTGAGTGTTATGGTATTTTAATAATTCTATCGATGGTACAATTAATTGGATTCTTTTATTCTGTTAAAAATATAACTAATATTTAATAAATAACTCCTCAAATGAGTAAGTTAAATTGATTAATGATTACAATCACCCTGCTCTTCTAAATCTTCTATCTCTTTTAGGTAAATCTGCCCCGCTTCCAGCACAGTTTTATTCAGAGTAAGTATTCAGATTTGGATATGGTTGTCTATCTGAATACTTCCTCATATCTTCAGTTGATTACTCGGCATATTTAGTCAGATGTTTTCTTGCTTGTTCTGCATATGTTGGATCATGTTTTTGACCATTCAAATCAGTTGCAGGCAAACAATCTATATTCGATTTCTTTGTGTACCTGTTTCCATATAACTAAACTCCTTGGCTGTTATTACAAACACCAATACAATCACTAGTAAATACTTCATGATTGAAACAAAAACGATATAATTAATATTAAATCACTTCTTCTCTGGTTCATATCCTTATCTCTAATGAGCAACCTCTCTTGCTTTAGCCAGTCCCTATTCTCTATAATTCTACCATTCGTATCCATGATACTTTGTGAATGATCTTCTATACAAATCTGAAGTGGCCTTTGCAAACCCTTTCAAAAACTTTACTAAGTCAGCTCTACATATCATAAATGTTAATTTTAACCTTTCCTCTGCACTCTCCAATAGTTCTCCTCTTTACAAACATTTTGTCCCTTTACACATTGCTTATGGATCTTTAGCCCACATAAATAGATTATAGCTATTCCAAAATATTTTAGAATCCAATAAGGCCATTGTGTATTCTTCATATACTCTCTAACTAGCCGCTGGCTTATTATATATTTGAGCCAAAGATGGACCGCTGGATTCTTAAAATGAAAAATCTGCTGCATATGGTTTTCCTGTGAATATCTCCAAAGAGTGGCAAGAAGCACATGCACGCATAAATACTTGTGCTCCTTTTTTCAAATCACCATCCACTGGCACTTATTTAGATTTATCAGCGTTAGTATTGGGATTTGTTAAATTTCGATATGTCTTCTTTGCCTTTATTGTTTATAACAGAGCCTCTCTGGTTATTGCTTCGTCAATCATTTGCTATTCTTTATGCATCGCTCTAATCTCATTCTGAACATCATCCTTGCTTTTACCATAAGGATTCAAAAGAATTTTCTTCCATTTCTCATTTGGATCTTCTGACATTCTATAGTTTAATTTATTATCACATATAAAAATTCATATTTTCAATTCATCTTTCAACCTCTTTTCCAATTCCCCATCAGTCTCCTTTCTTACTACTTCTTCCTAATTTTATACTATTTCCTCATAAATATATCCACTCACATCTTCTCCTGTAATAATATCCTAAAGCAACTTTATATTTGGAATTTCAGCATTGTCCTTCGTCACTAGTACCCTCAAATCTTCGTATAATTTACTATCATATTTAGTCTCAAATTATATAACATAATTTGATTAGCGATATTTTTCATTCTTTATAATACTTTATTAGTTACCACACCCTCCTCAATCTTATTGTTTGATGCTTGTATCACATCGCTGATATTTAGTAATTCATTATCTATTACATTGACTTCTAATACATTTTTATTTGCTAATTCAATTAAGCATGTTTTTTAATCCTTCCCCAAAGTTATCGCTTATACAAATTTACTCAAGTATTTCCTACCAGTCACATATGATGATATTGTTTAAATTGAAAAAAATGCAGGTATCAAAGTAACCCAAGGGTTTATGTAAAAATAGGAAAGTCCACCTACCATACCCCATAGAGTAATATATATTGCAGCAGATCTATTCAGTTTGGTTGAAAATCCTTATTTTTAAGCAAATTCTAAGTACCATCTACATTAATTTTGTTTTGGAAAACTATGTAATTGTTGAATATTTTATTATTCTGAGAACTGAAGGCAGCAGCCATCTTGTCTATTTATGAAGTCAGATAGTCATCATGCTCTAGGATCTTGTCTATCTTTTCTTTTGAAAATCTGAATATAACTCTTCTGAAAAGCATTATTAAAAATAATGAGAATTACTTAATGCATTATTAGAAATACATAAATTAAAAGAAGTCAAAAAAAGGTAATAAAGAATTCTCTAATGATGAAATGCTGAGATTATCTCTTATGAAAAGTTAATTATAATTTCTCCTACATCTTGACCAAAAATTTAGAATAGATTGCATTTCAATATTAATTAGAAAAAGAACCAATAATAAAAACATGATTAGTTCGTATATGTAATGATGCTAACATAGTTTGTATTTAGGATTGTATAATGATAAGAGAAAATAATATAGAATTAAAGTGATGTAATTTATTTGAACCTAACGAGATTTGAAAGGGTGTCTATCTATGTGATCATTTCGAATAGAAGATAAAGAAAATGAGGAAAATATAATGATATGAATGACATAAGATATTTTTAAATTAATTTTTATAAGCAAAAGTATTTATGTACTTAAAATTTGCAAGTTGTAATATTTTTAAAATTATAATCAATATTAGAGAACAATTTTGATAAAAAATGATGATAATTATTTATTCAATTTATAATTGTATCATTAAATATATTTAAGTAATTAATTTGCTCTTTGACATGTAATATCGTGTTTACAATGGATTATGATATCATTTAAATATGATGTTATTTTATGCAGTTTTAAAAAGTTCAGTATTCGATTATCACTTGAGTTATGTTACAAAACAGCAAAGGTCACTAAATTAATAACAAAATTACATTTAATTAACTATTTGCTCAGAATAAAATCTTGCCATTCCTTCATTTCTTGATATGTAGATATTAATAGAGTTAATAAACCGTTGTTATATAGATCGATACATTGTTCAAATGTACTGTTTGAACATAAAAGAAACAAAGCTTCCATTTAATGATACAAGACTTGGCGATCCTCTAAGATTAACTAAATAATTACTTTCTCTTTCAACCAATTACAAAAACTGCAAAGAAATTTAGTTCAAATGGATATTTTGGATAATGTATTAAGATTAATCACAAAACAACTACTTCATTATAATAGATGCTTAAGTTCTTATGCATTTATCAGTAGTTCTATTGTTTTATTGATGATGATCGATAATAATAAGTAACTAAAAGAATATGTCTGGATGCTTTTCAATGATATCAAATTTCAATTATTGATCATTCATTTTCATAGACTCAGAAATTACTTATAAAGCAGTTTATCTTAATGAGTACTATTCTTAAACTACAAATGCTAAAGTGGAGAGTATTATCCAGAAGTTTTGATAGAGTGTAAGATTAGCTGTGAATTGAGATTTGTCAATGTAGTATCGAACGAATAAGAGTATTCTACTTAATAAGGAGTGTTTGCTCTCAGAATATTTTTCATTATTATCTAAATCGAGTTCAATGTCTAAATAATTGATTCCGCGTAATTTCTTGCATAATTTATCTACTATCGACATAAATTATTTGATATCCGAAAAAGGGATTCTGCTATTTGGTTCAACAAATGTGGTGATTAGATACATAAAGGTAGACATAAGACAATCATCAGACTCAATCTCAAGATCAACTATTTTGTTTAAACATTGAACAATTTAAATTTGTATTAGAGTTGCTTAACATAGTAATGATGACTATGACAGTTATCCAAGCAGATATAATTGTTCATCTAGGAATACAAAATTCGATTCTTTCTCACATTTTGCCATAATTCTTTATCCCAAATTATAATCTTCAAAGAGGGTTTCTAAATCATCTATTTATTTAGTATCCCTACACTTCTTTACAATCATTTATAAATATAAAATCTTTGAATTTGTAATCTCTCCCTCTAAAATTGTTTTTAGAAGAGGTATTTTCAAAATGTTAAAATCCTAATCGGCTTCTACTTGATTGCATAACTCAACTATATCGTCATCCATCTAATCTTAGCATTGTAAAAAATCATTTTTTAACATACTTTTTTTCCTACTTTCCATTAAAAATGCTTCTAATCTTTACTTTCTAATTTGCTGTCTAAATTACTCTTTTTTTTAAGATAACATAAATTTATTTATATTATATTAACTTTATATTTCATTAATCATTGTTGTAATACCGAAGAAATTCTATTCATTAAATAAGTTTGATTAATTGAAAACTAAAATAATATTATATTTGAAAATAGATTAGATTTCAACATTCAAATTAAGATGATTTTACGATTAAAAGAAATTATGCAAGTTCCTCTTAATTTGGTCATGATAAAGATTTATAAGAATTCTTCTACAGCAAATATAGGTAATTAGATGAAGAGATGAAAAAAATGGATAAAAATCAAAATAAAATAATCAAAACATTAAAAATATCATTTGTTACTTCAATTTTATTATATACTCATAACATATAGATATATTAAACAAATCTAATCATTTCTTCATAGCATTTGCCATCCATTCCATGCCTTCACTTAAACCAAAACCTGTTAAAGCACTACATTTAACTCTATTTTTAATTATATTATATTTGACATACATTGTCCAATTTCTTGTTTTCTCTTCTTCTAATTTTAAATACTCGCAAATTTCAGTTTCACTCAACGCTCCTTACATATCCTGCAAATTTATAAATATAACCAAATTAAAACTTGTTTATTTGCCAAAATCAATAATGGAACATTTTTGAGTTCCTCATCTTATAGTAGGGTCATTAACTCTTCTTTTGATGTTTTGAGTCTGCCTTCATCAAAGGAGTCAATCACATAGATAATTCCATTTGTATTTGGATAGTAAGACCTCCAATATAATCTACACGTATATGTTGATAGAATACCTGATAGCATTTTGACCTCCCAAATCCCATACTTGGAACTTCAAATTTTTATAGGTAAGTGTTTCCACATTAAATCCCATAGCTTATTTTTATAATATTAGTTTAGTTACTTGGTGCTGTTTAGATTACCTCATTCAAATGCAATTTATCTATAAAATAGATTAATCATGGATACACAAAATAGTTGTCTTTCCTGAGTTATCCAATCCCAAAATTAGAATACGCATTTCCTTCTGGCCTAAGAGAGAATTGAATATTTTAGAAAACACAAATCCCATTATTAATTTAATGAATTAACTCAATTTGGATAAATTACTTTATCCAATAATGATGACAATACGTAGTCTCAGAACCTATTTCAAACAAGATGAGGATAATAATCGCATAATCCTAGTATTGATTCCTAATTGATTAAGGATTGCCAAAATAAGGTCGAAGGATTTGCGCTTTCTATTATGAATTTCCTACTTGATTTAATAGTTAACGGATCAGATCATACATCCATATCTTTCAATAAAAGTGCTCCATCACTCTAACAAGAATTAAGAAACAAGCTTGATTGTATTCAAGACTTTGTATAAAGCAAAGACGCTGCAAATTTAAAAAAGAATATTTTGAAATGTTATGAAATGAAAGAAGGCTTTAGTGAATCAGAGAGTGAGGATGACGGAGTTAGTCTTCAAATCAAATTGGTATGAGCTAGGTCCTCTTATAAGGCAGACGGGTAAGATGAAGGAGTTTAACCCTGAAATACAGTAGCTTCGTCTTGAATTGGACCAGAAGGAGGAAACCATCCAAGCATTGAAATAGAAACTGAAGTATCGTTAGAACAGCATGGAAATGATGGCACACAATCATCATAAGGAAGTTTCCGTTCTCAAAGCACAATTCGTATTAAATCCGCAACCAGAGGATCCATCATCTATATTTGATATTAAGTATTTTGATTAAACTTAAATGCTTGATCCAGAGATAGTGGTTCTTATGAATGAAAAGATTAATGACATTAAAAATCAATATGAGCGTTATGTGAAATAATTTATGGATAAATTTCAAAAACAGCGAGTACAACATAACAATGAAGAAAACACAAAGAAACCATCTTTTGATGGTTTTACACCAAAGGAATTATTGAAGATTGCTCTTGATAAAGAGTCTGATCCTTATATTTTCTTTAAGCACATCCAAGATATTAAATCTATTAATTATTTTTTAAATGTTTTGGTTAACTAATAAAAACATTATGGAATTGACTATGATCAAATCAACAATGCCTTTAAAACCAAAAACGAAGATTTAAAGAAGTTAGTTGATACTCGAATCATAATGCAAGATTGCCAGGCTTAAATAAGTGCTATGTATCTTGTTGATTTAGAGAAAAAGAAAGAAGAAATACTAGATTTAAATTAGTTAATTACCTAATAAGATATAGAATATAAGCAGCAATTAAAATTATTTGAGGACTTAATTTAAAATAACAACGAAAACTCTAAATAAATGATTCTAAATTAATAATAAAAGATTGAAAATATGAGATCTGAAAATCACAATCTTTCAACAATGCTATTGAATTAAAAATAGCATTGTTAATAACTGAAATAACAAAATTAATTTTTGATGAACAACCTAAAACACGTATTGAATGTTCTACTAAAGAAATAAAACTAAAGTATTCATGGATTAGATAAATAAGATCTACTAAAAGATAAATCAACTCCAATTAAGGATATTCTTCAGAAGTTAAACAATTTAGAAGGATACGATCTTATTACTTTAATCCAAGAAGTTACATTGCTTTTATATGAGATTGAATCTGTTAAAGTAGTGAATTAAATTTTAGGGAGAGGAAGAGTGAATAAATAAACTTAAACTATCTAAGCCAAAGATGAGTTTCCTGAACAAAAAGAAGAGAAGAAATCTAGAGAGAAAAAAGAGTAAAAAGTAATTATGAAGCATTTAGAAGAAATAAAATAGGAGACTATTAAAAAAAATAAACAAAAGATTGCTTCTACTCAAACTGATGGTTTTAATGAATTTAATAATACTTAATATAATGAAAATAATTAAGAGTAAAAACTTACTATCGTATCATAAAGTGAAAAGTGTGGAACTGTTTCATTGAATATGTTATTGAAGTAGTTTCAATCATCGATCGAATAAAAACCAAATAGCATTAGAGATTTAACTCCTGAGCCTTCGATTGAAAAGCAGAGCTCAATTTTTAATAAGTTATATACTTAATAGAAGTACGAAAATCCACGATGGCATCAATTGAGGCCTTTAATTGAAAAACTCACAGATGAAGAATTCCTTGAGGTTGTCAACACTTTAGGGATATATTCGTTTAGACAACAACAGTAAACCTAGAATAATACCATGGACTTACCACTATATGATATAAGCAGAGTGTAATAATCAATGAGTTATAACAGTACTAATAAAAGAAGAAGAGACTCAAGTGTTGATTAAACTAGAAAGTATGTTCAATTATTTTATTAAGCGTGTTTAATGAATTGGATGAACAAAGAGAATATGCATTGAAATTGTTCGAATAAAAAAGGATTGATAATTATCGAAGAAGGATAAAAAGATTGGTTCCTGTTTAACCTAGTTAGTGTCTACAGGTTGAAGAAAAGTTAAGACCAAAAAGTTAAATTAGAAGTAGTTAGCAAAAGCATGGTTACTGAATTATATATAAATCATTTCTTCTATAAGAATTTTAGTAGTTGAGAGCTGTGATTATTTTACAGACGAGTGTTTGAAGTTTGTCTTTGCAATGCTTATAAGCTTTTACCGACTTGATCAAAACTTTGACTAGATAATGTTTATTCTGGCTTTTACTTATATAGAATATCAAAATAATACTCTAATTAATGGTGATTCTTTCTTTTTGCTTTTGTTACACTTATTCAACTTCTCAGTACTTAAAGACTACTATGATTGTTCATTTAGTTTTTCTGATTTCTAGACTCTGTGTCGCTTCTCTCCCTTTGAATCTCTTAATCTTTCTGTTGCCATCAATTTGGGCTCTAAATTTCTTTATATATACATGTTTTTACTGAGTCTCCTCATTTGATCTCTAATAACCAATCTCCCGTTTAACAGACGACTGTTTCCTTCCCTTAGACAACGACCGATCTTTTTCAGTGTTGCATATTTTCAACAAAGCTTTGAAATTGGCTTCATTATTTGTGATTTATAGACTCTTTTAGGATTTGTTGGAGACCAACTTACTTAGCCTTTCAAAAGCTGATGGAGTCTTTTTATGAAGAACCTCTTTGGGTGATATATCTAACAATTTTTTCTGTTAATCCTAGAATATAATCAATAAGCTATACTTTAATGATTTATTCCAAAGATTTTATTTTTTCTTATTATTATTTTATAATAATATCCTTTTCAGAAGTGATTTCATCTATTTTTTAGGTCAGAGCATCAATTTGCAATTTCTATTGTTGCTCAACTCTGATGTGAATTCTTATTGATGCTTCAAGTTTTTGGATTACTGCCTCGTAATCGTTGTTCATGTGTTCTTCTAATTATTCTTCAAATACAGTTTTTACTCTTTTGCATATTAATTTGAGGGGTACCTATTTAAATAAGCAATGATTTAGAGGATATATTCGTATTATTACTTTTCAGATTATTCACTAATTTACTTAATACTCACTTAAATGATTTGTTGATATGTTTGAATGATGTCCTATTTCTAAGAATTTAAATTACTTTGTCAATCAGATCTACAATATCCAACAATAATTATTTTATAGTATTGCCTTGCATATATATATATATTAATTAATCAAAATTGCAAACCAGATCTAGTTAAGTGAATGTTACTGTACTAAGGGATCGACCCTTTTAATTACAATATTATCTTTTTCGTCTTTCTCTGATCAACGCTAACTTACTCATCTCTTTGTGTTTGGGAGCATGAATAATCCTACTTAATAGTAGATTGTTAGAGTCTGCTTTTTTAAAAGCAAATTTATCGTTTCTTGCTATCTTATTGTAGTAGTTTAGTATCGATTGATTTTCTCAAAGGATAAGACGTTTTTCTTTAAGAAAGCGAACGCTCATCCTAATTCAAAAATCCATTTGTGCTAAGTATATTCTACTAAGACTTGTTCGACATCAATTTATTGATCTTCTCATAAGCAGATGGTGTTTTCTTCTGTGTGTTTAAATCCAACTGAGAAAACTGATTCAGAAAATTAGTTTATAAATTTCCTGCACTTTCTGTATGTTTCTCTTGCAACTAAAATTGCAATTTGTGTATTTTCTCCTCAAATTGCTTCACTGAGACTTCCTTCTCTTTTAACAGTTCCTCTATTTTACCATTTAGTAATTCAATCTGAAGATTCAGTTAGTATTATGTTCTAATGTGCTTTCTAACAGAGGCTTCCAAATTTTAGATAACAGTCTCGTAATCATTCTTAATATGCTCGTTCAATTATTATTGCAATTGTTAACGCATCTGATCAATAGACTTAAAGAGCTATATTATATTATATGACAATGATGCATCATCTTAATTAAGTATTTGCGACTAATCAATATCATTATCGATTATACTCTCTAATTTATGTTTATTCATACATTGTCCATCTCCTAAATCAAATCAAAATACAATTATGCTATAAGTGAAGGTTTCTTATTCCTTTTATTCATAATAATTTGTTAAATTTATACTTAAATATATTAAATACTAATTAATTTCTTCAATCTCTTGATTGCCAGAATCTCTATCATTTCATTCCTACCTCAAACCTCATACATGATTACATTTAGATGGCACATCCTTGAACAAAGCAATTCGCATCAAATTAAATATATATCTAAAAGTATTCAGACTGCAAGTTAAATATTGATCAATTCAAAGAATAACCTAAAGGAAATAATAATATAAATTGTTAGTTCAATTTGATAAATAATTATGTAACAGAACATTATGAATGAAACTAATAAATTATAGTGAAATTAATAAATTAGACTAGAAATATAATTATATAAATCAAGCCATCAAATTATATGGGTTAAAAAATGAATAGACTATTTTATTCACCATTATAATTGGAGAATGTAGACAGAAAATAATTTTATAGATAATCCTATTAATCTTTTAGATTATGATTTAAATTGAGAAATTGTATTCAAATTAATACATAATATTTATTTTCAATAAATCCCCTAATAATTTGGTTTATGATATCATCATGAAATCAAATAATTTATTCAAAATTAATAATTCTAGGTTCATAATTCTGTCATTTACTTTAAAATATTATATTCCTTAATTTAATATTGTATTTAACAATGAAGTATTCGAATTTTAACTTTAAAGACTTCAATAAATCAACATCATTTAATATTTTACATGTTACCATCCTAAAACTATTATTTGATAGTTGAAAAAATAATTATAAACAAATTAATAATATATTTATTAATTAATATAATAAGATTCAAATGTTAAATAAAAATGTTTTATAATAAATATTAATCAATATTGTCTGGGTACATTAGTTTATTCTTAATATCTTTTAGTTTTAGGTTTAAGTTCAGAAGTTTTAAATTCAACAATGCTGCTCGCTTCACTTATAGGCATTAATTATTATTGCTGTATTATAGATTTACTTAGATTAACGATGTAAGAATGAGTCATCTATTTTTCTTCAGGTATTTCTCTTGATTTAATGTATTATTTGTTAGAAATATTGTTGGAGAACAATGAGCAATCTTTAAATTGATCGAAAGTAATGTTGCATTTCCTTCCAAATGTGGCAAAGGTTAGCAAATCAAAATCGAAATTGTTAAATTAAACCTTATTGCTTTTCATAAAATTAAGAAGGCTATTGGTATTTATAATATCGTTGTGATCACTTAGGTTTTAAAATATCTATGAATAGACATGAAAGAGAATACCTTGATTATATTGAACTCATCGTTGTTAATTATTTACAATTTGCTATCCTTAATTTATTTAATTACTCTTATTTATTGAGTGAGTAATTTCAGAAGCTATACTTAAAGATCATTGTTTGTATGATCAATGATAGTGTTTGATTTATGAAGTAAAAGTTTCGTTAAGTAATTCTAAGCTTTTTAAATATAACAATTACTTGAAATTATTGTTTACTGATAGTAAATCTATCTTTATCACCAATAAACCAGATAAATTCGATGACGTCTTTATAATTGATAGGATGGAGATTCTAAACGAAAAAGTTTAACAAAGTATTCTTCGTAATGGTATCCTCGTTGTTGGACAACAATTCAAAAGATCTATCTATATTGTCAGAGTTATTGGAGTATAAGGTTTATTTGATTGTTTATAGTTTCTATTCGTAATAGGAGATCATTTTCAGATAAAGTGCAATTTATTAGTCCATTATTAAATTAAATATATAAATTCATATTATCAATTCTTATTATTGCTATTATGAATGTTCTGTGTCGTTAGACTTGATATCAGAAATGCATTTATCACTGGATAATGATTGCTCTAATTTATCAAATTTGTTCAATCTCAATCTTAAGTTTAAGATTTTGTCACTCAATTTTAATTACTCTTCTTTGGTATCCTAGATCTTTTTTATCAATTCTTATTTCTCTAAAATACAAGTCCTTGTGATTTCTTATATTTGGAATGTCAACTATTCTATCTTTTTCGTATATTCATCAATTAACAGTGTTTTCTCCTGTAAAATTTCATCTGGAGTCTTTTAAATTATGGCCACAGCATTGGGCTTTTACTTGTTTCTTTAAGCTTTTGGCATCTCATTAAAATCAAGATTTGGCTATTTTTACCTGATCTTTTACTCAGTCTTTTTATAGTATTCATCAAAAAGTTATATTTTTTTCTTGTATTATTACTTTTAAGCATTCAACTTTAAACTCAATCCTTATTAAACTTCCAATTCAAAATATTATACCTTATTCAAATTATGTAACTGTATAGTTTCCTATTTCAATTGTTATTTCTTATCTTGCAATTCTTTTATTTAATCCTCAGTTATATTCTCCTTCTTACCTTGTCGTACTAGTTACAAGCAATACTCTTTGATCAGATCTTCAACATAATCATTCATCTGGTCACCTTCCTTTTTGTAAAGATCAATTTTTTTCTCAACATCTGAATATTCATTTATTTTCTCCTATAAATAGTCCTATAACATTTTTATTTGCTGTGCTAAATGTATCAATTATCAATACATCTTTTCTGCCCAATGGTTACAAAACTTATTTATTGCTTTTATCAGAAATTAGGGATTCCAATGATTTCAACTTCGCCGTGTGGAGTCTCTATTGATCCGTTCTACTCGAACCCAATCCTGTAGTTTTATTTGCATACTTCTCACTAGTCATTGATTTTAATTACATTACTTTTTTTAATTTAATGAATAAATAAAATTTACTATTTGAACTAGAACATAAAATTCTTTATGCGAATTGATATTTCTTTATAGTAATATATAAACTTAATTAATAGTATCATTATTTTAGGTGCATTTTAAGATGCTATTTTTCTCTTCAACTAACTTAATCTATATGATTAGTCTTTAGTTTATATTGTCTGAATTCATAATCTTATTTGTATTAAAACCATATTAGTCTATTTAATAACATTCAAATTTTGAAAATATTATTTGACTTTTTCACTCAAAGAACCTTCATTCATAGTATCTAATTATGGTTTTCTCATAATATCATATGGTTTATGAAATTCATCCAGTACTTACTTTTCCATTAAAAGAGATTGATGATAGTCCTTCTCCTTCTTTTCTAATTATTGCTTTCGATCACTCATTATCTAGTCAATTGTTAAGATTTATATATATTTGAATGAACTTCGCAAAGTTGATTATTAAGTCTTAAATTTCTCTCCCTATTCTTTTAGTACCCACCAGATCTTCAAATGCATTAAACCCATGCTATATATATATATATAGTGTAAAATATTCGAATTGACCTACTTCTTAGCCATCCAGCTATTTTTTATTACATTCTTAAATTGAAAACTCTTGAGTAGTTTAAATTGCTATCAAGTGTAGAAATGAATATAAAATTGCTGACATACTAATATAATCATTTGGAACTATATATTGTAGCTAACCAGCTTAAACCTTCATATAATCCATCGCCAGTCTTTGCAGAGCAGGGTTGTATATAACATTTTCTTTAATGATGTGGAAGTTCTAAAAACTTGCTTAATTCCTCAATACTAAATTTAGCAATATCTTGCTTATTAGCTAGAACTAATAAGGGAGAGCCTTTTGTTTCCTTTTCATTAAGAAATCTTTTTAACTCCTATTTTGCTAGTGGCAATCGTTCTGGATCAGATAAATCTATGATAAAAATGATTCCTGTGTCCTTTACATCCATATATTAATTCCACAATAACCTTATTTTATCTCCCCCTCCTATTTCTATGCATGTAAATTGAATATTTTTGTAGTAGATTGTTTCAGAATTAAACCCGATAGTTGGGATAGTGGATTTTATCTCCTCATATAATGCCAACCTGTAGAGTATAGATGTTTTTCCAACCGCGTCTAATCCGATCATTATTACTCTAATCTACTTGTAAGGGAACAAACATGAATATATTTTTTATATTGATCCTCCCATATTTATAAGAATTATAAATATTCATCAAGCCATCAAGAGATAGAGATTTCATTAAATTTCCTTGTAGGAATAATTAGTAATGATATTAAATGCTCATATATATTTATTCTCTAAATTTAAAAAATTATTTGACTATTTAACCAAATCTAAATAAGTATGAATTGGATTTATTTGAATTCAAACTAAAAATAAAATTTAACAGAAATGATATTTTTATGATGTAATATTTTTATTTTATTGAGATTTTTTTTATGTTAAAACCCTTTTTAATTCTTAAATCATTTATATTAATAATAATAACAAAATGTCTTATTACAGAAATAGATAAGATCTATTTAGGGAAGATTCTTTCTGTATTGATGAAGACTTTGAGTTTAATCCAGATAATTCCCCTTTATTATTTGTAGGGAAGGAAAATATTTTTGATCAATATGAGGATGATGGCCTTGACACTGAGAAAATAACAAATACCCCTGATTGTGATAAAAAATAATTGATGACTACATCCAAGAAAATAGGAAAAGTCCACCAGATAAAAAAAACAAAGGAACAACCTAGTAGATCATAATCTGAAAGAAAAAAGGTTGTTTATATGCTTCCTGGAGAAAGCAAAAACATCCCAAAAAATTTCACTAGAGCCTTAAAACATTTTATACTCACTCATTTTGATTCTAGTGTATAACAAAATCCAGAAATTAAGAAGTTCTTAAATACTAAACCAGAAAAAGCTTGCAAACAAACCTTAGAGAATTCATTGAAAAACTGTTAACAACTCAAATAAATATCCAAGATGTTCTTTGGAAACATATAATGGGGAAATATCTTTTTGGATGAAAACAAAGTAGAGCTTGAACCATATTTCAGATTCAACTAGATCTGGTTTGGAACAAGAAATTGATTTTCTATTCTATTGATATTTATAACATTTTTTTCAAATGAGACATATAATTATTTATTTAAAGGTCATTAAAGTGATTGAATTTTAAATCCTTATTTGATTTACTAAAACATTATAATTAATAAGCGAGGCTTTATTAATAGAATAACTTTTTTAAAGTTCTTTTTTGGTTTCTAGGCCCTTTTAAATCAATGGACTCCTCCAAAAATTACCTTAATCTAATTACCATCTCTCTTTCTTCATATTTTGAAGAGTCTCTATTGTGATATCCATGCAATTTACAAAAAAATTTTGAACGAAAAAAGTACATTTATAGATATTTAAATAATCTATTTGATAAGCGAAGTCAATGCTAATAATTAAATTATTAAAATAAGGTTTGGAGCACTTGGTAATCAGAAAAATCATGAGAAATCATGTTTCCGCCTGATTGTGTAAGATATATATGCATTTTTTTAATTAATACTAATTATTCAAAAATATTAGTTATAACTACAATATACTTGAATGATAATTATAAAATAATTATAATTTATTCATATATTAAATCATATTTTTAATATACACATATTTTCAAAATCTGAACATCGTAAATTTAAATTAATATTCGTTAATATGATAATAATTTGTTTATATATTTTTGAAAATTACTTCCAACAAAATATTTCAAAAATATCAAAGAAATCTTTTCTGCCTTAATATTACAGCTGGAACTCCTTTATTTACTCGCTTTATACTTAAGACTTGATAAGATCATAAGCCTCGAATTATTACGGAAAATGGAGTTTATTATAAGAATTTACTTATTCTTCCTGACGGATATTTAAATCTTATATTTAAAAAAATAATTCTGAAATATATTTAGTATGTTAATATGTTTCAATATTTCTGTATTGCAAGATGGGGATAGTTATTTAAATTTTAAACAAAAAATTATTTCCATAAGGTCTTTGTAATCAATAATTACATTGTAATTATATTTTTGGAATTTAATTGTGAAGCTTTATAAATTCGGCTTTGATTCAACTTTATTGGTTAATAAATAGTCAAAGTTAGTAAAATATCATTCATTTAACTAATCATCTATAAAAATTATAAAAATAATTCCTTAAATATCTAAAAATTTAGAATAAATAATTTACATAGATGTCTAACCCAAATAAAATTGATTCCATTGCTGCAAACGGATTCTAATGTAATTTCTTCAATAACTTAACTTATGAAGAAATGAAATCTGATCTTTAAAAATTTGTATGTTTCATCAAATATTTATTGTAGATGCTGTTAATTCATGAGTAGTATGAAAATGGAGAAGACTTCTATAAGGCTTACGAGATTTATGTGATTGGGAGAGAGAAATTAGTTTGCATTTAAGGTTTTAATGAAGTAAGAACATTCTTAAATATTCTTATTAGGAATAACTTACTGATTTAATCAATTATCTTGAAACCAATGAAAAAATGATCAAATTTTGTGATTTCTATAGGGACTGTAAGTATTTTGGTTAGTGAATGTATTTTAGAATACTTTCCACCTCATCCATAACAAGTGAAGAATTTTTAAACACAGAAGGAGAGGGAAATAAGAAACAAATAAGAATTGTTAACTCTTTAAATTCTAAATAGTTAGACTAATATAGTTTCTTCGGCTCAAGAAACAAATATTTAATAATTTGAAAATCAATAAATTCTTTCCGACATTCAATTTGTTCCCTCTTTCCAAGAACTTTATAATATAGTATTAAATTATGATAATGACTCCAAATTGGACAAGGTAACCATCTTATAATATTTTCTAGGCTTATCAAACAATACAATTAATAGACAGAACCCAACTCTCATAAGATCAGATCATAAAGTTATCTGTAATAGAGAATTCATACGAATTCATGATGAAAAATTTAGCAGAATTGGATTCGAATGGATGGACACTGGATAAAAAAAGCCACGGGATTAGTATTTCCTATAAATTCCCACCAAAATCATCTTCAGTCTCTTTGCTTATGGAAGCAGAAATTGAAGCTGATTGTGCTAAGCTAATGTCTTTGATCACAGAAGTAGAATTATTCTCATAATATGTTCCTTTTTGTAATCACGCAGCAACATTAAAAACGTTGTCAAAAACTCAAAAAGTCTGCCTCAGTTAATTATATTTTCCAGTTATTTCCAATAGAGAGACGATATTTTTAGGCCAAGGAATAGATAGATTAGAGGAGAATGGAACAATTGTGTTCTTATGTAAATCTATTGATCAGGATCAATAATTTTTAGATTACTATAACTTATAACTTAATAAATCAAAGAATGTAAGATTGCAATTAAATTATTACATTTTTTAAATAACTCCGATTAATAAAACAAGATGCAAAATTAAGGCTGTCAATAATTCTAATCCATAATTGTCCTTTGTCCCAACATGGTTAGTAGCATTAATAGCAAGAAAAGTAATTTTATTATTTTTAACAAGTTTGCATTTTAACTCGTCGAAAAGATTGTGAAATATACTAAAAATTTTGAGAAATATCCTTGGTATAAGAAAACTCAGGAAAACCCAGAATTTTATTAATGGTTGTAGAATAAAATTGACAACTATTTTGCTTGATTATTTAATTCTAAATAAATCTAATAAGCATAATTATAAATGGGATTCGTATTGTTAATTATAGAATTAAACATGAATCATGCACCAGTCATTTCAGCATATGCCGTCAAATAGCATTTTGGATCACCCGAAGTTATTCCTTGTATTTAAGCTATCACTTGATCCATACCTAGTAATTCTCCTCTAAATTTGAATCAAATAATTATATTTAAAGGATTACCTAAATATATTGAGTTCATTGTCGTTGCTTGTAACTTAATGAATTATCTCTGCCAATTGATGAAGCTTACTTGTAATCTTGATTTCTAATTGTAGATAAATTTCAATGAAGGGTATGTATACATTTATTCTTTTTATATCTGCATGATCATTCATAGTTATTTAATTAAAATATATAAATATTAAGTTTTAATGGGAAACAAGTGCTTGAAACCTCATCATAATGAAATGGAGTGTAGAAACACTTTTGTTGATGAGTTTTATTCATTTAAATAGTTGAATGACCAGAACACCCATTCAATTCTTAATTAAGCTAGCATTAAAGACTATCAACTACTAAAAGTGTTAGGGAGAGGAGGATTCGGTAAAGTGATGCTAGTTCAACACAAATAGAATAGTAAATTTAATTTTAATGTATTTAATAGACTAATTATATGCAATGAAGATTATCAACAAAAGAAATCTGACATCTGAATGGATGAGAAGAAGTGCTAAGATCGAAAGGTAATTGTTGGAAATTCTGGACAGCCCATTCATCGTTAAATTAAAAGAGGCTTTTCAAACTCAATAGAAACTTTATTTGGTCGTGGAATATATGAGTGGAGGAGAACTATTTTAATATTTGAAACATTATGGAAAATTTTCAGAGGACATAGCCAAGTTTTATGCTGCCCAAATATTGCTATCTTTAGAATATCTACATTCAAATTGTATCGTATACAGAGACCTCAAGCCTCAAAATATCTTATTGGAAAAAGGTTACATCAAATTAACAGACTTTGGACTATCCACTAGGAATGATGGACTCTAATTCTCGCAATGTGGAACCATTGATTATCTAGCACCAGAAGTCTTAGGACACCAAGGCTATACTAACAAATGCGATGTTTGGAGTTTCGGTGTTGTACTTTATCAGATGCTAATTGGATGTGATACAGAACAGATCGAATTCCAAAATGCTTTAATCTCTAATCAAGCCAAGGATCTACTATCGCATTTACTTGATGCAAATGTTAACACTAGATACACTCTCTAACAGGCTAAATAGCATGCTTTCTTTGATGACATTGATTTTGATGCATTGGAAAAGAAGAAGATCGAACCTCCATCTATGTTTTTGGAGCATAGTGTATGAAAATTATTTAATCTCCTAGAGATTTAAGTTCTTTTCAAAGAGTTGTTTAGAATAATCAGCTGTTGACACTGAAGAATCCGAATGCGCTAGTTAAGTGAGTCAATTCACATATAATCAATATAAGTCTAAAATTTCAAGGGCTGACACACTCTGCAGTTCCTATGGTGTGCCTAAGTCTTTTTGAGATAGAGAATATGGCATAAATCATGATGTAACAAATTTAAATAAGTAATAATATTTATTACTATTTTATTTAATCATATATTTAAGTAAATTATATGAGCTTAAATTTCACTTTATCATTTATATTCAACTTGTAATATAAGGGACCAAGGCCTCCTAATTTACTATATCTAGTTTTAATGAAATGCTTATTACCAAATTTAGAAACATCCTTGAAACATTCAAAATACAAACAAATATCAACAGAATCTCAACTTATCATATAAAATAATAAAATTTTAATCATTACTGTAATTCAAGTGTTACACCTTGTAACGTGTTTTCTAATTATACTACTTTTTGTAATAATAATAGATGCTTTTCTTCCATCATTTATCTTGCCTTGGCTAGTCTTTAGTATTCCTTAGACAATTTGTACTATGCCTCAATGAACTGAACATTATCCTCTCTTAATTATTTATATTTTTTGTTCAGGGACTCTCTAAAATTGACTTATATTTGATTTAATTCAGATTCTGATTTTGAAATTATGTTCGACATTTCCAGGCGTATCCTGTTAGACTGATCCTGTAATTATGCTATATTCCGTTTGCTCTCTGTAATATAACTCTAAATTAATATTCGATTACATTGATATATCTGAAAGGATAATCAAAAGCCTCTAAGAAGTGGATCTAAGAATTCTAATTTTGGTGTTCATCTGCATTAAATCCATATCTAAAATTATGAACAGGTGTTTGAGTTTGGAGAGTAGTAAGCCTAAAGTCGCTTTAAGCAGAAGATCTCAATTGATTGAGTCTATGTTGCATAGTTTTAACTGTTCTAAGGGATTGCTAAGTCGGACCTAAAAATAAATCAGAAACAATACTGGGATTGAGATGTTTGTAATAAAGCAGTTGCCTTATGTTGATTTCTGAACTCATTAATTTTTATAATGAAATTGATAATAGTTCTATTTGTATTAGCTTTGATTCAAGACACAAAATAAACTTCGTAATTCACTAGATTCAAGAATCAATGCAACTTTATACCATCCAATAATAACTAAATTGGTAAGAATGTCAATTTAAGAAGTCTAAATCTGGGGATATTGGAATTAATAACAATGTATTTAATGTCGGCCTTGGTGTACTTGTTCGGACTACATGGGATGTAATCAAATCAGTTGTCCTGTTGGTCATGTGGCTTACTAGAAGACAAAGATTTGCATCCCTTGTCCCAAAGGATGTAAGGAATGCAGATTAGGTTATGAAATGAACATTAGAAGTTGCTCAGAATGCGATGATGGATATTAACTGATAGGTAAATTTAATAAATCAGATCCAAGGTAAAATGTGCGTGTAATTGACGGTTTTTCAAATTAGAACATCATAATTGAAGGAAGTATATATGGTCTATAATAATCCATACAGTCAGCCATTAAATAATAAATTTGCAATATGTCAAGAGTTAGACTCAACTACTTCGCTTTGTTCAAAATGTCCAAACAACTATTTTTTGAATGAATTCAATTAATGTGAACAATGTCCAACTGGATGTATATGTGGTCAAAGGGGAACATGTCAGTACTGCATGGATGGATACTATTATAGTCCAGTAGCTAATGAGAAAACAGCCACAGTTACTGCGGGTTAGAGATTGCAAAGTGGATTTTATCAATATGGTAGAATAATCAATATTATAAATTATATAGGAAGTGGTAGTTGTGTGAAATGTAACGATCCAAATGCCATATAATGCACTTCCTCCTTCTCATCTTCATGTGCATAAGGATATTATATGAATACGGCTTAGACTGAATGTGTGGCTTGCAATCCTGAATGTAGTGCTTGCAAAACTTCCGCTGGCAATTGCACAGATTGTTAAAATGGATATTACTTATAGAATTCAAGTTGTCTACTCTGCAATGGTAACACTATATAAGATATCATTTGTTTGGATTGTATTCAAAGTGGGTATTGCTTATAATGTGCTGCAAATTTGTATTTATCTAAAGGATAATGCTATACTTGTAGTGAAGGTTGTGTTTAATGTACAAATAGCTCATGTATAATGTGTAATAATGGATATTATTTGAAATCAGGATCTTGTTAAAGTTGCGATTAAAATGTTCAATATTGTGATGATGACACTGGAATTCCTACTTAATGCATTTAGGGATACTTATTGGTTGCTGATATTAATAATTCCAATAATCTAGTGTGCAGTTAAAATACTAACAATTGTATGATGATGGTCAATAGTGGTTAATCATGCTCTAAATGTTCTTCAAATTACGTTTTATATAAAGGAACATGTGTAGAATGTTAAGGGAATATTCCAGGATGCACTGCTTGTACTGATAACAATACTAATTTGGTTTGCTCCTCTTGCTCTTCTAATAACTAGAATGGTAACAATTATTATTTGGATGTTAATAACAATGGCTGCACTCTTTGTAATAAAGGATGCTTAACATGTTCATCAACTGCATGTAATTCTTGTCTAATTGGCTATTATTTATCTAATGGATAATGTGTGCAATGCTAGTAACAAGCTTGCTAAACTTGTAACTCATAATCTTGCCAAACATGTCAACCAGGTTACTATTTAAAATAAGTTGATGGCTAAAATACTTGTATGCTTTGCCCTTATGGTTGCTCCAACTGTAACCCCAATGGGTAGCAATGTTCAGAATGTTTACCTAGTTTTGTTTTAAGAGTAACAAATTCATTTATGTGTTCTATAGAATAATGGTTGCACAATTGGAACCATCTTCTGTGCTGAGTACAATGAGTTTGGAGTTTGTAAGACTTGCATGTACGGTTTCGCCCTTAGAAATAATATTTGTGTTTCTTGTATTGATTTCACAAGTGGAGTATCAATATTGATATAACATTAGTACGTATGCGGAGAAAATGCAGAACCCTGTAATAGTTTTATTCTTGTAGCCATCCTCTTGATTTTGTTTCTTAATTGAATTAATTTAATAATATTTTCATTAACTTCATTTTGTATTCTATTTTTTTTCTCTTTAACTTAAATTTTGTTGACTTATAAAAATAATTAAGTTTGACAACTTTACACGATTTGAAAGATGTTCCAACAAAAATTGAAGAGTTTATTAGATCTTTTCACGAAAAGGTTTTAAATGTAAATCGGATGAGGAACCTTCATTGACAAAGGTCGAATTCGAAAGTTTTTATGTGTATTGAAGTTAAGTGGAAGTTTAAATGTTTTTATAATTTATAATCAAATATTATTTTTGAACTAATCAAAATTTTGTTTATTTCTATACTTTAGTTCTTACTTTCTTCTTTTTTAAATTGAATTATTCCTTCAGAAACATATTTATTCAGATCCATTTCAATTTCTATGAAGATAAGACAGACAGCATTCACTGCTTAATCCATAATATTTATATTTTATAGAATTGATTTGTGGATTTGATTATTTACAAAAAAGATCATTCAAACTTAGTTACATTATAATATTTCAAAGTTTCTTTATATGGGAAAATCTTTTTGGGTTTCTTATTCCCTTAAATATTTATTATCTATATCTAATATGCCAATTATGCTGTACAATTTTTGAATTATAAATATAATTTATGGCATATTTTTTAATAAAGATTTAACTAACTTTAATAGAAATAAGTTACCTTATTATCCTAAAAGTTCGATTGAATTCATCTTAAAGTGGATCATCGCATTATTATAACAAAGCTTTGAATACTCTTATATTTAGTGGCTTTTTCTTTTGGCTTGTTAAGTATTCTATAAATTTAGCTACTTTTAATTCTTCTCTCAGTATTTCTTGACAGAGAGTTTGATTTTTTTGTGCATAACTGATTATTGCCTTACAATAATTCTTAGGGATATTTTTAGAGTCCTTTTATTCTAAAGTAGAAAAACCCTTTCTCTTTTAAACAGAGAGTTTTAGTTGAGGCACAGACTTGGTCTTCTAGTAAAATTGTTGTTAATAGTCATATTTTTTCAAATCTTCTATCAATTTTTATTAAACTTAATGACCTCCTAGATGAACCTACAAAAAATTAACTAGAAGTATACCATAATCTAATTGAATTAGTACTGAAAAACAAAGGGATATTTTGGAGTCATTTCGTTTTAGTCTAAATATTAAGCTTCTTATAGTCTTAGCAAAGCAAAATAAAACTTTTCTAAGGTTCTCTAATACTACGAATCTGGGATGGTAGAATTACCTTATTTTTCCACTTTTATCTAACCTATTTAGTAATATTTACAATGCCAGGTAACTCATTTGGTGTTATCATTCGTTTTTCTTCCTCTTTGACGTCCTAAGGTTTTATCATTTAACGAAATCTTATCTTATAAAGTAATTATATTAAATAGTAAAAACGATAAGCAAAAAGCGATATTTTTCACCTCCAACACAAAGGAACTAGTTGATTTCTTGATATTTATATTATTTTAATCAAAAATATCTTAATCAGGTGATAGAATTTAACAGAAGTTTTGTATTATGAGCCGTATTATGGATTTGCAATGTTAAAAAAAGTAATTTGTTTGAGATTATAATTTTGGGAGGTCTTGAGTTTCTAGGAATCTAAAGGCAAATTCGTAGAGTGCAAAGTGGTACAATAAGGATGAATAGAATTAAGATTAAGTTTATTCTGAGTTTGATTGATTATTGCATATTTAATAGAATATTTTAAATATTTTAAAAAATATTCATTACAAATTATGACGAATAAACTTATATTAATTTATGTTTATAATTATATTTTCACTCCTCCACATCTCAATACAACAAATCCAACAATGCCAGTACATTCTCAATCAGGAAAGCTGCATCAATTCTTGTGAATGGAAGAATGAAAGTTGCCAAATCAAACAGAGCAATAATTATTGCAATCTCAACAAATTGACCTATGAATAATGTCGATAGCATCCAACATGTGCCTTCTTTGATGATAAATGTGAACCTTTTTTTGGATGTTAAGCCTACTAGAATTATGGTGCGAACTGTCCAAGAATATCAATTAATTGCATTTCAATTAGCGATTAACCTGTCTGTGTGCAAAAACCAATCAATTGTTTATAAATTACTGAGTAAAAGTATTGTGGTTATATTGATCATTAAATGGGCAGTAAAGATTCATGCGAGTGGAAAGAAGATAAATGCTAATTCGCAGGATGTGAAAAAGTAAACCAATAAAAAGAAATCTCATCGTTAATATGCTAAAAATTTCATAGTGTTTGCAAATATGATGGAATAGAATGCAAAACTTAATTATTAGAATGCTCTTCATACATCTCAAATTGCAATTCAATTATACCCCTCACAGGCAGATGTCAATATAATTCTATTTAGTAAAGATGTATGAATGCATCCTGTTATAATTATATGGAGGATAGTTACGAAAAATGTCAAGAACACTTCGGTTAAAATGGGTATTAATGTGTGTATAACGATGACTATTTCGAGGGGTTATGCCTTGAAGTAGATTATAAGATGTAAGTGGGGAAATGTTTGATAGAAATGCAAGATAAATCTAGCAATAGTTATTTGTCAATATCTAAATGCTTTGGCATTAACATATTTAAGTATGATTAGAAAATAACATTTTTTGTAAAGAACAATAATAATGCTTTATAAAGAAGTGAATGCAATACCAGTCTAACATAATATGAATGTAATTCGATGGAGACTATAGAATTAAAAAAATGCTAATGGAATAACAAAAATTGTGTACCAATCAACTCATGTGATGATTATGTTTTAAGTTATAACTCTGAAGAAGATGCATGTGCTAAGTTGAATTTAGGTTGTAAATATATCCCTTGTTCAAAAAATATTAATGGATGTTGTGTTTAAATATTTGGATGTTATGGCTATTAGTAAAAAGAACAATGTACAAATAACTCTAAGAATGTTACTGATTTATAACATATTTGTATTTGGGAGTCTGACTCTTGTCGATCTGGAAAATGCGAAGACTTTAATAATGATAGTTATCAATGTAACAATTTAACAGAGTGTAGATATATTGGTACATCCTGTTAAAATAGAAAATATATTTCTTGTGAAGGTTTGGATAGTTATGATTGTGCACAACAAAATTGTTTCTACATAAATAAAAAATGCTATGAAGCCAGCGAGATTACAAAAGATATCACAGAATTAATAAAAAACCTAAATGAAGACGGAGATACTTTCTGTAGGCATTTTTCTGATAAACTAATGTATTGTTCTGATACTAAAAATTGTCGTTTAAAATCTTTATGCAAAAATTATAGTTACTATTGTTAAAGTATGAAGTAATTTGATAATGTTCAATGTGTAAATGTAAATTCGGAGTGTCAACCAATGACATTCTGTTCACAAATTTAATTCTAAACCAAAGAGAAGTGTTATTAAGCTTCGCCTGTCTGTAACACAAACAAGAAAACATGCGACTATGCTTAGGAAACATGCTCTGATTATGCATAAGAAGAATCTTGCAATTTCTAATTGGATTCAAGTCTTTGTAAATGGAATTTGAATTAATGTTAACTACTAAAATGTGAGGACTTAACTAGTGATAAATGTGATTCAAAATATTTGTGCATGAATCCTTAGGCTTGTAGAAAAAATATGTGTATCTCATACCAAAACAATTGTATTACTATAAAATCGAGATGTAGTTTGTACAAGAAGGAGGAAGATTGCTATAAATCAATTAGCACTTTTTGTTTTTGGGATGGTAATTTGTGTTTGAATTCATCTAATTGTCAAGGTACTTCATGCTAATAAATTAATAATTACTGTGCTCTTGAAGAGGATAGAGATTAAAAAGTATCATCGTTCAAAAATTCTTGAGTAATAAAATTTGTATTTGAATATTAAATTTTATTATATTTGTTATAAAATACAAAAATTATGATAACCATTTTACTCTTGATTATTGCAAATGTGAAATCTTAGTCCTAAACTTTTTGTTCTGAAGGCTGTAAGATCTTTACAGATGCTACTGAATGTGATTAACTTAGACCCTTATGTTCTTGGAGACAGGAAACCAAAACTTGCATTAAAGGATATATTAAGCCATAAATAAATATCTATCCGTCTTAAATCACTCAATTCTGTTCATAGAATAAGGATTAATGTTCAATAACCTATGGTTGTTCATATTACAATAATATTTGTACCAGATTTTTAGGGTGTGATGCTTATCAGTCATATTCCGAGGAAGATTGTTTGAATATATCCTATCTTTGTATTTGGGATAATACGAAACAAGGATGTGTTCGTAGTCCTGACTATGACTCTAAGGGTGGCTTAATTAATCAAAGAGCATGTAGTGCGGCTGGTTTGGCTTGGCGAAGTAAAGAAGGATGTCCTAAATATTCGAGCCAATGCATTTTTAATGGAATATTTTGCGTAGAAGCTTTAGGAAGTTGTAGTCAATATTAAACAACAAAAGAGAATTGCCAGAAGTTAATTGGAGGAGATGGATAGTGTACGTAATCTGATAGTGCAACAAATTGCATGGCTAAAACATGTGGAATGTACTAAACTAGTTAATGCAAATCTTATCGATCAGATTGTTTTCTTGATAGAAATAGTCTATGTCAATAGAAATAAAGATGTGTATCCAGTAATGCCACTAAGAAATCATAATGTTAAAATAAAATAGAATAAGATTGTTATTTTGATGGCAAGAGTTGCACACTAGTTCCATTATAATACTGTTCTGAATATTCAAAATCTTAATGCAAAGGCTCAGTGGGAAAGGATGGAATTTGCATATTAGAAAAGGATCAATGCGTTAAATTAGATTGTTAAAATGATAAAAATTAATAATAATATCGTGATTTGGAATTATATGAGGATTATTGTCAAAGTATAAATGTATGTGAACAAAAGAATGAAGGTTGTTATCAAATAGGCTAGGAAGGCTGTAAAAATATTATGAAAATATCTACCGATTGTCTTTGTTACAAATGTATTGTCAATAAATAGGAATGTCTATTTGCTAGTACTCAATTAGAATGTGTGTAGAATTAGTAATCAACTTCTACTATTCCCTGTTATTGGAATGAAGATAAGAATTATTGTCAATTTGCTACTAGATGTTCATAATTATCAAATCAATCTTCCTGTTTGTAATTGAAACCATCTTGTGTATATCGTAATAATAATTGTGTGGATCTAATAGATTTAGACTGTCCTTAAATTTATAATGATAAGAATGGAGATTAGATTTTGCAGAAATATTGTTTATAAAATCGTGGTTGTGCCATTTTTAATAGCAAATGCATAACTCTATTTCTCAGTTGTGACAATTATACAAGTGAGGCCACTTGTTACAAAGATATTTTAAATCAACCATGTGTTTGGAATTATAAAACAAGTAAATGTCTAAATTACAAGGAGAGATAGGGATTACTCTAAATAGAATGTGAATTAATGAGTGACTATTACATATATCAAGATGGCACTTGTCAAATGAAAAAAAGCTGTGTTTTCTTAAATGAAACATAAATTGGTTTAGAAGGGAGTTGCGCTCAATATAAATTAGATTAAATTAAGTCTTCTATTACTGCTTGTTCTGAACTTGATGACAACTTATGCTTATAGTTCGATAATATTTGTAAGAAGGTGAAGATAAATGATACTAAAAATAGTTGTTAAAATCTAGAGTGTAGGGATTTGACTTCAACCCAATGCAAACCTATTAAAGGGTTCAAATTGTAGGACTACAAATATTGTAGACTATTTGGAGATATCTGTTTAGAAGTCTTGCCTACAAATCAAAAAGATTGCTTGTTGTATAGTGCAGGATCTAAATTCTTTCATGACAAATATTGTGTATCTTGCAAGAGAAACGATGAATGCAAAATCCAATAAATTTATTCTCTATAAGTACCCACAAATGAAAACTTCTAATCCAAATTATCGATTATAATGATTATCTTTTATATTTTAATAATATAATGACTGAGGATGTTATTGTTAAAAAACTGAAATTATCTGATGGTATTTAACTATGATTACTTTATTGATAGCCAATTTCGTTTTGCAATATGGTGAACCAAAGTTTGATACCAAATAGTTGATGCAAAGTGAGGCTCAAAGAATTTTCAATCAATATTCTTAAATTATTAAAGATGAGAAGAAACCCCAAGTTTTTGGATTCATAAACCAACAAACTAATTCATTCTTAAAACGAATGGAAGAACATCGTCAAATACTAAAGTAGTAAATAGAGCAGCAACTGAAGATCAGTCAAGGTAACATTCTTCTGCAAAAAGCGTTGCTTAGTTATGAATTAAAGAAAATGAATTGATTATATTTGATAATTATTTACATAATACTCATTCAAACAATAATTTTGGCAATTCATTGAATCTAAGATATAAATTTAAAATTAATGGCAATCCTTAAATGATCCCCCACCAGAAAAATAGATTACCAAATTTAGTTCCCTTTATCCTCTTAGTACACAACATCACCGGAATTTGGATCATCATAAACATCACCATTATCGGAGTAATCTATTTCAAACTCACTGCCAACGTATACTCGTGTAACATGGCTGAAAATAGAAACGTGGCTAATTGTGCCTTCTTTACTCCAAAACCAAATTCGAATATGAGTTCCAAATACACATGTCGATACAGAAATTCATAAACTGGTCTATTCCAATTCCTATTGAACTCTTCGTAATCTGTTGAATTCCACCAATCAGTGTAAAATTAACGATCTCCAAAATGAGTAAGTTCAGCCCAAAAATTACAATAATTCTCAAAGATCATGTTAAATAATGTTAAACACAAAAATATCAAAGGCAAAGTCATTTAAAATATGGAATCAACCAAAGATAAGGCATTTACTTTCAAAATTATGGGATAAATGTGATTGGATACAATCATATATCCCATAATTAACATTGATATGGTGTTTATAAATTTAACAATTACATACCACCATCTAATCTTGCCAGATTGTGGATACTGAGGTTCATAAACCAAAGCAGGAGTCATTATAAATTTGGTGAAATTCCTAAAATTAATGTTATTTGGATAACTGAAAGGATCATTACTTTTTGGACAACCTTAATCAATCCACTCTCTTCTCATTTTGTAATTTGTCATGGTGTAGGAATGCATCTTGAAGAAGAACACACAAGATTGAAATGTTACAAAGGCACCTTAAGGTAAGTACCAATCTCGAGTTAAGACCAAATAATGAGCATAAACAAACATGCAAATCTGACTGACGTGTTGGATTATAAAGATTAACACCTTTGGAATGTTCATCATTGCTAAATATTGAATCAACAAGGCTATGTGACTCCAAGCATAGAACTACTCATAATGATTAATCAATTACCAAAGGCCAGGTTACAATGCACATGAACAGATCTCGACGCATCTAATTATACAACGAGGTTTCGATCCATTAACCGGTCTTCCAATATGTCATGATAGGATTTATGATGAAGTAATAGAAGGCCACGACATATAACATATTGTAGAACCCAACCAATCTATTCTTATTCAATTCAGAATCCTTGTCCATATCATCCAAAAATGATATCCGATTGACGAATGCGTGTTTTCGCAAGTGTTTGATTTTAGCCTGCTTTTGCACACTCTTCTCATCAGGTGTCGAATAGCCAGAACTGACAGAGTCTTGCTCAGGTGGATCAATTTTGCGATGTTTCATATCTAATTTAATAATATTATATATCTGTATATTCAAAAAATAATATGAAACAAAATTTATATTTAATGTTTACACATTCGAATGTTTTTATATTATGGAATTTAGAATAAATTATTATAAATATTTCATGATATCTTTTTAAAATCTGAATCAAAAAATGTTCCAGGCAATACAGCCTTGATGTGTCTGCCTGTTGTGACTAATTTCATCCCAGATTCCTCGTATATATCACAAATTGAGTAAGCAACATTCTTACCTACTTTTTGACAAACTGCATGTACAATAAGAGAATCATTCAATTTGGCAGGACTGATAAATGACAATCCCAATTCAATACTAAATTTAATATTCATACATACCTGACTGTTCTAGATAGATTTCTGTCTCCTCTCAAAATGGCTATAGTTGTGGCACAATCCAAAATAGTAGCCAAGGCACCACCATGAACAGATCCATTCATATTCATAATCTCCTAAGGAACCTTGTATCTCAAAATCAGATGGTTAGAGTTTCTTTCTAAAGCATGTCCTGGCAAAAATTGAAATGCTGAATAAAAGTGTTCTGCATAAGTGTTTTTTATAATTGGAATTTATATGAATCTTTTAAAGATATCCCCGAATTCCTTATGTACCATTTTATTTTATATAAATTTTAATATAATATATTTTTATTCATTTGGCAACTAATATTGTTAAAAAATTATTATATTTATCAAAATATAGAAACTAATTCAATCTATTAAAACTGATTAGGAGTCTAATATATAATTAAGGATATTATTCAAGGTTATTTCGTGAAATATCATCTAACTTAAGAGTTCTAATTAAAATATGAAATATGTGCTAATTCTATTTATTTTTCATATGAATTAACAAAAATAATGTTGGCTCATTTGCAATAGAAAACAACTATCATACAAAAGATTAATATTCAGAAATATTATTATATTTTAAGTAATATATTTAATTTGATTGTTTAATTACTCCAAATTAGAAAATGATTCTTACTTCAATATCAAATTGTTAGATAAATGCATTTGGACTCCACTTAAATTATTGCCAGAAAATATTCTGCAAATGATTACATTTCTGTGTGAAAACTCTATTACTCCTTGAATTTAAAGGTATTTATTCTTTATTTTTTTCAATAATTAGAGGCTATTTTGAATAGAAAATTTGAAAGCTAAAAGAGTGATATAAGATAATTGATATCAAATTTCCCATCAGGGTATTTGAATACGAAATAGAATTTTATTATATAAATAAATATATAAATGATATTTTACTTTATAACACTTTTGGCGAATGGAAATAGCATAATAGTTGATTCTAATCTGAGATGCTCTTGTTCTGAGATTAAGGTTTAGGAAGATTGCAATACAATAATGAATTGCAAATGGGTCAATTCAAAGTGCTAGGATTATGTTTATGAATGTTAAGTGGATATTACAACTGATATTAAATCTTATACGTGCAACTGGAATAGTGATACAAATAAATATGAAGCTTAAAGATTTGAATGCAGTTAATTCAAAAGTTCATATGATTGCGGTAGACTCAAACCACATTGCTTTTGGAATTCTACTGAAATGTGTAATACTTTTACAAGTTGTCCAGATTACAATGAACAGCATTGTCCAATTTATGATAAGGAATGTTCCATTTAGGATAATGCATGTATTGATGGTTTACAACAATGCAAAAATTACACAAGTGAAAAAACTTGTAGAGGTGTTGAATCTGGGGAATAGGAATGCTTATGGAGTAATGATAATTAATGCAAAGGGTAGAATTTAATTGATTGTACATCACTTACAGGATACAAAATATGTGATGTAAATCTTATTGAGTGTAAAAAGAATGCTTAAGGAAATTGTGTGTCAATAACTTGCAGTGATAAAAAGTAGGAGAAGGATTGCACAAATGCGAGAATAGTGAAACAAGGAAAATCAACCTTTTATTTATGCGTTTGGAATAATGGTCAATGTATTGAAGCTACGAATGCCTAACATTTGGATATAGAAACTTGTTCGAGAGAGACTGCTTCAAATTATAAGTGGGTCGATAATAAATGCTAAGTTTGCTCCGTACTCTAACCCAAGATTTTAGAACAATAGAAGGATGGCTATGTGGAATATGAAAATCAGATCGTCATTATATACCTTTCAGCGTCTATTTTAAGCAAACTTGCTATTTTGTTATTATGCATAGACTGAAAGTTAAAAATTGTATCAAATATATCATGATTCATTCTTCATTTTAATCAATTATGATATAATCTTTTTAAATTATAGAGTACTTTCTTTATCTTGTTATTTTATGATCAAGTTTCTCGCTTATTTAGAATCCATAGATTCCAGATCTAGTTCTATTTCTATTTGCGATTTAATATTGATTGCTAAATCACTTGACTTAGACACACACAATAGAATCATTGAGCATTATCTCATAGAATCTTCACTCATTAACCACTTTATCAATTTTCGATGTTCATTCAAGACCTTATGATCTTGAGTTTGTTCAAAAACATACAAAACACCTTCAAATTCAATATTTAATATTATAGATTCAATTGATTTTTGTATTATTTCACTCCTTTTTGGACACCATAATAGTTAATTAGGTTTCTCGCTAATATTTTTGTACAAGGTAAAATCCTAACAAGAATTAACTAGAATAGTCAATACAAATTGATACTTTAATCTTTTTACCACTCAGAACCCAAAAGCTTCTCATCTAGTAACATATTGACTCCAAAAACTAAGATATTTTAACTGAGTTTTGCATTTGAATTTTACTATCCCATTTAAATTATTATATTTTCGGAAATTAATAATATGTTAAAACATAATACAATATTATTAATAACTTATTATTTAAATATAGAAATTATAATAAAGAAGACTTACAATTATACCAGTACCTTAGTATTGTACAATGTTATCGAGGTCCATTCACTATTTTTGATGTGTATCATTTATATTAACCATATCTTTACCATTTTACTTTTTGGAATGGACCAAATCCATAACTTATTGTGTCCTATTTGATTGATTCTGGCATCCTTAAAAATCATATAATCATATGAATATCAAGCATTCGAATGACTAATATTATCTGATTATTAATAATATCGAATTAAGTAGTTAACTTGGTTAGATTCTTATATTTTTGATACATTCAAATTATATTTTGAATGATTCTTGGATTAATGGTGGATTTCGAAAAAATCTCAATTCTGATAAGTCTTCTTTATTGACTCTAAATGTCTTAAATTATCTATTATCAATCATCATATTTGATTGTTATCTTTTAAACTATTGAAACAGTCAGCATCTCTTTTTACTGCCCAAATGCAAATACATTATTTATTGAACTTGATTTTTACATTTTGCTCAAGAATCTATACTATTCCTATTTTCCTTTTATCTTAAGTTTTTCTTTTACAAATAGATTAATTAATAAGGGTTGAATATTATTCATAAATACAGTGTATCTTTCAGTTTTTCTAGAAGAATAGAACTTATTTGCTTACTAAAATGATTAGATGTAAATGATTATTACACTAGTTAAATTTTGTCTTTCAAAACAGCATTAGAGTCAACGTCCAATTATAAACCGAGTAATTTATCAGTAAACTAGACTGATAATTTAACCAACTGTGCTGACTTTTAAGCTTTATTTAAAATCAAGAAATAAATATAAATAAATAAAGTCAAAGCTTCTAATTAAGTAGAATATTTATGAATTCTTCCTCTGTTATTTCTTCTTCTGCATTACATTCAACTAGAATTTGTTGCCATAGATTGTCCTCTAGGTTGCCAATCATCATTTCAAGTTCTTCTTTTGATATTTTACCATCATTATTAGCATCAAACATTTTGAATGCCGCCTTCACCTTTTCAAGAGACATAAGTTTCTCCTAATTCATAGAAGCCATCAAAAATTCTATAATTAAATAAAGATTCTATTGAAATACCTGAAAAGTCCACTTAACCACTCTAATTTAGATCAACAATATGTAATATCTTATTAACCTCTTGTATAGCCAACTCTCTATCTTTTAATACTTGTGAATAACCTTCAATGAGTTCATCCTTGGATAAAATTCCATTTTAATCTTTGTCTAAGATTTGAAATGCTTTGATTAATTCTTCTTGTTCTTGATTACTTGTCATCTAACTAGCAATATAGGAAAGAACTGCTTGAGTGAACAAAGATTCGGCCTTAATTAAATGGTTACTATATAAAGATACTTAAAATCGCTGTAAATTTTATAATACAACTAGATTAACTTGCTCATTTGAATTATGCTTGTCTATCCAAGGATCTGCTAATGCTTACTTGGCTGAGATTCTTTAGTTGGGATCCACTTAAAGCATTTTGGAGATTAGAGTTTTAGCTTCCTTTGAAATCAAGGCCCAATCATTATCTACTCTATTTTTCGAATGTAGTTTACCATTAAATACGATTTTACCATCACTTATTCTTTGCATAATGAGTTTATTGTTTACACCAGTGAATGGAGGATAACCACACAACAGAATATACAAAACTACTCCACATGACCACACATCACATTTTTCGTTATAATCTTTCCTCATAACTTCTGGAGCCATGTAATAAGCCTATACTAATGAAATGACTATTTACAGTTCCAAGTTTTTTAGTCATTTTTTTATCAGCATAATACTTTCTAGAAGTTCCAAAATCAATTATTTTTAATGTCGAATTTATGGATTCATTAACAAATAATATATTTTCTGGTTTTAGATCTCTATGAACTATGTTTTGTTCATGACAATAAACAACTGCAGACAATATGTCTCTCATAAAAGATGCAGCCTTTCTTTCACTAAAGTAACTCATCTTCTTTATCCTGTCAAATAACTCTCCTCCAGACAAATATTCAGTAATCAAATAGTAATTCTACTCATCTTAGTATAGCTCATATAATTTGACTATGTGAGGATGATCCAAATTTCTTAGTATATTCACCTCTGCAAAAAGTCTCTATTATTCTTCAAGTATCAAAGAGCTTTTCTTAAGCTGTTTCATTGCTCTCACCATTCCTTTTAATCACACACATTTCTTACCACTGTTCTTATGAGTCACCTTCCAAACCTTCCCATAGGATCCTTCCCCTAAAACCTCTCCTGTAACATAATATTTGTGAATGTTCCCTTGTTTGAGATTCACAAAAACCTCCACTCCAAGTTTTAAAGTTCCGACCGATGACACCGACTCTTTCCTCTTTTCGCCCTTCTTTAAAGATTCTCGAGATAAATGAGTAATTTTTACTTTCATCTTACTGCACTAACGCTTTCCTTTTTTCTTGACCTTTGTCTTCTCCACCCAAAACAAGTTTAGGACTAATTCCCATCAGTTCGAAACTCTCCTCATGGTCTTTTAGCCCTTCATTACCATTTTACGCTATGATTTAATTGCTATTAAGGTTTTTTAGTGTTTAAGAGTGAAAACTTCCTTTGACATCTATGATCAATTCGATGGTTTATTGGTTTTAGGGAGCAGAACAACATTGAGATCCCATTAATTAAATATTAAATTTTCAATATTGAAACCTAAGTTAAATATAGTCCATTAGTACTTTGTTTATTCTTAATAATTTCGATTTGATTTTCGACTATCAAATATTAGATATCATAAATAAATGGTAATCTTGTGACATTGTAATTTGGAATGACAAATCTAATAACCTATTTTTAGAAAATAAATTTTAAATTATCACATTTTTCATAATGAAAATTGATCAAATCAGAATAATTTATCTAAAATACTCAAAGCCATCAATTCCCATAGCCTACAAACAAATTAGTTCCATATTGTCTATATTATGGAAATATGATATTTTATTATAATTTCCTTCTCAAATCGCAGGACTACTATTTGATTTTGCATTATCACACTAGTTTAGGTAGTTATTTCAAAGGGTGGTGTAGTGAGAGGGTATTTAGCTATGGGAAAATATTGGAGGGAGCATGACTTCAAAGGTTTTTGCTTTGATGGGACTGAGCTTTGAGAATTGCAAATTAACAAGTTATAATGACGAGATGATATTAATATTGAGGTAGAAATGAGTTTTTAAAATGAATAATAATATATATTAAATCAAAAAAAAACTAAGAATAAATGACAACTACTCTTCCTTTTATATCGAAGAACAAGAACTAGTAAATAATCATTATATATGTAGTGTGGAAATGAAAGCTGTTACTTGGCAAAAGGATTCTCACGGATTGTTTGATTATGAGACGAAATCTTTAAGCGTTAAAAAACATAGGGTTGAAGGATCATGCAAAGTCAGCAGAGAAGGTTTGAAAGTGTTATTATTATAATAGAGAATGAAATAGTTATACAAGATGGAAAGGCTAAGGATGAAGCAAACTTACCTCTAACATCCATTTAAGCTTAGGGAGGTATATAAATTATTAATATTCAGACTAATATTTTATTCAACCGAATCAAAACTCAGCAGAAAATGAAAATTTTTTAATCGTTCGTAGTTTAAAAAATGCCGACGGTGTTTAGAAGGTATTAATATTTATTACAGTAAAGGGTTATACATTGTAAGAGGGGGATCTTCTAAAATTAGGCAGAGTTGAATACCACGTGATTGAAATCAGAGACAGCAAGGGACAAATAAGGACAGTGAAGGATGTGTTCTAGTCAGAAGCCAAAATTACACCCTCCTTGGATGGGAATGTAACATAGTAGTGCAAAATATGTTTAAATGAAGAAGAGACCCCAGAAGATCCATTTATCACCCCTTGTAAATGCAATGGAAGTTGTGCTTACGTGCATTTCAATTGTCTTAAACAATGGTTAGAAAGCAGAGGCTACAAAAAAGAATCCGGCAACACAATTTCCTACAGATGGAAGAAGTACCAATACTGATATCCCTTAGATTAGAGTGTGAAGTGTGTAAAGAATTGTTGCCACAATAAATCAGATTCAAAGGGAAAGTGCTAGATTTGGCTGCCTTGGAAAGACCCAATCAACCATATATAATCCTTGAAAACACATAAATCTCAGAAAAGGATAAAAAGGCCTAAAGAGGAATTTACCTTATCAAAGGGACTCCAGATGACTAAATCAAATTAGGTCGAGGTCATTAATGCGAAATTAGAATATCAGATATCTCAGTATCAAGATTACATGCATTTATCAAATATGAAATGGGCAATTTTGTTATAGTTGATAATAATAGTAAATTCGGTACTTTAGTTCGACTTTAAACTCCATACCTGTTGTGCATGGATAAAATAGCCATTTAGGTAAGCTATAACAATATCATTTTCAGGTTGGTAGAACTGTGTTGACATTTGTAATGAAATCCTTTTAGAATCTTAATCCCAATATCCATGGTGCAGGTGTTCAGACTGTTCATATGAGCGATTAATAAAGAGCTGCCTTACAGGGAGGCTAAACTGGATTTTATTAAGGTGCAAACAAAACACAAACAAACAATACCAATAACAACAATTAGAAAAAGAACGATAAGAATTTAGGTTGAATGAAAATTAATCAATTTTATTCAAATTTATTAATAAATACTCTATAAGATCACACTTATATTTGTTCTCATGAATTAATTAGCTCTCTTTATCAATTTCATTAATTTCATTTCATAATAATTGATAAATTAATTGTGTGAGAACAAAATTTACTTATTAAAATATACAAATTCATTATTCCATTTTGAGATAACAATTCATGTCATTAAAGGATTTTAAAATAATATCCAAATTAGGTAATAGATTAAGATATCAAAGGCGACGGATCTTATTCCAATGTTTACAAAGTCAGAAGAATAGAAGACAATCTTGAATACGCTCTAAAGAAAGTAAATTTAACTAACTTATCCGATAAAGAAAAGCAAAATGCCTTAAATGAAGTAAGGATTCTTGCTTCAATTCATCATTAAAATATTATTAGTTACAAAGAAGCCTTCATTGATCCAGTCAGTAACTCCTTATGGTAAAATTTAAATATATAATATATAGTATTGTAATGGAACTTGCCACTGATGGAGATTTATTATAGAAGATATAGAAATACATCAAAACAAATAGTTAATTCTAAGAAAAAGAGATTTTAAAATATGCTTTTCAAATTCTAAATGCCTTAAAAGCACTCCACCAAATGAAAGTGATGCATCGTGATATAAAGAGTGCAAACATATTTTTGATAAACAATGAAGTAAAATTGGGAGACCTGAATGTGTCTAAAGTAGCAAAGTAGGGTTTACTATACACTTAAACTGGCACTCCATACTATGCAAGTCCAGAAGTATGGAAAGATCAACCCTATGATTGTAAATCAGACATCTGGTCTTTGGGTTGCGTATTATATGAAATGGCAGCATTGAAGTTACCTTTTCAAGCAGAGAACATGGATGGCCTCTATAACAAGGTGATTAAGGGTATGTCTACTTGTATAATTTAGGATATTACCAAAAACTACCTAAATCTTACACATTTGATTTACAGAACTTAATAAGAATGATGTTATAAGTTTCGACTGTTTTAAGACCAACAGCAACTTAGTTACTAGAATTAAATTGCTTCAAAAATTTCCAACTTACTCTTCAAAATGCTGGGTAGCTGATAAAAACAATATAATTCCCAAAAAACAAGAGCTATTAAAATATTTTTCCTAAGTCTACCTATAAGTAGGATTAATAGAATTAAAATGAATAAGTTTCTTCCTCTCGTAAAAGGTTAGCAACATTGGGAGGGGGGAATGACTCTTTGCATTCAAACCCAACTAGACTATCTTAATATGAATAAAATAGTATGTGATATGTATTTATAAAGATTAAGTCCAAAAGATTAATAAAAATCATCAATTAAATAGTCTAGACCTTCAAAATCTTAAGCAGGATCATAACTCGCTAAATAAAATACTGTCAGAAGGATATTTGCAGAGCAAATTCAGCAAACTTGCCGTCAATAGCATATTATAAGAGAAAATTAGAAAATAAATTATCATGCCAAGTCTATAACAAAAAGCATCCCCTTTTTCTCGTAAGATAAGCTCTAGACAAATTAACGAAACTACAATACTACCTTGTATATTATGATTATGTCATAGTAAATAATAAAGATAAATTCTTTGGATTAAATAAAATTGTATTAAATCAAACAGAATTATCCAGGACAATTTTGTTAATCCCTAATCTGTTCCTAATCCATAGTTTACGTCTTCTTTGACTCAAACCTTTTTAATACAATTTGATAATTATTAATTCATTATTTAGTTGGAACATCCATTTAATATTGGTTTTATGAAGGTATCTCTTGGTTTGCAATTGAAAATTAGTTATATGAATATTAAATTTCATTTTAATCAATCTTATCTTTATAATTTTCGAAGAGATCAATTCCAACTTCTTCATTATTATTGTTTAACTTATCCATGTTATAGTTTTATTACATTCCTAATTGTGTTTTTACAATTTACTCCGAGAATTCTTTAAAGTAATTTAATGAAATTTCAGCATCCTTGATTAATGAAATTAAATTATTAAGGTTGGGTGCTTTAGAATCTCTTGTTTTTCTTAATTTATTTCGAAAACTGTTTTGATCACTTTTGATTGAAATGGATTTTGAGTTTTGCTGGCTGCTGCTCATAATTTTACAATATTTAAATATAATATCTATATTTAATATATCATCAATAAAGACCTCTTATGTCAACATAATTTATTAAATACTTTACTTTGTTGACTCTTCCTTAAGGCTTTTAAACCGCAATAGGCATTTCCGTTTGGAGACCTCTGTGTGTATTATTTCTTGATAGACTCTAATAAATGCTGTTATTCTACTAAGTTTTAGACAATAATTACAATTTTTTTCTTTTTCATTTTATCGATTGACCTTCTCGTTAGTTATCACAGGCGTCAGATCATCTCCATATAATTATAAAGAAATATTTCTTTATCGTGTATTGAGGACACATTTCATTAGTTTTTAGCGCGATTCCTAAATCTATCTTAATTCTGTTTAAATATTATCATCTATTTTCTTTTTAAACAACTAATACTCATTTATTCTATAATTCGATTCATTATATTAAGCCTTTTATTTCTTCTTTTTCTTTTGACTATTTATTACATTTGTTTTATTAACATCCCCTTAGGTAGAATGAGATAAGGAAACCTTTAATTATTCAAATTTATGAGTCATAATTTCCATTTAGAATATATTATCCAGTCTCGATGAATTTAGTTCATTACCAGTGTTTTAGAAATGATCATTATTTAAAGTTAGCTATTTATTATAATTATTTTTTTATTTGCTCTATTGCATTGTATTAGACCTCCCTCTGACATTAGGTAATACTATTTGTTATTACTATTCATATTTAGGAGTTGTATTTTGACTAATGAATCTCATTATAAATAAAATTATATAATTGTTAAACACAAACATTTATATTTTTAATAAAATTGTCCTTCATTTCTAAATTAATTACTAATCCATTTGTTGGATATCCTATTTATTTTAGTCATTCTATTCTTCTTTCTAATAATAAACTGATTTCTCGCCAAAATTTCTTTTAAATCTATGATCTATAGCCCATTCTTTAGGTAAGAATTAAGGATCCATTGAAGATAAGAAATGTTTTCTGAAAATCATAATAAATTCTTCGATTTTCTCATCAGTGTCTAATTTTTTAACTACAGCTTCTCCATGTGAATTCTTTAACTCCTTTTTCAATTTATCATTAATTTTTGTCAACTCCTACTTATCAAATTCAGCAGGTAATTAGATGAGGTCTTTAAATTGATTTCTGATATCTTCATATTGCATCATATCAAAATGCTTACCTGCTTTTGTCAGACTCTCATATTTTTTAAGAACATGACTCAATTTATCAACGACTAACTTTTCCTCTCCATAATGCTATAAAGGAACTTCATACAATTTGGCTATCTCAGCCCTTTTCTTATCTTGTTGAGCTGAGGCTTTTTCGTGGCAACGAGCACATAGAATCACAACATCATGAGCTCTGTGAGATTTATAGTGATTAGGTAAGTAATGTTTGTACATATAAGGGATAATTTAGTATTTCAATATATTAGTAGAAGCACCACAAATAACACATCTATTGGACCTTTCCTCATTGTAAAATTTCATTTCTTTTTCATCAAATTCACAAACAGGATCAAAATTGAGTTTGATGCTCTTTTCATCTAAATATTCTCCGAGTCCATTCTTTACATACCAGGATATTTTCTTTTAATCACAACAACATAACTATTATCCACTCAAACTATAAATACGACAATTACTATAAACAGGTTTATGAGTAGTAAACTTTTCCTAAAATTATAAAAATCTTTATCTCTTTTATTCTTGATAATCTTGATGATGCTTTTTAGTCAATTATTCAATCAGTCCAATCACCTTTAAATCATCTGTTTAAAATGGTTCTTGGAATTTTATATGTCTATATATCTTTTATGGTAATAAGACATCTTAATTATCAGCCAACTATTTTTTTAAATATCTTAAGAGTTTAGGTTCTTTAAGATCGGTTGAGAAGTGAATGCTTTTCTATTCCTCTTCAGTGTATTATTACAATAAAATTTCCCGTAGAACAACTAGATACTTACAATCAAGGGCAGCATAAAATAATTATTCTTCAGTTAATGGTCTAGCAAACCAATCACTCTTTTATAATCTTTTTTTATCCTCTCTCTCGAATTAGACTCCACAATATTTCTTCCATAATGCAATCAAACTTAAATCTGGCTCTTTTTAAGCTAACACTTTTAAATCACAATAGTTATTCACCACAATTTAATATTCATTCTTCAACCATTTCAAATCTTGAGCACCACTATAAAATATTTTTATGGCATCATTTTTAAAAAATTCTCTCATATATTATTCTAAATTCAAAGCTATTGGATCAAATAAATATATTTCCTTCCCATCAGATATTTAAATAAGACAGATTCGATTATTGCTAAATTCAATATCAATACCAAAGGCCTATCCTTCTAATTTTGGTAATAAATTCTCAGAGTTTATATACATTAATTAAAATGCTAAGAGATTTAATTAATAATCACAAACCCTTAAAAAATAATTTTGAACGCTTATCAACTCTCTTTCAATGTGCTATAAATGCCTATAAATACCCTTTAAAGTAAATTACTTAACAACCTTTTATTAAGTGGAAATCATCTCTCCTAATTGGGAGAATTATCAGGGTATTATTGTGTAAAGGACATCCACTAAAGAATGCTTCAGCATCCCGTTGGTTAGAGAATATTAATTGATAAACCCAGAGTTACACCTGAAACATTCAAAGTAGAAGAGTTGTTAAAATTGAATCAAAATACTTTTGGGTAGCATTCATCTTTAATATAAAGTTATCAATATGGAAAATTTATGAGGGATAGAGACTTCTCTAGCAGTGAAAGACCAATAGTTAAATATATTCCAGATTTGGAATTGGCATATGTCTATCAAAGATATAAAGAAGTATAATCCTTTAATATAAACTAAAGATCCATGATTTTATACATGTGCTACTCATGTATGACGTAAGTGTCTATGATGAAATTGTTGTGAAATGGTATGAAATGGCTTAACTTGGATTACCATCAGCAACCTTAAGTGCATTTGTTGGGTCATTCAAATTAAATTGTTAGGAAAAACAAAAATTATTAGAAACTTTACCTGAAATTTTGAAAAGGGCCAATAGAAGTGAATTTATTATGAATGTTTATTTTGAAGAACACATAAACACAGATCTTACACAGCTTAGAAAATCCTTGAGATTATTATGATAATAACTAAAAAATTCCAATTTTTATTTAATACTAATGTTCATATTTATTAAAATCCTTTCACGTATTCTTATTCAAATTTCTTATTTCCCATAAAATCTAATTCATCTATATCATTCAATTTATTCATTGCAATCTCTAAATGAATATATGATTATTATCCTGGAGCTCCTAAAATATTTCTCTCTAAATTTAATTGCATAGCCAATCCAGAACCATAAACTGCAGCTGCTCTATGTAATGTCTATTATTCTTCAACGAAATATCTCTTATATATTATTCATAATAGTATACCATCAAATGCTTTTGCTCCATCACTTAATATATATATTTAAATTAATATAAAATTCATACTAATCTTCACTTTATATTTATAATCCTTTTAATTAATAAATTATATTATTTTTTGGATGAAGTTGCTTTAACTATTAGAGCATAAATTCTTTTCCTCACATCATGGAAGCAATCAGTTAGGTTTATGTCTAAGAAAACTTCTTTAAAGCAAACTGACAAATTAATTGAAAGTTATTAGTCTTAGTTGTCTTTTTGCTCCAAAACCTACTAATTATTGATAATTTTGATAAATATTTAAATATCAAATGACAATTATGGCTAAAATTATCCAAAATCTTCTTCATTATAAATTTAAAGAAAATTTCATAAAAAAATCTCTTAATAAATCATTCGTAAAATTCAACTACTCCTGTTTCACTTCTATGACTTTATTTAACTCTAATTCCTCCACAGGCACTCTTTTTTCTAGATTAATCTATCATCTTAATGTTTGATGCTCCCAAGATAGAATTTATGATTTTAGATTTTTTATTTGCAGTAGTTTAATTTTGTTATTGCATTTTTTCTTCTACTTATAAAATGATCATAAGTAATTCTTTAATTTCGGGCAAGGGACAAATCATTTTAATCATTTCTACTGATTTGACTGACCTCCTTAAGATTTCTTTGAAGATCATAACAGTATCCTCGATTGACATAATTTCTGGTTAAACTAATTCAACTATAGAAAAATGTTATTCAGGTGTTTTGCATGGGAGGGTCTTTTTATGATCATGATCTAAGAAGGAGCGTATATTAAGAGAATCCCCAGTCTAGGCTGATCCTCTATCTTCATAATTTTTTCCATGACTAGCTGATGATATTTCATCCTTTAATGCATTATTTTCTTGAATCAATTTAATATTTTATTAAGTGATTTACTGATTAGCTTACTGTAGGGATGTTAAATTCTATGTATAAAGTAAATAAATACTTATTCTTAGGCCTTTAATTTCTCAGTAAACATTTTTTTTAAATGATAAAATTCCTATTAGTATTGATTGAATCCTTCAACTAATTCTATGACTGCATGAGGAGTTTTATCAAAGCTTCTAACAGAAGCTTGAGATCTTAATTTTTCTGGTATTTAAGGACTCTATTCATAATGCTTAATTTCACTTTCAAATTGGTTCATTTATTATTAGAGCAAACTTAATCTGTTGTTAATTTCTTAATTCTTGTCCTATAACTATTTATTTTAATCTAATAACTATTTAATTTCTGAGTTTTTTAGTTGTATTTGTTTTTTTTACTTTTCAATTTCATCCTTCATTGATGAAATTTAGTCATCTAGCTCTTTTTATAAAGATTAAAGAGTTCTGTTTTAATTATAAAGATCTATGTTCTTTTTATCCTTTTCTTTGATTTATTAATTTAATTTCTCCAATCTATCATGTTTTTCTTCATCTAATCTTTTAGTTTAATAGGTTTATTATTGTTCTAAATGTTAGATTTTTAATAAAAGTTTACTCTTCTCATCATTAAGATCACTTAATTGTTAAGCGTAAGTCTTAAGCTGAGTTTATTCTTTGCTTTCTTTCTATTCCTTTTCTTTCTTTTACTTCTTGATGGATGAAGATTATTATTGTTGCATTTCATCGATTTATTTTTTTTTCGAATATAGTTCCTTTGTTAATTCTTAAATTTATTCATCTTAGTTGTGAAGTTTATTATAAAGTTCTTGAATTTGGTTTTAGAAAAGTGTTTTCATATTTTCCATTTCTTAATTAATCAGCATCTTTTCTTCGCTCTTCATTTGGCTTTGTTGGACAACCAATTTAGTTTCATTTTACTTAGCTTATAAGAGAGATTGTTTATTATTTTAAATTTCATTTTTTAATTATTAGATTTCATTAGAATGAGCTTAAGTTTCATTTCTCAGTTACAATTTAACTTGTTCCAATTCTAATTTAAGAGTTTTATTTTCTGATAAAAGATTTTAATTCATTTATCTTAGTTTCTCATATTCTTCAAATATCTATTATTCTTATTCTTCCTTCTTCTCCAATACCATTTAAATTTAATCAGAAATCTTTTGATTCTCTTACATAACCTCATCGTTTTGTTCCTTAAAATAATCAATTTATTAAGTTAATTCTTTAATTTACTCTTCATATTATAAAAATGCATGATCTATTTATTCCCTCTGCTTAGTTAACAATAGAGTAACAACTTCTCTGGCAATCTGAGCAATACTTTGAGTAGCATCTATAGTTTTAGCCTCCTCTTCTAAAGAACATTCTTATATAATATTTGCTAATTCATCTTTGCATAACTTGCATTGCTCACATTCCTTATAAGAATTGGAATTCACGTGTTATAATTGATACATTTACATCTATTAGGTTAATTAACTTTATAGCTAAGAAATCAAGATCTTTTAATTGATGCACTCTGCTTATAGTTCCTCCATAGCCCTATTATGTACCTCTGGTATAGTATTACCAGTCACTTATTAATAGAGCAATGCTTCTTTAGACTTGAATTCGTTAATTACTTTCTCATCTTACTTTCTATACTCAGTTTCTTTTAATAGCCTGACTTATAAATTTTAAATCTAAGCTTCCTATGATGTAATTATTGATTCCTTCTCTTCCAAGGCTTTCATTTAAGTTTCAATCTAGCTCTTCAATTTAGCAATAAATTTATTGCCATCACTCATGGTCTTCTCATATTCTTGTAAAGCCTTTTATCTCTCATTATCTTCATTATTTTATTGATTTTTTAGAGCTCTAACCATTTGATCTTTGATTTCCAATTAAGCATGCAATTCTCTTAGTTCTAATTCTATGGCCTCCTGCATTCTTTTTTCATTTTCAATCATTCCTTTTGTTTATTCATTTAAGTCTCTTAATTTCTAATCTTTTGAATCCAATTATTACTTCAATTATTTAATTTACTACTTCGCCACTTCTAGATATTTACCTCTTAATATTTCTAAACATGAATAATCCTTATGCTTTTCTTAAACTAATTTAGTCAACTCTTCCTATTCTTCAAGCTTTTAAGCTAATACTAAATTTTCATTCTCTAATTTTCTTTATTACTTCTTCATTCCTTATATTTCGTTTTCCATGTATCTTTTCTATTTTTCCCATACTCTATTTTCTAGGCGAGAGTTTTAAGTGTTTTGATTTTAATGAGACAGAATTTATGGTTTCTTAGGTTCTGGATCAACATTTTTAAATTAAAGAGATAGAGAGTTTTCATTTGAAAATTCAATGCTTGGAGCAATTACTTAAGGGAAGATATTTTTAGCATCACCTGGTGTTACATGTTACTTTGACCAATCTACAATTTTATTCATTCGTTATGGAGTCATTGATTCCAAGTAAGATCCTCCTGATGCATAGAAATCTTATAATTGTTGTTATTATTGAGGCACCAAAGGAGGCTTGATTTCCTATTGATTTATTGGTTGTTATTGAAGAGGTTTTCTTTTTTAATCTACTTTTAAGGATTTCAACTCCCTTTGTTCAACTTCGCTATCTGTTGCATAAGCATCCACTTAAGTTCGATTTCTTCGAACCTTCTGAGGCTAAACCTCTGTATTTTCTGTGTGCACTAATTTATGGAGATATTTTTATGGTGTGTTATCTGAGAATTCACTATAAGAAGTTATCGTTATATCTGCATGAGGATAAGGAATATTCTCTATAATCTATTTCAAATCTTCTCCCTACTTTGAGTTTTAATCCCTTCTTTTGAAAAGCAGATCGTCTAATTCATTGCCGCGGCTCATTATTCAAATTTTAAATAAATTTTATTGACCTTTCAACTGAAAAACTCTTAATTGTTTAAGAATACTGGAAGTTATTATATCCCACCAACTTCTAGTTCCTCTCCACAACATAAGTGATCAATATGATGAAGGAGGAATAAATCAAAAAAGAAAATGAATATTATCTTTAGAATCGAACATTTTATTGAATATCTAAAATAATACTAAAATTAGGATAAACTAAATTTATATTTCACCTACGCTTCATTATTCAATAACTGCATCAATTGGGTCACCCAAAAGAAAGAGAATTTCATTATATTCTCAATCAATCCACCCCAACTAAATCTTTTTTATGATAAAATAAAGCTGAAAGATTTCAATTTAGAAACAGTTACTATAATCTCAAAGGTTCCTATACGTTTGTTAAAATAAGATCATTTTATTATTTACTAACCATAAGGGGTCTTATACTGATGTATTAATTTAGATTTTAAAGTATTTTAATAAGTTCTCCCTCAAATAAAGGTCTAAATTAAATAGAAATCATTCGAACATCTTTGGAATAACAATCTAATCCTATAAAGAAAGAATTTTTGGTTAAATTTTATTTTTATAATTTTTAACTCTCACATTAGTGTATTTTAGAGCTGATTTTAAATTATTTTTTTGAGTCTGTAAATGATAGACAAATGTAAATTACTGAATTTATCCACATAACATAATACGAAGAAGCATTTGTATGTTTGAATTTGAATAAAATTCAATCAAAATAATTCAAGTTCCAGATTTAAGATGCCAAGGATTTAATGATCCAATCTATTCCCAATAAGATATATATTTGAATGAAATGTGAATTGAGAATATATGTTTATAAATTTAATTAAAAATGTCAAGAGTTTAAACAGCAAAGAGTTAATAAAATATTCGTTCAATTGAGGAAGAGTTGGAACATTAAATAAAAAAATCTGGGCTTCTTGATGCTGATAGAAAGAATTTTTATAATAACGCTGAAGAGACAAAGCGTAAGAACAATGAAATCATTGAACAATTAAAAAAAGAGAATAGGGATTTAAAGAAACTGTAAGATGAATTAATTGCAAATAAAAGAGTATAAGAGTTTGCAAATAGTAGGGTGCAAGTGCTTCTTTAGCAAAGACATAAGGGGCATTCATATCTTGGTCTGGAGACATAAAAGATGAGAATTATTGGAGACGTAAATTGGATGATGCCAAACACTTAACAAAAGCCAAAAAAGAAAGATTGATTCAGTTGCAGGACAAATTGAATGAAGTAAGTGACACTAAATTTGGAGTTCCAGAAGAATCACCTTTGATGAGATAAATTCGAATATTGGAAAATAACTTGGATAAAGTGATGATCAAATATAATGAGGCATAATCAATTAGAAAAACATATGAACAAATAGTGAAGAGATTGAAGGAAGAAAGAGTTGGATATGATAATTAATTAGCAGCTATTGAAAGATCATTGAAAGGAAAGGAGCATGATTATGAGGAGCTATTGTTATTGGCTCACGATGCCACTCATGCAAAGGAGTTGGCTTAGGCTGAGTTGAAGAAGTATGAACACAAGAAGGCAGCAGTGAGAGAATTAAGAAAGACATATTTGGATGCAAAGAGAAAGGCAATTGAGGAGAGAGAGAAGGTTATATAGAAGTTGGAGAAAAGAGAAAAGGATAATGTATAGACTTAGGTGGAATATAATACATCCAATATTCCTATCCAGGAGTCATCTAATCCGAATGTGGATACAAATATCTAGAAATAGAAGTTGGCTGATTATGAAGAGGCATTTCATAAATTGAAGGAAGCTACTGGATTCAGAGATGTTAATGATATCATTTAGAAGTTTACTAGTTAGGATGAGACTAGCAAATCTTTGAGTGATCTTAAGGGAGAATATTAGGATAAGATAGAGTAATTAGTAACTGAAAGATAGAAATTGAGGGATCATTTAAATGATTTAAAGTATGAGGGAGGAGAAGCATTAACCAGAAAGTAAATTGATGAAGTAAATTAAATATTGTATTATAGATTGAAAACAATGTCAATAATGCTATTAACAAATGTGAAAGGACTAAATTGAAATATGAGAGAGTTCAGAAGATATTAGTTAATGTCAAGGCTGGTATTGAACATTTGTATGAGAAATTGGAGTTCTTTAAATTAGAAGGAAAACCTAATATTGTGATTTCTGATGACACTTTAGTTGAGGGTTTAGCTTAGGTTGTTGAGAAGATGAAACTCATCTTGCAATTGATTAAGAATGATGCCTCTTATCGTGCTTAGGATTTCAAATAGACTTGGAAGGATTTCAATAAGGAACATATTGATTAATTTATCAATTTGAATTTAAGAGATAACAGTTTAATATTATTGTTTATATTGTAGACATCAAACCAGAGAATGTTAGTAGAAATATTAGAGTTAGAATTCAAGACAAGGAAGATGATGATGTTAGTGATGGTGAAATTGAAGATGATATCGATTAGGAGGTGACAGCCAAATTGAAATAAAAATATGGAGCTTAAGCTAAGGACAAGAATGCCAAGAAGTTGAATAAACCAAATAAAAAATGATTATTATTAAATATGTCTAAATAGTAAAATCTTCTGTATAATTTCAATGAGATGACTCCAGCCCAACAAACTATGTTTCTGAAAGCCAAAACAGAGTAAGAAAAGGAGAAGGCTTGGGCAGAATTAGAAAATAAAAAGAGGAGGAAGAATACAAAAGATTAATTCTCTTGACAAATTCCTAGACATAAAATCCTTAAACTTAAAAGTGAATCTAGAGAAGATTTCTAGTGATTCCGAGTCATCTGACTCTTTATAATCTGAGAATGAATTTCAAAAAGAAGAGGCGCAATTTCAGTAGAAAGTTGAAGAGAAACCCATCATTGTAGAACCCAATAATGAGCAATTAGACACTTACTTTAAATTGATCCAAAATGCACAACTTAAAAGAGATCAAATTTACTACCTTTTGATGAAGCATTATTGTGATAATGTTATTGAAGGAACTTTTGTTAAAATCAATGAACCCAATCTCTTCAGAAGAAAAGAATAGAGTTATGCAATTGCTTAGGTATTGGCTGTTGTTGAAGGAGAGAAATCCTATCAATTAGAATAGACTCAAACCTATAAATTGCTTAAATTATAATTTGGATAAGTAAAAGAAACTAAATTTAGGCATATTACTCTTATTTCAAATCAATAAATTCCAAAACAAGAGTTTGTTGTATGACAAAAAGATGTGAAGAAAATGGAATTCAAATTCCCAATAAAGAATATCTATTAAGAAAGTAAAGGTAAATGCCATCATTTACTATTAACTAGAGATATAATTAAATCCACTTCCTAATGAACAGATGATCAAATTAAAGATAGAATTAACCACAATTTAAATAAATGGATCCAGAATCCTAAGTCCAATATTCATTTTAGAAATTTGCCGGTTTACTAAAATTTTATCAAGAAACTTATCTCCATCAACAAATCCATCATAGATTTAGGAGAGGAATTCATTGCTGATCGATAAGATCCTGGAGAAGGTGAAACTCAAAAAAAACATTTAAAATCAGAAGAAACTAGCAAATCTTAAGATATTAAAAATAAAATAGAGAAAAAGCAATTTTAAACGAGGAGCATAAAAAGATAGAATAACCTCTTAAATAATTTAAAGAAGCTCAAAAATAGAAGGTTGAGTCTTTTAAAAAATAACCCTAACCAGTTAAATAGTAATAAGTGATAAAATAGGTAAAATAAAATGCTAAACTTTCTATTAATCACGAATATTAAAAATAACTAGATTCTAAATATCTAAGACAATATCAAAATATAAAAACAATAGATGGTAGTGAATAATTTAAAGCTAAAATCTTTAATATACATAGTAGGGATCTCCCAATTGATTATATAATAGATTCGATGATGATTTTGGAATGATTTCCAATTTATATCATCTATAATAATTCATTGCTATCTCTATTGATAAATATAAATTGAAATACTCAATTTAAAGGCAAATTTAGGTTTATTATGATAAACTTAAGGCTTGTACAATAATTTCAATATTTGATTGTAGTATATTTCAACTTCTTTGTCACTAATGAAAAATATGCTTTCATTTTGATTTATATATTACAAAATAACCATCTATTTTAAGGGTTTAAATTTCTTTTTTATATTCTTTCAGCACTTTGTTTATTTTTATAAATCCTATAGGAATATATTTCAGTTAAATTCCATAGATATTTAATAAAATAATATATCCAATTCGTTGGATATCTTACTATTACCCTAATGGACTTCATTATTATAAGTTATAGAGTGGATTATATAATTTGTAAAAAATGAGTGAGTTTGCCTTATTAAAATTATTTAAAATTTGAAATTAAGATTTAGATATATGTTTTAAAACTTCAGAAAAGTTATCATAAAAAAGTCTTGAAATTAATGAAAAATTGATATGAAAATATCATATATAAAATAATTATCATTATAAAATATTTATTAGGATGTCTCTTTATGCTTAAATGGAAAAGAATGCCTAATTTTAAGCAGAGCTCTAGAGATACGAAGAGCAGGCTGACTTTCTGTTTCGAAAGTAGCGGATGGAAAGAATAGAATCCTTTACGGATCAATTTGAATTTTTAGCAAATGAATATCCATGTGCTGTTTATTATTAGGTAGAGCAGTGAATTAATAAAAATAGGGGTTAATTTATAATTCTGTATATGCTGCGTATTAATCTGCGAGAACTTAAGATGAGGAAATGAGATAGAAGTTTGTGAATGTAATTATAATTTTTGAGTGAAATAGGCATAATCAGTTTAGGAAGTTTATCAGATAGCCTAACATATAGATGATCCACCGCATTGGACGAAGTAAAGACTGCGAATAATGGAGGTATTGTTAAGAGACAAGTTCAGGAGGAATGCTGATATTCGAGATTCGTTGAGAGCCACAAATAACTATAAATTGTTTCATACATTTACTCACTCTACTCCGAGCAACCAGTTTTGGGGAGTAGTAGATGGGAAGGGTGACAACCAAATAGGAAGATTGCTTGAGCAAATCAGAACTGACATTAATAATTATGAGGATCAAGACAAGTGGTTATTGATGACATTACCAATTGAATAAGAGTCAAAAATGATTCCGAAGGTGGAGTTGAAGGTTTTGAAAGGTAAATATATTAAATTAATAAATAGAGGGAGAGAACTTGCCCAAAATAGAGATGAAACATTCAGCATTCTTATATTTTGGATCTCATCAAAGAAATCATGTTCATTTGGCTCATCCTTCTATTTCCAGAAGACATGCAGCCATTTTTGTCAATAACTAATCACAAGTGTGTTTGGTTGATTTGGGTTCCAAGGGAGGCACTTTTCATAATGAGCAATTTGTTGAACCCCATTTACCAGTGGTATTGGCTAATGAGGACAAGATTAAGTTTGCTAAGAGTACTAGAATATATTAAGTGTTAATATCTTATGACGATTGTAAGAAGTGGTTGAAGGATAAAATTGATAAGTTGCGTAATGATTTGAGACAGTTGGAGCGTATAAACAAAGGGAAGATGAGTCAAGAAGAGTTGAAAGCAACATTGTCTGGAGCTATTGAAGATACGATTCTGATAAAGAATTTACCAGAAAAAGCTAGTCATTTGGAATTGATGGAATTATTTAGAAAGGAAGGCAAGATAAAGGAATTGAAAATTCCAATTGATCGTCAAACAGGTAATACCAGAAATGTAGCATTTGTTAGATATGAAAATGAGAGAGATGCTAAAAGATTAATCAGTGACCGTAATAAGGTATTTGAGTATAAAAATGAAAAACTCAAATTAAAATTAGTTGATTATGCTTATGTTGAAAAGTTCTAAGAGGAATTAAGGTGGGGAATCACTGAACAATAATCATAACCACCTCAACAACAATAATAAATCTAATAACCAACACAATTGGTTTAAGTCCCGATTACAAAACCGGTTGAGGTCAAATAAAAGGTACCTGAAAGCAGCAGTTCTTCTGATTCAGACAGTGATTCTTCATCGGATTCATCTTCTGATTCCAGCAGGAGTAGATCTAAAAGAAAGAAACACAAAAAGCACAGACACAAAAAGGATAGACATCATAAGAAACACCATAAAAGATGATATATATTTATTTAATAAAAACATCTTCATTAAAAATATAAAGTAAATCTAGATATTTAACAACATAAATCATTTTAGCACTAATTCTGTTTTATCTTGTCCCAAACTAAATGGACCTTTGAATACTGAGTTGTATTTATAATACCCAGACGTGCATTACTTGTATGAACATTCTAAACCGTAAATCAATATCTCATCTATCAATAATTCTGAGTGACTTTAAGAAATCGTAATCTTTATACTCTTCTCTTCAACTGCTAATTTTATATTAATAATTTCAGCTTCAAGTGCCTTTTCTTCATCTTCAAAATTATCTAAATCTGCGAATACTCCTTTTGCTTCTTGGTTTAATGGAGCTGCAATAATTCTATAATGATTATCTAAAGATTTAAGATTTTTAATCATTTCTTTTGTATTTTGTATCACTAGGTATCCACTTCTTAAAAATATTGGAACTATTTCATTGTATGAACAATACAGAGTATGATCTTATTTGCCCTTCAATTCCAATCCAGTAATGAGATCATACCAGTTCGAATCTGGGAAATATGCAATTCTAGTAACTCCTTCTTCGAGAATTGGGGCACCCATCAACTCCTCTCCTATCAACAATTGAGTGTCCATTACAAAGTCTCTGTATGTAAGATAGTCCTCAGGGAAGATGAAAAACAAGGGATTTATTACTAATATTTATTTATTATAATATACTTGAGCCATGATTTTATTCTCTAATAAAAACAGAATAAAACCATTTCAATAATGTATATCTGAGATGGATGTTTTTTTAAGCAGATTGAATAACATGAAAGCCAAGATTGTAGAACTCTTATGGTTTCGATAAATCATTATTATGGTTTCTGAAAAAGGGGTAAAAGAAGGCCAGCTAAATCCATCTACAACAGAGCTTATCGTTTGTGTCACCCATAAAGCCACAAACATCAGCTCCGACCATTGGAATTCCGAATATTTAAAATTAAAATACTTGTCCCAGCGATAAATAAAGGAAATCCCATGATGCTCCATTATCTCCTGTCCAATGTTAAGCATATTTACCAGTACCTGGAAATGTAGATCTGGTGATTTGGAATGGCTGCACCTTCCCCAATTCTTTTTGAGCTTAATAAGTATAGTAAGAATCCATGATTCCATAGAGATTATGTACATCCTTATGTAAATATTGGCCATGATGTAACAAATGAGGAGGCAATGTCTTATTAGCCAATGGTATTTATCCTGGGATGTATGGAAAGATGATTTCATTATTCAATTTGTCTTCTTTTTTAGGGTGATCCCTAAGATGATTACTCCAATCACATTCTCCTTCACAGAAATTAGCTGGTTCATTCATATCAACCCATAGACCATCGAATTCCACTTATTCATATAGATGTTCATGCATCTCATTCCAATATTTACTGATATTTGGATGAAAGAAATCAGGGAAATAGGAATCGCCAGGCCAAACATATCCCTAAAATCGATATCCAGTATATGGAGAATATAAAAAAACATCATACTCTGTTCCCTTTCTGTAGCCTTCATCTTCACTTCCATATTTCACTCCAACAGCCACATCTAACAATGGAATATATCTGACACCCAACCCTTTTAAGTATTAAAAGTCCTTCTTTGGAAATTTATGCTTATCAACCGAGAATATTTATCTATCATCCATATAGTCAAGATCAGTCCAGATTATATCAATTGGTATAAGATTTTTCTAATACTATTATACAACATCTATTAAAACACTGCTATTTTTATATCCCCATCTGCATTGATGAAATCCAAATCCCCAAAATGGTGGGAGCATCCAACCACCCAAATATTTATGATATTTTTTAATTGCAGATCTGGGAGAAGTGTCACCCAAAAATAATTTTACATGGATGATTCCACCTATGGTTATGAATTTCATTTTATCCTCTTCATAATGCACATCCATGGGAGATGATGTTTTGTAGAACATCACATTGAATTTCCCACTTTCTTCCATACTTAATAAAACGGGGTGACTAGAATATACATGTTTTCCTGGTCGTTTTCCATTTTCTATTATATTGGGTTCGTCTCTTGCAAATAATGTGTAGATTCCCTCTTTGAAACGAAATCCAACTTAATTTCTTTCTCCCAAACCCCACATTTATTTATTTTGTGGAATATGAGTGAATTCAATATATGTTTCACTAAAGATTAAATCAGTTATTGTAAAAATTGTAGCATTATCTCTTTGTACTTGAATCACAATAGGATTGAACTATACTCTTATGTCATAATCATAAGAATTAAATTATTAAGGATCCTTCACATCATTATAGTTGAAAGGCTATTATAAGTGAATTCTATTACAGGATCTGATGGTATTCTAAAGTGTTTATTTGCCTCATCATAGATTTGAATATCAACTTAATCAATGTTTTCTTATCTGATTTCTAAAATGAGATTTTATTCTAAATTTATTGAATGTCCTGCCTTAAATACTGAGGTCTCACTTGTATAAAGTTTATATTATTTAAAGGCTACAGTATTTTTTACCTGTGTTGTTGCATAACGCGTGTATACTGCAACTTATAAATTTAACAAAATGATGATTAACATCAATTATTATTATTTATTTAATTAAATGTCAAAGTAATAATCATATACCATTTGTGACTATGGAGAATGTGAGAACACTATTGATTAAGATCATCATGTACATAATCATGATCACAACCATCACAATCATAGTCATTGTGATCATAGTCACGATGATCATGATCACGATTACCACGAACATGATGACCATTTTGAACCTGAAGCAGATAAAAGTCAAGATACACAATTGATAAAATTCATATTTGGAAGTTCAGATTATAAATCAGCAATGATCATAGCACTTTCTTATATTGCACTTGCATTTTATTCCTTTTATTCAGGATTGACAAGTTCCAGTGCACATTTGACAGAGGAGAGCTTTGATTGTATATTAAATTCAATAGTTATTGTTTTTGCCATATATTGTGGAATTAAAGCAAAGACCTTTTAATCAACAACAACCTTCCCTTTTGCGATGTAAAGACTAGAATATTTGTCTTCATTCACATTATGCATTCACGTGTCAATATTGACTATGTTCCAAATATCAAGAAATGCACATGAAATCCTAGAAGATCTTCATGTCATTAATCATCCTATTGATGAAAATTAATAAAACTAAAACAATGAGTTGTACTATGCCTCATTGAGAATAGCCTTGTCATTTATAGGGATCTTCCTATTTGTTGAATACATCCAAGCAAATTTCACCACTGATAAGGAGTAACTCCAATAGTTTATACTCAACTACAAAGATTTGATAGGCTCAAATCCATCTAGATACTATCACACTCATTATTTGAATATGCATGCCATAACCATGTTATTTTTATGTGAATTACTCTTCAACATAGGCACATTTCTAGAATGTATGCTTGATAACACCTTGTCTTATGCTGCCATAGGAACAATAATTGCCATGACCAACACAATCATTATTATAGTAGAATATTTATTTAAATTTAGATTTAATTATCGCCATTGGTTCAAACTTCTATCTAGGCACTTCTCTTGGCAACAAACGAGAAATTCCCAGGAATACGATAACGACTCTCAGAATTCAATAGTAATATATATATATGGAATCATGGAGCAGAACATAATGCAATTATTATGGCATCAGGATAGAATAAGAGAGAAACTAGACAAAAGATTAAAGAAATAGTCAATAATAAATTTAAAAATTGCTTTGTGAATATTGCTTGATTATTTATATTCTCAGGCACTCACGTGTCCAAATCACACTTATTTATATTTAAACAAAAAAATTTTTCCGATACCGGGGATTGAACCCGGGTCCCCAGGGTGAAAACCTGATATCCTAACCACTAGACTATACCGGAAATGTTAATATTAACTATTGTTTCTTTCTTTAATAAGACTAATCTTTAAATTTTGTATTATTTTTACTTATATATGATTTATATATCTCAAATTATATTGTGTTTCTAAAATTCTAATTCAAAAACGTTTTCTTTCTTATCTTTTTACTCTATTTCTGTCAAAAATGATATGAATTTATTATCAATCATATCAACGCAAAAATTCTTAAAATCAGCATCTTTTTTTTGAATAAGTTCAATTTATGTAGCTTCAAAACACTTTTTAGCTAAATCGATATTTAGATCTATTTAAATAGGATGTTCAAATAATTGATTAAGTTCCTTTGCTAATGAAGTGACTTCATCTATGTATTTGTTAAGAGTTGCATTTGAATCTTGATCCTTTGTTAGAATCAATCTTAATTTTTCCCTTATTTTTCGCTTAAATCTATCTAAAATTCTTAATAATCTATTACATTCAAGAGATTTTAATTTAGCTAAGGAGAAGCACTCCTATTATGAATCGCTAAAATATAAAACATTTCCTTCTCCTACTTCTGATAATTTTGATATTGAAACTGTCTTGATTATATCCAATAACTGTTTTTCAAAATCTTCATAATTTTTAGTAATTATATGATTGAACTTAACTGTATTTAATTCTAAGGATTATAATATAGCCAAGGTCTAATCTGGATGAAGACAATTGACTGAGGATTGAGCACTTACTTTAGGAACCAATGCATAAAATTTGAGTTACACATGATCATACTATACAAAGTGCTAGTATTCATTATTTCCACAATATTCTCCAATTAATGTATGATCATTCAAATAATTCTTTATAGAATCCACGTTTTTGGATAATCCAATAATTTTGAACCATTCCTAAGCAATTTTCATTGCATATCGATATCTATTATCAAGTGGATCGTTTGTAATTTAAGAATCGTATTAATTTAGCTCAGATTCATCTATACATAATAATGTCACATTCTTAGAGCCTATGATCCATCGATCCAATGCTCTATTATAGGAGATTTAAGCATTTTCTCCATTTACCTTTTCCATTTAAGTTATTTTGATTTCAGACTCTTTAGGCAAACAAGAGAATGTATAATTATGTATTATTTCCTCTGTCTTATTGGTCAAAGTTGAATTGGCTTTGTTGCAAAATTACTTTAAATTTCTTTCAATCAATATAATATTACATATCAAAGAATTTTTTCAGTCCTTTCCTTAATATTGAGTATTCATTGTCTAATAATAATAAGCAAAGGCCTCTTCTGAATGTGTTATGGATTAGTTAGTGTTGAGAGTATAAATAATCTTCGAATTCATTATGTACTCTCAATTTAATATCGATAATTTAAATATTCTATTCCTTTAATGTTACTTATTTGGATTGAGCTGCAAACAGCATATCGTAAGTTTTAACCATTTTCAAAACCTATTCTGAAGGAATTTCTTTAATCTAATGATTATGCTTTTGGATACATTCTTCATTTTTTAGCATTCCTCAACGAGTCTGTTGATTTAATGTTTTCTGAGCTAATTGTTAGATATCTAAGCCAAAGACTTACTGGAGGAGATTCCACCCTAATTTATATTCTACTTATAATCATTTAATACTTATGATTATGAAAAATATTCCTCAGTGCGTTGAGTTAGTTTATCTATTATCTTTTTTTGCTTTTTTTATGTCTTACTTTGTTGGTTTTATTCATTTTCTAGATTTTCATCTTTTTACTCAAAACTTTTCATTTATTTTAACAAATTTAATAAGAAATTCATAGCTTTAGAACATTGTCTAAATACATATTATTCCAATATTTTGATAAATTAGAAACCTTTTGTTTCATGTTGCTAATGAAAGTCCTAAGATTATTCTTAACAAAATATTAATGAGCTATATAATGATAAAGATGTATCTATTGTTCTATAAATTATTCTCCTTGATAGATAAATTTTATATTAATTTGTAGGTTATATTATGAGAAGATAGATGGTTACTGAATAGGCTGGTAACAGACGATGATAGATATAATAATAATAATAATATGAAAATAATTTTCATTAGAGAGAAAGCTAGCCTTGGATCAAGGATTATTTTAGTAGCGGCGTCACCTTTGATGCATTCCGAGATATACGGTGGAAGTTCGCTCATGGCTATGACCAAAAACTTCGTCCTTCACCCCTAGTGTTGTTCTGTACAGTTAAAGATGGTAGATTTATAAATAAATAGAAAATTGTATATTACTAAAACTTGTTCGTACTAACATTTTTAAGCTACAGCTAAGCTTTAATGTTTTACGATCACGAAAAGTAAGGAATGAGTTTTAATTAGATTATTTAATATTTATAATTTTAAATGAATATAGGCCATTTCTAAATCACCTAGTAGCCACCGCCGACATAAATTGAATATTATGAAGATCCAATGAGTAATCTATTAAAGGATTTAATCTATGTAATAGATGAGGATCCATTTGAATTAGATTATTATTCTGATAGCTTGAATAAGGTTGACGATCTGGAGGTTCTATCATACAACGAATTACATGAAATCTTGCAAGTTTAGAATGAGTATCTATAAAATTTTCATGAAACAATTTTATGAGACATGGAATCTCTAAAATTGCTTTTTATTATTTTTTATAATCTGGTTATGTATTTACAACTAAAAGTGAATTTGAGATAATCAAGAATAGAATGAACTACGATAACTATGTAATGCAATTAAGTACCTTGAAATTGAAACACTTTGAGTTAGAATCAATAGAATTACAAGAAATTTATTGAATTAATTAATTAATTCATCTCCTTGAGAACTACAATAAATAAGATTCTAATTATAAATCCTATACTCTCCTTTAATTTAAAGATATTTGTCGATTGCTTTCTTGAAAAAAATAAGATCGGAGCGGCCTAATTAGGGAATGGTATATTGATTTGTTACCAGCAATATTTTCTGAAGAAAACAGAAATCATTAAATTATAGCATATATTGACTTATACTTATCTTTAATAATGTTTCTCTAAAAAAATAGATATCTTCTATGGCTTATACCTATATAAATTAAAAAAAAATATAAAATCGTTTTATATATAAAATTTATTATGGAGGAACTATTCGCTCTTTAATAACAATTAGCAGAAATATAGGAGACATCAACGAAATATAGATTATCTGATAGAATCATAATTGATCTGATTGAAAAACTAGTTAAAGAATATGACTTAAAGGTTTATCATTCAACAGATGGTTAAAGCTTGATAACGCCTAAAGAGTTGTCAAAGGAGATTCATCAGTTAATTTTACTAAACAAGAGAGTGGCAGTGAATCAATTACCTGATATATTGGGCATAGGATTTGACAAAATTGAAGGATAAATAGAAAAGGATAGCAATGGTTGGGTAATTTTAATATTAAATATCGAAACAGGATGTTGTCAGAATGCAAGATGAAATGATGTCTCATGATTATATTCTAAATGTCTGTGAAGAAATAAACGAGGAGTTGCAACAAAAATCAATTATTTCATTATAAGAAAGTACACATTCATCTAAATTTATGAAAGTAATGCAAAAATTTGCTTTTCCAATGTAATTTGTTTAAAAATATGTGCTTCAATAAGTGGGGACAGTCATTTAAGGAGTGCTTAATGAAGACAAATTGACTACTGTGACTTACCTTGAAATAATTACTGCCAAACTTTGTGGTATTTTGCGAGCAACGTTGAGGCCTATCTCTTTTATGAAATTGAATAAAGACTTAGAAATTCAAAACTCCTAAAAAATTTGCGAATAATTGTTAGTTACCAAATAACTTGATGGTAAAATCATATCAGGTTAATATGTGAGTTCGAAATTTATTCAAAATTAAGAGGCATAAGTTAAATAATTTTTTGAATAAAATTCTTATGTCGAGTATGACAAACTCTATTCGTAGTTTTTCATTCAAAAACCAAAAGAATATCTAAAGTAGATGTTTAAAGATAATGTGATATTCTTGGACACTTGTGGATTTAGCAGAGATGCTCTAATTTCAAAACAAGAGTAAATACAAGAATTGCTCATTAACGAAGGTCATACGAATCTTCAGGAAATTCTACCAGTCATTCTAAGTGATTAAGATATAGAGACTTTGTTTTCCTTGATGCAACTAACCAATTGTGAATATGCCAATTTTATGATATATCATAAGGCATTCCTAGATAAGTTGGTTTTGGCATTTAAAGATAAAATAATTGATTCTATTTATTAGAATCCCCAGAAATTGATTGAATAACAGCAAATTCAAGACGATACACCTTAAGATATATAAGCTTCAGCAGGAGGGGTTGCAAACAAGAAAAATAAAAAATAATAATAACCACAAAAAAAGAAATCATAAAATAAATAAGAGTTGTTTACCAATAAAGAAATCACTGATTTACTGACTTAGAAAAAATTGGTGGAATACAATGATTGCGTTGATGAATTGTTCTAGTTTTTATAGCCGAGATTGTCTGCCTTCTATGAGCAAATTAAGATTGAACTATTCGAAAGCAAGAAATCTGCATCCAGTTAGGTTATTTAGGAGATTTAGAAAAAAATTGAGGATATGGCTCTTGGTCTTATGATAACTTAAAGATCATTATAAAAGATTTAACAAGAATGCCAAGAAGTAAATACAAAAGTATTAGTGGATAATTGCTTATTTGGTTATAGATTGCTTGTTGAAAACCTCGTTGTAATCACTTGTAAAAAGTACAATATTCAACTTCCATAAAACTTATTTGCTGATCCTAATCATCCAAGTGTTGTGAATGGTTAGATTGATTTTGGATTATAAAAGTCTGGAAGAGTGTTCTTAAATAAAGTAGCCTTAGGAGAAGCAATTCTGTTCTTGCCAAAAGAGCAGCAAAAAGCTTTGAAGGACACTATGGAATTATATACTAAGAAATCCTTAGATGTATTGTCTTAGCATGCATTTTTTGATGTTTTCAATCTAAAAGTGCATTTGGATAAAAAAAATGATAGAAATCTTCTGTTGTTTATTAAGCATCATTGCAAAGAGTTTATAAAACAAAGACATCATGAGATTTTCGATGAGAACGTGTTCAATTAAATAATTCTGGCAATGTCTACAGACTTAGGGTTGTATTTTATTGGAAATTATGACTAACATTTTTATTCTGCTCTCAAACAAATTGTTTATGAATTACAAAATGACAAACAGATTAAAAACATATTAAATAATATCACACGTATATACCTTATTATTATTTAGATTCAATCAATTAATAATTAGAAATCACAGCAGAGGCAAAGGAATTAATAGAAATACTTAAGCTCTTATGATGGAAGTTTTTAATTATATAAAATATCTAAGAATACCTATAAATATAATTATTCATAAATTCTAATTAGGAAGATAAAATTAACAAGAGTTTTTTTAATATTTTAATTTGTGATTTATGTTTAGATTTCGAAGAGCAATTAATCTATTTAATAGAAAAGATGGTTTCATAACAAAATTGAAAAACAAACTTCTCAAGGATGATGAAGAAGAAAAATAGATAATTCCTCATTAAACTATGAAATAGCCACTTAATGTGAAATAAGAGATCGAACAGTTCATTTCCTAATAGACAGAAATTAGTGATCTAGAAAGAATCAGAATGAAGAATTTAGATAATAAACTAGGTACAAACACACATTTTCATGAAATTCAATCATACGAAGAAAGATTGGATTCAGATAATGTGATGAGAAGACAAGTGTTAGCAAGAAGAGAATTACAAAAAGAAAAAGATTTGGCAATTGCACATTTATTTGATCCAGATCCCCAACAGAAAGTTAAAACTCCTTGGATTCGAAATATCAATGACTTTACATCAGAAGCCATCAAATAAAGTACAATCCACCTTACAATATATTAGTTCCATATCCCTAGCATCCTAAATTGTTCTCAGAGGGAGATTTCTTTAGATATTTTGAAAAGAAGCATTATGAAGTTGATAAAGTTGCTCAATTTGATTTTTCAGAATCCTTATACACTTAATTAATTTAAATCTAAACTTTGAGAAGGGAAGAAACAGTTAAGCATAGATACTTTGAATTACTAGATTGTTATCAAAATATCCCTATCGTATTCAAGGATTACACATACTTTAGTAAGGATTCTAAAGAGGGTCATCCAGCTTATAACGTATACAAGAGAAAAAATGAAAGTAAGAGTTTATTATCTATTAAATGAGAGCAGCAATTTAGCCAAAGAACTTATTAAAGATGATGATGAGTTGGTTTTCAGTGGTAAAATAATAGCAGATCTAATTCCTAAACATTATGAAGATCTAATCCTAGACATTGAAGTATTTTTAATTTGTCTATTTAAAAGGAAGAGAAATTTCAATCCTTATACAAGGAGTTCTTGCCTAATAAATCTCATGATATTTACGGGTGTGTAATTGAATAGTTAGGTTTAACTTTCTTGATTGTTCGTTCAGATAAAATTCAATTGGTTTTAGAAAATGTTGATAACACTTTTGCATTTATCGAGAATTATCTCTATTATATTGAGAAATCCGATCTTGATCTTTAAAAGTATGTATTGAAATTAAACTTGGAAAATTTTGATTAAAGGACAATAATATATTAAATATCTCCTGGTGAAAATGTTAAAATAAAGAATTATGGTATTGGAAAGGCAGCCATTGAAGTTTAGATGTCCAATGAAAACAAATTTATAGATTTGAATGGTCAAGATATTGTAAACTATAAGAAAGGATATAGATTCAATATAGACCAAAACGAAGTTAATACATTTGTAAGCTCAGCTCCATTAGAAGAGCAGCCAAAGGAGATTCGAACAAGAGAAGGTCATCTTGTCTATGAATGTAAACAGGGTATTATTAGATCTTTTTGTGCTAATGATCATTTTCTGGCAATTTTGGAAAGAGATTAAAGAAGCTAAAATCCAGATAGATTAATCATTAAAAAAGAAAAGTAGAACCATGAAATGATTATACAAGAATCTCAATATTCAATTAATTTAGAATCTCATTAGATTAAGGAATCTAATAGTTTATATCTACATTTGATTTGCCCTTATAAACCATTTCAAATACTGAAATATAATATTGACATAAAGGCTATATCTTTACATTTCTCTGAATAATTGCCAGGGTTTGATTATAATAATCTTTAAGTGGAAACTTTTAAGATATCAGAGGATTTTAATTTTTGTGTATCGTATTTATAGGACTTGCCTGTATAATTTGTCGTGATACAACTAATAGATTAAGAATAATACTAATCCTTAACTTAAGAAGATGTAGTACTTTATGAGAATGGATGTGCAATCTGTTAAATCATTGTTAATCCTAGTTGTTAATAATAAGTTTTGGACAATCTTCAAAAAGTGTTTCAAGAAGTTTCAGTACTTTCTGATAAAGTGATATTAAAAACAAAGGGAGCATTATCTGGTTTGATTGGGAGTTATACACACTTCTTTGTTCAATAATTTTATGCATTTTTGTGTCATGTAAAATAAATTAATAGATTAGAATGGGTTATTTGATAATTCTAAAAAGATGATTGATTTGCCAATAAGCTCTTATGATATTACGAGGGTTCCAAGTTTGAGAAACACTTTTATAAGTTATACTTTGAATGATGAATTGACATACCAATCACAGAAGATGGTGGCACTGTTGAGAGAAAACAAAGACAATTAAGTAGATTTGAAGTAATTTATGATTTTAATGTTGTAGAAAGGAGTTTGGAGTTGTATTGTAATAATGTGAGTCAGATGTAGATGAGGCTATCTTTAGATTAACATTTTTAATGTCTGTTTTATGATTATTATGATTATTAAGAGTATATTATCACAAGAATTATTAAGAAACCAATTTTGAAATAGCATAACCATAATCAGAAAATACTTATAATGTTTTTGTATTTTGTGTAATAATAACTCATTCTTCGGCAGCAGCCTATTTTGCCTTGAATTCCTTCTCTTATTATAGAGCATAATCAATAGTTCGCTGAAAGATAGATTAGGAATTCTTACCTTTTTGTTGTTGAATTGATAAACCCAGAGCCAAGGATAATAGCACAATGCAAAGATGACAAAGGAATTGGCAAAAATATAGACTTACCAAGCCCAAGGGTTATCAGTCACATTTCTTCCCAAGAATCTCCAGAAAGCCTTCACTTTTGGATCAGCATTCATTCTAGATACAACTTATGGTTTTCTGACTAGAGATTGATATTCTATTAGATCATACCAAAACTTGGTTTGACTGTTTATTAATAAGGAATAGTCTTAAACCATTGAGGAGTGTAATCCTTTACATTGTTGTAAATCAATCTGCCGTAAACCATTAATAAATATATTAATCAAAATTATATATATTGGAGGATAGCGGATAATTCAAACAAATCAAAAGGCTTGGCTATAAAATAATCGATTCCTGAATTAAAACAATTTAATTTAAGTTCCATGTCGCTATAACTAGCCATGGCAATGATGAAACCTCTATCAACTTCCTGAGTTCGAAATAGCCCCTTGATTTCTTTGATCAATTCCACTCCTGATTGCTAATAAACATTAAAACACAAATCATTACAGGTAAATAGGCATCTATGAAGTATAGCAAGTACGCTCCATTTTTACATCTGCACGGATTTTCTTATTTGTTTCGTATAAGTTATAGAGTTTATTGTTGAGTGAATGCCTTATCCGATTTGACTTCGTATTTATTTAATAATATCTACAGAACCTAGACGTTAAGGTAATCATTATCAGCAATAATAACTTTTGAGCAACACTGATTCGTAAGCTTAAACTTTATTACAGCATGCAAGAATTTCGGACTTAACTCAGGAGGGTCAAGATTGGGATTAGTACTGTCTCCAAAATCCAAAGTGCTGGTTGGAGGTTTAGATGAAATATTAACCCCTGAATCACTTTTTATAACTCGAGAGGGATTGTTATTTAAGCTTTTAGGAAATAAAGAATCTTGGAACTTATTGGTTCCACCTGAATTGCTTTGGTGTTGAGATCCCAATGGTTTTATTTAGGGTGATTCTTATTTGATTTTTGATATTTGTGAAAAGTGAGCACTTTATAGATCAAAGGGAGTGTCAGGTTTTAATGAGTATTATTTGGAAATTTAAGTAAAGGACATATATTTGGATTCTTCATTTTTATAATGAGAGCTATCTTAAGCTTAGGCTAAGAGCATAGATAAAGATGTTTCAAATGGTCTTTTAGGTTTCATCTATTGAGCATAGTATGCTTATTTACTGTTTATTGAAAGGGATTCAACTGTAAAAGTAAATGTCCCAGACATATGATTATCAAAAGTTAATTCTAATGGTTTTCGCAGTGACCCAGATAATAAAAATGCTATCATAGCCGAAACCTACAATTCCAAGAGATTGCTCATATCGAAATCTTTACAGTTTGTCTTCATCAATTGAGCTGTGTTCTTCAAAACAGTTGAATAACCTAATTAAGAAATTTCATCTCTAAATGGAATATCCTTAATTTAAAATTAATAGTTGTTTGGTGAAACTTAATGAATGTCGATTCTAATTTTTTGAGTGACTGTGTACTTAATAGCAATTTCAAATAGACACTTAAGAACTTATTTAGTCTAAGATATCAATTAATATTACTCTCTCAGAATCATTATATACAAGCATTTCTTAGTCAATGATTGGGATGATAGAGATCTCCTTTATCTTTAAACAATCATCATAAATTAGCTGCAATTCATCTAAAATATCAGTTATTTTAAATGTTGAATTACGAAATGTAAGCTAGTTTGTCAATTATAGAGTCAGATCCTTCATTGTCCCTAGGAACATCATGAATTTCTAAGTGCTCATACGCATTTACTTGAGGTAATCTTTTTAGACTTTTCCATTATTCTTCTCTATGTCGTGAGAACACAGAAGAATCAACAAATGAATCGCATTGATATAATTGTTGGATTCAGATAAAAAGGTTTAGAATACATTCTGAAATTGAAGTGGTTCATCTAAGACCCTTTTGGAAGTGGTCTTCTGGATAGGTTCGAACATGAAGAGAGTGTAAAGTTTCAATTTGACTTCGGTCACTAATACTCTGATGTTCAAATTATCGAAATCTAATTCTTCATTCTTGATCTTGAAGAGAGTGAATGTAAAGAATTTCCATCTAAAATTACTTCTTACATTACTTAGAATAATTGTTATATAATTGCCCTATCATTTGTCTAATCTTATGCAATCCTCCCTTTATCTTATATCTACTATGAACTGTACTATCCAGGAACAAGGAACTAGAATGCATATGAGATTTCTTATTACTTTTCTTAATCCAAATCAATTTCAGAATTTCCGAAGAGATCATTCACTTCTCGACTTCCTATTTCGATTATGGATTCCAAGAAGATGGATTCATAATCTATTTGTAATCCTTTATTTTGATTTTTATTGAGTTTTCCAAGAAAAAAGTTCTGATAAACTATTTCAAAGTTTTGATTGTAAACCAAAATTGATTAATTGTGAATCCAAGCCCTAAAATAATATTACAAAAATCACATTTAAGCAAGGACATCATCCTCTTCATTACATTACAAATCCATAATAATGGGGCTATTCTGAATATCAGGATAATCTCCATCTGGAGAACGGAGGATGTTTTCTTGAATCTATCGTTGAGATGCTTGTTTATCAAATTAAATTGACTTCTATTTGAAAGTAATGAGATTCGTCTGTTAATTCTGAATGGATTCTTTTTTCTCCTTGACTTCCTTTGTTCTGTTATCATACAGGATTACACTCACAACTATAATCATATATGGAATTGTAAAGTAGAACCTAAATATATTTGGCTGCAAAATAGAATTAATTGATGAACCAACCCCCACAATAATTTTGAATATTTTATCTGCATCTGTCAATATTATGATTTGTGCACATATTTATTATTAAAAGCAATCCAAGGATAATTGAGAATAGATAGCCAACCATTATAGATAGGTCAAAGTTTGTTCCAGTCTCTAGATATTGTAATAGTTGTGATGCTTCAAGTATTGATTTAGTAGTATGAGTGTAATATTCATGGATAGCAGCAGATTTTGATATAACAAAAAGGAAGGATTGATTAGACTAATGATTATTAACAATTATTTCCTAAAATATTTCATTAAATTAAGAATTGAATAAATAATTATTTTATTAAATTCAACAGCTGTATCTAACTTAATATATAAAATTGAGTGTTATTTCTCATTTCAGAAAATTATCTGAAAAATCACTCCGAAATGAATTTAGACATTTTGAATATTATTTTTTGGTTTATAATTTATTTAAGCAGAATAAATTCAATAATTAATATATTCATTTAATTATCTAAATTTGCGTTATTTTTAATCCCTTACTATTTCTATTTCATTCCCCCATCCACTTCAATTCCACATACAGGAATGTGATGCATATTAATTAATGCGTCTCATTCTTGTGATTCATTATTATTTGCCTTGGTATAAACTTAAAGAACATTAGAATTTAAGATTTTAATTTCAATATGATTATATTTGTTCTATTTTGTCTTACTATTATAGGAGACTCCTTAAGAGTATCATATAACAAATAGTGTGATTGCTCCAAATTCTCCACGGATTCAAGTTGCTTAGAATAAACCGATTGTATTTGGTAAGGCAATATTTGCAGAGCCAGAGAATGCTCTGAATACTACAACATAGATAAGTGCAATAGGGTTGCCTCGTGCTCATGGAATGTCTCACAATGTCAAAAATTCACCAAATGTTCTGACTTCTACATGAACGATTCGTTTGACTGCTACAAAATAGGAGATCAAAATTTAAATCTTTCTTGTCAGCCTTCAGAGCAGGGAAACTAATGTCAAGAGTTTTAACGTCAAGAATGTGGGAATGTTGAAGAAGATTGTGCTAGTTTTGAAAGTCAGTGGAGAATGTGTTACTGGAATAATAACAAATGTAATATTGTGGATATCAGATATTGTGATCAATTGTTCAATGAGGATTTGTGTTTCATTTATGGAGAAGGTCTTGGATGCCAATGGAAGAATGGGAAATGCACAGTCATCTAATGTTCAGATTACACCTTTGAGAGCACATGTGTTTTATAGAGATAAAATTCCATAGAAGACGATCCACTACTTTGTAGATGGACTGGTATCAAATGCGAGGAAGCTCAAGATGTCTCTCATCTTGATTTCTCAAACTGCCTGGTGAACTCCTTTTATAATTACATTTGGGACTCTGCCAATAACTAATGTGTCTCTTGTTAAACCTACATTCCACCAACCTCAGAATCAACTCCTTGACTAGAGACATTATCATTTTGATTTAGATAATTTTTTAAAGAATTCCATTTTATTCAGTATTTAATAATATGTTTTTGTTAATTATATAAAAATAGAACTATCTTGATAAGAGACAATCTTACTTAATTTATACTTGTTTAATTTTCTTATTATACACGTTTACCCCTTGACTGTTCTTAATATTGTCAGATTCAAATTAATTTTAACTGTTCTTTTTATTTCCCTCTTAATTTTTAAGAATTGCAACTATTTATTGAAAATTACTCAATTAGACTTTTCAATATTTTTGCAAATAATAATTACTAATTCAGATTTTAATTTTTACATCCTATATAAATGAAAACAAGAATCAAGAAGCAATATTATTAATAGCAGTTATTATTTAATAATAATAATTATTTTTAAATATTAATTAAGTACTATTAAATATTTGAAAAGTATTTAGTTATTTATACCTCATAAATTAGAATTTCGCGTTATTTCAGAAAATGCAGAGCAGTAGGATGCGAGGAAATACAGAAATTGCAAACCATAAATAATTAATAAAAATTCGCTGAGTATTTAACAACATTAAACATCTTATACTTCTAAAAGACCAACTTTTAGCAAATAATTATATTTGCAATTTATTTTTCAAGGTTAATAATAGTTAAATAAAAATCAGAAAAGTTGTCGAGTAATAGGATGAAGGATTATGATAAAATCTATAGAATGCATTTTTTTTGTTTTTTCTTGTTATAAATAAGAACTATTATTAAAAATTCAAAGATTATATAGAGATATGTATTTACTACAAACTTTTAATCGATTCTTATTTTGATATATCTAAATAAAGTGAAAAATCCTTATTTCAAAAAATTGATTATTTCATTTTTTAAATTGCATAGAGCCTTATTATCTCATTTTTGTGATTTTAAATGGGATACATGACGATTTATTATTGATTTGAAATCCTAACTATTAACTAAAAGAGGAAATCAATACTGTTTATAATACTAATTTGATTTAAAAAATCAATTTGGTTCAGTTTAGATAATTATTCTTCTAGAAATCTACTGATTGAATACTAATTTGAAAAACAATATATCTCCAAAAAAGAGCTAGAATGGTTTAAAATAATGAAATGTGAAGCAGTCTCACATCTTGGAATTAAAGATATTAAATAAGTTGAATTCCTTTCAAAAAGAACAGATCCTAGGTTGAATAAACACTATTGTCATCATTAATATTTAATTCTAAAGTACAATATTATAAAAAATTATGGGGATTAAATGTTCCAAACGTAAAAACAAGTCTTTTCGAAATGAAATTATTTAGGCCCAACCTATTCAAATGAGTTTAACTACTTCGAAGGAGGCTTTAGCTTTTTGTGATTCCCAAGATTTAGCGAATTTTATGCGAACTAAACCAGTCAAGTCATATATATAGGAAGTTATTTGGAAGTAATAAATTTATTTTGACTCATGTGAACAATTGACTCGAATAATAGAAGGGAAATCTGAGATTCTCTTGAGGAGTTATAATGACTTTACTGAAAAAGCCTTAAAAATTAAACTCATGGTCTTAAAGTACTATAAGGAGAATTTTTTGGCTTATCAGGAATAAGTACCCGAATGTATTGAAAAAAAGGATTGGATAGCGAATGAAACTATGCAAGTATGATATCTGATATGTATGATCAGATACTCATTGAGACGAACATTATCCTAAATTGCTTAATGGATAAAAATTTTGATGTTGAATAGGAATTATGGTGGGGAAATGATTATTTTAAAGACAGGATACAAAGTCTGGGAGCTAATGGGGAGGAGAAAATTTAAAATGACCAAATTGTTTAACCTATTGTTCAATATTTATAAGCATTAAAAAATAAAGTTACATAATCTATGCCCATAAATCAATAATAATAAAGACCTTATCAGTAGAATTAATCTGTTGTGAATAGCACAGCCATTGCACAAGTGCATCTAACTAAATTTTACAATGATCTTAAGCTAGAATTTGCAAAGGATGCTGGTGAAGAATAAGTTTCTTCTTGATCGAATTGAATAAATAATTATATATATATAATATAATTTAATTTATGAATTAGCCTTATCTTCATCCAGCCAATCAAATTATTCAGGACTCAGCCCCCAAAGAAACTCTTTATGTAACTGGATTGAATGATAAAATTAAACTAGAAGACTTGAAATTTATATTGTACATACTCTTTTCATAATTCGGAGAAGTCCTTTAAATGGTAATGAAGAAAACACAAAAATTAAGAGGATAAGCATTTATAGTATTTTAAAACATCACATATGCTACGAATGCCAAAGCAGCGTTGTCAGGCATGATTGTTTATGACAAACCATTAGTATATCTATTCCTGCTATTTTAGATTATTGAATTTGCATACAAGAAGAGTGTTATATTTGATAGGATTGAAGGCAAATTTTATTATAAACAAAAGCAACACAAGGAATTGCAACCCACTTTGCCAAATGAATTGATGAAAGAAAAGAAATAGAAAAAGTTTGATGAGAAAATACAAAACAGTAGCAATTTTAATTAGGGAGAAATCAATAATGTCTTGTTGATAGAATCGTTGCCTCCCTTTGTCACTGAAATCATGTTATCAGAGCTATTTAGGTAATACCCTGGTTATTCACTCATTAAGTTGATACCTGCTAGAGGCTTGGCATTTGTTGAATATTAGAATGATGATCAAGCGACAGTTGCTTTGAAGGGTTTGAGCAACTTTAAAATCACTCCAGAGTGTCAACTAAAAGTAAAATATGCCAAAAAGTGAAGAGTATTTTAAAATATAATTTTTTATATACCTTATTTATTATCCATCAGTACATAATCTCTTATATGTTAGGTTCAACATAACACAATTACCATTTAAACAAAAATATAATTTGAATTTCTCATAATACACTTTTTTCAAATCAAATTTAATATATTCAATTATTTAATTACATAAATTTTTATTATGAAACTTCCTCCTAAATATTCTCAAATTATTTATACTCCTTATAAAGACTTGCCTTTATGCTAGAATTAATGAAAATGATGAAAAGATAGAATGTCAATTTAATTTTAAGAGAAATTACTTACTAATTACATAAAGAAGATTTCTCGAATGTTCATCTATCTAGCTAAAATCATTCTGTTGGAACACATTTATAAAAATAAAAAAAATAAGTGATTATAATTCATGGTTTTTCTGTATCTAAATCAGGAATTTTAGTTGGTTGTGTAGCTGATTGAGGAGTTTTAACAGGACAACATTTAATGGATATCCAATATAATGCATGGTCAATTTTCACTTCCCAATAGCAAACTTAGTTATAAAAGTAATGTGCAAAAATATATCCAGCTGGCACCTATAATAATTTTTATTAATTTTTACATCAATTGTGTAATGAATTCTAAAAGAAATAACTATAAAAGCTTAAAAGAAGGATGATATAAAAAAAAATAAGGCGAACCATTTCTTGCCCAATTTTCTCATCTCCAATGCACAAATCACCAAAAATCCCACATGACCCTATTTTATGAATAAATTCTTACAGAGTAAAAGAAATCTGAATAATTCCCGTATTTTACAACAAAGGTTGGCACTCCTGGATCCTACCAATAGTAATTATCAGCAAACTGAAGTTTAAAAATATTCAAATGAATTGCCCTGATTCCATAGAATATGATTAAAGCAGCAAACAGTCTGAAATTTCTGACATATAACACCCAATAAAGACTGACGTAGAAAAAGGCAAAGTCTAAAATGAGGCCAGAGATTACTTGCATCAGAGAAGCAAACCTAAATGCAATTTAAATTGAATAAGTACCATGTGTGAGAATGATATAATTTGTTGATTCCTTCTGTGCAATTGTGTCCAACATCAAATATTCCTTTGATGTCATCCTATGGTGTACCCAGGATTTCACCGATTTGAGTGATCACAATATAACTGAAAAAAATGAAAATTCTAAATCGAAAGTTATAGCAAGGGTTATCAGGCACAGCACTTTGTCTGTAATCAATCTTTGAAGGGACCTACAGTTTTTGTATTTCACTTCCATGATAAATGGACAAATCTTCTGATTATTTATTTGAGATATGCATTTTAATAATATTATTTATTAAATTAGTCATCATACATTATGCGTGTATTTATATTGAAATTTAAATTTTTATTTAATTGAGAATAAATCCTCAAACACTTATTAAAATAATAGTATGTATATAATTCAATTTCAAATATATTTAATTATTTTAATACATTATCTAATCCCTAAGACCATTTGCAACTTATCTACCAAAAGTATCCCACCTATTTCAATGGCTGCCTTATACTAATTGGTAATTGCTATATACATTCTCATTAAAGTCTAAGCAAATATTTCAATCAGCTCTTAATAGATGTTTTAAAATATAGCGACTAAGTTGTTTTTAATGATCTAAATGTGTTCTTTTTCTTTATAAATCTACCATTGTGGCCATTTTAAAGGGAAAGTTAAGTCTCCTTGAAAAATACAAAGGGTTCTGATAAGATAAGGACTCTTTATTAGAAATAAATTTTTTCATATTGATGTAACAAGTAAGAATTATAAACAATTTAAAGAGAAGACAAAATAGATTAAATTCCAATTTAGATCTCAATTAATTTATACTTATTATTAATATTATCAATAACTATATCATAATGAAAATGAAAAAATCATTATGATTTCTTCATTATAATTAGAACAACCTGGAGTACCTTGCTTTCGCACATTTTCCATCTTATGATGTACATTAACCAGAAATTGCTTCACATGTGCACTCTTATCACCGATATTTTGATCACAACTGGTGAATTTTGTGCATTTTCCTTCAAGATATTCACATCTTTTATCACCTGCACAATAATCGGCATCATAATTTTATATTTGACAGAAATCCATTTCGAAGCATTTATTTTCATCCCAATAGCAAAGCCCCTTCCATTTTTTTCTTCTTTAAAATCACCTTCTGTAAGTTATTCTCTACAGGTGCATTTAGTTTGGAGATCAATATAAGTTGATGATACAATTGATAATATAGATTGATATAAAGACTAACATTAATTAAATTTATCACTATTTTTTGGCTTTATTATTCCCAACATACTCAAGCTTTGTAAACTTATATTTTCATCAGAATTATGTATTTAATGAATCACCTTAGAGGAATATAATATAATTTTATCTTGGGATTTTCTTTATAAATATCAATTTTATGATGTTTATTCTTTTTATAGGGTCTTCTAGAATTATTTCCAAAGCATTATTAATTATAATGAGAGATAAATTAAATACTTTTTCTGTCAATTTGGTTTTCTTAGTATGCAAAGCGAAAAAGAATAATAAAATTATTAAAAATAAAATTATAATCAAAATAACTAAATTATAATTTATGAGGAATAGGTTGATCAACTAATTTCAATATGTTGTCTTATCATAAATCATAAATATTTATTATCAAAAATTCAAATATTTACTTTATTGATTCATAGACTTGAAGTCTTAACTTTATTAGATGGCTATCTTGATATCTTTTTAAATTCACTATTAGCCTAAGTTCTAACTCTAATATTTCTATTATAAGTGGTTAAAGAATTCAATTTGTCATCAAATTATTTTTAGTAAAACTGTTTTACAAATGATTTCATAGCATCATCATTTATACGGGATGGTTGTAAAGTTTAAGAGTTGGTTGGAGTAAATAAATACTAGGTAGAATTGAATTCTTCTGCAAGATCGATTTTTTGATGATTAAGTTTCAAAAGTGAAACTACTTCAGGCTTTTATTTTGCTTTTTCTATATTGTCTCCTACAGGAGCTTATTATGACAAAGCCATAATAAAATTGGCTTCTTTTTCTATGTTACTTATTGTTCCCATTCTGCGGAACACCCTAGCAGTATTTACTTTTTAAGTGTTCTCAGTTTAAAACTTTATGTCTTCCATTAAGATTGGATCGAATTTAAGATTTATTGAATCCTTATTCTAACCAAATCTATTAATGTAGTCAACAAGAGCATAAAACTTCATATCTCCGAATTCAAAATATTTTTTTGCTTTTGCTTAGCCTTCTCTTAACTCTTAAGAGATTTATTTAACTCTTTGTAAGTAACTTTTGCTAAAGACATCTAATGTTGGAGGTCTGAGTGAGTCAGCATAACTTTTAACTGCAAGCATTTTTTGTAGAAGTGCAGCGTTCTTTTTCTTTTCGTATTATTTGTATTGTTTTAGTATGGCTAATTCAGCTGGAGTAAATTTTTCATTGAGATCTGTATCAAATATGTATATTACCAGCAGATTCTTTATAACCAACACCCAAATCAAATTTCATCAGAAAACCTGGTTACCATCCTTTTTGACCAAGCAATCGATCTGGTTGTATTTTAAGTATTTTATGTCCCGGAGGTCCAATATTTTATTGTGTTTGATCGATCTAATATAATTTTAGCCTACTTTGCAAAACTATTTGCGACAAAATTTCCTGGCAGTATCCTTTTCACACCCCTCTTCTCGTAATTTCAAATACATCATTACATTGTTGTTGTGAGAAAAATTTAGATGAGTGCACATTAAATATAAATAAAATGACTGAAGAAATTGAACCTCATATTGCTAGAAAATTTGAAATCATTCAAAAATTAGGTAAAGGTGCTTATGGTATAGTTTGGAAGGCTGTAGACAAGAAGTTAAAGACAGTAAGAATTCAAAAATAAAGTTTAGGTTGTCGCTTTAAAAAAAGTATTTGACGCTTTTCATAATGCTACAGATGCTCAAAGAACATTTAGAGAAATAATGTTTTTGTAGGAGTTGAATGGACATGAAAACATAGTGAGGTTGTTGAATATCATAAAAGCAGAAAACAATAAGGACATTTACTTGGTGTTTGATTATATGGAAACAGATTTGCATGCAGTGATTGTAAAAATGATAATTAATTAAATAGAGAGCAGGAATACTAGAGGAGGTTCATAAAAAATATGTTGTTTATTAAATTTTGAAGTCACTTAAATACATACACTCAGGAGAACTTATTCATAGAGACTTGAAGCCTTCCAACATTTTACTAAATTCTGAATGTCACATGAAATTGGCAGATTTTGGTTTAGCCAGAAGCATAGCGATCACTGAAGACGACAGTTGTACGATGATATTTAAATTTAACGTTTAGCTCCACCAGTTTTGACAGAATATGTTGCTACCAGATGGTACAGAGCCCCTGAGATATTACTTGGATCAACCAATTACACCAAAGCCGTAGACATGTGGAGTGTCGGCTGTATTCTGGGTGAATTGATCATAGGTAAGGCAATCTTTCCAGGAACATCTACACTAAATTAAATTGAGAGAATTATTGAGTTGTTAGGTAAACCAAATGATGCAGACATTGAATCCCTTGAATCACCCTTAGCTGTCAATATTCTAGCTTCAGTGTCAATTCAAAAAAGAAGATCCTTCTAATAATTTTTTTCAGGAGCCCAAGAAGATTGTCTAGACTTATTAAGAAGGTTTCAATATCATTCCTATTTATAATTTAGACTTTTGCAATTCAATCCAAAGTTGCGACTTACTGTTAATTAAGCTATCAAACATAAGTATTTGAAAGAATTCTCTTCGCCTGATGAGGAAATTGAATGTTCCGAGCCTATAAGAATACCTATGAATGACAATAAGAAGTTTTCTATTAAGGAATACAGAGAGGCCCTTTATAATGATATAAATCGAAGAAAAAAGGAGTAAAGAAAAAAGTGGTAGGCAAAATACTTGCAATAGTTGGGAATGAATCCTGATGAACTTATTAATGGGTATTAAGTTATAAATTTATTTTAAGGCTTCAGCAGGAGCAATCTGAAATCATTACTTCAGTAAAATCGTAATAAGGCTTTGAAAATGTTAATGGAAGTTCTATTTAGCATTAAACTTAGTAATAATAATAATTGCAGAAATCTAATATTGAGGAGATACAAAACATCATTAAATAGCAATAAATCTAATCACAATAATTGAAGAAATCTTAAAGTTAAGCTGGAATTCAGTAACAATAGAAATTGACTAGTTAAAAAAGTGCAAGCAATTTTGTTTCTTAAATGTACAATACATTCTAATAATAAACACAAAATATAGATAATAGGTTTTATCAATAGCAATAATTCTTGTAATAATAACTTCAATAATTATAACAAAAAGCTTAATAGAAGAAAAAGACTTGATTTTTAATTTATATATAATTTCAAACAATAGATTCTAATCCACTTTATGTTTTGAATGAAATAATCTGGTGTATTATTGTTAAATTAAATATCTAAATTTATGTCTGAAGAAAAAGTGCAATAAATAGATCCAAGCATTGAAAATAAACCAGCACCACCTTCAGGACCTAAAAGACCAGAGAAAGAGCCTCAATTAGACAATTTAGATGAGATATTTAAGAGAATTTCTGATGATTTCAGCGATGTAGCTCCTCTTTAACAAATTGCCCAAAAATTTAATGTCAATCCTGGCTAATTAGTCTTAGGTATAATTTTTGTTGCCTTCACACTCACAATATTTGGAGCTGGAAATTTGTTAGTCAAAATATTGATTGGTATTCTATACCCTGCATACATGAGTGTTTAATGTGTGAAATAAAAGGATGATGCAAAATCTAAAATTTGGCTTTCTTATTGGGTGATTTACTTACTCATGTTTCTGTTGGACAGAGTGATGTGGTTCGCTTTCCATGACCTATTGTAATTGTATTTCCCCATCAAAAACATGACTCTTATTTGGATGTATTATCCTAAAACCAGAGGTATTTACGTGTATATATATTTAGGTGCAATAATAATATTTGACAAACTAGTGTTATAACTCAATTAATTGGGTTTTCTGGAAAAACCAAAATAAAAACATGAGTGATATATAGATGCATTAATCATTTATTAAATTTCTTCATTGCCAATCTCACTTTCAATTTTCCATTCTCAAATGAAGTCGTGGCATTAAAATCTCCCCTAAAGTTTCCCTTCAATTTCTATTGTAAAGTCTCCTTAAAGTACTCTCCGAAATACAAATCTGAAACTCCATACAGAATTTCATTGTGTAAGGGAATCTAGCAATTTGGGATTAGAAGTTCAGATGTACTCTCGCCATTTTTAAATTTCAAAGAGAATGGCAACTCATCATTTTGTTATTTCATCAATCCTGTTAATGTGCATTACAACTATTCAATTAATAATATTGTTTACTGATTCTCCAATGAATTCAACTGTATTGGTTCTAATAGAAACCTCTTATTCAGACAAAGACTTTAATTCTTGAATTAGATTGGATGCAAATTTGATTTCAAAATCTGAAAATGTAAATTGTTTGTTTTAATATATTGCTTTGAATTGAAAGCTTCTGCCCTCCAACTTTTATGGAAGAGCAAACAATTCATTTTTAATAAAGTGTCTCCACGATCTACCTGAAAACCTTTATAAAACATTTTCAACGTCAATATCTTATTTGAGAGTATCACTTGTCATACATGCAGATCCATTGGATGAGAAACTCAAATACAACTGACTATCTCCAAAGGACTGTTTAGTGATTTCTATCAATAAAAGAAATTCCTTCTTGTAACCATGTTATAAACCAATCATATACCAATTATCATCATCTAATTGATATCCAACCTCACTTTTACACAAACTACAAGCTCTTTGTTAAATAGGGTTATTGCTACAAGGTGCTAATTCTAGATAATTATTTTTATTATTAAAATGAATAAAAGTTTAGTTCTAAGCTGGTACCTTCTAAACAAATTCCTCATCTTGAACTGGCTCTCTCTTTTTTTTCTTTTTTATTATTTTCTTTTCCATCTCTTCCAAATCTCCAAGAGATTAAACCTTTGTCTTTTTAGCAGAATTTAAAACCTCTAATAGTTCTTCATCTTCTAAATCTTATTTCTTTTGTTTTTTCTTCTTTTATTATTTAGGGACCTACATCTAATCATCAGCATCACTCCAATCATCTGGGATTTCAATTATTTTCTTTTTTTTCTTCTCATTTTCTAACATCTATTATTGTTATTCAAGCTTCAACTTTTCTAATTTCTGTTGCTCCATCAATTATTATTCTAATCTCAACTATTCTTATCTTTACTATTCCAATTTCAATTATTCCAACCTTTATTATTCGGCTCTTTGTTACTCTATTTTCTGTTATTCTATCCTTTATTATTCCTTCTATTATTATTATTGAATAATCATCTCCTCATCGTCATCTGATGGATCATCAGATTCATCCACCTCATCGTATTGCGAAATCTCATCATATTGTTAAAATTCGTCATCTTCTGATTACTCACTTACTGTGATGTAGCCTTCACTAAATATGTCTGAACTATCATATTCAACGATATTTTATTCTAAGCAATAGTCAAAAACGTTTACTTGGAACTTTAGTTTTTTGTTTCATGAGTTACTGAAACTCAAATAATTTATCAACAGGATCCTAAGTAATTGCTAAGGAAAACAACTACATTAAGGCTAATATATAAAGCATTCCGTTTTATAATATTAAAATAAATATTACATATATAAAAAGTTAAATGAAAAATTCCTATAGTCAGAATTAATTAACCATAAGATTCAGTTATCTTATCCAAAATTAAGTGTGTATTGTTTTCGTTTCAATTCAATATGGCATAATTTATTTGATTTTTTTTACGGTAAACTATGTTATGATAAATTAAATTTACAATATGTTTAAATATATGATTCAGATTCAAAGAGAACAGTGATATTTCAGATGAAAATAGGCTAAATAATATTATATGTTATAATTATATTTTAATTTAAAATCAATGAGAGCAAAAATAGTTGCAAATACATCTTATATAAAAATAATTATTAATAATCGGCGCATTACATTTAGTAAAGTTCTTAAATACATTAATTGAACTGAAAAAATAATTAAAATTTATCTTCTTTAAAGAAACCTTATTTTACATTAGAATAATTATAGAGAGTTAATCAATATTAAAATATAGATCAATCTTGATATTAAGTTATTTATTATAAAATCATAGATTTATTATTTTCACACTAATTCTCCATTTCTATATTTTATAAAGATTTCAAGTATTCTTCTGAAGATAATATTTCATCTTTGATCAACTTATTAATCAAGCTGAAATACTCTTGTAATTTAAGTCCGAAGGCACATACTTCCATACGTTGAAGGATTAACTTAGGCTCAAGTTAGATTCTAGGATACAATATATTACTAAGCTTCAATAATGCTAAATAGTCCTTATATCTAAATATCTCATTTAATTAAACTATGATTTCCTCATCTAAATCTATTTTATGCATAATCTCCAAATAATTGACTAAAATGAATAGACTTTTTTGAACTATTTGATTATCATTGTCTCTAAAATGTTTATATAATTCGTCTAAATGATCTTTTGATAAATGAACAGGTTAGCTAGATTGTAAATTTAAGATAGTATCAAAGATAGCGGAGGTAATATCTTTTCGACCCATGTTATTGAACAAAAAGTTTGTTACGGAATTTAAAAAGTCTTCTTAAAGATGTTCTTTCTTAAGGAATTCATCAATTAACCAAACAATCGTAATTTTGAATTCTGACATTGAATAATTGCTAATTTCAATGGCTCTTTATATTATAAATCTAAGTTTATCATCAGGGAAATTAATGAAATCAATTAAATTTCCAATTATGGAAAGTAACTAAATTTTCACTCAAATTTAAATTACATAATTTAAGCTTACTTCCTAAGTTGAAGTCTATGTGTAATTATTCATAAGCTGAATTGTTTTTTCCAATGCCACTGTCAGAACCCCTTAATCTACCATATACTTATTGCATTAATAATCTTCAACTGAACTTAAAAAAGAGATGAACTACAAATAATCTGGTTAATCAATTTCTTTTAGCAATTCGCTAATCGGATTTTCAAGAACTGCTTATCTGAAGTATTATGGAGTGGCTTATAATTTGACAATTCTTCTTTTTGCAAATTCTTTCTGCCTTTACTCAGCTCTTATTTTAATATGGAAATTCTCTCTCATTTATTTCATGTTTATTAATTAATTTATTAGCCGTGGAAATCCGAAAGACATCACGTTAGGAGTTTTACTAGATGACTCAAATAAGTAATTATGAACTATTCATTAAAAATAAAATGGAAAATATTTGACATTTTAGAACATATATTCTGAAATACCTATTTGAAAGTCAACAGGTCATTTTTTGCTGTATCACAACATATTATTCATTGATCTTGAGAATTTTAAAATTGTGGATAGAGAAATCAAATGTTTGGAGTAGCAGTATGTTATTAAATTTAATATGTTCTACTAATTTCATTAAACTTGTTTATAATTATTTATTGCCAATAGTGATCTTTATTCTATGTTCTAGTCTAAATATGATGAAATTGCTATTGAGGAAGTGAGTGAATAATGAATATTTTAACATAAATATTTAATTTTGGATATGAGAAGATTAATTGTTAATTAAACAAGAAGCAAGACAGTTGCTGCTCGTCCATCAGCAAATCTTGATCGTATCAATAAATGGTTGTAAACTTTGAGTGCTAAAGCTAACACATTAGAAAGCAGATTTTATGCATCTTAATTGAGTTCTTTGTTTAATTTCTATTCAAAACCTTCAACAGGTGCTGCTCAAGTATTGCTTGTGTTTCGATGAATAGGAAATTGATTGGAATTATTGGAAAGAGTAGATCACCACTGAAGGATTGGTTGATAAAGTTTAAAAGGGACATGATACCCTACTACAAAGGGAATTTGATGTTGAACGCATCTGTCATCAAGTTGTGTCTAGTCAAAGCAAAGAATTAGAAGACTTAGAGAATGAACTCACATTCCATAGTGCAGTCTGGAGTAACTACTATTTGGATCAACACTTGGCTTTATTAGATTTAGAATAATATGGAGACAGAAATAGCTATGTCAGTACAATAATTAATTTGAATGATTAGTTCATGAGGATTACGATTTCTATCCAGGATTAGAAGCAGACTTAGAGGAATTGACAGAGACTCACAATTGGATTCCAGGATCAAAGGATGATATCAATTTGAAGGGTTACATGGTCTCATAATTCTAATGGGGCAAAAAGATCATCTCCTTCTACAGACATCCTTGTGATGACTTCAAGGCTGCAAGAGGTACCAAGAACATTTTGGGTAGATGAGCCTTAATATATTGCAATACATTAACAAAAATTAAAATCTTTATATTTTTTACTAGGAACACAGTCCCTCTGAAATGTAACAACAACGACCACAAACTGCTCATCAGCCCAGTCTCTCTTCTAATCCAATAGAATCGCCTGCCAAAACTCTTAATATGCTGACAAGTCTACAATTATCAACCAATAGAAAATTATTAGAACAATTCCCTAAAGATGCTCATGCTGATGTGGTAATCCAAGTGAAAAACAAAAGGTTTGAATTATAAAAGGCTCATCTAAGAATTGAAAGTCCATTCTTTGATTGCGATAAATAAGTCATCTCAATTCAAGAATATGATCCAGATATTTTTGAGGGAATTCTCAAATGCTTTTATGGAGGATAATATATCATATACACATATCAAGAACTCTATCTTGCTTATCAAATATGTAGTTTCATAAAATGTGATGGTTTGTGCAAATAAATTGAAGGTTCATTTCAAATCAATAAAAAATCATTTACCTTTGCCCTCTAATTAAGTGAACTCTATGGACTCGAGGATCTAAGAGTATCTTGTTATGAATTCTTGGATAGCAACCCCGACGCATTCCTACAACTATTTGATCTTGGGATGTTGAAATTGAAGAAGAATCATAAGAAAACGACCCCTTCAGATGTCCTAGGATTAAATAAAGCTTGCTTCATTCATCTAATCTAGGCCCATAACACTTATAAAAAGACTAAATCGGAATAAAGACAATATCTAACAAATTATGAGATATTCCAAATCCTGGAATTATACAACTCAAATGAGGAGGATCTAAAAGAATTAATTGTGAAATTGATTGACAGGAATTCCCTCACAAGTGAAGAATACTATAAAATTTACCATCAATTAGCTTGTAGACAATCCCACACAATTTTAGATGAACCTCATATTCAACCATGTCATCAATCTGTAAAAGATTATCAGTAAGTTAATATATATTTAATAGATTGCAACCATAACCAGAAAAGAATTATTTTGATTATTTCGATGTGAATAAAAGTGAAAACTACTTTTACAAAAAGCGTATGTCTGAATTAGAAGACTAAAACAAAGCATTAGAATAGGAGACACAAAAGTTATCCATAGCTCTAGAAACAAGCATGAAAAATACTAATAATTTTAAAGATACATTATTAGAAACTATCACTCAAAAATTAGACAACAAATTAATTGAAAAGGATAAAGAAATAGAAAATCTCAGATAAGAACTTTTAACTCTGAAAAGTTAGATCAACCAAAAGGATAGAACTATCATAGAATTAGAAGACAGCATAAAAGATATAAATGACAGAGAAATCATTACTCTGAGATCCTAAATTGAAACCCTAAAAAGCTAACTAATTCAAAGAGGCTAAACAGTTTCTGAATTGTAATATAGTGAACCGGACTTTAATGATCAGACCTTAGAGTCCATGAATCAATTCACTACTAGTCAATTTCTTCAACAACAAGAATTGGCTAAGTCGGAGTACTAATTTCTAAAACCCCAAACTGTTGCATAAAGCCAAATATAATTAACTGTCCAATAAACTGAAAGGTTTCAATATGATGCCGAACCAGTCACTTTAGACAAAATTAATCAACTTAATTATATCTTTGATCACCTAAAAATCACAATTTTCTCTCAAATCTACCTAAGAAGACTTCAATTAGGATCTCTTAGTGGGTATGATGTTGATTCTTTTAAAAACAATTGCTCTGGAGTCGAAAATTTACTTATTTTGGTTAGGGTTTTTGATTATAATAAAATCATTGGAGTTCTCGTATTTGGAAATGAAAAGTATTTGCTAAATATATCGAATCGCCAAATATAGGAATTGGATAGCATTTTCCTATTTGAAGACAACATCATAGAGATCCCAGGCCAACTCACTATTTGCAATGGTTGTGATTCTAACACTTGTTACGGTTAAACCTCTTTGACAGGCAATAAGGAATTTGTAGTAGAAGATGTTGAAGCTTATTCAATTGAAATTAGTCATAATTTATGATAAAATTATATTAGATAAAATATGTGTCATTTTTGCTTCTTCTCATATTCAATTGGGTAATTCTCGTCAGAACAAATATACACTTAAATTTCGTTATTCTGTCCTTGTACTTTGGAACTATTCAAGTAAACCTGATATGGGTATTCAGGGTTGTTTTCTTGGGGAGTTTCTACGGATGTTCCTTTTGGCGCTGTTATTATAAAAAGCGCCTCTCCCTTATGATCAGTCTGCTAACTCTTCGATAATTCTTTGAAGTCATCATGAGTGAGAAAGGTGTACTTAGCCACTTCTGGATCACTCTGGAACTTCTCTTACAGATTCTTTTGCAAGTACTCTATCCAATAATCAATTGTTTTCTCTTCATCTTGCAAGGCTTCCAATTCTTATTTTATTTAACGAAGCTCAGTTTCCAATTAAGGATCATCCGTGGCTCCAACCCATTTGATCTTGTTTTTAGAGATTTTCTCAATATAACCAATCCCCTCTAATACATTTGTAATATCGTAAATTCTTCTTTTTTAAACCCCCAGATCATTGACAGCCACATTCAAATCGATTGTCAACTCTTCGGAATTCCTAATTAATTCAACAAACTTTTTTGTGAGCACAGATAATGAATTGTCATGTCGAGTTTTCTATTTCCCAGTACTCTTAGGTTCTTCATCATTCGACTCATTAAATGAATCTTCATAGTTTGACTCCTCTTGCTTCACCTTTTTCTCTGACTCCATTTTTACTTACTTTCGCTTCGAACTCATGTTAATATTAATTAATTCCCTTAATAAATTGAGGTATTAAGGATATAAATACTAATTTTATAATAGAATACATAAGAACTCCGCACTTAATGCATGTATTCTACTTTGTCTGTATAAACCATCCAGGAAAATATGTTAGACTTATTGCCATAGTTCATTTGTCTTAACAAGAAAACCCAATTATTAGAAGAAATATTGGTAAAACCAAGGGAAGATTTTGTTTTTTAGATTAAATGTGATATCCATATTGTTTGTTTATATATACTATAAAAAATGAATGCTGCTTAATATTTGAATTGATTTTTTGATAGTTGACTATTTTTAAAAGCTATAGATAGTGAAAAATATTATTTAGTCTTTATTCAAATAATCTGTCTTTTGTATTTTAAGATTCCTTATTTATTAGACCAAATTAGTCTTAAGCATGTCTTCTATTTTGATTGTTTACAATTCTTACTTGTTATGGTCAATATTACTGAATGAAAATATTAGATCTCAATTGTATATATTAAATGATTATTTATGATTTAATAAAGCAGAGTTTAGACATCCCCAATTATAATCATAAATCAAAATAAAATAAATTTATACAAAAAAAGTAATTCTATTCTGAGTATTCTTTTTGGATTTTCAAAAACGAGACTTAACTTTCCCTTTATAAACTTCCATAATGGCTTTTACATTTACAATCCAGGATCAAAAAATTTATAATAATTTAAGCAATCTTTTTATGAATATTTTGAGAGATAGTTCAGCAATGTTTTCATTAATTTAATTTCAGATCCTTTTGATTACTTTATTCTAATGATTTCAATAAGTAAGTATAATAATAAGTTTAGTGACTTTTCAGTAAAATTGCTAATACTTTGATTTCAACTATGAATTTACACTTTACGTATATGATCTCTCTTAAAATTGAATATTATGTTTAATGATTGGTAAAAGTATGTTTGAACAAGCTAAGTTTGCATAATTTAATTTTATAATATAAATATTCATTCTGAATTGGAATTGAGATGGCAACAAATATATAGCATGAAGAAATCAATCTAAGTCTTAATAACGATAAGAAGGCATTCGAAGATCTTAGTGGGTTTTTTAATTTACTAGCTCAGGCTCTGGAAAAGGTGGATTAAGCCAATAAGGAATTAATTGAATGTTTGAAAAAGATTCAAAAATAACTGATTTCAGAAATACCAAAATTAGCAGAAGTGGTTTCTCTGGTGGCGGAGTCAATGAGTGTGGGATAAAAGAAGAATATGGAGTATGTCGACTTGATTAAGACTAAAATAATATTAAGTTTGAATGGACAATTGGAGCAGATTAAGACGAAGTAGAAATTATTGGATGATTATAAAGCCAAAACAGCTATAGAAGCTGATAGAGATTAAAAGAGGAAGAACACAGAGCCTGCGAAGTAAAAGGAGACCTATCAAGCTTATGAATAAGCAAAGAAGGAGAAGATGTTGGCAGGATAAACACTGAATACTTAATATTAGATTTATATTAATGAGAAAAATCAAGAATTCTGTTCAATGTGGAAGCACTTTCTGAATATGCAGATGTATTGTTGTGCAGCTGGACTTCAAAGTTTCTCAAAAAGTGCTTAAGAAATTCATAATAGGGAGCAGGAAGTTAAAAAAGATGCAGAGATTTTCTTAAGTAAATTGTTAGGTAATTAAAGAAGCAAATGAATAATAATAATATATATATATTTATTTATTTAATGTAACGAGATCAAATTAATTTCTCTTATTTAAAGAGATTGTTTCCAACTTTGGAACAGATCTTGTATACTGGCAAATTCACTAGTTTGAATGAGTTTGACAAGTGTACTTAGTTGTGGCATCAGGCTGGATTTCAAGGACCCTTCTTCTTAATAAAATTAAGTGATCAATTTGTATTCATTATTCTAAATCAAAACTCAACGTAAGATTTCATAAGGACGATAAAAAAGGGCTTCACATTTGAATTGAGCAAAGGCACACAATGGTTTTATTTTAATTTTTAAGATGAATAATCAAAGGTATTCAATGTGTGGTTCTAGGAGTAATAGGATTTTGAAAATTTTAAGATTTGCATGGAGAAGATAGTAAAATGAAATTCATGATTTGTATTTTATTCTCTTACTAATCTATTTTAAATAAATTATTCATATGCAGGTTGAAACATCTGAACAATAATTTGAGGAAATATACTAAAGTTTATGCAAAGACGACAGATTTTGTTTGGATCTTCGAGTTTAATTTGAAAAGATTCTGAAGGTGGAGATGGATCGATGTCAGGCTTATCATTAATTGTCTGAATTTTTGAGTGGCCTTGCTAAAGAACCATTTTAAGACACACCAGCCTTGATGGACATGCTTGATGAACTAAAATCAGCTATCTAAGAAGTTAACTCAAAGATTAAAGAAAGGATAAATGAGGATTAGGACAAAGGCATCGCTAAATTGATAAGGACCAAGATAATCCCAAGTTTAACCGACGGTTAAAGGGCAGTAGAAACTCAAAAGAGGGCTCTGACTGAATATAAGGAGAAGGCAGCTATCTATAAAAAATTAGAATAGAAGAAAAATGACCTGTTGTAAAAGAATGACGAAAAATTGTTGTAATTAGAAAAGTAGCTCTAGGAAGCCAAGAGGGAGAAACTAGAGAAGGGTTAGACCTTCAACTTCACATACAAGAATTATATCGAAGATAAAAACGATGAGTTAAAGGGTCTTTTCAAACACTTCTTTAATAGATTATTGGTGATCTCATCAGCTGGTTTGTAACACTACGCGATGGCCATTCATAAAATACATACTACCGATGAAAAGTAATAAGTTTACACAAGATTGAGTAAATTAGGTATTATAAAGCACAAAAAATAATGATTGATTTAATTAATGTTTGTATATCTATCGTTTATATTCTCAATTGTATCATCAACTTATATTGATGTTGTAACCAAATGCGTTTGCGAAGAATTACTCGTGGATTATGATTGTAATGAAGTAAGTTATTGTTATTGGGATAATAACAAATGCATCGACATATAAGACTGTTCAATAGAATCACCAATTGATTGTCCATATGATACAAATTGTGCCTATTTGGAAGGAAAATGCACTAAATTCACTAGTTGCGATAATTATGTCGGTGATAAGAGTTCATGCGAAGCCATTTCAATTTTATGTACGTCATTGGATGGAAAAAAATGCTAAAACAAGGTTATTCCAAGTTGTTCTGATTATAATGAGGAGGATTGCAATTATCAGGAAGGAAAAGAGGGAGAATGTGGATTTATTGGTGACAAGTGTTAGGTTATAAAATAATGCAGCGACATTGATTAGATCAAAGGGGAATTTGAATTCATGAAATGCATCTTAAATATACATTCATGCAAGGTGTCCAGCTCCAAATGTGTCCAAAAGAAATGCTCAGATTTAACCGATTCAAGTAGTTGTTAGTACATTCACGCATTCGATCCATTTGACCATCCTTAATCTGTATAATTATGTAAGTGGGAAGACAGTCGTTGTGTTGAGGCAATGCCAAACGATTTAAATGAAGCAACTTGTTTCATTGACACTCAGTATTCATACCTTTGGAATCCCAATTCAAAGACTTGTTAAAAATGCAATGGTCCCCCCAGTCCACCAAATCCAGATAATTTTGGAGTCATCATAAGGGTTGCCATAATGATATTTGTAATTTCATAATGATATTGATATTGATAATATTTACAAATCAAATGACATCAAACTACATGGAAGTTGATTAATATTCTGCCAGAGTGCCGAATGAACATTAAGCTATTTTATCCAACAGAGGAGACTAAGAATTCAAGTAAATTGAGTTTATTAAATAATGCAATAATGATCACCAAGATCCCACTATTCTTAGTCTCAATGAACAACTAATTCTGGCTGATAAATCTATTTATACTGAAATCATTAAATTGGAATCTAGATTGTAAGACATTGATTAAAAATTTCTTCCTTTTGACGACATTGATCTAGATGAAAGGGAAAGAAATGAAAAAATGAAGGAGCTCACTAAATCTTCATAGAGTGAGAATCAGAGACTAGATATGAAGAGAAAAAACACATAAGTTTAAAATTATTGGTTTACAATTAATCCAGATAGCACAATCAAAATACTTTGGGATTTTTTTTGTATGATTTTAATTCTGTATGAAATTATTACAATTCCAATCAGAATTAGTTTTGATATAGAAGTTAGTAGTGAATTCGGTTATGTTATTACAGCAGCCTTCTTGCTGGATATCATACTTACCTTTAATACTGCCATCTACAAGAATGGCAATATCAACTATTCCTATAAAATAATAGCAATTGAGTACTTGAAATTATGGTTTTGGATTGACATAATCGCATCATTTCCTTATGATTTATTCTTTACCTTAGCTGTAACAGGGGATGCAGAGGATGAAATTTCCACCCAACATGCAAATCTCTAAAAAAGTGCTTAAATCCTAAGGGTTTTAAAATTCTTTAGATTCATCAAAGTAATCAGGTTATTGAGGTTGGCCAAATTGAAAGTCATCGTCGATAAAATAGAGGAATACTTCTCAGATAATTCTGCTATCTAAACCATAGCGAGCTTTTTGAAATTATGCGGCTTTGTATTGTTTTGGTCACATTGGCTAGGTTGCATATTTCATTTTATTGCTCAGAGTGAAGACTCTTCCTATAATTGGCTGACAATTTATGGAATATATGATCAACCTTGGTAAGTTAGGTATATTAATTCTTTGTATTGGGCTGTCACTACCATGATTACAGTTGGTTATGGGGATCTTTCACCTTAAACTCCCTTAGAGAGATTTTTTGGAGTGTTTTTTCTGTTGATTGCTTGTGGGGTCTTCTCATTTACCATGAATACCATTGGTAATACTATGCAATAACTCAGTTAAAAAAAGGATCAATATTAAAGGAGGATAGCAGAGATCAATGGTTATATGGGAAAAGTTAAGATTCCGAAACAATTATAGAATCAAGTGAGACGATATTTGTAATACCTTTGGGACTCACATCGTAGTATAAACTTGGAGTCGATTTGTCAAAATCTTTCAACTTCCTTGAAATTTGAATTCACCATACAAGTCAATGGAACTATATTGGCTAATTATAAATTAATTTGTTAAACTTTTTCTAGGAAACTGTTGATTGAGTTGACACAAATTTTAATTGAATAAACTATTCAACCTGATGAATATGTCTTCTTGGAAAATGAGATCAAGAATGAATAATCACTCTATTTTATTTAAGAAGGATAAATTAATATTATTTTAATTAAAACAAGATAAATAGTAGCTAGATTGTCAAATAAAGATGTTTTTGGGTAAATCAGTTTTTTTGGTAATACTGAAAGAACAGCATCTGCTAAAAGTAATGGATTTACTGATGTTTTTGTATTAAAAAGATAGAATTTCATTGATTTATTATCTTAATTTCCCGAAGACAGAGAAAAATTCTTCTTTATTAACTCTGAGGTTAATAAGAATCAGCTCTAAGTTTTAGATATTCACTGCTATTCTTGTGATTTGCCAGGACATGTAATAAAAGATTGTCCTTCTTTACACTTTGTAGTTGATTTATATGCGTATCAGAAGACTAAGACTAGATGCCTCTAAGCAATTATGAAAGATTTTGTGAGAATTGACAGAATAAATTATAATGCCAGAAAAAATAAACTGGAAATAGTAAGCAAAGTGGAGAGTTTTCAGATGAAAATTTCGATTCATAATTACTTAAAGGAAGAATGCAATGTTGATGATTTGATATAAAATGGAATAGAAGATGAGTCTATAAAGAAAGGTTTGAAACTTAAGTCTAAATTTAAGGAAGATAGGAATAGGAGGAGGAATTGGTAATAATCACTGAAAAAATCATAAAAATAGATACAATAAATACAAATTAAACAGTAGGAAATATTTAGTTTAACCAAGAGTCTCTCTTAAGCGATTATATCATCGAACAATAGTGACAATTCTATAATACCAAGTATCAACCAATTTAGGAATCATCTTGAAAGTGACGAAGATAGTGAATGTGGAACCTATATCTAAAACAAGATGGATGACATTATGGCTGATTATTAAATATTCAAGGAGGAAGTACAGAAGTATAATGGAGGTTAGCAATCAGAACTGAGGAAAAGCGATGAAATACTCAATGACTTTGAGTAAGGATATGATTACAATATCTTTTATCCTCATAATAATATTTCAATAGTTTTAAAAGAGTATAATGCATTTTAGTAAGGCAATTAAGTTAAACCAAACATTGATACTTTATACGATTCAAATGTCTATTAAGAATATATCTCATATTATGTAATAGACATTGAGGACATAAGAAGATTCAAATTGCAACTCAACCCAAATCGAATCAAATAGTTTTTGCCATTTACACAATAGCTCTAATCACAATATAGTAGATAAGTAAAATTAAAATATAACTATAAAATAGAAAAAGAAGGATTAAGGGTTATTGAGAAAGCCAAAGAAGTCATTGAAGTAAATTGCAAAGACGATAATGTTGGCGAGAAAATTGATATGAATTCTGCTACTATTTTATAATTTAATAACAAATTATTAACTGATATGAAGCACTATAGAGATTCTGTTAGTCCTCAGGTTCGACAATTTATTAAACAGTTCCATACTTGTCAGAAAGAATAGAAACAAGACAAGTAAACGAGCACAGAGGAAAGCAACTCATCAATAATGGATGAAAGATAGGATGAAATAAATATAAAGGAAGTATTCCTGAAATTGCCAAATGAAGAGGTGCAGGAAAATAGATAACCTTATTTAAAAATATCAAAGACTCCCACTGTTTGTTCAAATAACAATTCTCTTTCTAGTTTTGATTAGGATAGATATGTTGATTTCATTGTGTAAAAAGTGGTCGAAGAGATGGAAAGGAGAAACACGAGTAAAAGACAACCAATGTTGAGCATTTAATAGAATACAGTTCAAGTCAAGATAGCTCCTAAAAGTGAGTTGGATTATTTTGATGATGATTCATTCATTCGTCACATGTATGATGATTAAGTGTATTGATTAGACAACAAACTCTATTGAATCCTCATCATACACCGAGGAAGGTTCATAATTTCGAAAGCTTCGATTAGCGATAGAAACAATTCCAAATTTAAAGAGAACAGAAATTGCAGAAGCAAAGAGAGGCATAATAAATGACTAAGTTAGTGGATGAATTCAAGTGTTACTTGATACGAACAAGAAAGAGTGGAGGATTTTGAGATTAAGTGTATATATACTTACTTAGATATTAAATCCTAAATATAATTATTTATTTGATATGTCTCTCTTGATTCTAAATGCTAGTAATAGAATTGCTTAAGGATTCTTAAAAGTAGCTGCTGAAAGTGGTAAGTATGAAAAGATCATTTGTGCTGATATCTTCCCAACATACTTCACAGTTCAAAGATTACTTAAATTCAAGCAATAATTCTCAACCAAAATAGAGTTATTCAAAGTGGGTGATCGTCAAGATCTCCATGATGTAATCAAATAAGCCAACAATCTCCTTTATGTGAGTCATGACTATTACTAAGTAACAGCATCCAAAAAAAACTTGTTGGTAGCCTCTCTAGATTTGGTCAAAACCAGAAACTACAAAACTGCGGCTTATGTTGCTCCAGTCGAACATGATCATTAGGAAGAAATTGATGAATGGAAACATTTGGAAGTTGAAGGTCGTCGCTCCATCCCTCAATTAGTTGGAATCAGATCTGATATTACTTTCGGACCTTAAAGCACATTTACTAATTAAATTGCTTAGAGAATATAAAATAATCAAAGCATTTACATCAAAAGCACAGGACAATCATGTGCCCCAATCTTCACTGGAGATTTAGAGGCAATTGTCGCCAGAGTTCTTGCAGGCGATCATGCTGGCAAATTGCTCTTGGCCAAAGGACACAAGCATATAGATTTCAACTCCATTATTCATTTAATTGAGTAGAGCGTCAACCATAGAGCTCAAACTAATAGTTCTTTTATTGAAAAGGTAATTTGTTTATTATAAACTCAAAAAGATCATTCATCCAACCAACAACTGCATTATTGGACAACAATTATATTGTCCCTCATACATTAACTTAACCAAATTGATAGCCAATTATAAGGCTCTTGAGAACACTGGCTATGATTAAGTTGTTGGAGATAATTTAGTAGATATTCAGGAGTATCACAACAAAAATACAACTGTCGTCGATCAATCATTAAAAACTGACTATGAATTAAGCTATTTAATTGGCTGAATAAGTGAAATATAATCAATAAAAAGTACAGAAATATTATTTTTTCATATTATTTCAAATTTATTTAGTTATATTTAAATGATAAATAGGATTCTATTTTTTGATTGATCATATTTTAAATATATTTATCAAATTAATCATGATATAATAAATGGACCAAAATACCTTATAGATTAGATGTCAACGTAGGCATTTCTTAAAAGACAAACAGTATCATCTTTTGATCGAGGACGGTCGCATACAAATATCTCAAGTAAGAAAACATTCTCACTAAAAGAGTCAGTAAACTTTCAATAATCAAAGTACATCCTCGACCTGCTGTTCCAAAATCTAGTATTTTGGAAAACTGAACAAAATAATCTCGTTGCATTTGGAATCAAATATAATAAAACACTTAAATGGTTTCATGCTGAGAAAACTGATTTAGAAGCCTTGTATAGAGAATTGCATACTCGTATATTCTTTGGAAATATATCCTCAATATATGAGAGTCAGGAAGTGATTGGTGCTGGAGCATCATGCAAAGTGTATAAAGTTGTTAACAAGATTACACGTTATGAGTTTGCTTCAAAGTGCATCAGAAAAGATTATATATTTAACAAAAAGAATCAAGAAAGATATGTAAGAGATTGTTATATGATAGAATCGGCTGATCTTGGAAATAGAATTAATGAAGTTAGTCGATCATAATTCAATAGTGAAAATGGTTGACCTTTATGAAGGCGAGAAATCTTACTACATAATTATGGAATTACTAAAAGGAGAAACGTTGTACTAATTTAGCAAAAAAACATAATTGAACCTTCTTTAAATAAAGTTAATCATGAGCGTATTGTTATGATTAAAATCATTAGAATTGCTTGAAAGGACTATGCTATTTGAATTTTCATAATATCATTCATAGAGATTTGAAATTAGAAAACTTAGTGCTTTTAGAACCAAATAAAGTTGAAACAGTTAAAATTATAGATTTTGGATTAGCAATTCCATTGTCAACACCTCAACGTTAGATATGTGGAACTCCTGGTTACATTGCACCAGAAATGTTCATTGATAAATATCCATACACTGCAAAGGTTGATATGTTTAGTTTGGGTGTCATCTTTTATAGGCTGCTGAGTAGAAAATCTTTGTTTAGTGGAAATAACAGTGATGAAATACTTGAGAACAACAAGAAGTTTAGGTGCAACAATCATCTCAAGGACTGTTCTAATGAGATTTCAGATTTGTTGAAATAAATGTTGTAAAAAGATCCCAACAAAAGGATTTCTCCAGAGTAAGCTCTTCGACATCCCTTCTTTGATGACACTATTTCAGGTATGATGACACTTAACCTTCCTATTTAGGAGACTTAGGTGTGGCAGATGAAAGTCCCCATGAAATTGTCAGAGCATTCCCACTCATCAAACCTATGTAGATCACCAACTCGAATGAGAACATCTCAGATAACAAGATTCAAGTAATCAGGGGAAGTCAACCGAGTTTTGAGTAGAGTATAGGATCAAATTACTCTCCTTCGTTTGATGATATTAATAAAAAATCAAGGAATGGGAGCGATCACATTATTGAATGATTAAGTAAGTGTTCATAATAAAAACTTAGTATTCATTATTTTATTTATTCTTTATTCTTATTTATCATTCAATGTTGATTTGTATCTAGGAACTGAAGTATTAAGCAATTTGGTACAGATTGCCTATGCCCTCACTTTGTTGTCATCATTATGCAGGACGAACTAAATTTATTGGTGCAATTTTGCAGATTTAAGCTTTTGTCGATCGATCAATCTTTGTTATGCTTTTTAACTACCTTCTTTGCCTTATTCTTCATTTAATTTATTTCTTTCTCCCTGAAATTCAACTATCTTTTCTTGTAAGACCTGAGTGAAGCTGCGGTCCAAACAGGATTCATTGATGAAATCTTTTAGTTTCCGTTCGGCTTCGAATTTCAAGGCACTCAATTATTTATTAATATCTTTTTCATCGCCATCTCTTTTCCTTATATTATCCATTTTATCGAAGATCGATACGAGGGGTTGTAATTTGGTTTAAATTTTCTGGGAATTCAAGGAAATGCTCCTCATTCTTTGTTATTGCAAAACATCTATAACTTATTTGTATTCTTTAAATTGACAATGTTGCCAAGCCAATTCGATTTGTTCGTTGTTGCAATTGACGATGTTGTGATCCTGGAGGATTTTCAAGAATTGTGGTTTTTAGGTTGGTTTTTCAATTCTTAGAGTAGCAAGTAAGTGATGTGTTTACATTCTTATATCTCAAAATATAGAAATAGAGAAAAATGATTTTCAAAAGAAAGGTCATTGTCTTCTCATCTGTAATGAGTTTAGATTGATGTTGAAGGAGAAATTCTCTTAAAAAATACTGGTCCTACTTCTTTGTTGATTCTGTTCGATATTGCAATCCCAAACCCTGAAGATAAAGGACTATTCTCCTTTCCACTTATCTTTGTTCGTTACTTGCTATTTCGTGAATCCAATCGAAAGACTCTACTGAATCAATAATGCTCATTAAATTATTTCAATTATATAACTAATCAAGAATTCTTAGAAAGTATGAATTTAGCATGCTGTTTCAAATCTTCAATATCTTCTTCGGTTTTCATTTCACCCCACTCCCTGAGTCTTTTTCTCAGATTCTCTATATGTCTTAAGAAAGACAATTAATATTCGATAATTACTTTTTTTGTTGCATCAATTTCTCACTCAAATCACTGGGGAATTGATAATCTTAATCTACTTTAAAAAAGAGATCTTGTTTCATCTGTTCCATCTCCTGGTTTATGTAGGGCTGCAGAATCTCTAGCGGAATCTTCATCTGCTGTTTCCTCGGTTCCTCACTCTGCCGTGCAGTTAAATTAGGATTGATCAATCGGTTATTCCCCCTCTTCTTTGTTTCAATGGGAGGGTAAATTAGAGTTCTTTCGGTTTTTGGACTGGGAAGTTTCAACATTGCCCTATTGAGGAGTGAGAGACAGGAAGGGATACTCAGTTTTATGGTCAATTTTGATTTGATAGTTGAATTTGAAGCTCATCTTTTTTCTCTTCTCTGGGATGATGTGATTTTTGTTGTATTGCCAAAATTGATCAGGAGTGCAATTTCTATTGGAGGGGGATCTGGAAGTGTTGGTGTGCAATTTATGTTTCTCTGAATTGATGCGAACCAAACGATTCATCTGATCCCGTTCTCGAATGAATGGAATGAATTCATGCATCTATTCCCCACCCTTACACAATTCCTTCATTAATTGAAATCTGGGAAGCGTTGAGTTTGATTGGCCAGAATAATATTCGTTGAAATCGTTCTTTAAGTTAGATTTGTAATTGTTAGAGTGCATATTAAATTAAATGAAGAAGAGTTATTAATTTAGAGCTTTATTTTATAAAAATGCTGCTCTATAATCTCGCTAGATTGGGACCAATCTATGTTAGATGTTCACTCCCCTCTTGTGTCTAGGATTTGTATATTTGATTTAGGAGGTGGCATTCGACCAATTCAAAGGAGCCAATTTTTCATTGGATTTTCCCTATTTGTTCAATGTGCCTGTCATATACTCAGGATTGCCAGGATTACTGAATTTGACATGTTTGCAATGGTACGAAACGATACTTTATTCTAGGTATTACTTCAACAGCTCCCAGTTGCGAGAATAGGACAAATAGTTTTTGGGCTATAATGATGGAAATTAGTAAGCATTGTGCATATTAAAATAAGATCCCTTGGATTGTTGCGACACATACTCCAACGTCCGGGATGCAGTTACGAAACACAAGACCATGAATTAGCATTTAAAAACGTGCCATTCCTATAGTAGCCCAATAGCACAATAAATTAGGATATTTATCATCAAATAGAATATTTACACACAGTGGCCTTTTGTGAGAGGCTCCGATCTTCCAAGGTATGCATCTTATATTACTTGTCAGACCTCTACCTAATTCCTGACGGAGGATACACATTCTTCGAAGCTAACGAAAAGAAGATCAACATGAGTATTCAAGTAAATGACATCAGATTGCACGAGTATCACAGAAGCAACGGCATAACCAAGATAAGGTAATCCCAATCAACAAACCTCTCTCTAGATACCAAAACAAGGTCTAGCCCAACAAAACCAACACCATGATGTTAGTGGCCGAAGGGTAAATAGCAACCATCGATCTCATCTCCAGAGCTTTGCTGCATTATCACAACCCCAATGTTTGGCTGGTCTCCGGAATCGAATACATGCCACTCAAGGGACAGGATAAAAGCTTTCCTCTTGAAATTGATCAATGTCATTCGGAGCCATGCTCTATCCGTTGTCACTTTCTCTCTTACTCCCTGTCTTTTTGTATGCAATAGTCCTGGAGAAGGAGGAGAGACTCTTGCAGATGATGAAAATGAATGGAATGAAAATGAAGGATTATTGGATATTGTAATATCTATTCTCAGGATTGATGACTCTATTAACCTGTCTCCCTCTTCCTCTTCACAGGCATATACCTGGTAGGAATATCATTGCTTACAGATACTAATTTCAAACTTCTTGTAATCATTTTCAATATCTTATTAGGTCATTGTCTTAACTGGATGGGGATTGTGCTAGATTTCATTGTCGTTTTTCTTCCAAGTCTTTGTAAGCAAAGCCAGAACAGCTACCATTATTGGATATTTGCTCTCAGTTTGGGGGTCCATTATTGCACTAACTGCCAATCTCGCCATTTATCCAGATCCCTATGAGATACCAATCTATTTATAAATGATACCCCAAATAGCCTTCAACAGAATTGTCTACATCTTCTCAATGGGTAAATCTATACATTATTATTTCAGCTTGCGCTCAAACAGGTTGCATAAGTTAATTAAGTCCTTTGACTAGTGAGATATAAGGATGCATAATTTCACTCTATGTAAATTTCATTGTATTTGGCCTTCTGGGTGTTTATCTTCATGAGATAATTCCACAAGAATTTGGAGTTTCAAGTGAGCCTTGGATTTTTAGATTCTTCAAAAAGAGAAAAATAGAATTCAGAGATGAGGATGAATACAAAATCAATATTCAAGATGCTCAAGAAGATTAAGACTCTAAAAACGAAAGGGAAAAGGTGTACAAAATCAAAAACTATGAGGATTATCCACTCATTTGTAAGGACTTGAGGAAAACCTATTAAAATAACGTGGCTGTTAAATGTTTTTGTATTGCAGTTGAATAAGGTGAAATCTTTGGATTGTTGGGTCCAAATGGAGCTGGAAAAACATCTATTTTATCAGCCATAACTGGGTTGTATTCATGTAATGATGGCGAAGCTTATGTGGGTGGATATAGCATTAAAACTAATATGCAGTCTGTTCAGATGAATATTGGGGTATGTCCTTAATTTGATTTATTATGGCCAGAATTGACTGTTGAAGAACACTTACTGTCTTATGCTAGATTAAAAGGAATAGACAAACAGAACGAGCGTGCCAAAGTGCAATAGAGCATGGCAGAAGTCAAATTAGAACCTTATTTCAACTATTATGCAAATCAACTATCAGGTGGCATGAAGAGAAGACTCTCAATAGCTATTGCACTCGTAGGTGAACCATTGATAATATTCCTGGATGAACCCTCAACTGGATTAGATCCTGATAATAGAAGGCAACTTTGGGACATTATATCTCAATGTAAAGGCAAAAGAGCCATGGTGCTTACTACTCACTCAATGGAAGAAGCAGATGTTCTTTGTACTAGAGTAATTATATAATGTGAATTCTATTGTAGATTGGCATCATAAGTTCTGGAGTCCTTAGATGCATTGGCTAATCAACACACTTAAAGAGTATCTATGGAGGTGGTTATCATCTGTTCATTAGCTCCCATAAGGAACTTTATCTTTAAAAGAATAATGATCCTCATAAGTAATTACATTATTTTAGTTTAGCCAATACTATTATTAAAATATGATAAAAAGCTATTTAAAAAGTATTTTACCCCAAGCCCTTCTTGTGTAAGAATTTAATGGTAACTTCATCTACCAAGTGGAGAAAAATTAATTAGTAGTTTCTGAAGTTTTTCAGTCCATAGAATCGAAGAAAGAAGAACTGAGAATCTAAGATTGGGGAATAAGCTAAGCTACTTTGGAGGACGTATTTATGAGAGTTGTAGAAATGTGATATTTAAATCAATCAGTTATTGTGTTTTTATCGTAAATTTGTCTTATGTATGTCTATATTGAATTATGGATGCTAGAATTTCGCTACTTTAGTTATCGGTATAAACTAAGCTGAATCGATTTCATTTGATTAATACAAGGCAAGGCTTTGTTGTTTTGGGTGATCTCAGTTTTCCTCTGTTGAGGATTTCGAACTGCTGAGGTATCTCTTGAGTAATGTCGAGTTTCTTCTATTGTCCTTTGGGATTTTGGAAGAGATTCATAGATGTGCTACGAGTCGAACCTTTAAATGGACTTTTTGGATTAATAGACTTTGTCCTGGTGATTCGACTCACTTCTCTACTCTCTCCTCAGTAATGGCACTTTGCTATTATTTGGAACTCCCTTTTCTCCGATTTCCTTGCCTAAACAGTACAGTCTTAAATTGGTTTAACTCTTGATTGTTAGTTCTAAAGCCATCCTTGTGATGTCAACAAGATGTTGAACTAAATTCAAAAAAACTGACTATTTGCTTTGGCTAGGCTTCTCACTCTATAACAATTCTGCTTTGGATGATAGTCCAAAATATTGATATAGTTCAAAGATGATCCTAGTTGTTGAACCAAAATTGGCTTCTAGATTATTGATCTATAATATATTTCTAACAAAGAACTTCGAAGTTAAGTGCGATGATTCTGATGATGAATCTCAGAGTTTCTTGTAAGAGTATGAGATCATTTTTACTAATCTTCTTTGCTTGAGATAGTTGATTCAGGAAATCAGTTTCAATTATCTGTCGAATCTTCTCCCTATACTCAGAAAATCAAATAATAGTAATACTTATTTGTCTAATTGCCATTTGACTATTTTGCAACTGCCGAATATCTTATGCTCTATCTCTCAACAAATCCATTACATTCATTATATTATTTAAAACGAAATAAACATATATATATGTAAATATTATATTATATATCATTTATATTATATATTATAAAAATGAAAAACATTTGATCCTACTCTAAACTCTTTGGGTAAATGCAATCTATTACTTTATTTAAATATGTATACTTTTTCTATGTGTAGCAACCCTCCCCTCCCTTAATTGATTTTATTCATCCAATTATTTGACTTTAATCCTGAGAGATTAGTATTTAGTTGTTTTCATATTTTCATTATTCCTTACATTAAAAATTATAAATAATACTATTAATCAAATACTTTTATAAAAAGTTTAATATCATTCTTCATAATAGAAATGTGGTATGACTCGCCGTTAATTTATAGTAGTTGAATTGTCACTAAACTCTTGAGTGAATGAAGGTTCTGAAAATTGAAATTCCTCAGTTTCTAACTTACCATTTGCGCCGTAGTAACTTAAACAACTTTAATTTGGTTTAAGTGCTTCATATGAAATAAATAATACCTATAGTGTAGGGCTAATCAAATTCAATCTTAATAGCCTTATTAAAGCACATTTTCCCTATGTGATTGCAATAATCTATGTTTGGTAATACATCGAATGTATCTTCATAAATGACCTTTTTACTAAAAATACAATTAATCAATGCTAAACCTATTGACATTTGCACCTTCAAATACTTGAATCGTAAATGAGAAGTGGTTATTCCAGACCTAGTTGTAATTTCATACAAGCCAACTCCTGATAACCATATATCATGTTTCTTTTTGGATCTAAAACTTATAGCATCAGTTTCCTTTAAATTCCATTACTCATATGTCAACTAATATCTGTTTTAACTAGTAAGTATTTTGACTTATTTTTTAATTGGATTTTAACAAGTTTCATATAGCCTATTAAGATCGAGAAGACACTTAAATTTAAGAAATAACGTACTTTCTCAAGCCAATATTTGCTTTCTCTTTCTATAACCTCAGCTATTTTTATCAGCTTTTAAGCCGACTGATTTATTTCTGATTCTCTAAGGATCCAAATCTGTCCATCACAAGTCTTTAACAGAGGTTCAATTTTTTCGATAGCTTATTCAATTTATTCTTTTTGTAATTTCTACTTATTTAATACGGAAATGGATTTTTCAAAAGCATCTCCAACAAATAAACCTGCCTCCAAGTCTAAGACTTTAATTTGTTTTTCGATTTCTTTTTCTAATTTGTTAAGAATCTCTTTGATTCGGATTAGATTTTATCGAAAGGTTTGTTTAATTTTATGATGTTTCTCAAATATTTAGTTCCCTTTGTTATACAATTCCTATTGGTTTTTAGGATTATTTGCTTTATTAAGATTCTGTACGATTGTTTTTAAAGGAAATACGTTATTTACATGTTCTTAATGACAGTTTAACAAACAGAAGGAACATATTAAACCTTTATTTTGGCATTCTTTGTCCAAACAAAATAAATTTAGTGGATTTCCAGTATGATCTTTGTCCTAACAATAGATGACTTCCATAAAATTAATTACTAAAATTATATCAAAGTTGAAAAGTCAATTTTGTATTTTCAGAAATACTTTAACAAAGTCGTTTTATTTCTGGCAATAACTGATTGTTAGTGCTGAATTTGCTTATAGTAAAACACTATAAAGAAAGATTTAATCTCTATAGCTAAAATTGATGGAGAACCTGGTTTTATTAATGATTGCAACAATATTTAATGAGTAACAAAGTTAATGTGAAATTTCAAAATGTAAATAAAAATAAGGAAAGAAATTATATTATTAATTCTTTGACTTCTCATTTATTTATTAAATTATTTATGTTTAAAGTATCTAAACAAAAAATTCAGGAGATATTGTCTTCTGGATTAACTTAAAATCCTCAAGACAGCATGGTAGAGTTCAATTCGACAAAGCGCTTTGAAGATTCTTTAAAATGCAAAATTACTTAAGGATTGAGTGAGAATGACATAGCATTGAGGCAACAGGTATTTGGGGTCAATGAGATTGAGAATTTGGATTCAATAGGTTTCTTGAATGCATTCTGTATTATTTTACTTGTAAGCAATCAATTTAACTAAGAAACCTAAATCAATATTCTTCTTAACCTTGTCATTAATTGCATTCAGTTTAAAATATTTGTCCACATAAGGAATTTATAGAATTGAATGGATAGAAAGTTTAGTTATATTTGGATTAATTTCTTTGAATCTCATAATATCAGCTATTCATGTAAAATTTCAATTAAATAAACAAAGTTGAAAATTGCTGATAACAATAAAAAAAAACTTTTACTTTCAGATGAATAATCTAAATCTGTAAAAGTGTTGAGAAATGGTCAAGAGTAAACTCTAATAGCAAGAGATCTTGTGGTTGGTGATGTAGTCATTTTGTAAGAGCATGATTAACTCTATGTAGATGGATTGATTGTTGAATAAAATAATTTAGAAATTGATGTACTTGTTTGTAATTACCTCATCTTTAGGAGAGTTTCTTAACAGGGGAACAGGATTTGATTTGTAAAATTACGTTAGAGGAAGCAACCCAAAAGAAATAGCCAATTTCCCCATAGAAACACTTGGCCTTTGCATAGTCCAAAGTAATCAAGGGAAGTGGAAAGCTATTGGTCTTGGCTGTTGGATTAGAAAAATAAGCCAGCAGAATAATGGTGTGTGTTAAGTAGGAGGACAATAAGACACCCATCTTGTCAGCAATTGAAGCTATTTCATCTAAAATGGAAACTATTGGATTCGTTGGAGCTATAGTTGTTATCTTTATGCTTCTGGCTAGATACATGATAGAGTATCATAATTCCGATGTTAATGGATATAGTACATTTTCAAATATCCTTAATCTAATCATTGTGTTAATATCTGGAAATGCTTCCAAGGCATTGATCACTCATTTCTAATTGTAATTAGCTTAAACTGTGAATTTGATGCTATACTAATAAAATTTGGTTAAAAAACTCAATTAATTGGAAAATCTGCCGTTTATGGACTAAGTAGTTTTTGTTATAATTTTTTAGTTGCTTTTTGACAAAACAGGAACTCTCACCCAAAATCGAATGTAATTGGAAAGATTCATGAATGATACAACTGATGAATTGACTTAATCAAAATTTAATCACTTCCCTTAAGAATTCCAAAAGGCATTTATTGATGCCTGTTTTATTAATAATACATACAATCCGGAAACAAATTCAGGATCTCCTATTGAAAAAGCCTTGTTATAGGTAGCTTAAGATATGAGACTCAATTTAGAGGAGAGAAAGAAATAAGTGACTCATCAAATACCTTTTAATAGTACTAGAAAGAAATTGGTAAGAAAATTTATATAATTGGTTAGACTACAATTATTAACAATAATAGGGTGGTTGTAAGGGGAGCATCTGAAATAATACTTCAATAGTCAATTAAGTTTTATAGTTTGAAAGATGGGATCGTTGCGATTGATGATTTTATGAAGGATTGTTTGGAATAGAATTTGATTTAATTGAGTCAAGAAGGTAGAACACTTGCTATTGCTTATGCAGATGTGGACTTGAAAAATTAAAATGTAGATCAGTTGATAGAAGGCAATAAATTTGAATTTGACAGATAAAATTTAACTTTATTAGGGTTCTCTGCTATTTTTAGATCCTTTGAGAATAGAAACAAAAATGACAGTTGAAGGATTGAAGTAGGCTGGAATCAAGGTTGTAATGGTAACAGGGGATAATTCAACAACTGCAAAAAGTGTTGCCATTTAAGGCTGGAATTATGGCTTTGGACTCAATCATAACAGAGGGAGTTGAGTTTGCCAATAAATTACAAAATAAAACAGAAGATTTTAAGAAAGACATTGAAGATATTTATGTCATGAGCAGGGCTAGACCTGATGATAAGTATAATCTTGTCAAGGAATTATAGGAATTAGGTCATGTGGTAGGAGTATGTGGTGATGGCACTAATGATTGTAAAATAACTACATTATATATAATTAGGTCCTGCAATATCTAAGAGTGATATTGGTTATAGTATGGGAATATCAGGGACTGAGATGGCTAGAGAGAGTTCCGGTATTCTATTGTTGGACGATAATATTCATTCTATTTATAAGGGAATCATTTTGGCCAGGAATCTCTTTGATTCAGTCAAAAGACTGGCTCAGTATTAAATAACTTCACACTTTTCGTTGATTATTATTCTAATCGCTTCATCAGCAATTGGAGATACTGTAATATCACCACTTTAATTTATTTGGATAAATTTAATCACTGATTTATTTGCTACATTTGCTTTGTCTTATTGCAAACCAAGTTCTTATTTGTACCATTAAAAACCTCCTAGTAAAAATGGATTTCTCTTGGATACCATTGTTTACATTCGCATTGTAATTCTTGCAATTTACATCATAACTGTTTGCATAATTTTCGTCCATTAAGTAATTACTCGACTTATTTATTTAGTCCTCGATGGTATTCAATTTGTTTGTGATGATTACTTTGTTTAATTTGATTAATTCTCGTATGGTGTACTTGGAATTCAATGTATTTAGTGGATTCTTTGGATCGTGGATGATTTATTCTTCAATTCTGATAATAGGATTACTACAATTCTTAATAGTGGAGTATGGAGGAATAGTAATGTAAACCTTTGATGGGTTGAGCTTGAATTAGTGGTACAATTGAATGTTCATATCAAAGGTTTATTTGTATTGTTATTGGAATCGGCAGTGTAATTTGGAGAACGATAGTAATACTGATTATAAGGCCGATGATTGTAAACAATCAGTTGTATATATTAGAAGAGTGAGAAATAATAAAAATTAAAAGTTAGTTGAGATGAATTATTGAAATAATCATTTTTATTATTATTAAATAAGAAATGAAATTAGTCAGGTTTCTGATGAAGCTCAAGAATGAGCAGGTCATTGTTGAATTAAAAAATGGGACCGTTGTCTTAGGAACAATCACAGGAGTGGATGTTAGAATGAATACACATTTAAGCAAAGTGAAATTAACATTGAAAGGAAAGAATCCTGTGGGATTGGATTAATTGACAATAAGAGGTTTGCTGAGTATCATTACATAGGAAACAATATCAGATACTTCCATTTGTCTGAAAATTTGTAAATCGACAATCTCTTGGTGGATGAATCCATTTCTAAATCAAAGAAAGTGAAAGCAGGAATGGAGAAAAATGATCCAAATTTTAAAAGGAAGAAGAAGAATAAAGTCACTCGTTTACCAAGAAGATGATGATTTAGCATTCCCAATATTAATTTATCACATATAAAAACTTCTATTTCTTCATTAAAATTAAATTGTTTTATTATTTGAATTTCTCAAACTTAAACAATATTTATACATAACTATAAAATAAATAAATTAAATTAAGAGTATCATTCAAATGCATAATTAATCAAATGGATTTTGAATAATATAAATAAAATGACAGAATTAAAAAAAAGATTGAATTCATCTATGACGTGGGAAGAGTATGTGACTTATTTTGAAAAAGAACCAAAGAAGCCTACTCTAAAGCCAAAATTAAATCCAGATCTTCTCATTGATCCCTTGGATCTCCTGAGTGATGCTACCACTACTGACAATTTCGAGTCCTTCTACCCAGAAGTGACTGATAAATTGGAACAAATCTAAGTTCTGCCCTTTGAACAATCTCAAAGAAGACAAAGAACCTACAGTGAGAACATTTCCTTCACATTCCTTAGTTTCATATAGAAAAAAATTGAAAGAAAGTAATCAGATTGAATTATACTAATTATTATATATCTAATCACTTTGTATATAACTTATTTTCCCTGAGACGATCCTCAAATTGTCTCATTCTCTATTCAAGTTGCTCCTTATTTTTCTACAAATCTGTTAATCTTGATTTTATCGTAGAAAGATTCGTCTTCTCATTATTATTATTGCTCTTCTCCCGTATTGAACTCTGAGGTCTCTCATTCAACACCTCCTTCTTCCGTTGCTTTTCCAAAGATTGATACTTCCCCTCCCTATCATGGTCGGTTTTGCAGAATTTGTTTTTCTACAGACTATCCTCAAATTAATTTTCTTGGATCATGGTCTTGACAGGACTCTTCACTTACTATTGACAAGAATAGTTTTGTAACTAAGAATGAGAGGTGTGATGATAGGCCAGAGTAGCCTACTAATAAGGTAATGATGTTTGTTTCTTTAAGACTTTGACATCGCCTTCATCTTCGCTTGCTTCCTCTTGCACATGACATTGCAGTATTTCCGAATCCGAATTCTTATTCTGTTGATCTTCCTACAGACGATGCAACTCTATCGTTCTAACAATAGAATAATGTAATTACAATTTGGCTATTTCTTTATCCTTGTTTTGCAATTATCCTTCCATTTCCTTTTACTTTTGTTGCATCTGCTATAATTTTATTTGGTAATCTGCTTTCATTTGCTAGATCAATCTATCCTTTTCCTCCAGTTATTTTTCGAGTTGTTAAATTTTCAAACTCTAAATACCATCTTGTTTTTCAATGTAATTGCTTTTGCTCCTCTCCTCGTGCTTCCCCCTCAGAGTTGTAGTTGAACTACAAATACTCTCTATGAAGGACGAAGACCCCTTCTATTCTATGCATATAAGATGACTATTGCCAGCAGAAAAATGTATTATCTATTTCGAATACAATTGATCGATTGATTTTAGCTGAGTAATTCTCTTTTATTCGGGATCAAATTACCACGAATAAGCCTTGTCTCCTATGCACATTCCAACTAACTCTCCCATGCAGAAATCTTTGATATTCATAAGTTATTCATCTAATTCAAAAAAGATCAACTCATTTGATTACGTCAAACCGATTGGAGTGCTTTTGCCATCAATTTTAATAAATTTTTCTATTAATCAGTAGATCTTCTTACATTTATAGTTTAATTTTTATAAGTTTCCAAAACCCAATCCACAAATGTATACAATTCCATCTTGAGTCAGGAACACAGAAAATAGATTGCCTGCACTGACTTGTTATAAGGAAGGCAATTTAATTTTGGTTGGTTCAAATACAGTTTTCAATCTGGAAATTCCCAATTGAGAATCATCATTCAATCCAAATCCAAAACACTCCTAAGCATCTTTGATATGATTTATATCCTTAAATACCTGTCAACACCAATGTGTGTTTATTGCCACATGATACCTGAATGCAATTTGTTAGAGTACTCACTCTGTTCAAATTCCCATTCTACTTGACTCCTAATTGGCCACAAGAATTGTCCCCCCAAGTGAAGAGGGATCCGTCAGACGTGACACATGCAGTGTGAGTGGAACCACAAGAAACTTGTATAACTCTCTATTCAATATCAGAGTTTGTACTTGTTTAGTTGCTCTATTCTTTGGGGAGCATAAAGAGACTGTTTATTGGCATGGCCCAATTTGTTATGTTCATTGCAACCCATTGTATACACATGGCCATTCTAAGTCAGAAGGGCCGTGTGATCCTTGCCACAAGAAACTTAGATAAACCCAATTTTGTAATGGCAAATCTTAGGAATGTGATAGTATTGGGAGGACCCTCGGTTCTTGCCCAATCCCAATTGACCTTCATTGTCAGCTAGAATGTTTAGTCGAGTTTATACCTCCCCAAACATACACTATGGATTCAGAGATCATATGAGAATTTCAAATTTAACGATATATTAATTATATTGATGTTGCAAGTAGTACTTTCAGATGAATAAAACTTGTCTATTTCGCAGGAGTTATCTCATTAGGGTGGCAGTTTCAGGATTTCCAAATAGACCTTAGTGAAAATAGTCAGTGCTGCTCAGGAACGGCTGTTTGCAGAGGAGATTGATGAATTAGAAAATATTGACGGTTTGCATAATCTGGAAATGAGTTTGTGCACTAGTTTCAGTAAGGGATTGAAAGGGGATGATTTTAAGGAGAGAGAGGTGCTCTTTGGGAACAACCGGAAACCTGTCATTCCACCAAAAACATATCTACAATTGCTCTTACAAGCTTTAGAGGTTCACATATTATTATAGAAACTCAATAGGATTTCATCATGAGAGTGTTGCTGGTGGCCTCAATCATCTCAATAGTAATTGGAGTTTCCACAGCCGATGATAGTCATCGTTCGTTAGCTTGGATTGAAGGATTTGCGATTTTCGTGGCTGTATTCGTATGCTGCAACGTGACTGCAGTGAATGTATAGAATAAACATATATGTAAAGGATTACCAAAAGGAAAGATAATTTCAAAGTTTAAATTAGATGGCTGATAGTAGAAAAACAGTAACAGTATGGAGAGATGGGTGTAAAATGGATTTGCATCAGAGTTTAGTGATGGTGGGAGACATAATTTAGATATTTGAAGGTATGGAGATACCAGCAGATTGTTTTGTAGTTGAGGCAGCTGAGTTAACGAGTGACGTAATGAAATATTAAATTATTGATAGGAAAGTGCTATGACAGGTGAGACCGATCCAATTAAAAAGGATACCTATGAGAATTGCAAAAAGCAGAGAGATAAATTAAAAGATCAACAAAACTCATGTGGTAGACACGATGTATCGTCTCCAGTCATGCTGAGTGGTACCAAAGTGCTCTCAGGAGAAGGCAAGATGATAGTGGCTGTCGTTGGAGACTCGAGTTGTGTGGGAAAGATCTCTTCTTTGCTTGCAACTGAGGATATCCAAACCACTCCCTTATAAGAGAAATTAGAAGCCATCGCCTAAGATGTTGGCAAGTTCGGTCTTGCAAGTGCTGCATTGATTTTGTTTATATTGCTCTTAAGATTTGCAGTGGAAAGAATTAAAGAAAACTCATTTGAAAAAGATCATGTCAAAGAAATGCTTAATTTCATTATCATTTCTATCACAGTCATTGTAGTTGCAATTCCTGAAGGATTGCCATTAGCTGTCACTCTCTCTTTGGCTTATTCTACAAAAAGAATGCTGAAGGACAACAACTTAGTTAGAAAAATGGCAGCTTGTGAAACCATGGGAGGAGCAGACATGGTATGTTCAGATAAAACAGGTACGTTAACTTAAAATAAAATGTTTATGGTCTCTATTTGGAATGATACTCTTATGGATATTGATGTTTATAATGAGTAATTGAATTTAAGTACTTACTTCCCAACTTAAATGCATGATTTATATGTCTAAACATCAATTGTTAATGGCACAGCTATGATCAGACCAGAAGAAAAAGGTAGTAAAACTGAAGTAGCCATGATTCTATTTGCTGAGAAATGTGGGATCATCTATGAAAAGGAAAGAGAACATCATGTTGCCAGTATGAAAATACCATTTTCAAGCAAAAGAAAAAGAATGGCTATGATCATTGGAAAAAGATTAGTTATAAAAGGTGCTAGTGAGATCATCTTAGAAGGTTGCAATAAACTACATTCAAAAAGTAGAGGAATCATCTCAATTGACTCTACCATTAGATAAAGTATTGAAAAAGCTATAGAAAGCATGGCATCCTAATCTCTTAGAACCATTGGATTAGCCTATAGAGATTTGAATGGAACTGAAGATCTAGCTAGCAAAAATGATAAGGGTGTTTATGATGTTGAAACTGAAAATTTGACTTTAATTGCTATCGTAGGAATCAAGGATATCCTAAGACCTGAAGTCCCTGGAGCAGTTGCTAATTGCAAAACTGCAGGCATCAAAGTAAGAATGGTGACTGGTGATAACAAAATCACTGCCAAAGCTATAGCTAAAGAATGTGGAATTTTAATTGATGAGGAACATTCCTTAGTACTAGAAGGTCCTGATTTTGTTAATAGAATTGGAGGTGTGGTTTGCAAATGGTGCAAAACAGCAACTTGCGATTGTCCAAGGGATTAATCAACTGCCAAACAAATTGGAAAGCCAGTTAGAGTAGATACTATTCAAAATGGAGAAGAATTTGACAAACTCTACCCTTTCCTAGATGTCTTGGCTAGAAGTAGACCTGAAGATAAGTATGCTCTTGTCACAGGACTTCTAGAACGAGGACATGTTGTGGCAGTCACTGGGGATGGTACTAATGATGGTAATATATTCAATTCAATTCTTAATAGCTCCTGCTTTAAAGAAGGCTGATGTAGGATTTGCTATGGGTATTGCAGGCACAGAGGTTGCTAGGGAGAGTGCTTCCATTATCTTATTAGATGACAATTTTAGCCTCAATAGTCAAGGCAGTGATGTGGGGAAGGAATATCTATGACTCAATTAAGAAATTCCTGCAATTCCAATTGACTGTCAATGTTGTGGCTGTTACATTGACTTTGATATCTTCAGTGTTACTTAAGTAAGAAGTTCTGGAACCAATCCAAATGTTATGGGTCAATTTGATTATGGATACCTTCGCATCTTTGGCTTTGGCTACAGAGACACCTACACCTGAATTGTTGTAGAGGAAACCTCATAACAGAAATGAGTACATGATTTCGTAAAAGATGTTCAAACACATTATAGGATAGGCTATTTATTAGATGATCATTATGTTGGTGCTATTGTTTTCGGCCCAAGATTTTATTCCTGAATATCACGGCCAAGAAGATGGCACTTCAGATTTTGAAGGGAAATTGTAATACAAATATTCAAATACCTTGTATGATGCAAATTTGAATAGTCACTCTTGTCCTAATCATCAAGATTACTGCAACTTGATTTCTTTTAGCACCGACTACTATGTGGATGGTTCCGAGAATTATGAAACCTTCTACAAGGAAACATATATCCCATCTAGACAATTTACTCTGATATTTAACACCTTCGTGATGATGCAACTATTTAACTTTATGAATGCCAGACGAATAAAAGATGAACCAAACATCTTTCAAGGCATTTTCACCAATATCTTATTCCCAATTATAGTTATAGGAATTCTGACTTTACAAATAATTTTAGTTACATTTGGAGGTATCGTCTTCCACTGCTATACCTTTTATGGATTAAGAATTGAATAATGGTAATTGATCTTATTATTAATCCTAGGTTAATATGTGTTGCTTTTGGTTCCGGAGGACTATTTGTAAGAATGATTCTTAGACTTTTGCCAGACCCCAAATTAGCCTTTTTGGATAAGTTGGGCCATAAGGAGAATGAAGGTCATAAAGTGGCATCCCCAACTGCTCAGAACAACGTTAGCTATCAAATTTAAGTAATTCGCTAAGAATCAGAATTGGCTAATCTTAATGATCATGCTCAAGAATCTAGAATGATTTGAATAATAATATATTTATGAATAAATAATTTCTAGCTTTGGGAATTGAAGGAAGTGCTAATAAAATTGGAGTTGGAGTGGTTACAAAAGATGGCAACATCCTCTCCAATCCCAGGAGAACTTATATAACTCCTCCAGGAACTGGATTTGTCCCCAAACAGACTGCACAACATCATAGAAATAATATATTGGAAGTCTTGGATGAGGCACTTAAAATTGCTAAGGTTACATTGGAAGATATCAATCTTATCTGCTACACCAAAGGTCCTGGGATGGCTGGACCACTTTCAATAGGTGCCACTGTAGCTAGAACTTTGTCATTACTTTATAAAATTCCAATAGTCGGAGTCAACCATTGTGTTGCTCATATTGAAATGGGAAGACTGGCTACTCAATGCTAAAATCCTGCTGTTCTTTACGTAAGCGGAGGTAACACCTAAGTTATAGCTTATTCAAAAAATAGATACAGAGTATTTGGAGAAACAATTGATATCGCAGTTGGTAATTGTCTGGATCGTTTTGCAAGATTAGTAAATATCAGCAACGATCCTGCACCAGGATACAACATCGAATAATTAGCTAAGAAAGGTAAAAACTATGTACTTGATACTCCTTATGTTGTTAAAGGAATGGATATGAGCTTTAGTGGCTTATTAACATTTATAGAAGACGTCGTTAATGCATATCCACAAGTTAAGTTACCTGAAGTTGAGGGCAATGATAAAGCTAAAAGAAAAAATAAATAATTAAAAGTCGTCAGGAAGTGGGCTAATCCCATTCCTATAGATTTGAGCACAGAAGATTTATGCTTTACTCTCTAAGAAACTATCTTTGCTATGTTGACTGAAGTGACAGAAAGAGCCATGTCTCATTGTGAATCTACAGATGTCATTATCGTAGGTGGGGTGGGCTGTAATGAACGTTTATAAGAAATGGTGTCTATCATGGTCAAAGATAGAGGTGGCAAGATAGGAGCTATGGATGAGAGATACTGCATAGATAATGGAGCCATGATTGCTTATACAGGTAATTGATTGAATTCATGGGTTAGGCATTTTGGAGTACTTTTCAAGTGGACCTACTAATTTCAAAGATACATTTGTCACTCAGAGATTTAGAACTGACGAAGTCGATGTAAAATGGAGGGATGATTGATATATTTAATAGAAATTGATAAAAATCATTTGCAAACTTTTTTATTTTCAATTAATTCAAGCCATTCAGATTTAAATATTTTCGACATTATTTGACTTTTCTGTTGTTACACTTAATTCTTATTAAGTAATTGACGAAGATCCTTTTGAACTCTGACTTTCAATTTATTTTGATCCAAAATTGTGTTGTAAGTTCCTTTCAATACAAAATATATGTCAGAATCCTCAAGGTACTACACCAACTACTCCATAATGAACTCAAATAACAACTTCCAGTCTCCTTGGCAATTTATTCCAAATTTGAAGTGATTTTTTAGTAAAACTAATAATTCCTCTTCATCCAAGTATTCGTCTAGATAATCTTTTATCTGGTTTAGTACTACTCTTTCATTTATTGTATTCTTCTATAGTAAATTGCAGAGAGGTATCATTAATCTATTTGCTGGATTGAACTAAAATTATGACAACCAAGTAGTACTTTAGCAACGTATTTTAAAACAAGTTCCTGATCTACATATCTATCAAAGAGAAGTTCTTAAGGTAAATCATCTGAATAGATATTATTATTTAATGCATCTTCCAGGCACAATTCTGCCTAAACACATCTAGTAATAAAATATTCAATTTAATCCTTCTAATAGTCTTGACATTCTGTTCTTTTTATTTCTTTCAGATAATCTCCCAAAGAAATTAATTTCAAATCTTCTATTGCTTTCCTAGATTTTAACCCCATATTGACTATTTCATTTAATTTTTTATTAAATTCATAGCTTTCATCAAGTTTATCGAACAATGCAATATACTCATAGTCCAATTTCAAAGTCTCTGAATTTTCTATTAGGTCTTAATCAAACACTATTTATAAACAGGGTTTGCCGACATTTACTTTTAGAACATCTCCAATAGCGATATAGATGTCAGTTCCGCATATTCGTTCTTTCTCTAGTTATGACATAATCTAAACGCTCATGTACAATGTATATTCACTTTTTGAGTAAGCTATTTTCTATTCAATGATTATGGAATCGTCTTATCCAGATAGCTATTAATCACATAAACTAAAGATTAACTTTGAAACCAATTGTTGTTATTATTCGTCATTGTTTAAAATGACAATCTTATAGTATTGATTTTTTTAAGCAGGATTTTGTTGGATTAGTTTCCTCGATAAATCGATTCTAAAATTAGGTTAATCGATGATTTTAATTTATTTTTTAACATTTTTCTCATTTTTTTATTAACACAATTTCACAAAGTTTTTGTATCTCTTTTCAGTTAATGAGTATAATCTCCAATGTTTCAAAATCCTTTGCATCTTATAAAAGTTACCCAATTATTCATCAACCTTATCTAAATGAGGAGCTAAAAATTTTGTAAATTTGTTTAAAACCTACTTTTAACAGAGTTGAAGCAATATCTCTTAAATAGATGATTTCATCTTTTTAGTTTCTTAATCTACTTGTTTTTAGGATTGTTGTTTGATGATTTCTTATTAAATTTCTTGTTGATTGGATTTTTCATTACGGAAAAAGTAGTTAATGTTTTCAATTTGCCCTTATTGAAAGATCATTTTTGAAAAATCTCCCCTTTTATTAATGAAGGAAATTTTGTCATCTATTTATAGCCATTTCTGATATATTGACCCAATATTAATAAAATTTAGTTTAAGCTTTTCGTGCTGAAATATCTGTTGATTAAATTTCTCGATGTATTGTTCTATTTAATCTTAAAATAAATATATAAAAAATTGTTAAAATAAAGTAATGTTACTATTTTATCCAAGATCTAGCAAAGCACTATAATTTTTCTATATTAAGTATTCCTTCACCAACTAGCTAAATTGATATTCAGACGTTTTAATTAATTTATCAAAGTAACTAAATTCTGAAAAGATAACATTATCCAAATTTGCCAACTTTGTAATCGAATTAGTTGAGAGAATCTTTTAACTCAACATAATATGGTAATACGAAATAAACTCTGGTAGATTGTCCAACAGGTAAAATCTACTTTCGTTGCTATAATAATTTATCAATTGATTAAATACATCTCATTAAATAGCTTTTTATAATCGATCGCTAAATCATCAAGTGCATCAAGCAGATACTTATGACAGTTATTTTTATTGTCCTACAACACTGGCCAATTTTAATCTGCCTACATCATCTCTAAATATGACAGCAGATATATTCGGACTATTTAACAACTAAATTATTTTACTTAGCTATTCGAGATACTGGATCCTAAATATATAAATATTACTATTTTTTGATTCTATTTGTTTTAACTCTGTGCTCAAAGCCCTAAATCTATCAGAAATGTATTAAAAGATTTCCACGATACTCACTAATTTGCCATCCTTCTTTCTTTTCTATCTGTCACAAAATATCATATGCAATCTTCTGATTGATTACATCATTCCAACGTCTGATCTAAAAACTGTTTCTTGCTTTCCTTAATTGGGTCTTATATATTATTTAACAATTAAGGAAGTATTTAACTCATAATTCTAATCTACTTCAAATGTGCTATCAAACATTTTAAGTTTGAGAGCATCTTAGATATTTTACTGAGTGCACATTTCATCTATGAATTAATATTGATTCCATTTCGTTTCGCACGAATATTACAATGTTTTTGCTTCAGAGTTGAATGATATAGGTTATAGATTTTAAGTGAATGTAGGTATTTTCCAACTATTTGCATCAAATTAATTTTCTGGTTCTTGATCATATTATTTTTATTAATATTAATATAGCTATTACTACTAATATTATTATTATTATTATTATTGTTATTATTATTGTTGTTATTGTTATTATTATTATTAATAACTGTTTTTCAATGATAATTCTTTCGCTTTTGCAATAAGCTTTGCATTGACCTAATCTTTTTTTTATATTAACCTTAAATCATTAGTTTAATTTTATTATTAATTGTTAAATTATTCTGTTATTCTTTTACTGTTATCTACATTTAATGCGTTTTGAGCAAACTCTTGAGGTTAAGATCGGGTTATTCTTCTCATTTAAAAATACAACATCCTTTTTGCGCTATCAGCCAATTTTGGTTGGATTACTGGCGGTTATACTCTATCTTCGATTTCATCATCATAGTCATCTTAATCACTAAAATCATCTCGATCGTCTTCCTCGTCTTCCTCATCTTCATCATCTCCATCATCTTCATCATCTTCATCAGCTACATCATCTTCATCATTTTCATCATCATCCATTTCTTAACTTTCTTCAGACTCATCATACTCATCTGAATATTCCTCAGACCTATTTTCACCATTTTTTCTATTTTCATATGAATTCTTCTCTTACAATTCTTCTTCTTCTTCTATTTCACCTTCTTCCTCATCTTCATCTTTACCTTTTACATAATTACTTTTAACATTAACATATGGAATTTCTTTATATTATTTATTAACATCATATCCATTTTCTCCATTCTTTTCTTCCTCATTTAAAATTTATCCATTTTTCCTTTTTTTATTCACATTTTTATTATTTTCATTGTTTTCCTCATTCTGATACTTCTATTTTTTATTTTGATTATTGCTCAAATTCACATCTTAATTATATCTCTTGTCTGAATAATCGCTTTTTTCAGAATAGTCATTTTAAAAGCTTTCACCTTCAGGACTCCTGTCGTCTTATTTTTTTTTAATGTGTTAAATTTTTAATTATTTCTTTGTATTGTTTATTTTGGCTCTTTCAGTATTTTGCTTAAAGTCCTCATTCTTATGTTCATTATCGGATTATTTCGTATTTATAATACGAATTATCTATTTGGTTGGGGGATTGTCAAATAATATTGGATCATTTAAAATTGATTTATCCTATTTTAAAGGCGCTCGTTCTTTACTTTGAAAATAGGTTCGCTTTTGATATGGTTGATAAGGTTTTCGATAAGGCTATCTCTTATTACGATTATTTCTATTATTCATAAAATTAAATATTTAATATATTATTTGCTTGATTATGAATACTAATATTATAATAGGAAAAATTTAAACTTAGTTTAAACAAGAAATTCTAATTAATAATGGTAAGTAAATTTATTATAGTTAGTCGTTTTAAGTTTTGGACAAATGATTTGATATTGTATCTTAATTTTTAAACAGTTTATCCAAACTTTTCTAAAACAAAAAAGTTGGTTTTATCAAAAAAGGCAACTAATATTAGAACAGTAATTATTTTGCAACAATCTTATTATCTAATTAAGTAGAAGATTGAAAAATAATCGTTTATTTCTTTTATTATTTTAGGGATTTTAAATCCTGATCCTGTGGTTATTGTAGTTAATTAAAACCGATAAAATTCTGAGAATTAAAGTAAATAAATAAATAATCTCTAATAATAACAAAATTTATTCATTCGAATTTTGAAACTGCAAGTTCTTCTTAACTATCTTCTTATTTAATTTATAAGCCATTTATAGAATTGAAACTTTCCTCTGTCATTTTGCTTTTTAATTCTGGAGCCTCTATTTACTCTTCAATTTCATTTGCTGTTTAATTTATACTTTAATTTTATTCAATTTATTAGCTGCTCAAATAAAAATATTCGTTAGTACTTCCTTAATTCTAATTAGTAGACTATTGTGAAACTAACCTATGATTGTAGGAGGATAACCCCAAAGGACGAGTAAAAGTGTTAGAAAACTTGCCATATTTGGTTTGATATTCAGAATTTTCACACTCATAATACAAGTCCTAAACACCAGAGCTGATTTGAGATTATTTATGTTTTTAATCATTCTCTATTTTTGCTTCATCATAAGGATCATTGATACAATTACTTCCATTTTAAAACTCTTAATTATGTCTAAGAAAACTTTATACAGGTTTTTTCTATAACTAGAGTTGGGTACTTTGCTTGGTCGAACTGCATATTGAAGGTATAGGAGGTTTGGTGGAATTGACTTCTTCAATAATTTTCAATCCTGTTGTTTATTAGATTTTCTTCTCTAATAAACACTCTTAAGATAGTTATTTAATAAGAGTTGCATCTGTTGAGGGTAATTGTTTTGATCTGTTATAATTGGATAGAGATGATTATTATTATTATTATGAGATAGATTATTATTAATCTTAATTTGGATTTGTAGTTGTAGCATAATATTCTTATGAAATAGGTTTTGCTGAAAATTGAATTTTATTTATTGATAAATTCTTGGTTTATTATAGTTAAAAGGTTTTTCTTTAGTTTTAAGTATATGAAGAGGACTTGAACTTTAATGCGTTTGGATTGTTTAATTTAATTTGCTATTAGATGTTAATATTAATTTATTTTGACTAGAAGGATTTTTTATCTGATTAACTTTCAATATTTCTTTCTTAAGAATTTGATATAGTGGATAATCGTCGTTGTTGATTAGTAAGTTATTATTTTCTAATTTCTAATTTTTCAGATTATGCTCTAATACTCATTGGTAATAATTCCAAAATTCTTTTTTCACATATTTTCTGAATCAGACATTAACCATCACTTTGTTATACATTATTATTACTTTATTTTGCTAAAAATATTAGATTCATAAATTCTTTTCAATCTACCTAAGGATTGAATGCTTAGCATCTTTACTTACATTTCTCCAACCTTGAAAAAACTATCAACGTCAAATCCTAAACTGATCCATTTCTTTGTTAAGATGAATACACTTGATATTTTAACTTCATTTTTGTTTTTTGAGTATGTTTATTGAAAATTAGGGCCTACAATTATTTTATAAGACTCCGTTAATTATAGAAATCGATACTTCATCTTTAAAAGAAAGTTCAAGGATAAATTTTAATTTTTCAATCACATATATTTGTACATATAAGTTGGAACCCTTGATATTTAATTCTTAAGAATTGACATATGTATACGGATTGGTAGGACCGACTTTCAAAACGAAACCTCTAGATGAATGTATTTTTATACTTTTCATGGTTTTATCATAGATAGTATTATCTGGTTATTGTTACTTTAACTCTTCATAATTATTTATGGGTTACCTCTACATTCAAATAATGAGGTTTCTTGGATGAGTTTGGGCAACTGTGTCATGTATACAACTGTAATTATTATATTTAATTATTCATAAAATATATAAAATAGGACCATATTTTAGCTAATTTTGATTAAGGATATTATTAGATTCTTTAAGTAAGGTCATAAAATAAAATTAATAGTGATATGCAATTAAGGATAAATATAAAATCAGAGTTTTGAAAAAATGTCTTTAAAAGAGTTTATATTCTTAAAGATAACACATTCAAATTTGATTACTTATCCAAACTAATTGTTATCGTATTCATTAATCAATTATTCACTGGGACCAATAATTTTGATAACTTTTTTTATCATTTAATTAAAGCAATCTATTTCAAATACTTTCTTAGGAGTTCCAGTAAATTAAGCGTTTATTTTGATTATGATCTCATCCACATTTGCCACTAGATTCTTTGATTCTTAATTCTAGTTTATGTATAAACTGATTTATACTGGAGATTTTTGAACCAAAAAACACAGTAGACTTAGTATTAAATGCGTTATTAAATAAGCATCGTTAACTATAATTAAATTATGATCAGTTTGATATGTAAATTTTATTAATCTTGAATCTAAATAATCCTTTATACGGGTTTCTATTTATTGGAGTAGATTTTATAGATAAATAGTTGAAATTTTCAGTTTGGGAATGTCGTTTTTACTTATACAAATTGAAAAGTACTCAGATATGAATTAAACTAGGCGAAACGATATTTCTGAAGATAAACTATTATATGATAGGCATTTCTTAGGATTTATAAGTGAACTCAACTATTTTATTCGAATTTCAAAAATTGATTGAAATTACCATATCACCTTTTTAAGATAGTCTCGTTATTATTTAACTTTAATTAATTGTCTTTTCACCTCATTCTACTAAAGTAATACTATTGCTTTCGCTTCACCTTTTTCAATTATATATAAGATTTTTATTTTATAATCGCACTTCCCGATTGTGTCATACCCTTATAAGAAATCAAAATTCTCATTTTTTTAAGAGGTAAATGATTTATGTAGTAATTATTCCAGAGTTTCTGTATTCTCTAAATTAGGAACAGATAGGCGAGGAAATCGAATTTGAGAATTCTACTATATAAAGTCATTCTTTATTCTTGAAGAGGACATTTTTGATTAGATCATAGTATTCCTTTGTTATTTGAAAATTTGAATCTATCTGATAAATTATCTAAATTCCTCTTAGGTAGAGAAGTCGAATCCTAGTTATGGGTGATTTTAGGATTCTAATTTGAGGAAATTTGTTCTTCTATCATACTTAATCTTCATTAGTTATATACTAAATTGTTCAATCAGGCTGCCATATTGCACATCATCTCGCTATTTCAGTAAGAAAAACTCTCGTTTCTAATATTCATTTGAGTAATATGACAAGCAGGACAAAATAAGGGCTAATTTATGTTAGTCTTGAGTACCTAATATGAACATTATTTGATTTCCATTAAATGATTTCTATACTACTGTTTACACTAAAATTAAAGTGGAAAAGTTAAATATTATAATTGCCATATTTAGAACAAAGTTCGAACCCAAAAGCAGGCTGAATTAAACTAAAACAACTGTCTATCCGATCATTAAATTTAAGTCGGGAATGAAATTAAATAGAAGGTTGATATTGTAGAGTAAACCAATTAGAAGATTATTGAGAGGTAAAATGTAGTTAAATAATTTTGGGTACCTTTTGATTAGTTTAAAGGATATGAAAAAGACCAATGGCAAACAAATTATAAGATATCTGCTATTGCCAAATCCAATAGGGTAAGTGAATTCTAAAGAAAAAATAATTACTGCACTGATTGATCCAAAAATGCAGACTCTTTCATAAAAAAAAGTTAGCATTGGAAGTTGATCTGTAAAAAATTGGGTTTGCTTTTATTGACTTCTGAAGGAAAGCTTAATTTTATTCATTTGGTTAGTTTAGATTGATTATATTCTTAAATAATTTTATTAGAAAATTCTGAATGAAAAAATATTGATCACAATCTAATTAGATAAATTCTTCTGGAAAAACAAAAATACTTTAATTTTTAATACTCATTAATATAAAAACACAGAAAATTCTTGTTTTAAGATAAGATTTATTACATATGAGGTTTTTTTGTTGAAATTTCAAATTTCTATTGGAGTTTGCCGAGTTTTTAATTAAGTTTGAAGATAATTAATTAAATAAAAAGAAATAATTAAATAGAGGGGATAATGATTACCATAACGAGGATAAGAAAATAATTATTATACCAAAATTTATAAATTATAATATATAATCAATCAATAGGTTATTTAAAGTCTTTGTAAGTTACATTTATGATCCTCTAAATTACATTGAGTTCTAGAATTTATTAATGCCTTTATTACCTTTGCAAATTAGGTAATAGATATGTTCATCTTTTATGTAAAGAAGAGCTGTTGAGGACAATCTGATGCAGGTCGGTTTAGGTGAATATATCAATTAGAATCCTCGTAGAAAAATTATAGAATAAGTACAACTCTTTGAAATTAAAACAGAAATATAGAAGCTTTGATATAGAAGTGATAGATATGAATGTAAGAAGGAAGAACATTCAGTTTTCATGCCTGGAATGAACCTTTTAAATGCTTATATATGCTTTATCATAGACAGTGAAATAGATAAAAGAATAATCAAATCTATGACTGATAATTTAAATTATGATGCTTCTATTTCAGCAATTTATTAATAATGAGGAACTTTTTTTCTAAACTTTATTAATCCTTCAGTTCTTATTTTATCTAATTGATGATCCTCGTTCTAATTTAGAGTTAGCATTCTCCTATTTGTTGGTTCTCCTAATAGTCTAAAAATAGTTGAAAGGAAGACAGTCTGGGTTTAATATGTTGAAAAATTATAAGAAGTTAAATACTTTATGATAACTGAAATTATTAAAATATCAAAATCAAAATTATTGAGCAAACTTGCTTTTGCTATACTTTATGTTTTCCACAGGTTTAGGTTTGCTTCTAAGAGTATCTTTTTTAATAGTATCTTATTAATTTTAAAGTGTATCTAAATCATTTGTTTATCCTATTTGAACCATTGATAATCTTTATTGAAAAACATTTAATGATGGTCTTGATGCTGGTTATTAATTAAGACTTTGATGATCTACGAAATCCATAGGCTACATTGTTTTTGTTCTATTATATTTTTTAATAGATTCTGTTTTGTATTAAGGTGAGAATTCATATTGACTTTTGTTGGGAGATGGTTAGAATGATATTTCAGCTTAATATTATTTTAATTTTTATTCCATGATTTATTAATTTTCTAAAAGTTGTTCTATTTGTTTTTGGTAACCTAAATTAATGTTTTTGAGTTCTTTATTTTGACATTACAACTCAATTACATCTTCATGTAATTAATTAAGAATGCCACTATCATTCTGATCTTGATGTTGTTCAGCATTCCTTTATAGTTCTTTCTATAAAAAATCAACTTCAATTTATTTCTATTCAAACTTCTGGTTCAAGTCCATACGAATCAGCTTCTCTTCTTTGAATTGTTTATGAATTTAGAGAAGTTCATTTTCTAATTATTCAACCTATTATTCTTTGACTTGTTTGTATTGATTAAATTTTTATTGCTATAGCTTTAATTCTTCAAGAATTTCTGAATCGAAACCATTATTCAAGACCAGAGTTTGATTATTTTGCTTTGCTTATTCTAATTCCTACCTCAGTGAGGCTATTTCTTGGTTGGCCCTCTGTTAAGCTTCAGCCATTCGATCTAATTCTTAGACTAACAATTGCAGGCGTTGTAAACATCCTGAGTGTTTCTAATCTGTCTAAAGAGTATCAGATTTGGTGGAATTAAGCATGTTCCCAAAAGATCTGTTGCGATCGTTTTCTTAATTAGAGCTTCTTGATGAGTAGTATTAATACATAAATAAATTTATTTTTTTAATTATAATCAAATTGAACAAATAATTTATCCCTCATATTTTCATCAACTAACATTTTAAAACATAATCTCTCTAATCTTCTTCAGTTAAGTTTTTATTGTTCCCATCTTCCTTTTCAACATATAGTTTATAATCCGCTTTGAACAAGTAATTATCGCAATCTTCAATCCACTTATAATGTATTATGGGAATATTCTTCTCCTAAGCGATCATGATACTCCTAATCTTTCTTCTCCCAACTGTAATAACAAAACTACTTTCTTGGCCAATAAACCATTCTTCTTTAAACTCTCTATAAACCTTGGCTCCTAAATACACCGCTTTATCCTTAGCTTATTCTAATCCTCTCTTAATGGAATCTTCATGTGCTTCGGAAATTGCAAAAAATAAAGTAACGCCATTCAGTACGTTGCCTCTCATTTCTTAATATATGGTTGGAACACTAATTTTTCTATTGATGATCAAATCCAAAGGAGTCCTTTCTTCCAATCGATTGTTGGTTTCCTCTATAATTTCTGTTTTAATTTTTTTAGCCTTAGATATCTACTATTCAAACTCGACTATGAAATTTGGATCATCTTGAGCCAATTTAAATTACTTCCAAAATTAATCAGATATATCTTTCAATTTCTATGTAATTGTATATAGCCAGAAATCATTTTTATTATAGATTTATACTTCTTACTCAACCTCAGTGGCAATTCCTTATCCATCCCTAGTAGAACAATGTTCATCAAAGTATACAAATGGCTTAGTATGAATGAGATTCTCTTTGAATTGATTCCACATCCCAGCATTATCATCAAGAATGACTAATAAATTAGTTGCAATTCCTGGATAAAATAGTCTATTTAGCGATTTACTATTTGAACATATAGTATCATCACGCGACAAGACTCGTTGTGGTGGAAAGAAAGGCTTGTGTTCAGGAATGACTTCATTTAATCTTTTGGAAATAAAGTTCAAGATGAACTCAGCGTATGATCTACTTGCTTTTGTGTAAATGAAGATGTCAAAAAGCGGTATTAATGTTAAGAAAAACTACTCGAAGTACGGTCTTAATTTAATGATAAATTTGCACTATGAATCACAAGCCATTTCTAAAAAGTGCTCCTTTATATTAAACCCCAATTAATTGAACCCATTGAATTATCCATCACTATCAGACTGTAACATTTTATTCTACTTTTCACAAAAATCATATTTGTTAAAGCTATTCGTAACCTTTATGGCGTGTAAAATAGTTTAGTCTAGATCAAGCACCATAATAAGTTTCCTTTTCTTTAAGATGTCAAGTACAATTTCCTTTGAAATCTTCTTAGAAATATCATCTGAATAATTAAGATCCAAGGATTCCTCATATCTAATGACCTTCTCATTACAAATAACACAATAGTTTTTTTCTATTTTCAAGTGGTTGCAAGTCTGAGCAATATCAATCACCAACAAAACATCATTTCTTGACAATATAGTTTTAGTCTTAGCTAATTCTATGATGCGACCTCTAATCCTAGGCTTCAAATCAATTTCATCCTGTTGGTTTTCTTCAGTACAAATACCTAGAATCATAGTTGGAGAAATAAAATCTCCCACATTAACTCTCCACTTTAAGATTTGAATGTTGCCTTAGCAATTCTTTAGGGATAGTTATGAGAAACTCAATTTTGTATAATTTTGCTGTGCTTATGACGAAGTAGGTGCAGTATTAATTTCATACTCATCCTGCTTCAAATTAATAATACTATTACCTGATTAGGCATTTCGCTTTTATTTTTATATATTACTCCTATGGTAAAGTATTGATCAGTGGGTGGTATTTCAAAAACCTATTGATTTTGAGCCCACACAATGTATCCTGATGAAGATGCCAAAATGGATTTGTTTTGATTTTCAAATGTGTAAGCCCCAATCTTTTAGCTCTCTTCCACCCTTTCACCTGTTTACTTCATCACTTCTATTTGAATTGGAGATGCATTTTTTATATTAATCCTAACCTAGCTGTTACTATCATTCTAAGTTTACTAATATTTTGGTCTCATTTTTTATAATAATATTAAAAAATTCTAATAAAATGTTAAGTAAGTTATATTTTTTAATCTAAATCCTGAAATCAGGTAAATAAACTTAAAAATAATATATTAATGAATCTAGAACTCTTAAATACATTAAATGATTCTTATCTATTAAATAGAAAGATGTTAATTCTATAAAACACAATTAGGTGCTTTGAGATAAAAGAATACTCAAAAAAGTAATGAATTCAGAATGGAATGTCTAATTAGAAATAATATGGAATCATTTATTATATAATATATTAATATAAATAATATTGGCAAATAATGTCTGAGTATTACGACGAGGAATTTGGAGAAGTAAATCATCTTAAATATTCAAGCTTGGATTAGTAATTGGTGATTTTAACATTCCTTAAAGAGCTGCTGATTTGCCTCCTTAATTTAAAGATCTTCTTGTACCCAATAAAGTCCAATACGTATTTTGCACAGGGAATGTTGGCAACAGGGAAACTGCAGATTGGCTAAAAACGCTATCAGGAAACACTCACTTTGTAAAGGGAGATTTCGATGAAGTGAAAGAAGTACCTGAGACAAAGGTTGTGTAAATTGGATCATGGAAGATGGTGATGGTGCATGGACATCAAGTAAGATATGGATATGTATTTAGCTTGTGCCCTTTGGCGATGAAGAATCTTAATATACATTTTTGAAAGAGATGGAAGGGGATGTCCTCATTACAGGACACACAGGCGTTGCTAAAGTCACAGCTGTCGAGAAGAAATATATTATCAATCCAGGTTCAGCAACAGGAGGATTCAATGGACAACAAACGTATTAGTTGTATGAATATTAAAAAGTTCAATTCCATCATTCTTGATTTTGGAGTTCAAGAAAGAAAAATTACAAGTGTTCATTTACACATTAGATGGAGAAGTCAAGATAGACAAACAAGAATTGCCATTACAAAAGTGAAATATAATCATAATAATAACAAATGATATGTGAGTTGTTAAACTTCATAAATCAGCTCCACAGAACATGCTTAAAAGTTAACAATTCTCCCCACCATCCAAAATTGTTTATTTAATCTTTTCCAAAGGTATGTCATCATTTTTATCAACTTCTAATGTTTCAAAGATTAATTTTGTAAAATAATCACATAACAAATCTAATAATTGACAATCATCCTAATTTCATTTTACAATTTATTACTTTTATATATTTACTTAAACATATCCTAGTTAAATTGTGCACTTCATCATATGATAATGCTCTATTCCCATCTTTGTCTGCAATCTTGATAAATAAATTCACTCTATCCATCAAAGTCTTCGCTCTAATGGCCACCATTAGATTCAAAAATTCTCTCCAATTCAAATACCCTGAAAAATTGTAATCAATCTATTAAAACATTTATTTTGCCAAATCAGTCGGCTGCATTGAAACCTAATAGATTCCATTTCGAAACGCTTCAAAACTCACTCCCTCCCCAATCACATATGCATCCTCCATTTAACTTGATACAGCTTCCAAGGCTTAATATAATATAAATGTCTAATATAACTCTCTTCGATTTAGCTTTGTTTCCTATATCAATTGAGGTATGTTCTAGGTAAATAATAGCTTCTGCCTCTTTTAAAGGGTTTGGAGGATCTATTTTTTTGTCTTGATATGATGATATTTATTTTTGCTCGTTTGTGCACTATTTGCAAATTATATCTCATAAGTATTCTGATTCTCCTTCTTATTTCCTATATATTACTGCAACTTATCTAAGTGCTACTCATGATATTATGGATCCTCATATTTCACTAGTCTCCCCCCAAGGAGCACCACTTAAAGTATAAATAAAGATTACTTGGAGCAACAGCGTCTGGATCATGATTTTATATGATAGTTTTTTATAAAATTTACAATTCTCGACTATATTACCTAATAATATGTTCATTTTCTAATTGTCTTGGTTCTATTGTAATTTATTCATCATCATTTAAATATTCATCTTAATTTTGATATTTTTCAGTTAGGGGTGTTTACTTGATGTCATTAAACTTTTTTTATAATATATCATCTAAATTTAACTTTTTTTAAGCCTTCAATTTGCATCTTTTGTATAAACTTTCAGCTTCTTAAGAATTCAACCTAAAATTAGACATCTTATCATCTTGCTATTGCAAATAATCTGCTATATTTTAGATGTTTCTTTGGTATTTCTTGCTTATAAATGTCTCCAAACTCTCAGATTTCTATTCTCCTATTTGCTAATCCTTTAAGACACATTCCAATTGATCCAAATACTCTAAGACTTTATTGGCCTCAGCTATGCCATTAAATTATTTAGTTGGGGATACTATTATTGTTTTATGGTGTTGGCAATCAAACAAGGATGTCAAAGGCTCTCCTTTCTAAATCAATTACAATTTTACTTTAGAATAAAAATACAACTCTATTTATCCCAACTTTAATTGATCCAATAGTTCCTTACCTACTTAATGGAGCAATAATTCAGCCTCCCTTTATGAACTTCTTTGTAATGGAATAGGTATATTAAAGTAGCAATATCTTAAATTATCTATTGATTTGCATCAATTTTTATTATAAAATTGTACTTAGTAAGGTTGTGATTTAAAACTATCAATACTAATCTTTCCTTTAATTTTATGTTTTATAAGGATCCTGCATTTTTTAGCTTTTATTTTTGTGTAAACTTAACAAAATAAGACAAATAATAATACAGTTAGCAACGAGTTCACTTTGCGATGAGACATTTTGCTTGAGTTTGCCTTTACTGGTAGTGCTTAATCTAAAAACAATGTTTGACTTGGAGAAACTGGGATTATTCTTGTTACATAATGATCCTAAGTGAGATTTTGTAAACTATGCTATTAAGGTAAAAGATTCAATCTATTAAATTTGTTAAACACTTTTGAAATGTCCTTATTATATGATTTGTGCTTATCATAAAAGTACTTCATATTAGTATGCATTACTTAACCACTATAATATTATCGAATTGACGGCTAGGAATTAGCATTCCCCAAACGTATACGAGATGCCGATGTTCTTAAACTTGTACTCCCTGTTTTTTAATCAATTAAACAAACCTTATTTTCAGACCCTGATCGAATATGTCTATTCATAGTTATCTTATATATTATTAAATGAAAATTATTAAAAAAATACATCGTTTAATTCACTCTTCAAATTTATTGTCTTTTCTTCTCTTACTAATTCCTAAATGCATCATCCCCTTCTCAAATTTTACCATAATTAATTCATATATTTAATGTATCTCTTTAATATTTGGAAGATTTAATTTCTTACTAAACTTAATCTTGACTATTAATTGTCTATTAAATCAAATGATTATTCATCAAAGATAATAGTTTTAATATCGCTACAATTTTTGGATTCATGTTCTGAACCTCATTTATAATAATAAAATCAAACAGTGAGCTACTGTTTCAATATCAATTATTTTATTATTTTATTTTGGTATTAAAAAATTACTCATTGCCCTTCGAAATTTTGCTGCAACTCTATTCACATAAACTTTAACTTATATCTTATTTACCAAGATAATATTGCTTTATTCATGCTCTGCTAAAGTACAGAAAACAATTAGAAAACAGTATTTTATATTTTATTCTGAAGATGTTTCGATAAATTGATCATCCAAAACGATTATTTATATATTGATTGCATTAAGACAACTTTATCCGAATTAGTTAGTTATTCAATTGTAGCTTTGTCAGTCATATTGAAAGCACATTAAATTTTAAGATCATTCAAAAATCAAAAGTCACAGAAGTATTTTCAAATATATAAATCAAAGCTCTTAGTTTATTCATTTTCTATTGCATATAATATGCATAAGTAAAATTCTTGGAAGCTTTATGCTGAGAATGTTGCTATATTATTTTAAACTGTGATCATTATTGCGCTTTACAAGGTTTATGAAAAATGATTCACTCTTGGAGAATATTATTTAAGAGCTGCAACTTTCCTTGGGGTAAATTTGCCCTTCTTTACAAGACTCATTCCTAATAGTTTAGCAATAATTATTAACATTTTTTTTGAGTAATATTGCAATTTAAATATTATGTAGTTATGTTTGCAAGACTACCATAGATATAGTCAAACTTTAAAATAAAGACACTGGATAGATTGCATTTATAACTGTATTTTTATAATTTGCCTGAACTGCTGCAAGATGTTTCACTATTCTAGTCAGTTCAACTGATGGAATGTTGATTGTAAATTATTTATCTATTGATTTAATTTAGCTCCTCAATGCCATCAGTGTTACGTTAAATTTTACACTAGTGTTTCAATTGATAACATATTGAAATTCAAAAAAGGAAGGACAAATTGAGTTGTGATGTTTATAAAAATCAGTTAGTTATTTATGGTTTAATAAATATTCTAAAAATATTAGTATTAAATATAATAAAACAAATTTTGTTAATTCAAATGAAAATTAATCTCAACTTTTTAAGCTATAAAAGATTTCAAAGCTTTCATTTGAACTCAATACTTTAACAGTTATTTAATATTAACCTTTTTTAAAGTTAATAAAGGCTTTTAATTGTTATGCAACATCACCACTCAAAATTTACTCACATATTTGTAGACAAATTAATTCATCTTGTGGTAATTGCACCGTAATCTCCATTGTATCTATTTTTAATGAACCATATTAATTTGTTAATCTAAATGGAACTTGCTGTTAATGAACTAAAAATGAACCAACATATTAAATGTTAAGATTTTCTTAAGCTAATTTCATTAAAATTTATCGAACATTAAATCCATAAGCAAGTTTGATTTCATCATTTGATTCTGCTTCCATCATGAAATTGTGAATTTAATTATCTGAGTACTCTAATTACATATAGGACATTGAAATGATTGTTGGAATTTAGATAAATTTATTTTAAATTTTGGTCTTAAAAAATAATTCTCTTAAAAAATCATTTAATATTACAGGTTAGTGCATTTATGATGAGAAGCAAACTTTATCTTTAGATGTTCCAACAAAAACTAATGGAATAGTTTTTTTAATCTATTCAAATAGCTTTTCGTATTATTTGTAATATTAAATGGTACCTGCCAAATACCATGATTCTTCATCTAATAAGAAAATTTTGGAGGAGCATTAACAAGCAAATTAACGAGCCTCCTTATTTGGACCATAATAACTTGGATCACAAGTATATGATTTTAAAGACATATCCTGAACAAAAGCCTCTACAAAATGCTATGTTTTTTAATTATTAGCCTTGCTCAAATGTTTTTAAGTAACAGAATTATAGACTTCAATTTTTGCATCATTTTCTTAATTAGGTTCTTATAATGGCTCTGACTTTGGTTCTTCATTTAAGTTCTTCATTTCTATTACATTATTCTTTTTAGTTGAAGCCAAAGATTGAATAATAAAAATGTCATCAATGCTTTTGTCAACATCTACATAGTGAGTTTCCTCTTATTCTTTCTTTTTTTGTTCCTCATTTTCAACATCCAAAGCTTAATACCTCTTAGCATAACGAGCTCTAGCTTTCATTTCTTTCTCTTATGCAATTTCTTCCTCTGATTTTTCTTATTTCTACTGTGGTTTCTCAAACTCCAATTCATGAGGCTATGCAGGTTTGCTCAAAGGAATTTATTATTTTTAAGGTGATCTATATTCTTATTAGACTTAATCATCATTTTTTTATTTTTCTACTTCAGGTTCTTAATCAGCTTATTTTTGGTTTTCTTTAGAATTCTCTTGAATCCTATTATCAATTGTTTCTACTTTATCTGTATTTTCATTACTAACTTCTGATTCAAGTTTAGATTCTTCATTTTAATTTGTATTTTCTTAATCATTAGTACTAGTTGATTATTCTTCCTAATTTTCTTCTGTTTATTACGATATTTAAATAAATTGTGCCTATTATTATTCTTTTTTTTAAAGTGGATCGCTTTCTTCATTTTTAGTTTCTGAGTTGAAGATTGAGTTCATTTACTCATATTTTTTATTAATCAGATCTAAATTTTCATTTGATATATTAAATTAAGCTTACAATGAACTTAAATCCTTATTGAAGTTATCAAATTTCTTTGGGCTGAATTCAAACTCCTTTTACAATTTTACTTCAGAGACATCATCATTTTCTTGAAAATTTAATACTGCCACAGGTATATTTTCATCAATATATGTTTAATCCTACTCTTCCTTACTCAAGATTATGTCTTCCACTTTTTATAGAAAAATTGGATTATCAACTTTTAGTGGTTATTAATAACTTTCTTGGTTATCTGATTGTTCTTGCGAATTCTAAATATTATCTTAACTAAGATCAATTTATCAAGATTACATATTAGAATGAAACTCTTCTTCTTCCTCTTCAGAATAGCTTTATTCTATCAATTCTTCGAATTCAGAATACACTAACTCCTCTTCTATTTGCTATTATTATTTCTAAAATTCAAAAAAGTTTATCGCATGCTCTTCTTCTGTTAACAGTTCTTCTTCTTCTACTTCAATATTAGTTTCTTCTTCAGTAATTGATTAATTTACCTAGCTATCTGTAATAAATGAATTTTAAATTTAGAACTAGGAATCATCTAACTCCAAAGTTTCAAAATCTTAATTATACAGATCCTCTGGAGTGTTATCGTCATAAAAATCAAAGTCGTCTTATTAATCTTGGCTGGTTTCTTCTTAGTCATCAGATTTGCCATCCTATAACTCATCATCATCGAAATCAATTAAATCATCGAATGTAAAATCCGTCTATTACTCATTAAATTAATTTGTATCAATATCATTATCACTTTATTCATCTGAATTATCGCTACTTTCCAATGATTCATCCTCATTAGTATCTTCATCCTTATCTTAAATGAACTCAATGTGTAATTCACTTAGAACTTATTAAAACACTTATAAAAATGAGTATTTGGAACTGAGTTCGTAAATCTAGTTCATTTTTACATTAATTTCTTATTGATCAATCATTTCTATTAGGTTTTTCATTCTTTAATAATCTATCTGCCGTTTTTTGAAAATAAACTCAATCGCATCTAATTAAGCATCCGCTGATATTTATTAGATTGCTAAAAGAACCTCATCCTCTTGATCAATTTCATCTTCATCATAACTCTCAGTTTATTCATCAACCTCTGAATTTTCGTCCAATTCCTTTTATTAATTTTACTATGATTGTGTGAATACTCTCCCTCCTTCAACAGTAATATTCGAAGGTTTATATTTTTCTATCTATTGCAATTACTCCTCTAATAACTCTTTTTATGATTTTCCAGTTTATGATTATTTAGGAACTTCTTTGACAGATTCTTAAGGTTCTATTTATTTTTTTTATATTTTTTTTAGATTAACCTTAACATTCTCAAAAGAAATATCTCCCTTTTAATCAAAAAGTTGAAAACCATTTTCTGCTTGTAATGGCCTTGCTATTAACAGCAAAAAAAGGATGATTATTTCGTTTTTCATTTATTTTAATAATTACTCAATAATTTATATGAGTTATGATGATGATGTTTGGATAGAAGATGAAAAGAAGTATATAAAATCGAAAGGGTAAATGAAGATAAATCTTCGAATAGATTAAGGGTTGATCCTTTGGCAAATGAAGGACTATAAGATCTTCTTGTATCATTATTTAAATGGAAATCATAGTTGCTATCATATCGAAATGAATTCAATTGTCTTCATAATATATGAATTAGATATTTGAAGGAATAAATATACACCTAAATTGGTTCACCAAATATTATCGTCATATTAGTGTCGATAAATCCTTATATTTTTCTATCTAATATTTGTAATCAAGAAACCCTTGCTTATTATAGAATAAACTAGGATAATATCAAAAAGGATTAAAAACAAGTACCTGAGAGAATGAGTTTGAACCTCATTTATTTAAAATTACATAACTATCATTCGACTAATTTTTTGAGATTCCAATATAAGAGTTAAGAATATATTCTATAAATACATCAAGAGAAAGTGGATCAGGGAAACAGAATCAACAAAAATACTTTTAAATTATTTAGCTGCAGAATCAAAAAGTGGCTTATTTAGAACAATTCAACAAGGGAAAACCATTGAATAGTAAATATTTGCTTTTAATCCTGTTCTAGAAGCATATGGTAATGCTAAAACTGCAAGAATGACAGGTTTGGAAAATTTATGCACTAATACTTCAATTCAGATACGAAAAGAGTCAGTACAGCTATAATAGATAATTATTTATTAGAGAAAAGTAGAGTTGTAAAGATTAATAACTAAAAAGGAATTATCACATCTTTTATTAAATTAAAAGAACTTATATCCCCTTAATAATTTGAATATTTAAAAGATGGTGATCTACCTTATCAAAGAAATGAAAAATCAGAAATCTAAGAAACAGATTTATGTTTAGATAATTTAAATCGTAGTCCTAATGAAAAGATATATATTTATCAAACTATTGCTGGATTGTTAAATCTTAGCAATGTTAAATTGATTATGATTCTTCCAAATCTAAATTGGTACTAGATAATTCACTTAAATTAGCATCCTCACTATTAGGAATTCTAATTTAAGACTTAGAAGATCTCATATGCAAAGTAGTTACTTCTGTGAAAGGAGATAGTGATTAAAAATAATAATTTGGAAAGTGCTTAAAGTTCCAGAGATACTCTAGCAAAACATGTTTATGAAAAGCTATTTAATTAGTTAATAGAGAAAATTAATTAGCTGCTATTAAAGACATCAAATCTTTAAGTTTTTAGAATTATAGCAACCCTAGTTCTTTAAATACATGGATGGGTATTTTAGATATATTTGGATTCGAAATATTTACTGATACCAACCAATTACATAAGAATAATCTTGATTAATATAATATTAATTTTACAAATGAAGATTAGAGCCGCGTTTTAATTATCAAATGTTTGTTGTGACAGAACAGGTAAGAAATTTTTAAACTTTTAGGTGAAAATTAAAAAATTGGATAGTTTTTAAATGAATAATAAAAAAAATAATATAAATAGGAAAGACTGAGTTGTTCATGAAGTAACATTTTCGAGAGTTTCTTAATATTAGACTAATTGAATTTAGATTAGAAAATTTTGTGAAAATTAAGAAATAATTCAGAATTTATATTAATATCAGCACAATTATATAGAAGTTATAAGTAAAATTGCATAATAAATTACTAAAGATTAAAAGAGCAATAAGAAAATTGTTATTTAAAAAAGCAATAGAAAAAAGAATTAAATTGATGAGAAAAATCAATGCCCTCGTATCTTAATGCACTGAAGTTAATCAAAAATTAATAAAAAAAGTTTCATTAAATTAATGGAAAATTAAAATTCATGAACTTATAGCTCTGAGAGAGGAAAGGTTATTAGGAGGTGTGGAAACTATTAATTAATAAAAATAATTTTTTGAAATCAACTGAAGACCAAGATTTTAAGGAAAAAAGGAATAAATTGACTAGTAAATAGAGATCAAATAATAATGATAACAATAAGAATAATAGTAATAGTATAAAGAACAATAGCCTCAAATCAAAAAAGAGGTAAACCAAAAAAGGATTATTTTTAAAATAAACAGTTATATCATAATCCAATACTAAAACAATCCAAAATTAAGAAGAGAAAAGTCAAGAATAGATCTCGTCCTAATAAAAAGAAATGGAATTTATGAGCAAAAATTAAATTAGTAGATAGAGGAATTGGAAGAAGAAAAGAAATCATGAATTGCAATTTAGAGAGAGAATGAATAACTATTTAAATCGCTCAAAGTTTAATAAAAGGATGAAATAGCATAGGAGAAATATAGAGAGCAGATTTAAAAATTGGAAAATGAGGTTTTAAAAGTGATTAAATAATTCATGATCTGAATGTTAAATTGAATGAATATTCAAAACAGATTAAATAATCTAGTTGCATTAATCTAGTTTCAGAAAGTTAAGATACCAGAATATTGTAATTAGAAAGTCAACTTCAGAAAAAAATGATTTGATTAAGCTTTACTAAGATTAAATAAAATTTCTAAATAAGGGCTGGAGAATTAACATTTTGGAAAGGAAATACTTATCACTTACTTAATTTAAAGATTTATGAATAGAAATTAGTAATAAATTCTTTATTTCTAGCCAATATATGAGTAATTCTAAATAAACAAAATTATGGAAACTGGAGATTTACTGTAAAAATAAATCAAAGATCTTTAATAATAGATTTAATAATTAGAATAATCGTTATTAAAGTCCTAGATGACTTAATGAAAATTATATAAATTAATTATTTTGAAAATATGCTGATATTTTTTTCACTATTTTCCCTTTCATTTGGATACTTTATCTACAAACCATTCACGACCGTATAGGTAATTAATGGGTTTTAATTATTAGTCTGGGCCTTGCGATACGTCAGATAATATTTTATAAATACCAAACAGCCTTCTGGGTCCAGCCTATTCATCGTTTACAGTTGCAGGTTGGTTCAAAAAAGATTCATCAACGAGCACCTCTAAAAACCTCCTTTTCTTAATTGGGCCAGATACCAATAATTATGCGTATATTGAGTGACTTATAAAAATAGGAATTTTCATCTGGCAGCCACTCTAAATGAATAGTTTAAAGTTCAGAGTTGTTTTTCGACGAAGGATTGCATGACATTTGAAACTTCAGAGCTAATGATAACTGATGTTGATAACAGATGGATCTATGTTTTGGTTTCAATAAATTTAACTAAAAAACTATTATATTACAAATTAGTAACACACTCAGATACACTACCCAGAATTTACATATATTCTTCAGTCTTGGAACTTAAAACAATTTCAACTTTTACTGATTCAACAGGAATAGTCATTAAAAATAAAGTAGTAAGTCTCTTCAACTTCAATGGATTTTGTGGTAAATATAAAGAATTTACATATTACGGTAATCTTTATACAGAAACAACGAGATAAGCATATAATTTTGATGTAGAATACATCACTTATTGGATGACATTACTACCATCAACTACTTTGGCATTAAACTCATTATCATCGACTTAAGATCTTGGAGATTTAAAAAATGGTGTAACTTTTGATTCTAAATGGGGTTGGTAATTCTAAAAGGGTTAATATGCTCAATTCAATAATTTGAGAAGTAGTTTTGGGGACAAGTTTATGATATCAGCGAATGTATACATCGGTAATCCAAATAGTGAAATGAACTTTTTATACAGAGTTGACCAGAATTCGAATCCATTAATTCAGATAAGATTTATTTCTTCTTCGTCAACCTTCAATGTTTAAGTATAGATTGGGGGGGTTGTTGGAGAATCACATGGCTAGATATCTGCTCCTCTAAGCCAATGGACTCCAATTTTAATTTCGGTTTATAACAATTTAAATTTTTATCCAGATAACACTAATCCAGGTATGGCATTATTTGACATTACAACGCCTACATTTTAGGAATATGGAAAAAAATCATTTAAAGTTTATGGTGATTCTTTATCAGATCAATATTTTATTGGAGATTATCCAACAACGACTGTTTGGCAAACTGCTCCTTCTAATTATTTTAAATATGCTAATATTAGGATATTCAAAGGGTATAACTATCAATTTTACCCTTCCCCAGGCATTAAATCTTGCATCATAGAAGTTGGGGAGTTATACCCTATATGCATAGCCTGCAACGGAAATCCAGATACTTATAACATGTGCAAAGAGGCAGGAACATCCGGAAATCCTTCTACTTTAGTTTCTTCTGATTTACTCTAATGTCCTTAAGGTCAATATTTCTCCTCACCATCATGTTTAGTCATAAATGTTGATAATTGTTTAAGAGGTTCTAATGTTAACACTTGTACATAATGTATTGTGGGCTCAACATTAAGTAGTAACAAATGTTCTGCCCCAACAATTGCAACTCATTGTTTGACAGGGACATATGAATGCATTACTAAATATAATGGAGATTTCAGTACAATAAATACTTCTTCTTCTATTAGTTTAAAATGCAATAGCAAATATTATTTGGATAATTCGCAATGTAAAGCCTGTGATACTAGTTGTAATTCTTGTATTAATGGTACTTCGTGTGTAGATTGTCCTGCTAATTAATATTTAGTAAAAGCCACTTAATTATGCGGTTCTACTTGTGATACAGTTTATAAAGACACTGATAAGATGAGTTGCATTGACAGCTGCGAAGTATATCAAGTAGTGACTGATGATCTTAAATATTGCAGTATGAAATGCCCGAATGGATATAAATAATATTTGTAAACGTGCTTATCAGAATGCCCATAGAATACATTTAATGAAAATGGTATTTGTAAGAGTTGTCATAGCAAATGTTATGAATGCACTGGAAGCTCAAATAAAGAATGCACGAAATGCAATTTTGGTTATTACTTTTTATAGAATATTTGCGAAGACTTTTGTGCTGATGCTAAAAAGTATGCTAATTAATTAGAAAATGAATGCACTGACACCTGTGTAGCTCCTGGAGTTCAATACGGAATGTAGTGTTTATATACATGTCCAGCAAGTTAATTTGAAGATTCTCTCAAAAAATGTGTTATGTAATGTCCTGATGGTTATGTTGCTGTAGAGAATGTAATTACAGTAACTTTGAAATACACTTCATAATCTAAATCTTTTAATGGTTTTACTTGTCAATAATGTGCCACTGGATGCCTCACATGTGATAATGTTGACTAACCAGGAATAAGTGAAAATTGCATAAAATGTGTTGCAGGTTAATTTTTAGTTGGTCGAAATTGTGATGTTTCTTGCCCAGTTGATTATCCTTTAGAAGATTTATTAAATTAAAGATGTCTGACTGCTTGTCCTCCTTAATTTTATCAATACAACAGTACATGTGTGTTGAAATGTCCAAATGGATCCTATGCCTACGAACAAAAATGTTAAGGCACATGTCCTGATGGAACTTATCCAGAAGTAACTAATAATGGTTGTTTGTTATGTGCTAATGAATGCAATAAATGTAGTGAGGGTGGACCATCTAATTGCATAGATTGTAAAGGTGGTTATTATTTATATGATACTATTTGTGTTCAAATTTGTCCAACCAATAGGAAATATCACAACACTGTAACGTTCATATGCGAATCTACATGTCCAAATTACTATTTAGATGATGGTACTACTTTTGAATGCTACGATTAATGTCCAGCCAATTTTAATGTAGATGGATAAAGATGCACATATTATTGTTCATTAGGAAAATATTTAGATGTGGACACATGCAAAGTCTGTGATGCTAAATGTTCTCGATGTGATGATGGAACTAATTATAATTGCTCTAAATGTTCAGCCAATTACTATTTAGATGGAAGAACTTGCTCATTAACTTGTGATGAAAATCCAACTTATTACAGAAGTGATTATGGTTATGTTTGCGTTGAAAAGTGTCCTGGAACTCTGCTCATGGTTGATTCACTTAAGAAATGTGTAGCTGTTTGTCCAAATACTCATCTAAAATATTAAGATCATTGTTTATTACAATGTCCGAAAGGGTACTATGCTGATGGCAACTTGAAATGTTAGATTTGCCCATAAGAATGCATTGAATGTTCTTCAGATACATCCTGCTCAAAATGTGCAGCTAAATATTTTTAATAAGGAACAGAATGCTTAAGAACTTGTAAAAATAACTTTTATCAAAATCTCGTCAATTATTAGTGTGAGGCCACTTGTAGTAAATTAGTGAACAATGATGGTTTAGGCAATTTATAATGTTTGGATGAATGTCCAAATACTAAAGTTAAACATTAAGGACAATGCATTTATGATTGTCCTGATGGATATTATAAGAATGTTACAGATAAAGTATGTTCTAAATGCTCGTTAGAATGCAAAACATGTAATGGGGGAACAAATGAAGATTGCATAGAATGTCAAAATGGTTTTGAAAGAAAGGAGGATTTTTGTATTGGTATATGTCCAGTCGGAACATTCTTAAATTAAGTATCTTGTGATTCATGTGCGTTTAGATGTGTCTCATGTCTAGAATCTAAATATAATTGTATCTAATGTAGAGGAGATCGTCAAAATGCTCCTTAATGTTATTGCTAATCTGGATACTATGATGATAGAAAGAGTTTGAATTGCTAAAAGTGCTAAGCTCCATGTGTGACTTGCTAATCATAATCGTATTGCTTAACATGTTCATTCAATCTTGAACCTCCTGATTGTCTATGTAAACGTCCACCTCCTATTGTATCTGATTATTGTATCTCGTGCAAATTGTCCTTTGCTGAATCAGTTAGATTTAGTAGTGATTTCACTCAAATTATCGTAATTTTCACTTATTCAATCACTACAAACTCAGAGGATGCATACTTCTTTAGTAAAGAGAATTGTCAATTATGGTTCAAAAATACAAATTTTGGAGAATCTCCTATTTGCTAATAGAATGGAAACAAATACATTATATAATTAGGCAATAACCCTACAATCATGCCTAACGATGTAATTGAATTTAAGGAAAAAGTATTTATCGATAATAGTCTGCAACTATGTTAAGATATTTATATTGAATAGTTTAATAACACACAGTTGGTCTTGTCCACAGCAATTATTCCTAATGTGATACTCTCATATCCAGAAAATGCAATATCCTATTGTATGGATCTTTCCATCGAAGTTATCAAAGAAGTCTATAATGGAGGCAGAGCAATGATTTACAATAAATGGACCACTAATAGCACAGAGGAGGCAATCAATTCTGTATTAAGCTAGTTTGATGGATCTTCATATATTAAAATACCAGGAGGAACTATGCTGCCAGACTCAGCATATTATATCACTGTTAATTATTCGAATTTCTTAGGATATAATAAAACTACAACCTTTAAAGTAATGACAAAATCAACCAACCCTTCGCTGTTAACTTCTTTTGATGAGACTGCTACATATTATGCTAATCTTGAGATAGCAGTACCCTTTACTATCTATTCCTACTCATGCTCTGGTGGTAATGCTTAAGAACTAACAGAAAGCTATCCAGTCTCCTTATCAATTAAGTCAAGCACATCTGGTACAAGTCAGTTTGATTCCTCTATTGCAGCAGATAGTGGAGTTGACACTGCCTTCAAAATACCTGAAGGTAAGTTAAAAGCCAGTTAAGAATATTTGTTAGATATTTCTGTTGGAGATATAAAACTAAGCAAAAAGTTGAAAATTGGTAGTAATTAACTCTACTCTCAATTCCTAACAGAAGATAGAATTGTTGGAATTGACCAATTTAACCTTACAGTCAATGCTTCCGATAATGATGTGGCAAAAAATCTAAGCAAAATTGGTCTCAGTTACACTTGGACTTGTGTTAATCTATTTTACAATATTCCTTGTAGAACAACACTTAATAAACCTTTAGTTATGGGCAATAATGAAACCTTGAATGTTTCTAATTTACCCTCTGGCTTTGTCTATTAATTTTCATGTACAATAAAAAAAGAAACTCGTTCAGTCACTCTAAATTAGCAGATCATTGTTAGTAATCTGAATATGACTGAGTAAATTTTTAATACTGATATAGGAAATAAAGACATTTTAGTTGTCACTGATAACTTGCTCTATAATCTAGATGTCTCATCTTATTATTTAGTGATTATTCGATATTTCAAAATATTAAAGATTGAATACATTGAAAAATCAGTTCTTCGCCTAAATTTATATCTCTATCTAGGAAATCTTTAGACATAGTAAGACATCAGTGTTATTGTTGGAGGAACTTTAAATCGATATAATTTGAGAGTTAAACCAGCTCTTTTCTTGAGTAAATTAACTGTCTCCCCTACTTCAGGTTATTCTCTTTCAACAGAGTTTTCATTAGTGATCGATGACGGAGTAAAAAATGAAACAGATTCTACATAATACCAAGTTTACATATATAGCAATTTCCAAAATCTTGAATGGGATATTGGAAATTTTTCAAATAATAATGGATATCTATTATTAGATTGGGGAAAAGAAAAAACAATATAAAGTATTCTCCCTTCGTGTAAATATCTTCTAGTTAAAGTTAACAAAGATGATTAATTTGGAATGAGTTATGTAGAGGTTACAGTGCATAAAGCAAAAACTGCTGTTAGCGTAAAAAATAATATTGAATTTGTTAATGATTATATAGATTTTAATCAAACCAATCTAGTATTGGATTAAATTGCTATTATGGAACTGTATTTACTAGAAAATATCAAATGTAATTATAATTGTTGGAATCGGGGAGAATGCGTGAATTAAGTATGTGTTTGTGATTAGGATTACTCTACTTTTTCAGATTGTTCTGGTATTTTAAATGATTAAAATGTTTGGGATTAACTTGCCACCAAACTCTATTCTGATTTATCTAAGGCAGAATAGTCTTAAGTTGTGATGAATTCTCTATCACTTCTATATTAACTATCATATTTCAAATCTGTATTTGAATTAACAAAAACTGAGTAATTGTTTTCATAGATAGATACATTCCTTCAACCTCAAAATACAGATACAGGGATCATTTCATAAACCCTATAATCTATTAATTATTAAGCAGCCTTTAAAATTTTAAACTTTTTATCCTCTCTAAATAAATAGTTATTTACTAATGATTCTTATGTAGCTTAAATGCAGACAATTAACTAAAAATTATTTGATAGTTACAATACATTAATTTTATATACGGGAGATATATTATTAGAGGGAGAAACACAAAACTATACTTCTAGTTCTATGTCAATAACAATATAAAAAAAATCTACTCAAAAAAAGAGGCTTTTAGTGACGGAAAACAATTAAGTTGATAGCTATTTCGAAACAAATATTCTTAGACTTTAAAATAATTTCCCTTATCCAAATCATACTCAATAACTTTATTACAAATCTGAGAGTTAGGTAAGGCAATATACAGAGCTAAAGAAAATAAGACCAAAATAAAAATTGTTTGATTTCATTTCTGTTGATACTAATTTAGTTTGTATTTTAAGTACAGATGCTAAAACTTTTGATGATACTGGTTGCCAAACGTCATCATAAACTCCTCCTATCACATGTTCCTGTGATGCAGGATATGTAACCTTAGTTGACGACTACCAGTATTATTTTAAACCATTCTATTTCGATCTTAACTTTGTATTAGATCGATTATACATTCTATTTGCCTTTGGTGGATTTTTCCTCCTTATTTTTATCTTTTTGATTATTGGGCATATCAAAGATTCAAAAGACATTGATACTACTATTCCAATTCTTCCAGGATTCAGCAAATAGCCTCCTACCATAAAAAAAGTTTCGGTTTTAAATAGAGTGAGGAGAGCTCAAATTATGCCAAGTGAGGGAGAACCTAATAGTCCATCTGATAGCCCAGAAAAACCGTAATAGGAGTTGCAATAAGAATAGCCAGTTAGATAGTTTGATTCTGAAAATCGAATTTCAAATTGCTATTAGGTAAACAATTTATTAGGGGGAATATTTTTGTTCAAGAAAAATTTTGGTCGTAAATAAAGATTGCTTATGTTACTAAGTAGAGTCAGTATGATTGCTGGAGTTCTTGGATTTATAGTGAATATGTAGATCATATAGTTAGATAAAATAATATTATTTACAAGTGGAGTAAGTTTGTTACTTAGAGTATTTAATGTTTTATGTGAATATTTAAATACCAAAGGTTAGAGAAAAAAGCAATGTATTTACACATTCTTTAGTTACTTAATAACAACGCTTATATTGTTTGTGGGATTTTTAATTTCAACATTATCTTACTTTTTAGTTTATGATAGACTTGTAATCTATTGGGGTATAGGGCTTGCTTGTACTTTAGTTGCAGAACTTATTGTGACCGATTTTATTTTATAATTGGTGGCATTATTAATCGATTATATTAAATTTAGAAAATAAATAGAAGAGGATGACGAATATGAAAATGAGTACGAACCCATTCATTTAGCAAAAAATCCTGGAGAAAATGAAGATGAAAGTAAATTTGCTTGAAATATTATAAAAAAGGAAATTATTAAAATAAATTATTTCTTTATATCAAAATTCTTATGCAATCAGAACAATAAATAAAGATTGAATTTTGCAAACTATAAAGTAACTTCTTCGTGTATTCTAATTAAAGCATTAATTATTCGACTATATTTATTAATTATCCTTAATCAAACCTCGAGTTAGTTTTAAGTCCATTTCTAAGGCAGAACTCGCTTTATTACTATTCTTCTAGTAAATGGCATTCAATGTGAAGTTAGGGCATAGTTGAGACATCAATTGTGTCATAGAACTAAGAAGTAATTAATTTAAATCTATATTATATGTATACTACTCGGCATCGATTTATTTAAATTCACCTGAAAATAGACGTTGACTTAAAAAGCAATATCTTTATTTTTATCTTCATCCAAAATATTTTCAGCATTAACATCACTTTCAATGTTTAGGTTTAAGATGATTTATTGTTAGTTGAAGGTTTTTCGTAAATGAAGGATTCAAAAATCTAATTTTCTAAAGTAAACTCCCTAATTCTTTATGTACCTCTATTTATTTATAATTTCAAATATCATTAAACTAATTTATACTTAATCTAATCTCAAGAGGAGGAGCCCCGAAGCGTTCAAATAAGAATTCACAGAAGAAAGCAAATTATATTTATGTAACCATTTTTGGACTCTGAAGTCAAATCATTTTTGACAGTAAAAGCTATTGTAAAATTTGTTTATCAATATCTAAAATTTTTCTTTGATTATTCAATATATGGAATGTCGAAATACAGATCTGGGAAAGAAATAGAAATATCAGGAAAAGTTTAAATCCTTGATTTCCTATTCTAATTCTTATCCTTATCACTCTAATTAATCTACCATCCCTTAATTTTTGGTTTTTACGTTTTAAAATTGTAACAGTATCTTAAATTATCATATTTTATGATTTCTCTTTGTTTTTTGAATTCTGCTAGAGAGTTAATTATTAATTCATTTTAATTCATTCATTTTAGTAAGGTTTCTATATCTAGGCTTAATGCATTTTATTAATCCTTTTCTTTATCTTTTAATTTATCAATAACAAGTTTAATCGGGCTTCCTTCTTCTTATTTTTATGAAGAAAGAAACATTAAATTTTTTTTACATTCTGCATCTGCTATTTTTACTTTAAAGTTTCTTTTTATGCTTCAAGTTAAGAGCTTATCATTTAAGCTAATATGTTTTGTAATTATTCTTTTTCATTTTCTACTAAGATTGCAAATGCTTAAATTTATATTAAATATAATTCTAAAGATTGAGTTTCAAATTGATTTGAAACTTTTGGAGGAGATTTCATTTATTCTATTTCTTTTTCTTTTAATTCTAAATTTAAGGTTAACTCAAAGATTTCCTATCCAAGATTTTCGTTATTCTCCTACAAAGAAGTCATAAGGACAAAAACAATTTTTATAATTAATAAATAAAAAAGAAGTATTTAATTTTAATTATAATGAAGATGTGTTAAAACTTCACAAGATAATTATCATTTCACAATTTAATGCAATCTAAAATTAAAAAAAACAATTACTTTTGCAATTATTTTATTGTAATAATGCTTCCAATTGTGTATTTTTATTATATAATTCTTAGATTCTTCGATTTAACTAACTTATTCCATCATCATACTCCTATACACTGTGTTATAAATAAACAACTTAATGTTAGAGATAAATTAATTATGTTTAACTTTCATCTTTAATACTAATGATGCTGGAAGAAGAGCTTGAATTTTCAAAACTTTAATCTTGTTATTTTGACTGTATATGTTTAATTAATTTATTTGATGCTTTTGTCAGTTAAGTCAATTACAGATTTTCCTCAATATCATCTTAGTTCTACTTCAATAATTATTCAATAAGTGTTTAAAACTAAATGATTTTGTCATTAAATTTTTGTTCTAATAAATCATATTTTATTAATAGTGCTTCATATTATTATTTTATTTGTGAATTTTCGATTGATAATATTTCATTATCTTTTTAGAGAGATAAATTATAAGGTGCTTATTCAATTTATTATGGTTCGATCTTAATTGCCAAATTTTCTGAGTTTGAGGATGTTAATTCTTCAATGATAGCTTTTTATTTATTCAATCTATCACTTAAAGATTCAATTTCCTTATTCTTCTTGTTTATTAAGCTCATTGCTCTGAACAATTTTCCAAATAATGTGTCTTTTTGCTTCTTCAGTTGTGCAATTTCTGGAATTTATTAGCTTTCCTAATTTATTTCGATTTCTTCTGCTTATCCAAAGTCATCTTCTTTTTCTTCTGAAACGGAAGCGTTGTTTGAATTGCTTAATTCATCTAAAATTGCCTTCTATTTATGTAATCTTTCCTTCAATTCCTCAATTTCCTTATTCTTTTTGTTGAATTAACTCATCACTCTGAATAATTTGCCCAGCAATTTATTATTCTGACTTCTGAGCTTTTTTAATCCTTCTCCATCATCTTGTGATGCTGGTGCTGATTCTACTTATTGTTCAGAATTTTCTTTCACTACTTCAACATTTTCTATTTCTTCTTCATTCATCTTGATTTGCTCTCTCAATTCCTCATTTATGGCTTTTTGTTTTGCTAACTTTTGATTAAGTGATTCCACCAAACTATTTTTACTCTTTATATCATGTAAAGCTCTAAATAATTTGGCTAACCATCTATTATTCTAATTCGATTACTTTTTCAATTCTTATTTGAGCTTCTCATTTTCTTCTTATAACTCTTTTATTTCTTAATTATTTTGAACACCTTCTTGTTCATGCTCATTTTTCTGTTAAGATTAGGAGCTTACTTCCGTTTCGTCACTTGAATTTTGCAATAATAATTCATCATTTATTGCTTTCTATTTCAACAACTTCTATGATAACTATTCGATTTCTTTATTCTTTCTCTCAAACTAAATCATTACTTTGAAAAGCTTTCCCAGTCATTTGTACTTTTGTCTAATTAATCTTTAAATTTCTTCATCTTTACTCGAAAGATCAATTCCTCATTATTCCTAAGATTACTCTTTTGGAGTATCTTGTTCTTGGTTCAGGATCACATTATTTTGAAGTTTGTTACAACAAAATTCTCAACTATATCTTATTATTCAACAACCAATTACTTAGACTTAATCAATCTGTTCTTGAGTTCTTCAATCTCTTATTATTATTTTGCTAACTTAATCACAACTCTAAATTATTAAGCCAGCAACTTATGATTTTTGTCTCTTAACTCTCTTAATGAGTCATCATTGAGTGCAAATTCAGAAATTATCGATCTCAATTTAGCAATTCTTTAATCTTATTCATCAATAATCTTCTCCTCTTAATTTAATTTGAACACCAAACTGAATATTTTGGCTAAAGATTTGTTGTTTGAATGCTTAATCTTATTGAACTCTTCTGGATTTATCTCTAACTGTTTTACAACGATCTCTTTTCGTTTCACTTTCAGGTTATGCTTAGAGAGTATTAACTATTTAATTCTATAATTCATCATTTATTGCTCTTTGCTTTTGAAGGCGGTCTGACAAGGATAGAATGACTTTATCTTTTTGACTTAACTTGATCATAATCCTAAACATTTTGGAAGTCAATTTAATATTTCTATTTTTTAATTGCTATTAATCAGCCTCTAAGCGTTAAATTTTTTCCGTTTGCCCAGTTATCTCATTTTGATCAGATTATTTACTTTCAGAAACTATCTCTTCTTCCTTTTGAGGAACTTAATTGAGTAAACTATCTACAACTGCCTTACCTTTTTTATAATCGTTCTTACAACTCTTCATTCAGTTTCTACTTCACATTCAAATCACTGACTGCTCTAAAGAGTTTGCCCCATAGCTTATGAATCTTCTCTCTTTATTATTAAGCATTATCGTTTTGAGATAATTCTTCAATTATAGCTTTTTGTTTTAGTAATCTCGAATTCAATTCATCTATTTGGTTATTTTTTTTGGAAATCAAAAACATAGCTCTGAATAATTTACTCAAAGATTTATCATTTGCAGTTTTCAATTTATTGAATTGTTCAGTATTGATCAGTTCTAAGTTACCATTATCTTCAATTAAATTGTTAGGAGCACTCTGAAGTTCAATTTATTATGGTTCGATCTCAATTGCCAAATTTTCTGAGTTTGAGGATTTTAATTCTTCAATGATAGCTTTTTATTTATTCAATCTATCACTTAAAGATTCAATTTCCTTATTCTTCTTGTTTATTAAGCTCATTGCTCTGAACAATTTTCCAAATAATGTGTCTTTTTGCTTCTTCAGTTGTGCAATTTCTGGAATTTATTAGCTTTCCTAATTTATTTCGATTTCTTCTGCTTATCCAAAGTCATCTTCTTTTTCTTCTGAAACGGAAGCGTTGTTTGAATTGCTTAATTCATCTAAAATTGCCTTCTATTTATGTAATCTTTCCTTCAATTCCTCAATTTCCTTATTCTTTTTGTTGAATTAACTCATCACTCTGAATAATTTGCCCAGCAATTTATTATTCTGACTTCTGAGCTTTTTTAATCCTTCTCCATCATCTTGTGATGCTGGTGCTGATTCTACTTATTGTTCAGAATTTTCTTTCACTACTTCAACATTTTCTATTTCTTCTTCATTCATCTTGATTTGCTCTCTCAATTCCTCATTTATGGCTTTTTGTTTTGCTAACTTTTGATTAAGTGATTCCACCAAACTATTTTTACTCTTTATATCATGTAAAGCTCTAAATAATTTGGCTAACCATCTATTATTCTAATTCGATTACTTTTTCAATTCTTATTTGAGCTTCTCATTTTCTTCTTATAACTCTTTTATTTCTTAATTATTTTGAACACCTTCTTGTTCATGCTCATTTTTCTGTTAAGATTAGGAGCTTACTTCCGTTTCGTCACTTGAATTTTGCAATAATAATTCATCATTTATTGCTTTCTATTTCAACAACTTCTATGATAACTATTCGATTTCTTTATTCTTTCTCTCAAACTAAATCATTACTTTGAAAAGCTTTCCCAGTTATTTGTTCTTTTGTCTAATTAATCTTTAAATTTCTTCATCTTTACTCGAAAGATCAATTCCTTATTATTCCTAAGATTACTCTTTTGGAGTATCTTGTTCTTGGTTCAGGATCACATTATTTTGAAGTTGTTACAACAAATTTTCAACTATATCTTATTATTCAACAACCAATTACTTAGATTTAATCAATCTGTTCTTGAGTTCTTCAATTTCTTATTATTATTTTGCTAACTTAATCACAACTCTAAATTATTAAGCCAGCAACTTATGATTTTTGTCTTTTAACTTTTTTAATGAGTCATCATTGAGTGCAAATTCAGAAATTATCGATTTCAATTTAGCAATTCTTTAATTTTATTCATCAATAATCTTCTCCTTTTAATTTAATTTGAACACCAAACTGAATATTTTGGCTAAAGATTTGTTGTTTGAATGCTTAATCTTATTGAACTCTTCTGGATTTATCTCTAACTGTTTTACAACGATCTCTTTTGTTTCACTTTCAGGTTATGCTTAGAGAGTATTAACTATTTAATTCTATAATTCATCATTTATTGCTCTTTGCTTTTGAAGGCGGTCTGACAAGGATAGAATGACTTTATCTTTTTGACTTAACTTGATCATAATCCTAAACATTTTGGAAGTCAATTTAATATTTCTATTTTTTAATTGCTATTAATCAGCCTCTAAGCGTTAAATTTTTTCCGTTTGCCCAGTTATCTCATTTTGATCAGATTATTTACTTTCAGAAACTATCTCTTCTTCCTTTTGAGGAACTTAATTGAGTAAACTATCTACAACTGCCTTACTTTTTTATAATCGTTCTTACAACTCTTCATTCAGTTTCTACTTCACATTCAAATCACTGACTGCTCTAAAGAGTTTGCCCCATAGCTTATGAATCTTCTCTCTTTATTATTAAGCATTATCGTTTTGAGATAATTCTTCAATTATAGCTTTTTGTTTTAGTAATCTCGAATTCAATTCATCTATTTTGGTTATTTTTTTTGGAAATCAAAAACATAGCTCTGAATAATTTACTCAAAGATTTATCATTTGCAGTTTTCAATTTATTGAATTGTTCAGTATTGATCAGTTCTAAGTTACCATTATCTTCAATTAAATTAGTTAGGAGCACTGCTGAAGTTCAATTTATTATGGTTCGATCTCAATTGCCAAATTTTCTGAGTTTGAGGATGTTAATTCTTCAATGATAGCTTTTTATTTATTCAATCTATCACTTAAAGATTCAATTTCCTTATTCTTCTTGTTTATTAAGCTCATTGCTCTGAACAATTTTCCAAATAATGTGTCTTTTTGCTTCTTCAGTTGTGCAATTTCTGGAATTTATTAGCTTTCCTAATTTATTTCGATTTCTTCTGCTTATCCAAAGTCATCTTCTTTTTCTTCTGAAACGGAAGCGTTGTTTGAATTGCTTAATTCATCTAAAATTGCCTTCTATTTATGTAATCTTTCCTTCAATTCCTCAATTTCCTTATTCTTTTTGTTGAATTAACTCATCACTCTGAATAATTTGCCCAGCAATTTATTATTCTGACTTCTGAGCTTTTTTTAATCCTTCTCCATCATCTTGTGATGCTGGTGCTGATTCTACTTATTGTTCAGAATTTTCTTTCACTACTTCAACATTTTCTATTTCTTCTTCATTCATCTTGATTTGCTCTCTCAATTCCTCATTTATGGCTTTTTGTTTTGCTAACTTTTGATTAAGTGATTCCACCAAACTATTTTTACTCTTTATATCATGTAAAGCTCTAAATAATTTGGCTAACCATCTATTATTCTAATTCGATTACTTTTTCAATTCTTATTTGAGCTTCTCATTTTCTTCTTATAACTCTTTTATTTCTTAATTATTTTGAACACCTTCTTGTTCATGCTCATTTTTCTGTTAAGATTAGGAGCTTACTTCCGTTTCGTCACTTGAATTTTGCAATAATAATTCATCATTTATTGCTTTCTATTTCAACAACTTCTATGATAACTATTCGATTTCTTTATTCTTTCTCTCAAACTAAATCATTACTTTGAAAAGCTTTCCCAGTTATTTGTTCTTTTGTCTAATTAATCTTTAAATTTCTTCATCTTTACTCGAAAGATCAATTCCTTATTATTCCTAAGATTACTCTTTTGGAGTATCTTGTTCTTGGTTCAGGATCACATTATTTTGAAGTTGTTACTACAAATTTTCAACTATATCTTATTATTCAACAACCAATTACTTAGATTTAATCAATCTGTTCTTGAGTTCTTCAATTTCTTATTATTATTTTGCTAACTTAATCACAACTCTAAATTATTAAGCCAGCAACTTATGATTTTTGTCTTTTAACTTTTTTAATGAGTCATCATTGAGTGCAAATTCAGAAATTATCGATTTCAATTTAGCAATTCTTTAATTTTATTCATCAATAATCTTCTCCTTTTAATTTAATTTGAACACCAAACTGAATATTTTGGCTAAAGATTTGTTGTTTGAATGCTTAATCTTATTGAACTCTTCTGGATTTATCTCTAACTGTTTTACAACGATCTCTTTTGTTTCACTTTCAGGTTATGCTTAGAGAGTATTAACTATTTAATTCTATAATTCATCATTTATTGCTCTTTGCTTTTGAAGGCGGTCTGACAAGGATAGAATGACTTTATCTTTTTGACTTAACTTGATCATAATCCTAAACATTTTGGAAGTCAATTTAATATTTCTATTTTTTAATTGCTATTAATCAGCCTCTAAGCGTTAAATTTTTTCCGTTTGCCCAGTTATCTCATTTTGATCAGATTATTTACTTTCAGAAACTATCTCTTCTTCCTTTTGAGGAACTTAATTGAGTAAACTATCTACAACTGCCTTACTTTTTTATAATCGTTCTTACAACTCTTCATTCAGTTTCTACTTCACATTCAAATCACTGACTGCTCTAGCAAGAGTTTGCCGCCATAGCTTATGAATCTTCTCTCTTTATTATTAAGCATTATCGTTTTGAGATAATTCTTCAATTATAGCTTTTTGTTTTAGTAATCTCGAATTCAATTCATCTATTTGGTTATTTTTTTTGGAAATCAAAAACATAGCTCTGAATAATTTACTCAATAGATTTATCATTTGCAGTTTTCAATTTATTGAATTGTTCAGTATTGATCAGTTCTAAGTTACCATTATCTTCAATTAAATTGTTAGGAGCACTCTGAAGTTCAATTTATTATGGTTCGATCTCAATTGCCAAATTTTCTGAGTTTGAGGATGTTAATTCTTCAATGATAGCTTTTTATTTATTCAATCTATCACTTAAAGATTCAATTTCCTTATTCTTCTTGTTTATTAAGCTCATTGCTCTGAACAATTTTCCAAATAATGTGTCTTTTTGCTTCTTCAAGTTGTGCAATTTCTGGAATTTATTAGCTTTCCTAATTTATTTCGATTTCTTCTGCTTATCCAAAGTCATCTTCTTTTTCTTCTGAAACGGAAGCGTTGTTTGAATTGCTTAATTCATCTAAAATTGCCTTCTATTTATGTAATCTTTCCTTCAATTCCTCAATTTCCTTATTCTTTTTGTTGAATTAACTCATCACTCTGAATAATTTGCCCAGCAATTTATTATTCTGACTTCTGAGCTTTTTTAATCCTTCTCCATCATCTTGTGATGCTGGTGCTGATTCTACTTATTGTTCAGAATTTTCTTTCACTACTTCAACATTTTCTATTTCTTCTTCATTCATCTTGATTTGCTCTCTCAATTCCTCATTTATGGCTTTTTGTTTTGCTAACTTTTGATTAAGTGATTCCACCAAACTATTTTTACTCTTTATATCATGTAAAGCTCTAAATAATTTGGCTAACCATCTATTATTCTAATTCGATTACTTTTTCAATTCTTATTTGAGCTTCTCATTTTCTTCTTATAACTCTTTTATTTCTTAATTATTTTGAACACCTTCTTGTTCATGCTCATTTTTCTGTTAAGATTAGGAGCTTACTTCCGTTTCGTCACTTGAATTTTTGCAATAATAATTCATCATTTATTTGCTTTCTATTTCAACAACTTTCTATGATAACTATTCGATTTCTTTATTCTTTCTCTCAAACTAAATCATTACTTTGAAAAGCTTTCCCAGTTATTTGTTCTTTTGTCTAATTAATCTTTAAATTTCTTCATCTTTACTCGAAAGATCAATTCCTTATTATTCCTAAGATTACTCTTTTGGAGTATCTTGTTCTTGGTTCAGGATCACATTATTTTGAAGTTGTTACAACAAATTTTCAACTATATCTTATTATTCAACAACCAATTACTTAGATTTAATCAATCTGTTCTTGAGTTCTTCAATTTCTTATTATTATTTTGCTAACTTAATCACAACTCTAAATTATTAAGCCAGCAACTTATGATTTTTGTCTTTTAACTTTTTTAATGAGTCATCATTGAGTGCAAATTCAGAAATTATCGATTTCAATTTAGCAATTCTTTAATTTTATTCATCAATAATCTTCTCCTTTTAATTTAATTTGAACACCAAACTGAATATTTTGGCTAAAGATTTGTTGTTTGAATGCTTAATCTTATTGAACTCTTCTGGATTTATCTCTAACTGTTTTACAACGATCTCTTTTGTTTCACTTTCAGGTTATGCTTAGAGAGTATTAACTATTTAATTCTATAATTCATCATTTATTGCTCTTTGCTTTTGAAGGCGGTCTGACAAGGATAGAATGACTTTATCTTTTTGACTTAACTTGATCATAATCCTAAACATTTTGGAAGTCAATTTAATATTTCTATTTTTTAATTGCTATTAATCAGCCTCTAAGCGTTAAATTTTTTCCGTTTGCCCAGTTATCTCATTTTGATCAGATTATTTACTTTCAGAAACTATCTCTTCTTCCTTTTGAGGAACTTAATTGAGTAAACTATCTACAACTGCCTTACTTTTTTATAATCGTTCTTACAACTCTTCATTCAGTTTCTACTTCACATTCAAATCACTGACTGCTCTAAAGAGTTTGCCCCATAGCTTATGAATCTTCTCTCTTTATTATTAAGCATTATCGTTTTGAGATAATTCTTCAATTATAGCTTTTTGTTTTAGTAATCTCGAATTCAATTCATCTATTTGGTTATTTTTTTTGGAAATCAAAAACATAGCTCTGAATAATTTACTCAAAGATTTATCATTTGCAGTTTTCAATTTATTGAATTGTTCAGTATTGATCAGTTCTAAGTTACCATTATCTTCAATTAAATTGTTAGGAGCACTCTGAAGTTCAATTTATTATGGTTCGATCTCAATTGCCAAATTTTCTGAGTTTGAGGATGTTAATTCTTCAATGATAGCTTTTTATTTATTCAATCTATCACTTAAAGATTCAATTTCCTTATTCTTCTTGTTTATTAAGCTCATTGCTCTGAACAATTTTCCAAATAATGTGTCTTTTTGCTTCTTCAGTTGTGCAATTTCTGGAATTTATTAGCTTTCCTAATTTATTTCGATTTCTTCTGCTTATCCAAAGTCATCTTCTTTTTCTTCTGAAACGGAAGCGTTGTTTGAATTGCTTAATTCATCTAAAATTGCCTTCTATTTATGTAATCTTTCCTTCAATTCCTCAATTTCCTTATTCTTTTTGTTGAATTAACTCATCACTCTGAATAATTTGCCCAGCGAATTTATTATTCTGACTTCTGAGCTTTTTTAATCCTTCTCCATCATCTTGTGATGCTGGTGCTGATTCTACTTATTGTTCAGAATTTTCTTTCACTACTTCAACATTTTCTATTTCTTCTTCATTCATCTTGATTTGCTCTCTCAATTCCTCATTTATGGCTTTTTGTTTTGCTAACTTTTGATTAAGTGATTCCACCAAACTATTTTTACTCTTTATATCATGTAAAGCTCTAAATAATTTGGCTAACCATCTATTATTCTAATTCGATTACTTTTTCAATTCTTATTTGAGCTTCTCATTTTCTTCTTATAACTCTTTTATTTCTTAATTATTTTGAACACCTTCTTGTTCATGCTCATTTTTCTGTTAAGATTAGGAGCTTACTTCCGTTTCGTCACTTGAATTTTGCAATAATAATTCATCATTTATTGCTTTCTATTTCAACAACTTCTATGATAACTATTCGATTTCTTTATTCTTTCTCTCAAACTAAATCATTACTTTGAAAAGCTTTCCCAGTTATTTGTTCTTTTGTCTAATTAATCTTTAAATTTCTTCATCTTTACTCGAAAGATCAATTCCTTATTATTCCTAAGATTACTCTTTTGGAGTATCTTGTTCTTGGTTCAGGATCACATTATTTTGAAGTTGTTACTACAAATTTTCAACTATATCTTATTATTCAACAACCAATTACTTAGATTTAATCAATCTGTTCTTGAGTTCTTCAATTTCTTATTATTATTTTGCTAACTTAATCACAACTCTAAATTATTAAGCCAGCAACTTATGATTTTTTGTCTTTTAACTTTTTTAATGAGTCATACATTGAGTGCAAATTCAGAAATTATCGATTTCAATTTAGCAATTCTTTAATTTTATTCATCAATAATCTTCTCCTTTTAATTTAATTTGAACACCAAACTGAATATTTTGGCTAAAGATTTGTTGTTTGAATGCTTAATCTTATTGAACTCTTCTGGATTTATCTCTAACTGTTTTACAACGATCTCTTTTGTTTCACTTTCAGGTTATGCTTAGAGAGTATTAACTATTTAATTCTATAATTCATCATTTATTGCTCTTTGCTTTTGAAGGCGGTCTGACAAGGATAGAATGACTTTATCTTTTTGACTTAACTTGATCATAATCCTAAACATTTTGGAAGTCAATTTAATATTTCTATTTTTTAATTGCTATTAATCAGCCTCTAAGCGTTAAATTTTTTCCGTTTGCCCAGTTATCTCATTTTGATCAGATTATTTACTTTCAGAAACTATCTCTTCTTCCTTTTGAGGAACTTAATTGAGTAAACTATCTACAACTGCCTTACTTTTTTATAATCGTTCTTACAACTCTTCATTCAGTTTCTACTTCACATTCAAATCACTGACTGCTCTAAAGAGTTTGCCCCATAGCTTATGAATCTTCTCTCTTTATTATTAAGCATTATCGTTTTGAGATAATTCTTCAATTATAGCTTTTTGTTTTAGTAATCTCGAATTCAATTCATCTATTTGGTTATTTTTTTTGGAAATCAAAAACATAGCTCTGAATAATTTACTCAAAGATTTATCATTTGCAGTTTTCAATTTATTGAATTGTTCAGTATTGATCAGTTTCTAGTTACCATTATCTTCAATTAAATTGTTAGGAGCACTCTGAAGTTCAATTTATTATGGTTCGATCTCAATTGCCAAATTTTCTGAGTTTGAGGATGTTAATTCTTCAATGATAGCTTTTTATTTATTCAATCTATCACTTAAAGATTCAATTTCCTTATTCTTCTTGTTTATTAAGCTCATTGCTCTGAACAATTTTCCAAATAATGTGTCTTTTTGCTTCTTCAGTTGTGCAATTTCTGGAATTTATTAGCTTTCCTAATTTATTTCGATTTCTTCTGCTTATCCAAAGTCATCTTCTTTTTCTTCTGAAACGGAAGCGTTGTTTGAATTGCTTAATTCATCTAAAATTGCCTTCTATTTATGTAATCTTTCCTTCAATTCCTCAATTTCCTTATTCTTTTTGTTGAATTAACTCATCACTCTGAATAATTTGCCCAGCAATTTATTATTCTGACTTCTGAGCTTTTTTAATCCTTCTCCATCATCTTGTGATGCTGGTGCTGATTCTACTTATTGTTCAGAATTTTCTTTCACTACTTCAACATTTTCTATTTCTTCTTCATTCATCTTGATTTGCTCTCTCAATTCCTCATTTATGGCTTTTTGTTTTGCTAACTTTTGATTAAGTGATTCCACCAAACTATTTTTACTCTTTATATCATGTAAAGCTCTAAATAATTTGGCTAACCATCTATTATTCTAATTCGATTACTTTTTCAATTCTTATTTGAGCTTCTCATTTTCTTCTTATAACTCTTTTATTTCTTAATTATTTTGAACACCTTCTTGTTCATGCTCATTTTTCTGTTAAGATTAGGAGCTTACTTCCGTTTCGTCACTTGAATTTTGCAATAATAATTCATCATTTATTGCTTTCTATTTCAACAACTTCTATGATAACTATTCGATTTCTTTATTCTTTCTCTCAAACTAAATCATTACTTTGAAAAGCTTTCCCAGTTATTTGTTCTTTTGTCTAATTAATCTTTAAATTTCTTCATCTTTACTCGAAAGATCAATTCCTTATTATTCCTAAGATTACTCTTTTGGAGTATCTTGTTCTTGGTTCAGGATCACATTATTTTGAAGTTGTTACTACAAATTTTCAACTATATCTTATTATTCAACAACCAATTACTTAGATTTAATCAATCTGTTCTTGAGTTCTTCAATTTCTTATTATTATTTTGCTAACTTAATCACAACTCTAAATTATTAAGCCAGCAACTTATGATTTTTGTCGTTTTAACTTTTTTAATGAGTCATCATTGAGTGCAAATTCAGAAATTATCGATTTCAATTTAGCAATTCTTTAATTTTATTCATCAATAATCTTCTCCTTTTAATTTAATTTGAACACCAAACTGAATATTTTGGCTAAAGATTTGTTGTTTGAATGCTTAATCTTATTGAACTCTTCTGGATTTATCTCTAACTGTTTTACAACGATCTCTTTTGTTTCACTTTCAGGTTATGCTTAGAGAGTATTAACTATTTAATTCTATAATTCATCATTTATTAGCTCTTTGCTGTTTGAAGGCGGTCTGACAAGGATAGAATGACTTTATCTTTTTGACTTAACTTGATCATAATCCTAAACATTTTTGGAAGTCAATTTAATATTTCTATTTTTTAATTGCTATTAATCAGCCTCTAAGCGTTAAATTTTTTCCGTTTGCCCAGTTATCTCATTTTGATCAGATTATTTACTTTCAGAAACTATCTCTTCTTCCTTTTGAGGAACTTAATTGAGTAAACTATCTACAACTGCCTTACTTTTTTATAATCGTTCTTACAACTCTTCATTCAGTTTCTACTTCACATTCAAATCACTGACTGCTCTAAAGAGTTTGCCCCATAGCTTATGAATCTTCTCTCTTTATTATTAAGCATTATCGTTTTGAGATAATTCTTCAATTATAGCTTTTTTGTTTATAGTAATCTCGAATTCAATTCATCTATTTGGTTATTTTTTTTGGAAATCAAAAACATAGCTCTGAATAATTTACTCAAAGATTTATCATTTGCAGTTTTCAATTTATTGAATTGTTCAGTATTGATCAGTTCTAAGTTACCATTATCTTCAATTAAATTGTTAGGAGCACTCTGAAGTTCAATTTATTATGGTTCGATCTCAATTGCCAAATTTTCTGAGTTTGAGGATGTTAATTCTTCAATGATAGCTTTTTATTTATTCAATCTATCACTTAAAGATTCAATTTCCTTATTCTTCTTGTTTATTAAGCTCATTGCTCTGAACAATTTTCCAAATAATGTGTCTTTTTGCTTCTTCAGTTGTGCAATTTCTGGAATTTATTAGCTTTCCTAATTTATTTCGATTTTCTTCTGCTTATCCAAAGTCATCTTCTTTTTCTTCTGAAACGGAAGCGTTGTTTGAATTGCTTAATTCATCTAAAATTGCCTTCTATTTATGTAATTCTTTCCTTCAATTCCTCAATTTCCTTATTCTTTTTGTTGAATTAACTCATCACTCTGAATAATTTGCCCAGCAATTTATTATTCTGACTTCTGAGCTTTTTTAATCCTTCTCCATCATCTTGTTCTTTTATTATTTCTTAATAATTATTTTCATTTTTATTGATTAGTGCATCATTGATTGATTTAAGTTTTGTAAGCCTTTCTGTTAAATTTTGGATTAGTTTAGTTTATTACTTTTATTTTATAGTTATTCTCAAGAGTTTTCCTAACATTTTCTAGTTTTGCATTTATAACTTTTTTTATTAATCAGTTTCTATTGGCTTTGTATCATTTTATTCTACTTATTCTTATTCTACACTTGACAAATTATTATCATCTTTTTTCTAATCTTCTAAAGTTGTTAACAAACCATTAATGATCGCTTATTATTTTTTGATTTTTTATTCATATATTGAATTATTTTGTTTTTACCTTAAAATTTTACATAAGATATAAAAGTAACTTCCAATATGTCTTTTAATTTTATTTTTGAGATGAATATTTTAGATATTGTTTTCTCTTAGAGTGTCATTTAATGTTTTTATTAGATTACAATTTTTATCATCTTTAGTTTAATAAATATTTATTTATGCCAATAGTTCAGAATTTTACTGATCAAATTTTCTGTTTTAGTTTTCTAAATTTTATATTTAGTTCATTAAATTATCATTTTCTTACTTTAGATTATTATTTATTACTTGATCTGATTTTATTTAATCTTCTAAATTTGTTATATTGATTTTTTAATTGTCATATTCTGTTTATAATTTGAGATAGGATTCATTTAGTCTTTGATATTCATCATTTAAATTATTAAATTTATTTAACAAATCATCATCTTGTTATTAAGCACTTTACAGATTGGCTATTTCATTCTCAAGATTGAGATTTATTTAAAGTGGTTTTTCTGCTAACTTTTCTAATAAATTTAGGTTTTCATTCTTTAAATCATTTATCCTTATCTCTTGGTTGCTGATTAATTATTTCATTTGATCTACAGAATGTATTAAACAGTTCTTTTCATTTTCAAGGACTTTTATATTTTCTTTTTGAATTGATACACAAGCCTATAGTGAATTTAAAGTTTCATCATCCATTTTTTTTAATCTTTCCATTTCATCTTTCTCTTCAAATAAAACTTCTAATTTTGCTTTAACAACTAAGGAAAATAGTAATTGAAATACTTGCGTAATTATGAACACAATTATCCCTTTCAATTCTAAGTTATGAATTATTCGTTTTTTGAATTTCAATTTATTATTGCTATGAGTCTATCATTTCTTGATATTCATTTATTTCATCTTAAAGTTCATTTATCTAATTCCTTAAATATTATACTTCACTAGATCTATGAATAATAATATTATAATACAATTATTCTTAGCTTGAAGATATGTCTTTTTATTTTACAGCCTTTATTTCAGAGTTATTTAATCTTTCCTGTTAAAGTTTTCTTTATAGCTTTCTAATTTCATTTACTAATACACTATTTTATAGTTCTAATTTTTTTATTAATTGTTCTTTTTAATCTATTTCTTGCCAAGCTTATCTTAAGTCAGAAGTCACTTAATTATTTTCACTTTTCAAGCATTCGATTTCTTATTACATTTGCTCACCTTTTTCATTCCAAATTTATTAAAGAGTTGACCTATCTGGCTATTTACCTCTTTCTGTTTAGATTTGTCTATCTAAATCGCTTTTGTTGCTGTGAAAGGAAGTTCTTCCAAATCCACTTCCTTCCACCTTTTTTAAGCCTTCTTCAAATTATTTTTTATATTTGTCCCTCTCTTACTATAACTAATCAACTTTTTAAGTTAATTTTTGTGCAAATTCTTTATTCAATTTAGATTCCTTAAAAGATCTCTCGAGTGTTAACTAATGCTCTACATCAAGAAGTGTTTTAACCTTTTAGAGCTGAGTATCTATTTGCTATTTATAGTGAAGGAATTTGCTACTTTAACTCCGATAGGAACAGATGATGAGTTAACTTATTGGATACTTTTCATTGCGAAAAAAAAATAAATAATATTAAAATGGCAGAAAATCAATAGAAAAGCAATATCAAACCTGCAATGCTTAATATGAAAAACTTTCAAATTGCTGTGGGAGCCACATTAATTCTTCAACCTTTAGAAGTTTTACAGACATCAATGATAGCAACTGGTTATTCAAAACAAAATATTAATTTCAAAGGTTTATCTCTAATTGCCTCCTAAATTTATTCTCAAGAAGGAATAAGAGGCTTTTATAGAGGGACTATTGTATCAATTGCAAAGAATACAGTATCATTTTCATTTTTTTTCTCAGGTATTGAGAAATATAGGTAATGAATGAAAATTATAAAGAGCCCACCAGCCCATTATCCTGTCTATCTTTAAAGTCTATTAAATTTAATGATTGCCTCTTCAAGCAAATTAGTGGGCACAGTAGCTTCAACTCCATTGGCTGTAATGAGAACGAAAATGTAAATTGTTGGTAACAATGAATACAGCAAAATTGATAAATGTTTCATGAAAATAGCAAGGGAAGAAGGCTTCTTTGGGTTTTATAGAGTATATACTATTATAAATATTAAGGGGGTCTTCGCTGCAATTTTAAAAGATGTACCTTTTTCTGGAATTTAATATACAATTTATCGGAATTTATTAAATTTGAGTGGTTTATTTACAAAAGGCTAGGATCCAAAAAAAAACTCAGTTTTAGTAGCAATTTGTGGTTCAAGTGCAGCAATGCTTGCAATTATGGTTACATATCCATTTGACAACTTAAGAATAAGATAGTAGGCATAAAACAAGAGTGTAAGTAGTTTAAATATGATAGAGTAATTTACTTCTTTTAGCAAAGACTGTAAAAATGACTGAAGGTCTTTCAGGGTTTTATTAAGGATATTTGCCTAGACTTATTAAAAAATGTATTTAAAGTGGAGTTTTGTGGATGGTGTATGAAAAATTAGCTTTGAAACAGAAAAAAAAAAATATGGAATAATGAATTGAAAAAAATTATAATAATTAATTAGCAATTATATCTCATACTTGAGAATTTTAAAACAACTAATTCTTTAAACTTGTACTTTATTAATCATCAATATTAGAAGACAATGGACAAAATTGTTTTTCAATAATATATATTATTTTAAGTAAAGGTTTTCATCCAAACTTTATTTCACTTTTACATTTCTTAAATTTTACTTTCTAATTAAAAGATATAATACATTTTATTAATTATAAAGATAGTAATCTATTTTTTATTTAATAATGAGCTTATTTTCGTTAAGTCCAAAATCCAAATTGATGAAAATCTCTGTTTTTAGATTACTCCTCGAATTAACGACCCGTCATTATAAAATTTAACTTTAGACCTTTGTATATTAGCTAATAAACTTAGAGCAATATTTCGATTACTTTTAAACCATTTAAGAAACTCCTTGTCATTTTTAAACAGGAATAGATAAAAATTGAATGTCATGAAAAAGTAAATTGTGATAATGAGAGCAATCAAAATTAAAATGAACCTCCTAATTAATCTGATCATTAATTAGAGGATTGCAAATTTTTGTATAAAACTAGATATTAAAAAATTCATTCTATAGGTAATTTAACAATTTTAAATAGTTCATTTAGAATGAGAAGTAATAAAAGGTCTTACAAAGCCTTAGATTCTAATTAGCATGTTGTTCATAATTAATCAGAACTTAAAATTAGCCCAAATGTCCATAGAGTAGAGTTATGGATGGGAAAACATACTATTTGGGGAAGAGGAAAATCTAACTTTAAAAGTGAAGATATTGAGTTGCTAATTTAGGAATCGCTTGCTTCCAAAAGAAAAGAGAGTTATCCTAAACATAGCGATTCCACTCCAAAAGGAGTCATGATTCTTCATCAAAAGGAGATAAACTAGTTTCACCCGATTCTAATTAAAAATTTAATTTTAAAATTTGATTGATTACAAAGAGTAAATAGTTTTAAGCTCCTTAATTATTAATGTAAGCACTTTAGACTGAAATAAAATAATATAACGGTCCAAAAGAGTAAAACATATAACTAGGGTAAATTTGTGATTCTTGTAATTACTAAATTACAGGATTTGAAAAAGCAATGGAATACGGGAACTTATTCCCTCAATGTAATGTGGATATATTAATTTAGGATTATAATAAAAAGCTAATTACATGAACAAAAATGTAAAAGTATTTATTAGTTCTTTAACATTAACATTAAGAATAGAACATCAGTAAGAAATACGAGATGATCTAAATTACTTCAAATGCAATGAAATGTTTTATTTATATTTATATAAATTAAAATAATATGGATTTTGAAACTCAAATCATTATTTGTAGAAATAATGCGAAGAGTGTAGTAGACAAAAGACTAAGAGTCTTTGTTTAGGTTTGGAATCAAGTAAATTGATTTTGAACATTAGATTTTTGATGATGATGAGGAAATAATTGATTTTGAGGCTGATCCTAATTTGGTAAAGTAAATAAATCACTATTACTAATTGCATGAGTATGATTAAGTACATAATTATACAAAGTAGACATAAATAAGTTTTGTTGATAAAATTGAAGATTCCAACATTGAGCATTTGATGGACTAAAAATCTATTGATTATCTGAAATATTTAGGATACGAAAATGATGAATTATCAAAAGAGAGAGTATAAGATTGGTTAACTAAAATTACTCCTTTATTGGGTGAGTGTTATAGATTGAATTGCGTTGAAATTATTGAAATTTTAAAAATAAGTGTTGCAATATTTTTCTATATTGAAGGTTTAACTGAAAAAGAGTTTTAACAATTTGCATTGAAATGGGGAATTCAGTACCCATTACCTCCTCAAAGATAAAGAAAAATTGTTGAGGAAAATAAATTTATTTTTGAGAGACAAGGAAAGAAATGATTTATCATAATATTATTGAATATTGCTATAAAAAAAATTAATGCAGTAAAAAGTTCATCTAAAATCGCTTGATGATGCATGTGAGGATCCGCATCTTCATGAAGCGATAAAATTGTTTTTAACAATGAATAAAGAAAATCACACAAGGGAAGAACTATATTTTATATTGCAAAGAATGGAGGAACTCCCATACTTTAAACAATTTGTAGCAGAAAAATTATAAAAAGGAACGCAAAGGAATGACATACTTGAAGTATTTATTAGGTTTTTCCTCTTAGTTGTGTTCTCGATTGAGAATGGAATATTTTAAAGGAGGAGAAGTGTTATTCTAAGAAAATGACCCTTCAAATGACAAGCTATACATTATTTTTTATGGTGATGTTATGCTGATGAGATTGAAAAAAATGGACTAGCTAATGACATTGTAAAGATAGAACTCAGAAGCTACTCCTTAGATTCCGAATTAATAACAGCAATTTAAAATTTCTACAATTTTACATGCAAAAAGACTGACTCATAAAATAGTTAAACATCATAATCATCATAAAGAATCATGCATAAATCAAGAGGAAAAAAAGAGGTTAGAATAATCTTATGGCGAATGTATGCGCATTTTAGGAGAAGGAAACGGTTTCGGTGAAAAAGCTTTGGCAGAAAATATCCCAAGAACTCTTACTGTTGCTTGCTATAGCTTAGAATCATTCATTGTAGTGTTGAAAAAAGATGACTTTTTGACATATCAAATGACATTCGAAAAAACAAAAAAAGAAAAGCAATAATTGATGTTTAATATATTTAAGAGTAATTATCTCTTGGAATAATTTAGATGTTAATAATGAATATTCATCATAGAGATTAGAAAGTATGATTTACAGTTGCTAAACAATTTAATATGAAAGAGCAACATAGCTAACATCAGAAGACGAAAGTGGTGATTCCTTTTACATAATTATATCAGGTGACGTAACTGTTTATAAAAGAGTTGATAATAAAAACATTCCATTATGCATTGTTTCATAAGGACACTTATTAGGAGAGGAAATTGTAATTAATAAAACTGCCAATTATGAATTTACCTCAGTGGTCACATCTTTATAAGCCCAGGTCATTGTCATAGATTCATAAGAATTTATTCACAAATTTCCAGAAGAGTGTCGAATTCAATTAGAACATGATTATAAATAAAAAAGTCGTAATAGGTAGAATTTAGTTAAACTCCTTTGTTAAAAGAAAAAGATAGATACAATAACGAATGGAGTTCAAAAAGATTAGATTTTAAAGCTAGCAGAAATAGATAATTATTTTCTGAGCAATCGAACTAGTTTCAATAGTGCTAAGAAAACAGATTTAAAATTAAATTCAAATTTTCTAATGGTTTATTCTAATCCCAGTGTTCAAAATTATTGTATTCAATCTATTGTAGAGAAAGAAAAAGTTTTTTCCTCCATGCAATCAAACTTGAATCCAATTATTAACAATAACAGTGAACCAAATGAATTTAATTTAGGCAATCTATCAAAGGATTATCTTAAGAGAAGAAAATTTTTATTTTAATCTAAGTTGAATTAAAAACTCCCTTTACAAAACTTTTTGAAGCCTAGTTCTAGAGTACTTCCTATGTCCATAAAGCGTGATGTAATTAGAAATTATAAATCAAATAACAAAAGAATCAATTTCCATTCTAGTGTGAATATTATTACTTATGCTAGTCCAGTCGCATAAATAAAATCTAATTCAAAATATATACAATACGAATGTAGAGAAAGTAGCACTAATATATACACATAATTTGATGATAAATAGTCTATTTGATTATAATTTGATCTGTAGTATATTAGATAAAATATTATAAAAATAATTTCTTTTTGAGAATAAACTTTCTTATTTAAATTACTATTCTATTTACTCTAATATGCCTAGTCCTTTTCAAAAAAAACAATATGACTAATATTTTTATACTTATTAAAATAAAATTTATTATTGCAATGAGTGAAGATGAAGAATGGTTGAATGTAGGCAAGTCATTTGTCTAAAATTAACTAAAATAATAAGAGAATATTGTAGAAAATAACATTATTGAAAATTAAAAGGAGAAAAAGAAAAAAGATAAAAAAAAGGAAAAATTATCTTAAGCTTAATAACAGATTGCGATAAAGTTTACAGAAGAAGAGATTGAAGCCTATTATGATTCAAAATTGGAAAATTGTAATTAAGTATTTTCATATTGATTTTTTCTGTAGAATATAAAATAGACACTTCAAAATCATTTATTTATAAGCATGAAATGGGAGTTGGCTTATTATCTGTTTAAGTACTTCCAATAGGTAATAATTAAATTTTAGCTTATGGTTTTCTGGAGTAAGACATTCCTCACTATGTCAGAACAAATCAGTACTCAAATTTTATTATTTCTAGATAAAGAATATTGGGGATGAAAAATCAAAAAAAAGTGAATTCGATTCTTGATAGTGTCACAAGAACAAGAGAAAAATAAACATTTGAATATGCTCGATATACTGAGACTGCATACATTTAACAAGAAAAATCCTATGTGATATAACCTCAATCTAAGCTTTGCAATGAGGACTTTGTACCTTTTAATAATTAATTGATTGAAGTTGATCCTATCTCCAAAGATTAAAAGCTCTAAGAGCGAAATTTAGAATTATAAAACTAACTTCAGACAAATGTGAATGATTTAGATATTTGGAAAGAATTTTTATTAATTTAAGAAAAAATTGCAGAATTATAAGGCTATAATGAACCTTTATTGTTGGCAAATCGAAGATTATCGATTTTACAAAAATTGGAGCAAGTATCAGAAGTGCTCGCCGATCATCCATGGGTATTAGCTTATAAAATCTCTCTAATGTAAAATTTAGAGCTAAGAAATGATGAATTACATAAAGAAATAGATAATTGTTGGTCTGAGTTATTTTCAAAATATGTTCATATACAACCAATATGGATTTTATTTCTTGACCATAAACTCAAAACAGAAATATTTAGTGCCACAATGTTAAGAATTGAAGCTAATAAACATATAGCTAATTTATAAAAGCTGATTAATGAAACTACAAGGGCACAACTCGTTTAACTATTCAAAAGAATTTATATCGAATTAATATAATAAATAGCTTTTTATGAAAGTGAAATGGGTTTTAAAGAAAGATCTGTTGGAATTCTTTAAGCATTATGTGAAATGAATTTATTTGCTCCTAAACATTTACAAAGGACCTATGATTTAGAAGAAAAAGTTAAAGAATTTAGAAATTATTGGGATATGAATGTGAGAACTGGAGAATAAAATGAATATGGGTGGATCGACACACCTGAATTAAAGGATGATTTTATTGGGTATTTTGATTTGAGTCAATAAATATAAGAGCAAGAGGATTAAATCTAATAATTCCTTTCCTTTTAATAGTTAAAAAGATGGAGACCAGCAAATTAACGTTTTGATATAGAATGGATTGAGTAAAATGTTGATGCAGCAGTAATTTATGAAGATATTGAACCATACCTTTACATTTTCAATGATTAAGAATCTAAACTTAATCTTGTTAGTATTTTATTACAATAAATTGGGTATCCTCCAATTGATTCATATATTTTACCTTAAATAAATTAATTTCATAGTGCTGATATGTGTTATAATAAAATTAGCTTTGATTATCACTAGAATGAATTTTTCATTAAATATCAAAGCATCTTTTAATGTAAATTTAAAAATAACTTATCATAATTTGTATATGTAAAACGATTACTGGAAAAAGTTTACTAACAGATTAATAATTAGTTTTTATTGGTGTATCTATTTATGCTTTATGGCATTTTATATTTAAACAATGATATAATTGCACCAAATTAGGTATTATAGTAAGAATTAAAATCTGGATTAAAGCAGATCAAAAATATATTAAAAGATTAATAAAATAATTTAGTTCTTTGGATTCTTTACTAAGAAATAGAATCACTTAAAAAATAATAGTTTCAAGTTCAGCTCATCTCTTAAATAAAGCTATTTGCTAAATCTAAGAAATAAAAGTTAATGATCCTCTATTTTTAATTTATCCATTAGAATTCATATGAAACTTCACTTAATATAATAAAAGTAACATTTATATTTTAATTATTTTAGGAAGCACTAACGGCTTATGGAGAAGAGACAATTATTAGTGAGAGCACTTTAGTTTTAAAATTAAGAAATCTGTATAGGCAGTCAAGAAATAAGTGGTAAAATATTGAATATCTTTTCCAATATAAGAAGGAGATTTAGCCATTTTCATTGTCTAAACGATCGATATTATTAATTTTTCTCTTGTTTTTATAATAAAATGCCATAAATGAAACTTTATAAAATTTGATGCAAGAATCAAAGTAATTAAAAAGTGTTCGTTTCACAGATCAATAATAAAGGAAAAAGATTTTAATTAAGTATAAGAATGAAATTTCATTAATTTTTTTAAATCTTTTAAGATTTTCTTAGGAAAAGGAAGAGATATGTAAAGTAGCATTAAAATTGGATTAAGATTAAATAATTTTTTTTATTACCTACATTCATTATTTAACCAAGAAATTTTTATATTTTTAAAGACTAGTTGAGTTACAAGATATAATTTAATTGTAATCGCCCTAAATATGTTGGATAGCTTATGTACTTAGTCAAGATCCAAATAAATCATGGTTCTTGGTAGAGTATTTAAAGAATCAAACAGAGAAGGGATTAGCATAGATATATTGTGAAAGCAACGATTAAGAAAGTATATTCTAAAATAATAAATAGATTTTGAAGGCACAGTAAATTTAAAGTATAATTATATTTTGGAATTGATGTTTATGGATTTATAAAAGAAACTAAATCCAAACGTAAAACAAATGTATAAGAGTCTAAAAAGAAATCCATACTCAATAGTATAGAATAATAATTAATTTAGTGTATGTATGCAAAAGTAATTGAAGAGCTTAAAGAGAGAAATGAATCATTAAATCTACTTCAAGATTTGTAAGAAAAAGAGTTAAAGTGCTTTTGATCAACATTAATAAATCAATCTGATATCATTAATTAAGTTAATACATATTTTTCTTTCATATAATATTTAAAAAGAAGAGATTTAATATTCTTTTATATTTTTAAAGTATCTTAATCAAAGAAAGATATTATCAATTATTGAATTTCTCTCTCTAAGAATTTAAACTCTTCATGGAGTGAGGAGTGATCTGTCAATTAGAATAGGACTCTTAAATTATTGTGATTACCATCTCTCTAAATAGTCGACTTATCAACATATTTTCAGGATATTCTTTAATACTCTGTTTTATGATTAGAAGTTTACTTTTTATATATTCTATCTAAGAACATCAATTCCTTTGAGATAGAAGAGATTTTTCAATTTTCATTATGTATGATTGGATTATTGCTGAATAAAATTAAATACAAACAGAATTACTGAGATTTGTAATAATAATGACAGATTTTATCCTGTTATAATTGATGTATTTTATTTAGAACTTCCTTATTTTATTAAATTCTTTTTTACTTCACATTTTCAATTTATTTAATAAGTTTATCCTCTTGAGAATCAAAATTTAGTTATTATTTGTTTTGGTTGATTTTAACCGAAAATTCCGATTAATTATAAATTATTATTCTTTTTTAATCTATTGATTACTTATGTAGAATTGTATTCGAATTAAAGAAAGGGTACAAGGTTGAATAATTATTTTTCAAATGATAAGAAATTAAATTAGGTGAATGTTTTAATTTAGAAAAATGGTATATATTTAAATTAAGAGATGTTATTCATTGATTTGGTTCTTGATGGGTCTTAACATCTTTAATCGCCAAATTTGATCTACAAACAGGACATTCTTTTTTATTTTTCTAAAGCCACTCTCTTATACAAAGAGAATGAAAATTATGACTAAATTAATGAGTATTGAATACTGGCAATGGGTTTATCTGACTTCTTAATTATTGTTTAAGTTGTCTAAACAAATGGCACAACTATCTTAATTATTACAATCTTATAAAGGAATTGGAGTGAGTAAATCATAAAGATTCTCATAATCTTGTTATTGAGTGATCTGATTTTATTGCTAACCTTCTAATCTAGCCATTCTTAACCTTGCTTACATTCTTAGCATTTTTCTCTTTCTAACGCTTTTGCATACAAAAAACAATATAATAATTATAATCACTGCTACTGAGATGACAACGACAATAATAATTATTACAATTATAGAAAAGGTATTTTCGGACTTATCATATTTTGAGAGTTCTATCGTTAAAGTGCTAACAATTGTATCCAAGGGACTATTTATAGGTCTTGCTACAAAAACCAGCTAAATATTGTCGTTGGAAGAACTAAGACTACGATAGATAAGCTCTTATGGCTAAGTGTCATATATTTTGTATTGTTATATATAGCTCTCTTCTTTACTCAATTGATATTAGCTTGGAATGATTATCGCATTGGTTAGTTGCAATATTATTTCAATCCCTTAGTAGCTGTTAGTCTATTTTTGAGTTTATAATTTACACTTAGCTTCAATTCAATGTCCATTTAATCGTAATTATCTATGTTCAGATAGAAGAATTAAGTCTCATCTCCGTAAAAGTATATGTAATTTTTATCCTCTAGAATTTCCAACGCCTGTTAATGACAATCAGATCCTACATACCCAGCTATACATTCGCATCCATCGTCCTTTTATAGAACTGATATTTACATAGCACTCTCCTAAATTCGAGCAACTGTTGTCACAATACTCATCTTTGCTTCCCCATATGGTTATATTATAATTTCCCCTAGAGCTATTAGAATGTGCTGTGATGTAAATAATTTTGCCATTGGGTTCGATTTTAAGGAATCTGGTTCTTCTCTTTTCATAAAAACTTATTCATTATCTATCTATTGTAATACCTTATGTAGTCACCCTTAGAGGAGTTTAAAATTGGAATTTAATTAAGATCATAAATAAGTAAAAAAGACCAATCGTCTTAAAACAAAGTAACTTAGACATAATAATAAGGACTGGTTAAATTTTTGATCCTATAGATATTATCACCAGAGATTCTATCAATCAACGTCCAATAATAATCTTTATCAAATTCTACATCCTTTTATTGTTAAGTTAACACAAGAAAAAAGAATAGTATTAGCATTTATAATTATTGTTAATTAAAATATTGGAACTCAAACAGAAATTTTAAGCCTAATTAAAATGAATCATTTTTATAAGAAACCTAATTAATAATATAGCATTTGATTGAAAAATATCAGTTTAAAGATAATTCATTTCAAAACAATGGTAATTAACTCAGAAGACACTATTTATTTTATCATAAATTTATAAATTATAATATTAATTCAGGTTAGAGTATATAATTATGTTTTTATCAAAACTGATAATCTCTATATTTATACATAATAAAACAAAAGTTCATGATATAGCTAGGTTTTCCAATGTGTCAGACCATAATTTTTGATATTAATGGATAGATGTCGTCATCAGTTGTGCAAATTTTTCAAGATGATCTTTAAATTGAGTGGAGGTATATTTAATTACGGACTCAATTGCTTCATAAGCCCTCAAATTAATCTAGCCAAATTAGTTTTTAAGGACTTATAAATGAGAATTATCCTAAGATATTTATAGTATTTTTTACAGTTTTACACATGCATTAGAATGCGATTTATGGAGTTGATTTAATTTATTCTAATTTAAAACTATCAAGATAACTTTCATCTAGATCCCATTTAACAACCTCGCCTTATTAATATAATTTTTCTTTTTTTGCTTTTAGTTTATTTGAGAAGTCAAACACTTGGTTATAATGTTTTTCCCTTTAGTTCAAAATATCCTTCAATGGTGCGATTTGATGAAACTAAAACCTTTACTATGCATATATTGTTTCATTCAAAATTTTGATGTTATCGGTTTGTATTTTAGACAATTATTCAAAAAGGTGACTTGCAATGATATAGCAATCTTTCAACCTTGCGTTTTAGGCTTTTGACTCTTTAAATAATTCTTTATATACATCTGATAATTAGAACATGGTCTGATTTTGCTATTGCATGTTTTTCATCAATTATTTAACTAGTTTATATGCTTTTTTTTACAATGGCGAAACATTGTTTAAGAAGTAATCAGATTATTTTATAAAACAAGCAATTTACTTATTAATTCTGATACCGAAATCTCCACTTAAAGTTGTAAAAGGAATTACCTAATTAGGTTGAAATGAATCAAGGGATAAAAAGTCTTAAATAACAGGAAGACTTCTAATTTCTTGATCTAATAAAACAAAATTCAAGAACATTTGCAAATGTCTTAACTACTTGATGTAGGTAAACTCAACAGGTGATTTTCGTTGATTCGGGATATTTGGAACATTGTAATGTTTATTAAGCATATTCTTGAGGGCTATAAATTCTTCATATGTCCTTCTTACAACCCAATTGATTGGTTTAGTTTCAATTTTGAAATAGACATATGTGCTCATGAAAATCCCTTTTTACACTTTCTCATAACCAACAACTGTAGAGGTCAAATTTTCTGAATTAGATATAGCGTTTGGAATGGTCCTATTACATTTAAGTACTTAAAAGTAATCGTTCTATTGATCTTAGAATTTCTTAATGACTTCTACTAATTCATCATAATCCCATTCTTCCAAGTCGTGACGTTGGTCAATGAATTTTTAGAAGTTGTCTATGTTAAATCCTTTATCAATGATTTCTTTGACTAGTAAATTTTGTTTTTATTCCAAAGACATTATTTAATGTTAAATTATTTTGTATTTTTAATATGATTTCTCATTAGATTTTCTTTCTCTCCTCCAACAACTTGGCATTTCTAATTCTAGAGAAGAATTTAAGGACCTCATCAACTAAAACAACAGGTGCAGAAACTCCAATGATTAAAATCCTAAAAATAATAATCTAAAAAATGTACCAATCTTAAAGGGATAATGGCACAGTGTTAAAGATGTTCTCAAATAATGGAACATAGCAGATCATGCAATGGAGAGTCATTGATCCAAATATAGCCAATATCAAATATGGGTTGGCAAAAACTCCTACTTTCAACAATGATCCATCCTAGAAAGAGTTTAATACAATAAATATACTTCAGATAAGGCATTCAAGGCATTGAACATTTCTATAACAACAAGGACAGAAAGACTTAGAGTTGATGCCTTTTACTTACCCCAAGAGAAATACAAGCAGGGATCCTTAGAGAAATCATATTTGTCAAAGTTGGCAACCTTGAATCCTTCCCAATGATGGCATTCAGCCCAATTTCTCAATTGATGGAATGTGACAACTGGATGTCCATCTCCAGCCCATTCATATCCCAAATAATAGTATATGAAAACGAAGACTGTAGCCAAACCAACATAAGTTCCAACAACACAGTATCTAACAAATACGTATTCAGTGATAATTGGTTCATCGTGTTTTCTTGGTGGTTTTTACATGACATCAGGATCAGGTGGGTTGAATGACAAAGCAGTAGCAGGGAGTCCATCAGTGACTAAATTGACCCATAATAATTAGATTGAATTGAATCCATCAGGAATACCTAAGGCTGAAGATGTGAAAATAGAGACAACTTCTCCGATGTTTGATGAAATCATGTATCTAATAAATCCTTTCATATTTTGATAGATAGCTCTTCCTTCTTCAACAGCTCTTACGATGGTGGCAAAGTTATCATCTGCCAAAATCATATCTGATGCTTCTTTAGCGACTTCAGTACCAGAGATACCCATAGCAATACCAATACTAGCTTATTTTAAGGCAGGTGCATCATTGACACCATCACCAGTCATAGCAGCAATTTGATTCAATTAACCAGTTAATAATTTGACTAATTCTCTTTTGTGTGATGGATCTGTTCTTGAGAAAACTAATCCACTTGGTCTTCCAATGACTTATTCAAGCACCTTCTTTTGTTTTTCTTCTCCCATAGTTGAAAATTCCATTCCTGTAAATGAATGAGTTGGGAATTGGGATTAATTGTGGAGGATACCAATTTACATAGCAATAGATTATGCTGTTTCTTTGATATCACCAGTAATCATGATGACTGAAATACCAGCTTCTCTGCATTTTTCAATGGATCTCTTGACTTCTGGTCTTGGTGGATCTTATAAGGCAACAACACCAATAATAATTGGCTTGCTTTCCAAATCCTTGTAGTTGTTTGTATCAACCAATAAATTATGTGCTGGATGTTTAGGTCCATCATAATCACTCAATTAACCACATTCTTCTTATACACAGATGGCCAATGTTCTTAATCCCTTTTCTGCTAGATTCTTGACTATTGTTAAGAGTTAATTCTTGTCTTAAGCTTTCAATGGAACAGCTACTCCGTCTGAGTTTAGAATCATGGTAGATTTCTCTAACAAATAATCTGGTGCTCCTTTGATGAACAAGACATTTCCTTTTTCATTTTATGAACTAGCCAAAACAGACATGCTCTTTCTGTCTCTTGTGAATTCTAAGGTAGCTCTCTTTGCGAATTCATTAACAATCTTATCATTATATTATTATGGAGCATCTAAGATTGGTCTTCCATTAAAAGATTTATCATATTTTCCAATCTTTTCAACTAACACTTTCAATGCAGCTTCAGTTGGCAATCCACTTCTTTAGACTCTTCCTTTATCCATATATAATTTGGATTCATTGCATAATGCCATAGATTAGCATAATCTCTTTAAATTTCCAGATAAATCATTTCCTTTGAGCAATTTAGATTCCAATCCATCAATCTTACCTTCAGGATGATAAGATGTTCCTTCAACTGGGAAGACTTGTAATGAAGATGCCTCTTAGCCTGTTAAAAGAACTAATTCCTTGACACACATTTCATTGGTTGTCAAAGTACCAGTTTTATCTGAACAAATGATGGTTGTGCATCCCAATGTCTAGACCTTTGGTAATTTACGAACGATGGCTTTTTATTTGGCCATTCTTCTAGCTCCCAAAGCCAAACAAGTAGTGATGACAGCTGGTAATCCTTCTGGGATAGCAGCAACTGCCAATGCAACAGCCACCTTGAAATAATACAATGCTCCCATAATAGTTCCTCCGTAGGCAGGATCAGAGAAGTTACCAATGTTCATAACCCAACAGATGATACAAATGTATGTGACATATTTAGCTAATTTGTCTCCGAATTCATCTAATCTTTTTGATAATGGATCATCATCTTCTGATTTCTCCTTTGCAGCATCTTAGACTTCCTTCTAAATCTTTCCGATTTCTGTTCTCATTCCAGTGTTACACACAACACCTATGGCTGTTCCATTTGACACTAATGTTCCTGAGAATAAGAAATTGATCTTGTCTTAAACAGCAGCCTTATCTTTTTAAACTGAATCAGTAACCTTGTTCACTGGGTTTACTTCTCCTGTTAGAATTGACTTTAATATAATTTAAAATAGATACTTAATCTGTTTTCAAGGTGATTGTTTTTAATTCAACCATTCTGAGATCGGCTGGAATTCTGTCACCTTGTTTAATCTCAACTATATCTCCAATCACTAAATCTTTAGCTTCAATTTAAGTCCACTCTCCATCTCTTAATACCATGGCATGAGGAGATTGTAAATCTTTCAATGCCTAATTTATTAATCATCGTTTTTACTTCAATTGCTCTTTCAGCATCTAAATCCTACCATATACCTACTGCTGCATTTAAGATCAAAATTGTAAATATGACACATGGCTCAACCCATGGAGGCACTGCATGTGAATCTTCATGATCTTCGAATTATGAAATCACAAAAGAGATCACAGCAGCCAATAGCAATATTCTAACCAAATTGTCTTCGAATTGCTCCTTGATCTTCTCCCAAATACTCTCCTTCTCCTCCTTCTCTAATTCATTTGGACCATATTTTGTTAATCTTGCTTCAGCCTCAACTTTCGTCAAACCCCTGCAATTACAAATTTATATACTTCTAGAGATTTGTTTGGACAGCACCAACGACCTTTTCAAGGGGATATGCATGAAATGGCTAATTCAAGTCAATTTCTGCCATATTAAATAAATAATAATAAGATAGATTTTCACATTGTTTGCTAAATACTTGGATTTTATCAATATTTAATTAAATCACTTGCTAAATTAAATGTAATTATAACACAATTCAACTTTATTAAAATAATCAAATTTGTTATAATTAATTGAGTAAATTCAGCTCTGTAGATCATTACTTATAATTTCATTTGAATCTCCCTTCGGACTAGCCAAATCAATAAACTTAAAGAATCTTATTGCAGATAGTGGTTCTTTTTGATAAAATTTCATTGGAGATCTAGTTAGAGATTAGACTTCGCTCATTAAAGAACATCTTTTCGTCTGCGGAATTGTAATAGTATTCTATTCATCTTCCTTCATCTCACTATTGACCTGATACTCCTCAATATCGTATCTAGACGTCCATTCTTCACACTGTAAATTCAGATTTCCATTTTGACTAAACTTTACATTTGTTATAAATGTGGACAAAGCCTAAGTGCTATGCTCATTGATCTAATCAAAAAATGGATGACAAAGTGCTTGTCTGGCACTAATTCTCTACTTTGAATTTTTATTTAATAGTTATCCTAATAAATTCTAGAATAATAAATAAATTAATTACAAGAGAAAGATCTGTTATATAAACATGATCAAATGGAAGATCCAAATCAATGTAGCATTTTTTATTTGCTCTTAAGACATCATCAAAGGTTTTTCCTGCAAAAATGCTTTTTCCAGTTAACAATTTATATAGAATACAACCACTACTAAATATATCTACTTTTGTTGTATATTTATTTTCATAATTTAAGTTAAGAACCTCAGGAGCAACATATCCTGGAGTGCCGCATTTAGGGAACAGAAATCTAATATTCATTCACTTAATAAGCATACTTATCAAGGGTTTCCAGAGTAGCCAATCCAAAATCAACCAAAACTAAGGAAGAATAATCGTTTTTTTTGGCAAACATCAGATTGTCTGGTTTGAGGTCTCTATGAATGATCTTGCATTATATAATATTTGAAATACGTTGTTTTCATGCAGTAAAACTAAACTTGTTAATAATTTGTACATTAATACTCTGATGGTTTACATAGGCAGCCTATGATCTGGGAGATTCTATTTATAAAATCAATATTACTTTGGCTTTTTCTATTTCTTCGCTCAGAGTTGTTCCCTCTAGATAGTCTGTCACCAAATAGAAAGTGTGATCACCTTCAAATATCTCCTTTAAGGTGAGAAAGTTCTAAGAATAAGGAGATAAGATTTTAAGGATCTGCACTTCCATTTTATAAGCAGCCTAATTGATAAAAATGTTAGAATTACTAAACCAGAGCCTTTTTCAGTTTTATTTAAAAATGATTTCTCTATGGCTTTGATCGCATAAATATTTTAATTCAAAATGTTTTAAGCACTATAAACCTGAAATTAAAATGCATATTACTTTAGCTGAACTGCCTTTCCCAATTTACAAAATTGGAAGATAGAGATCGCCAATGCCTTCATAAGTCACTGATTGACCAAGAAGTTCTTTGAATCTGACAAATATAAGATTAAAATATTGAAGTTACTTCATCAAATCATCATGATTAGCATAGAGAGTCTTAAATGAATTTTTGTATGGAAAAACAAATGATTAGATAATTACATTATTTTCCTACTTTTTCAAGTCCCAATTCAATTTGATATTGAGATCAAAACTTATTTTGTACTTTGGCGATTGTGTATCGCATGTCTAATCAAATAATTTTTGAGAATTACATTGCCCATAATAAAGCAATCCTCAAAAACACTCACATAATATTGTTTATCCCGAAAGAAGTGTTTACGAGTTCCCAGAAATTAAAATTTTGCATCGGTATATGCAATATACTCCATCTTATAATACAAATAATTAATTTAACAAAAATGATTTATAATATTACATTAAAAAATAAATAAGTTTTAATTCTTCATTCAATTTGTCTTTTTTCAACTCTAAATGCAGTAATCTTTTGATCCAAGGCAGTGCTCTTCACCTTTAGAGGTTATTAGGGCTGGGGTGCTTATTTTACGCAATTATTGGATTATTTGAACGGAGATTCGATGTCATAGGATTTAGTAGTGAATTTCGAACTAGAGAAACAAGTCGATTCTGAAATCACACTAAATCTAGTTAATTCATAAGCACTGGATCTGTTTTTAATAGGAGTCAACTCTAATGGATGTGAAATATTTTTATTCGTAAGCATTTTAATTACCCACTCAGAATTCAGGACTTACTAAATATTGATTCGTTTTGAATGAGCAAGCATTTAGAGTAACAATTATTTGCACTCACTTGATAAGTTATCATTCAATTTTATCAAATGCTTATTACATATCTTCTCATGCAATTCTTCTTTGTTCTTGGCTTTGAATAGCAATTCTCCATGCAGCATGTACTAATATTATCCTAAGAATTCTTACATGTAATAATATTCCGAGTGCCCACACATCAACTCCTTTGTCGTGCTTCTACTTTTTGACCACTTCAGGAGGCATGTATTCAGTAGTCCCACATATACAAGGTTTGGCTTTGCCTCCATTTGGCAAATATATTGACCAATTGAAATCACATAACTTTACTGTGTTATTCTATAACAACACATTGTCTGACTTGATATCTCTGTGCACTATGTCTTTCTCGTGCAAATACTGTATGGCTTGGGCTATCTAATAAAAATATGAAAAGGCTTCATCTTCACTAAAGACTTTTTTCTTTTTAATCATCTCATACAAAGTTCCATTCTAACAGTATTCCAACACAATGTAAACATTTTCCTTATCCTCAAACGTTTCTATAAACTCTACAATGTTCTTGTGTTTACAACATTAGAGGTAATTGATTTCATTATCGATGTGTTATTTTGCATTGTATTAATTTATGTAACTTTTAGAGATCTAAGTTCGATAAGGATATAAATACTATTTTTATAGCACATTTCTTGTTATTTGCTCTATTTATGGCTAACTTCACTTTTCCATAGGTTCCTTATCCCAAATCGGTAGAAAGTAATTCATATTAATCTTTCAATAATTTTCTTGGCACACTTGGTATTGCTTGGTGACATTTTGGGGGTAAACTAAAGAAGGGATATTAAATCATCTATTTTATCAAGAATAAATAAAAAATAATTTTCTTAAATGCTAAAATTACTATATTAATAAATATATATATATAGAGTAATTATTAATTGCTAATGTTATGATTTTTTCATATTATTATTTAAGTTCCTTAATAAACTTGATTATCTTATCATCTCTATATTCATATATGCATTCTCCATAATTCACACTCAACTATCCTCCAAATTTAATTATCTTCTTTTAATCAGGAAATTAACATTTTATGCGCTTATATTTACTATAATAACCTTATTAGGTTGCCCTATGAGAATGAACCACTTTTCATAAGCACTTAATTAATTAAAAAGGTAACGTGATAAAGGAATTATAAATAAATACAGCTATTTCTACAAAATCATTTAAAATTACCATATACTTAGCTTATAAATACCTCAATCCTAAACTTTTAAATAAGATTAAATAAAGAAAATAACACCGAAATCTTTTTTTTATTTTAATCCAGATTTCTTTATTAAATTACCATTATAAAGATGAAATTGAGTATTTATACTATTCACTTTTTTACTAAAATTTAAATATAGTATTTTAAGCAATTTGGAACTAAGAAGTTGTCATATTAAATAATAATTTTAATTAAGTTAAGTCTTTTGTTTTGATTTAATGCTTTAAATTATATTAGTTAATTGTTAATCGAATAATTTAAGATCTATTCAAATAACATAATTATTATATAATATTCTCTTTAGAAAGTTAGGTTGCCAAATATATTTCAAGCAAAAAGATCAAATACTTATATTAATTCTAGCTACTCACTAATAAAACCATTTATTTTAAAGGCCAATAGTGTATTGCTCTATTCACAAATTTGCAACTCAATGCTTAGTCAGCTATTTTATTTATTTAAATTTTTTTGAGCAAAAGTTAAGGATATAAAACTATTCGCACCATCTTCAAGAACTATATACTATTTATCAAAGAAACCAGGGAAAAATCTAATAAATTTAATCCCAAGAGTTTCTTCTAAGAAATTGATCCATAATATAATTATTCTCGTTTGTTTTAGTTTGAAATATTAATAAATATTTGTTTTTGGAAATGAATAAAAGTATTAATATAAATAATATAGAGTGACCAAAGCTGTTAAATAATAATGAAAAAAACTCTATTTTAACCTAAAATCTATAATTTCTTTTCTATTGAATAATTTATGAAATACTTTCGTCAGAATTGGCTTCACATGCAGCCTTTGCAACTTTTTGATAAAATAGTATTTGTATAGTTTTTATATATGGAATAGTATCAAATAATTTAAATTTGATAAATTTAATAAATTTTATGTCATGAACAAGAATTGTTTTTAAATAATTAAATAATTAGTTAAGTAGTATAGTCATTTCAAAATTTATATTTTATATAGTATTCTTACAATGATTTTCTACATATGGATTATTCCTTTTTACTAATTAATTCACATAAATTTGATGTCATCTGACATTAAATTAAATAAATAATACAATGAGTTATTCTATAATGTAAATTCTGAGTTTGTTCTAAGAGAATGAAGATCATGATATTCACAATATTGGTCGTTTGAGTGATTCAGAACCTATAACTCCTGCTTTTAAAGATGAAAAAGAACAGCTGGTTAGATAAATTAATGAATTTCGGCAATAAAACTAAATTCTTCAAAATGAATGTCAAAAGTAAATTATGAATTTAAGTGAAAAACTATGTATAATTTCACATTATTCAAGCTCGCTCACAAATTTTGTAGAGTGAAATAGAGTAATATAAAGAGTAAATAAGAGGTGAGTTAAATTAAAGCTAAATTCTGACAAAGTAATTCCTTTAAAAGCATGAGTCTTGTTTCAATTTGAAATAAAGAATATTATAATAAAAGAATTATCATAAGTTACATTATGAAAATCCTGGAAAAAGAATAACTACTTGTCCTAGTGAAACATCAACAGTGTAGAGCTCATCTTTTGTGATACCATTATCACCATAGCTCAAAAAGCTGCACTATAATTCATTTAATCATCATTTTTGATATTGTTAATCATCATATTACTCTAAATAATTATTATAATGTATTTGATGCGATATTAAACTACTATTTTTTATTTATTTAATGTTTTAATAATATTAATTAAGAAGTTTAAAGCCTCTAGTGATTTGGTGAAAATAAAAATAAATAAAATTTATCGTTTCTAAATTGTTAATGTACTCAAAATGCATTTCAATTTACAAAATTATAATATTAAAGATGTCGGCTATTTCAAAATTGTAAGGCTGTGGCTGATTCCAAAAATATTGATTATTATTATTAACAAAACTTGATCAAGATAGTGAAGTGTAAAATGATTATTTTTTTCATTAAATTGCTTGCCGATTCGCAAACAATGTGGATATCGAAGTTGTACTTTTTTATAAAGAAGAGATAAAAATTATTATGAAAAAAGATTTATGCGATATTAATTGATAATATTAGGTTAAGCATAGAATTTTAGAGGTAATAATAAAATTTTATTTAATTGTAGAATTCTTAGAAAATCAAATAATAAATAGAATATATTTTTCTTAAGAGGATGAAAGAGATTTCTATTTATAAAATCAGCCTAGAGCCTTATACATAATTAAATTTTAAAGTTATGAATTGATATGAACAGATAAATGCATTCTTTATAATAACTGTATAAATAAATTATGTGTCGATATTAAATTCAATTAGACTATTTACTAACAAGAGTTGGAGTGTATATTTTCCAAAAGAAGGTGATGGCTAACAATGCTCCAACCCAAGGACCAATAATATAAATCAATAAATTAATCATTTAGTCCCACTTTCCATAATAAATTCCATAAAATAATTATAGTCTAAAATATAATATGATAAAGTACCCAAAAGCTGCAGATGGATTAAATAAACTATTTCCCATAGTTGCAGTGTATCTACATAATATTTAATGTTTACTATCGAGCAACAAAATAAATGACACTAACAAAAATGGCAGATTGTACCTCTGTAGTAGTTATTTTAGTGTTTTCTGCTGTTTAAATTTGAATAAATATAAAAAAGATAATTGATCCAGCTATTTCAGACATTAAAGTTCCAAATACTTAATGAGATGGTAATCTATATATATTGTAATACTCAAATACACTTCGAAATATGGCAGTGTTTTTTTGTATGCAAACAGAGGCATCAATAACATCCCTGCAATTAGACTAGCAAATGTTTATGCTCCAATATAATAAATGGCTCTTTTTTAGGGTATTGATCCATCTATATATCCGATTAAGGTGCATATAGGATTAAAGTATCCTTTACTTAGTCTACCACACACCATTAATCCAATGAAATAAACAAGAGCAACACCGAAATTAGTTCTATTTCTAAAAGATTATAATACTCAGCAGCTAAGGCTCCATAAATCAATAATAATGTTCCTGCAGTTTCAAATGCCAAAATATTCTTGATTTAAGCCTTTTCTTTTTCAATTGAATCATCATTCACTTATGAAAATTCACTAACTATAGGTTCCATAATTTATTAAATTAATCAATATAATCTACATTATGATCAACATTATTTATTTAATTGTCATAATTCGAATCTATTTAGAACAACCAGACTAAAGATTTAGATCAAACATAAATAATTGCCTGATTGAATTAAAACTATTTGTTTTTAAATATATAAAAAATTCAGATTATCATATTAACATATTCAAGATGCCAGCAAAATATTTACTAACAGCGAAGACACCTCCAATAACAGCAAAAACAATAACTAAATAGTTTGTAATTGAAGTAGACTGAATTGTCATCGATATGGGATCGAATTCGTATTGAAATTCAATGAAAGGAGCTATAGTTTCATTGTAAAGGGATCTTTGTTGAGTGAAGGTATAAAAGACATTCTGGTTGCTCCAAATATCTATATTATTAGTAGTAACTAATTTTAAATAGTATTTTGAGGAAAATTAACTATAAGTTTCTCTTTGAGTTGATGGCTGATCCCCAAATGATAATTTAAAACTATGATTGCCTTGGAAGGTTCTATTAATTAATTCCATAGCTGGCTTATTAGATTGGATAGCAAAAACCCCAGGAACTTTCTTAATGTAAAAATAACCAAAAAATCTGCATGCTTCATCTATATGTTCTTCAATATCAGAAACTTCGATATAAGATTCAGATGGCTGTTCTACTTAGAAAGATTCACTGAATAACAATCTTGAATTTTTGGTCATTGGATTCTTAATTTATTTAACATGAACATAGACGCTGATTCTAAATTAATTATATGCTCTATCCAGCATAGAATTCGGTTGATAGTTGTAGTTATATTCCTCATTGATAACTAATAGTTTCTCAATAAAGAAAACAAATTGACTCATCATAACAGAGGTATTGATCTTCCATAATATCTCGTGATTCTAGACTTGGATGGTCATAATGTCTTCTTTTGCAGAATAATAGAATGGGATTGAACACTAATCCTTTGGCATATCAAGTTCAAAATTTTCAACCTTTGATTCATTATCATAAGAAGCATTTAAGGATATCTTCAAAGTAGTCTCGCACTTTTATCTGTAAATTTCTGTCAATAATTTGACATCTTATGTGAGATTTCTGAATGGTAATACTCTCTCCCTATCAGAAAAACGCAATTGACTGGCTAATGTACCTCCAATATGATCCAAAGATATATTAAGCATTCCAATCAATTAATCAATTTATTTCCCTTTTTCTTATTTTAATCTCTATTCATCCCACTGCATAGGATTATAACTTATCTCTGAAAGTTAACCCAAAGCCTTTTTGAATTTGTCTCTCTATTCTTAAGTCATAATTTATTCAGTAGCATCTTCTTCTTCATCATCTACTTCTATAGATTGTTTGAACAACTCGGTAGCCGTTACATTGACCAATTCTTTTTTAGTCAACTGAAGCTCTTTTTAGTGATTAAGATCAGCCTATCGAAACTACTATAATTCTGAGTCGTCAAATTGAACAGTGGGTTTCCCAACACATTGTACGATGCTTTCAAAATTGGGTTATCTCCATCTTCTTTAAGCAAATGCCATCATCACATCTTAACAACTATAACACTTTTGATCTATCAACAGTTCAGCTCCATAACATGAAGTGAAATTTACGTTTTGCTTAACATCCACATATTCTAAGTTGTCATCAACTATACGTGTTTTTATAATAGTGTGTTATACATCTTGTAAATAAGAGCCCATCATATCTTAAATATTTAATGTTAATGCTTGGCAAGGTGCTTAAATTACTGCATCCAAGTTCACTCTAATCCTAGAATCAATTGCTGGATCCACTTGCAATTAAATTGTCCCCTATAGAGCATTAGTAATCTCAGCCCAGATGAAAACGACAATACAAATGATTGTTATAAGAAATAGTAAACCTCCCCAAGATTGTCGATTATATTAATTGTCTTGTATTTTAGGGAACAGATTTATCATTAATTTAATTTATTACAATACTTTATTCGATTGGAATGCCAATTCCAATTGCAACACTTAACAAGATAGTTTTGACTGACATAACCTTGAGCCATTGGTTCAATAACTCTTTATTTACAGCTAAATTTAACAATTATAAAATACAAATCACTCAAAGGAAAAGTAAGGACAAAATCACGAGAAGTTTATCCCTAATTTGATTGACAAACTATACTTAATAATTTTAAAACAATTGAATTACTAGGCGTACTCTATGGATTTAAATATTATGTAAATTGTTTAAATTTATCTAAAGGAAATTAAGAAACAAGCAGGATACTACATTTTGAAAACTTAAATCTAAAATAGAAACACAGATATTATAGTGATCTTGTTTCCTTAAAACGTCCACATCCTATTATAATAATAATTCCTTAAATTTAGAATGCTTAAAGGGAAATAGTAATAAATGATCAAAGGTATCGTAGATAGAAATCAATTTATTCAGGAAAGCATTAATTAATACTATAAAGTTAGGCTCAATCTTATTGCCTTCCACCCAAACATGTATGATCTTTCAATAATTTGATCTATAAAAACTATTTCAAATTAGTAAGATTGGGTATGCAAACTAAATTTGTGATAGAAAAAGATTTCTTGCATAATCTCTCTAACAAATTCCTAGAATCTAGTTAATTTTAAGAAATAAAAATAATAATTCTCGCAATAAAAATTGCTTTAAAGCCGATGGGAGACCACAGAGTCTTGTAAGAACTAATTCTTAATTACTTATCAACTGATATTATTATAATTATTATAGATTTATAAATGGACAATCAAATAAAAGTTGTCATTCGATTTAAGTCCATTTTAGCTTTCGAAGAAGAGTCTGTAAATTTTCCTTAATCTCAAGTCTCCTAATTGGATTATTGAAGAAGAAGCAATTACATATAAAAATACAAAACAAGATGAGATCTTTGAATTTGATGTTATTATGCCTCCTGCTACATTGCAAGAGGAAATATTCTAATCTATTATGTTGCCTAAGATCAGTTTTTTGTATCTTTCCATAATTAAATACCTAGTCTCTAAGGGTACAATAGTGCAGTCTTTGCTTATGGGGCAACTTCGTCAGGCAAAACATATACAATCTTAGGCCCAGAAAGTACAATAGAGCAGATTCTCAATAATAAGTTTACTATAGATCATAGTTCTGGCATACTCCCAAGATCAATACATCAAATAGTCGATGTAAAAATCTATTAATAATAAAGGGATATCAATAAATAAAACAATAGGAATCATAGTAACAGGTGACTCTCAAAGCCACCTACGTTGAAATATATAACGAGTAAATTTTCGATCTCTTAAACTAACAATATAAAACTAACAATCAAAAACTAGATCTCAAAGTATTTCACCTTAAATTTCTTAGATTAGCACTATAGCTGATGGTCCCAAGTTGGTGGGAGTGAGGGAAGTTCAAGTTGAATCTGTCAATGATCTTATGGAATTAATTGCCTTCGGTAGTTATAATAGAGCTATTGGAGCAACTCAATTGAATTCCAGATCCAGCAGATCTCATGTTATTTTCACACTTGAGTAATCCATTTATTTTAATAAGATTGCTCGTTGAATGGAAAGACAAATCATAGAGAACATCTAAAATTCAATTTATTGATTTAGCTGGAAGTGAAAGACTTGCCAAAACTGTTGCCAAAGGTTAATTGCTAGAAGAAACTAAAAAGATAAATTAATCATTGCATTGTTTGGGACATTGCATAATGGCATTATCAAGCAGAAAAACCATTAAACATGTTCCATATAGGGATTCAAAGCTGACTTTGCTTCTTAAAGAATGCTTAGGCGGTAATTCTAATACTTCTTTCATTTGTGCTGTAAGTGCAGCATTAGAGCATGAAGAAAAAACCATTTAAACCTTGAAGTTTGCTCAAAGAGCCAAATTGATTCTCAATAAAGTCAAAATCAACATAAAACTTAGTTATGAATAGATAGAAAAGTAAATGACGATGCTTAAATAAGAATTATAAATGATGGAAAAGATTCTTACAACAAATGTATTTCATCTTATATATTATTAGGGAATCAAGTATGATAAATAGATTTTTAAAGAATAAAATTTTTAACTCTAATTAGATTAAAATATGAATTTAGATGAATTAAAAGGAGATTATAGAAAATCAAAAAGAAGATCTCTCTAACCATCAAGCAGCAAATCAGATATTAAAGAATAATTTAGTTATAGATTTTAATAGTATCTTGATTCTTAAAATTCAAACCCTAAACAAAATTCAAGTCCCAATTCTAAACGCATAGTTTAAAGACAATCAGGAGGCAATTTAAGATCATCTTTACCATGTTCTCTTGATGGCTCGGAAGCTGAACTTGATGAAAATGGAGAACACGACTTAAATGAAGCTTAATTAATATCTGCATTGAAATCTATTAATGAAACACCAAGAGAATTATCATAATTCGTAAGTGGAAGAACTTCTTAAGTTAAATTTCATACATAAGAATCCTAGTATTATTCAACTACAACTAATTAAACTACAAACACTGAATAATTATAAGATAGGCCAAAGAAAAGAGAAAGCTGTTGCTAAGTCTTTTGAACATAAATTTTGTTTTTTTAAATAAAATCAATCATTTGATATTTTAATTTGTTATTGTATTGTATCTTTGCAACCTATATTCTTTTTAAGAAGATATCCAATATACTTTTTAAAAGCTGACTTTTGTGAATAAAACTAAATTTAATATTATGAATGCTACCATTCTATTTGGTAATGATCATTTTAAAATGCCATTTTTATACTGTAAATTAATTGTTAGTAATATTTTAATGCTTTCATTATAGAAACTTAATCTTGATGTTAAATAGTTAGGTTCTGCTTTCATTAAAGAAATCAGAATGTTGTAAAATATAAATTAGTCATAAAATTAGGCAAAAGTGATTTAGATAATGTTTAAAATTTAATAATCAGTCAAGCACAAAGCAATCAATTTTCGCTTTATCTAGTTCTACTTCTATCCAAAATTTATTTTATAGCTATATTCCAACATTTACTAGAGAATCCTTGGTTATTAATTTGTTATCGTAAATTAATTTGTAATGGGCAGCATTCTGTTTAGGAATCATATAAAACCCATTGCAGTCATGATAAAGAATAGCTTATAAGCCAGATATGTGATTGCTTAGGTCTAAATTTGAATTCTTAAGATAAAATTCAATCTTCCTTGTTCTTAAATTAGTAATCTCAAATTATATATATCCATATCCATCTATTTTAATTGTTTCTTCAAATTTATCCTACAAAGTGTCATTAGAACTAGATAATTGCTCCTAATTAATGTTTTTAGTGTTGGTTTGAGTTACTTTTAATTCGTAAAAATTGTCGAATATCAACAACATCCCCTTGTCTAAATAAATTCTGGATTGATTCGCACTTGATATAATAATATATGGGTCATGTTCTGTTAATAAAGCCAATTATTTTTCAACAATATTATATGTCAAAATCATAAATGCTTTATCGTTTTGGTTATTGAGTTTATGAACGTGTGTATCTTATTTTCCATATTATTATTGAAATTTCTAAATTAGGTATTTGCGCGAAATGATCATCTAATATTCATTTGGTTAATCTGATTCAAAAATTTGAAATTCTATTATAAATCCAATAGGTTGATATTTTGGATGGTTTAATAAAAATTGGAGTTTTGCTCCGATATAATTTAATTCAATCACCCCTAAATTTAAGATACCCACTTCACAATCAACCGAATTATAAATTGACTAGACTTATTTCTATAACTCCAATAATTGAATTTTAATAGAAGATTAAAGGTCTTACGTATCTTTATCATACTAAAAATAAGAAAACAGACCTGAACTCTTATTTTGTTATAACTCCTATAGTTGACTTTATATGTTCTTCAAATTTTTATCTATTTCTCTCTCGAAAAACTTAAGCTATAATTTCTTATTCTTTTCCCACAGGCCATAGACTGTGTCAAAAGCAGAAACCAATTGATTTTGAGTCTTCTAATCAAATAAACTTGTTTTTAGCATTTATTCAATATCCTCCATGACAATATTATCGATCACAGTATTCTGAGTCCCTGTTTTCATTTTATTATTCAATAAGGTATTTATAAATAATATTTATAAAGACTTTAATGCAATAGAAAATGGAGTCTGTCAAATGTAGATAAGAATAAATTCGTATTAATTTGTTTAGAAAATGTAATACTTTTCTTAAAGCATGAATATTAAATACGAATAAAATTTATTTAATTTTATCATTAGTTTTGGGTAAATTGTTCTCTACTGCAAATAATAAATATGAAGGATATCAACCATATCATTAATATTAAGTATGTCACTATCAAATATCCTAAAACAAATCTTTAAAGGTGATAACATTCTTCATTCTAGAGATATGCATACTAATTTAGTAGTAATAAAAATCGTTACAGTCAATCCGATTAGAATAACTACGTTAAAAAACAATTCTATGTAATCTACCACATCAAACAATTAACTTTTCCATTATTCATTACTCTTATATTAAATCGGTAATTCGATAAATCTAACATCGTTTAAGAACTTACAATTTATATCCAGCTATAGTAAATAATACAATCTCTGTGTAAAGCGTCCATGAATCAATCAGCTAACATTCGGAATCATCTCTTGATTAAAACCAAAAACTAATTACTATAATGTCTGAAAATGAGAAATAGCAGCCCCCAACTGGAATTGTAAATGATGGCAAAAACAGTGGAAAACAGGGACTTACTTATTTCTTCAGAATTTCTATTGGAATTTGGGAGATCAAAAATTTCTACTTCTTCTTGCTGTTAATTCATTAAATAAAACGAATATATAATTGTTTATAGTTAATTTTTTATTACTTCAAGGAACGATACTTTGTTAAAAAAACTGATATAAAGTATATAAAAATAACTAAAAGAAGGTAACTAAGAATTTACTAAATTTAATATTCTTAATAATAAATCGCATTTCTACTATTATTCATTAGATTAGACATCAACTCTTTTTAGTTTTTAAACAATTCTTACTTAATAATCTGCCTTTCCAAATCGACATCTCTACCTTTACTTCAAAGAATTTAATTTTCAATCTTGAATCATTAACTTACTCTCATATCCAAACTAAAATAACATTATTGTGGTAGAATTGGTTATTTTTATTTTATCTTTTTTCCAAAATAATAATATCCAAAAAATAAATATATCAAAATATGTCTTACCCAAACAAACATTTAGATTATTGTTTAATATCTAGAGATAAGGTATTTATGATCATTATATGTTAAGGTATCTTGAGTATTTACTATGATGTTTACAATACTTATTAATTAATATATTATTATAATAAATATGCAAGAACTAAAATCTCCAAAGTTGTTAAATAATCTAGTCTCAAATGTTTAAAAAAAATAAAACCCTATTCCTCCGTCAACTGATGTCAATATTCTCCAGTAAATTTTAGACCAAGTTCAGCCTGTGGAGATAATACATAATAATAATGATGATGGTTAAGGATGTAAACATAATATACAATATGATAGTGGCGAATCATAAGCGAAACAATAAAGCCCTTAAAATTAATGAAGATTAAGCAGAATAATAGTTAATTGACTTTATTCAATTAGGCATCTAAGACTTTGAAGCTAACTAATATTCCCAATGTGTATATCACTTGAAATAAGCAGAATAAATACTAACTGCCATTTCGTATTCTAATCCCTTAATTCATTATTTCCTGATGATAAGGATAGATTTGGGAGTTGTCTATTATGCAATTGGCTGGTTAGAACAAGCATTTACTTGTTTTGAAGATGCCATTTTGGCTTTAAAGAAAACTCCCAGAACAGATTAGGAAGGGTATCTCCTATCGATAATACGGCTGCATTGTTATTTGTAATGCTGCATCATCCTTTCAGAGAGTGGTCAGCATTCCGAAGCTTTGGCCTTTGCTAAAATGGCCATAAGAAAATCTTCCAAGATATTGATAGATCTCCAAAAGTACTTGCAGAGCTAAATACATTAATCAGTCATTGAGGATATACTTAGGAAGAGCATTCCAATTCTGAAACCGAAACATCAAACAATAGTTTAGAGTTATCAAGTTCAAACCTAAGCTGCTTAAGAAGTACAATGATTAGTATTAAAGAGTTATGATTAAGTGTATTCTGGATGTCCATAAGAGTACATTCAAAGAGCCAACATCTTATAATTCATCCAAATGAATCCAGTAAATTTAAGCAATTTCAACCATGTGATGAACTTCCCTACAAATTAACAATATTTGCATCTGATTTGTTTGTTTGTGATTTCCTTGTATTGCACCTCAACGGAGTCTAAATTTACCTAGAAAGTTGAATCTTGTTGTTTTAGTGAAGCAGAGAATTACTTATCAAGAGCCTTAGAGATAGCATACTTGTATTTACCAAAAGATCTACCATTAATAACCTAATTGTTAAATGTCCATAATAGATTTTATGACATTTCTAAATAAGTATGTATTTGCATGAAGCACTAGGCAATAGATGAAGATGCAAAGATTAAGATGGATTAAGGACATTTTGAGATTGTTCTTCTCAAACCAGTTATTGAATCATAAAAGTGTGGTTTTGTTATTCCAATCATCAGAAAATGTATTAATATATAACTAATTTCAAAGCCAAATTTATTGGAATGAAGAGTAGAACTAGATCGATGAAAGAGTAGCAATTCTCAAACACTAAGCAAGCCAATTTTAACATAGAGCCAGAGCACTAGATCTTGGAAGTTTAAAGTAGGACTCATAAGCGGAAATTAAGGTCTGTCTCAACCACAAACAAATATAAACCTAATTCTCCTAAATGGGTCAATCACTAATTAGCAGAAGTCTATTTGCAATAGTAATATCCCTTTAAATCTATCCAAATCAAAAAGTAGTATTAAAAATACAATAATAAAACTGTTGAATTGGGTTCTGGGAAAAATTCAGCAAATCAAAATGGTAAGTTGAATAGATCGGAAAATCAGATTAAAAAGAAACAATTAAATATTTAATTAATGATTACTAATAACATCAATTAGACAAGTTCTACTTAAAATTCAAATGGTGGATAACCTATTCAAATCCCTAATGTAACATAATAATAGTTATTTAAGAAGAAAAAGAATAATTCCTCATTTAATTTTGATTAAATAACAACTAAAAGCCCTGGTAATCTGTTTGTCTAGAAATAAAGAGATGAGAAAAAACTTTCGACAATACAATAGAAATTTAAATCTGTAATAAAACAATATTGAGTATAAATTTTTCTTCCCTTCAATATCTATATAAAATATTTGATTATCCTTTAATTCTCTCTCATCAAAGAACATCATCAACTAATTGAAAGAAAAATAATAAGTATTGATCAAAAGTTGGTCTAATAATACATTATAAAATTATTCTATTACTTTATCAGAATTTATCAATATATATTATTTTCCTTACCCTTTTTTTTCATATTAAACCAAGACAATATTTGCTTTTTTTCGTTATTTAAATTATCTATTTACATGTCATACTAAGTGCTAATGCCTAGGTCTTAAGACCATTTCCCAGATAATTAGTAAATTGAAGACTCGTCAAAAGAAGAATAAGTAGAAAATAATGAAGATCCTCAAGTACCTAATAATTATCCTTCTATTCTTGTTTAAGTTAAATAATTAGGACCTACTAAAATTATTTTGACAAAAACCACATGTCTATACAAATAATAGAATAGCTGTGAAGCATGGGGTAAAAATAGCAATTCGTCAGATAATTTTGAAACTGGAAGTTAGAGTGACAAAGAAGTGATCCTTTAACGATTTAATATGGGTTCTTCGCCTTAGATTGAACCGAATTTGGAGATGTTGATAGAAGGTTATGTAGACCAGTCTTAAGTATTTTACAATAATAAGTAGTAAAATTCTAAAGTTATAGACTCAAATTCGTTATAAAAAATAGATAAACATAGAAGTACACGAATCAAAGAAGAGGTGAAATACTTTCCTGGAGCAACCCATAATATATACAAAGCTTTCCATGGAGGGTTGATATGGTTTATGAAGGTTTTACCAGAAGATATTAAATTTACTAAAGAGGCTGAGAACTTTTTGAATACCCCTAAAAATCGTCTTGGAAAAATTCGACTTTCTAATTCTATTAAAATGTGCTCACAAATTAGAAGCTTTGCAAATGAATTTTTTTGCAATTATTAATGGACCAGATATTTTTCAAAAAATAATAAAATCGATTTGGATAGCTGTTTCAGATTGTGCCCATTGATAATTGCTTAAATTTTAGAATGAATATTAATTTATTTAAATATTATTTATAAATATTTAGAATATTATCTTAGTTTTTTTAGATAATGGATGAATTATCTTAAAGAGTAAATATATTGAGATCTTTGATTGAAATAAAATAGAAAATTCAATAATGCCCTATGGATATATATACCAACATTAAAGAATAGGGCTAAAGATTCAAATTTGATGATTCCAAGATATAAAAATAAATTTAAGAATTCTACTTTGAGATATTTATAAGCAGTATCTAAATTTTCTGGGAATATAAGAAATATTCAGATGAAGTAAAAGAAAGATGTCAATATCAAAATGAACATAGAAAGCATTGCTAAAAGTCAAGAAATTGTTTAATTTTAGATAGATATTTTGATAAAAATTTTATTAAGTAGTTATATTAAATATACAATACTCAAAAGGGTGTTAGGATTAAATCTTATGGGTAAATAGCATTTTCAAGAATTTAACAGAATACATTTTATATGAAGAGGATGCTTTGATATTCATGATTAAACACACAGGCCATCAAGTTAGTTCGATTAAAAATGATTAATTTAATTACTATATAAGATTAGTTTGAGAGCCTTTATCAAGGTTTGTCATTTTATATTTGGCGTATCAATACTAACATTGACAATTAATTGAATAAGATGACAAAAATAATCATTAATAAAAATTGAGAGATTTTAAAATGAATAAAAGGAAAGAATATATAGATGCACTAGCTTAAATTATGTTCTCTTTTTTTTTACGAAGATATGCAGTTTCTATTTTAATTTTGCTTTATAGACTTTTGGGATGTTTACGTCTAATATTTTTTCATGACTATTTCACTATAAAGTAAACATAATATAATATTCAAAATTTTAGTGTTTCGATCAATTTTTTATTACTTCCAATTAATAACATTTATTATAATGCTAGCAGACATTTGATTTTACCATCTATCTGATATGATTTACTTATTTGTTAAGAATACACAATAAATTCGCTGTCATTAGTTTAGATAATAATTTAACCATTTTGCATAGTAAAGATATTCATAGCTCCTATGTCTATTTCCGAATTAAACTTTAAATGCTTGGCTTCTTCATAAATTAATAAGGCTCCATCTCTTTAAAGTACATAAAGTAGGCCTTCTTCGTATATCATATTTTTAATTGGCTTCTTTGAAGTGCAAACCAATTACAGAGAGTCAGCCTATAATTTGTAGATGAAATTATCAATAGCCACAAAAATATTGCTGGATGTTTGAATCATACAATTGAATACTCCGTGATATTTGATTTGTTTTTTCGTAACAGATGAAAAATAGAATATATAATTTGCTGTTACAATATATAATACTCCTTTTTCAGTTTGATAGAGTTGCAAAGGGACTTCATCCATTCTCCAAGAATGTTTCAACCTATAGGTACCATGCATTGATTCACTAACCCATTGAATGACTTAATTATCCAAAGAGCAGGAGTAAAAAGTCTTAAAATTGTGTTAAATCACAACCTTAGTAATAGATTTGATTGGCCTCTAATGCTTCCCCAAGACTTAAATTCTACCTGAGTATAAATTAATTGCTCGAACAGATAAATCAGAACATCCAACAATAACGTGAGTTTAATTTGGATCATTACTTAAAAACAGTGGTATTGCCTAGATATGATAAATATTCAAATTTTAAATATTATTATATGTTTTTATCTTTTCTATATCTTTATTCATGGATGACAACAATGAATTAATCTTGCTAGAGCTAACTTAATATGACGATAGTTGTTAAGAAATAAATCGAGGACTAAATTGTTTGATTAGATCGCTATTGTTTTTAGTAGGAGTTTTAATGTAACTAGACACTCTAATCCTGTTATTCCGACTAGTTGTATTCTCTGATTTGCTATTTTCCCTTTCAATTAAGAATGATGATTGACTTTTAGAGTAATGATTCTAAGAAAAATAACTAGACATTTATTTATTCTTCCTATCACTTTTTTCATTTGCTTATAGACAGGAGGAATTCCTTAAGAATTTATTTGTTATGTATTTTTAGATGTTGTAAGATCTTTCCTACTTTGATTCTTTGTTAATTTATTTTTTGTAATCATTATATAACATATTATTAGTATTTGTTTGCATGGCTTAGGCTATTTTTTTTTCTATAATTTTTTTTAAAGAATTCGTTTAAAACTAATTATTACTATTCTAGAATAGGAATTGATAGTCCTTTGAATCCTTGTTTAATTATTTGCCATTATCCTTGTGATTTTTGTATTGAAAATAAGATCGTTCAGTCTCAGTGCCTCGAATATCAATATAACTATGATTCAAATTCAAATTAGTCGATAGACTTATGTCATTTTAACTAGTTTTTTTCATCATTGAATGCTTATCAAACATATTTAAATCTGATTAAGGTCTATGGATCCTATTTTATTTGAACTTTTGTAATATTGAATTGATTTGTTATCCAATTTCTGACATTTTCTTTAAAGATGTTTACATGTAATTCAAGGGCCTCTAAAATTTCTATTACTAACTATCAGGTATTAACAACTTATTTAAATTTGTGTGCTTCGATTAGAAATCTTGATTATTCATGTTATTTTCCTAACTCATAGATTTAGCTGTTTATTTATTTTCATTTGGTTCAGTTATAAGAGGTTTGCCCTGCAACATCTAACCAAATTCTCTTTCAGGAGTGATAGATCTCCATTCAAATTAATTTTATTTAGGATTTCTGTTCCCTCCTTCCTTTAATAATTATTGCATTTATTATAATTATTTTAATTGATGGTCATCCTTAAATTAGCAAGTGAGATTATCGAGGATGGGAATCTGAACAAACTTAATTCACTATTATCTATGCCCCTGACACAAGAGTTAGTTCAAACTCTAAGAAGGATTTTTTTATATCTGTAAGATAAAAAGTTATTTTCCATTTCATATGGATCTGAATGGAATTAGTGGAACTTGAGAAAAAACAACAACAGATAAAATGAAAGTAATTAGGTTGACAATTTTTTGAATATTAAATGGAGTGTTTACTTGAGATTGTTGTTCTAACATTCCTTTTATGATGATTTATTATTAAGCATTTAACAAACTATAGACTGTCCACCCTATGTCAGACTTGTGTAAACTTCAGTTGAAAAAGGAATAGAAATCCCCATCAATTCGAATTATTTTTAGGTGTTGCAATACCTTCCTCTAGACTTCGAAAAATTTATAATATTAATAAAAAAATTCCCATAAATTGAGTAAAATGATGCTGCTCAATTCACAATTTTTATTTAAAAACAATTATCCAAGATCACAAATGATTAAGAAAGACTATAATTTTCAAAATTAATTAATACTCACTTGGTTGATAAAGTAGACAACCCATTAATTTTGGCTGACTTTCTGTAAAATAGCATAGATAATGGAGGTTTAGAATTAAAAATAAATTCTCTATAATCATTATTAATATTAATTACTAGATTTAATTATAATTTGGACAATTTTTATGAAAGAGTATAAATATATTTAATATTTAAATAGTTAATACAGATAATTGAAACTGAAGGAGCATTGGAAAGTTCCTCCAAATCGAAATTATTCAAATTAATAGATGTAGCAACAAAGTCGACAAAAGTCCCCTTATAAACCTTGGCTAGAATAATTTAATCAGTACTAAGAGCATGTCTTAAAGAGTCTTGTTCTTTGCAGTTGGCAGCTACTCAAATTATTTTCAATATCTTCAAAAAGCATGTATAATTAAAACACTTCCTCCAATAAGGAGAGGCTCAACTTGTGGAGATAGCATCTTATCAGAAGTATTTTTGGTTTAAATAATTTAGTCACTGGCATCCTGAAATTAAGAGGATAATATCTTATTTAGAAGATGACTTAAGTATTTTTGATTATTTTAACCTAAATGATGTAATCGAATTGTAAGATTAATAACTATTGGAAGCATAATTTTGACATTATATATAAATCAGAATTCTTATCATTATTAATCAAATTTCATAATTATGTAATATGGTAAAAAAGGAGAGGATTTATCACGGTCGAAAATTGAAATTCTTGAAGACTTTGCTCGAGAGTCTGTAGAATCATTGGATAGTTTATTACCTCAATTTCACTGTCACGATTTACAATAATTGGAAATAGAAAGGCGAGTTGTGGCATATTTAAAATCCTTAGGACTTAAATTTAAGACAGATCCTACTTCAAAAGAACATGAGTTTTAGTAGAATTTTGATTAATCTAGTGAATTACCAAAATAGCAAGGGATAGTGTTTTAGCAAACGATAGGAGAATCACCCATGATTAATACAATTTAGATAATCAAATTTGGGATGGATCAAAGTAATTCAAAAAGAGATTCTGGAACAGGATTAAGTCCACTTCATCTAGGCAAGTAAAGTTCATTTGAAATTTGATGCTATGATGATATTTTAATCTAAAACCTATAAATAATTACCAAAGATTATTTATTTTGTTTATAAATCATGATAGGCCAGAATGAGGCAAAAAATATACGTTTTTTGAAATCATAACTTTTTTATCCATATATTTACAAAAATCAAGTAATTATTTAATGATGACAAAATACATAATAGTATTATTATAATAATCAAGTTTTTTAAATAAAATGGGATTATTAATCTCTAAATGCAAAGAGTGTTGTTTCTTGATTAGAAGCAAGCCCTCTGTCTCAGTGTCATCACATTAGTTAGTGAACTTATCCAACAATCCTGCTGAAGAAACATAAGGAAAAATATAAGCATAATAGATAAGTTTATTCCATCCCAAATTTAGGTTTTGCACATGATCATACTCATTCTAATGATTTATCATCATGCTAAGTAGACAAAAATGAGGAAAAGAATGAGAATGATCTAACTTTGGAAACCATTTCTAATAAATAGTTGTCCATTGTAAGATCACCTTCAATAAGCTAAACAGTGCAATTAAAAGAAGAAGATAAGTTTATTCTAAAAAAGTAAGACAAATAGACTTCAGATAATACAATTCAACCGCAATAACAGTATTAAAAATCAATAGAAAATGGAATTTTTGTTTTCACTAACATTGATTCAATTAAAATTGATGAATTAACCATATATGTATAGGAGGCCCTTGAGAAATTTACAGAATTAGTGGATATTATAGATGACAGCGACACTTACATTCAGAATATGAATAATATAGAGTTGTATTTCTCGCATTATTTTGTGCAAAAGGTCATGTTCATTTAAATTAAGTGTTTATATAATGGTTATAATATAGGTTTCAATTTGAGTTAAGTACAGAAATCAATAGATTCCTTAAATGGTCAAACGAAAACTCTCTATTTGAATTTGATTTGATTGAAAACTACAAATTGCAACAGGTCAATGAATAGATGTCTATTGGAGAAATGCAAATAAACAAACATCTGATGATAAAGCAACAATTCATTACATATGTAAAATATACAGAATTGCTAAATGAAGATTATTATATTGTTTACAAATCGATCAGAATACAAGATCAATACTAATTGAAAATGTAATCTTTTTGTGATTTACCTAGATCTCAATAGTTTTAGGAAGGCCAAGTAGTGTTGGGGGGATTGAGAGTCAGTTAAAAAGACGACAAATTAATTATCAGAGGTTACTTAGATGGTGATTTTTAAATTAAAGCTGGATTTAACTTGACAATCAAAACTCTAAGAGATAAAGTTATTGGATGTATCAATAAAGTGAAGGAATTATTTAATTGAGATAATGTATTTTAATTTAATTTGGTAATTTCTTTCAACTCAACTTACCTTACTACATAACTATAAACCATATCGAAATGTTAATGGCATTTAAAATTGATTATAAAATATTAAATAAACATTATTATCAAGAATCTATGGGTAATAAAATGATGAAAAGCTAGGGAGAATTTGAATAAGAGTATCAAAGAAAATAAGAATGTAAAAGATTAAGTCATAAAAATAGAAAAGCCTTCTGTATTAGCATTAAACCTTTTAATTAAGAAGAAGGGTCGAGTTAGCACAGAGTACTAATTCTTGACTCCTCCAATCGGTAAAGGATAATACTCTGAAATACGAAAAGTAATAAATAAAAAAACCGGAATCATGAGAGCTGTAAAAATAGTATAAAAGAATGCCAGTGAGAAGGAAGAAGAAAGAGTAACATCAGAAGTCAACATTTTAGAAAAGCTAGATCATCCAAACATTTTAAAAATAAATGAATATTATAGTGATGACAGATTTCATTACATAATCACAGACTATTATTCTGGAGGAGAATTATTTAGCAAAATTTAAGAGAAAAAAACATTCTCTGAAGCATAGGCTGCAAGAATTATAAGATAATTGCTATACGCATTAAATTATTGCCATATTCATGGAATTGCCCACAGAGAAATCAGACCTGAAAATATCATGCTTGAAAGAAGTTCTGAATTTGCATCCGCAATTTTGATTGATTTTGGTATGTGTTAAAAGATTTCCCATAAAATGCATAGTTCAGTTAATCATCCTTTCTATTAAGCTCCAGAAATATATCAAAAAAAATACAATGAATCAGTTGATATTTGGGCTATTGGAGTTATAACTTACATTTTATTATGTGGGTATCCTCCCTTTGGTGGAGAATCTAATAGGAAAATTATTGACAATGTCTTAAAGAAGCCTTTGGTTTTTGATGAATAAGATTGGAACAAGAATAGTATCTAATCAAAAGAATTTATCAAGAAAATGTTAAATAAAGATCCCAGTCAAAGAATGACAATTGAATAAGCATTGAATGATCCATGGATTGTCAAGAATTTTGAACTGTAGGTTAGTGATAGCTAATTAAGAAGAGTGCTGACTAATTTAATAAATTATAATAGTCAATCTAAATTATAAGAAGCTACTCTGAAATTGATAGTTTTGTATCTAGCTTCAAGAGAGGAATTGAGTGAATTGAGAGAGGTGTTTACATATATAGATTAAAAAAATGATGGTTATATTGATGTTGAAGAGTTATAGACTGCTATGTTGAAGATATTTGATGTTGAGACAACTGAAATGCAAACCAATAAGATATGCGCTGAAGATGGAACTATATCTTACTCACAATTTTTAGCCCAAGCAATTGATAAATAGGCCATTTTATAAAAATCTAAGATTGAAACAGCGTTTAAATTAATTGATAGAGTATTGGTCAAAATATATATTTTAGAATGCTTCTGGGAATATTAATGTTGAAGAGTTATGTGAAGCATTCAAGTGTAATTTGGCTGGGAATGATTAATGGATAGAAATAATGAATGAGGTTGATGCAAATCATGATGGGGCTTTATCTTTGGTTGAATTTACAAATATGATGAAAAAATTGATATAATCATGATCTTTTTTGTTTTCTTGTGTGATTTACTTTTATACATTCTTTTTAGTTTAATTTTCTTTTATCATTTTGAAGTTATTTTAATTATTATTAAAGTTATTCATTTTCTTCGATTAAATTTAATATTGAACTTTCATAGTGCGATATCATTTTATTTTAGATTTCACAAGGTACGCATTTTCTTGATATAGTTGTTGAGGAGGTATCTAATTCACTTTACATATCTTCTGTTTTAGCACATTCCTCATGTGGTAATAGTTCATTCTAAATAATTTATTATTTTAGCTATTTATTATACTAGAGTTTATGATTAACTAAAATCTCAATCATTGGATCTGTTTTCCTACAAATTGTAATGATATTTTAGCAATGTAGAGAGAATATCTAATCTACAATCATTGATTCTAAAAGGGTAATATCATTATGAATTATGTCGAAATTTGATTTAATGAATTTATGTAAATACTTTTTTAGTTGCGAAACCTTTGTGTAATACTTGCATTTTAGAGTTACTTAATATTTTTTGGATGAGATCTAATCATCTACAAATAGATCATATTCATTTTTCCTCATAAAAAAATTATTAATAGTGGAGTTATAAAAAATTATATATTAATAGTAAATTAATTGATATTAATAATTTAGACTATTTGATATATTAAATGGAATTGTGGTAATTTAGTCTGCATGACTTAGTTTTTTGAGTCAACATAAATTGACTTACCCAATATCTTATGATAGTGGATAATTTGAGAATCTTATAAGTATAACATTTTTGAGTTTGTTATAAATAGCAAAATCAAATCTTATTTAATGATTTGTAGAAATAAAAAACAAATATTCATGAATTATCACTAGTTAAACGATTTTCATCAATCTTCAAATGGAAATAATTATTTAGTTATATTACTCAAGATGGCTAATATTATATTATAAATAATTGAATTTTGATTATATAATGAATGTTTAAATAATTACACATGTCAATAATTCATGAGTCTTACGATTTCTCTTAGCTAAAGCTTTGTGAAACTTAATCTGATTATGTTATTAGTTTAGCAGTTTATTTTTATTCCAACTAAGCTTCGAGTTAACTGATTTATTTCTAAATTTTTGTTAATTATTTTTCCAAAGTTCGTTTTTGTTTGGCCTTTTATTCCTAATCTAGTAAATGTAAAACTCTTCTTTATTTGGCATGGGCTTTCTTTTATTAGTTTACCCAGTTATGAATTGCTTTATCTTGCAATGCAGGATTTGTTCTATCATAGCAGGAATTGAATTGAGATTCATCATAAGGTGAAAATTCTTTAATCTTCTTTGTCTTCCAGATTTTGTTTATTATTAGGTCTTTAGGAATCAAATAGAATATGAATGCACTGATCAATTAAATTAGAGAAATCTTGTTCTCGTCGGAGTTCATATACGTTTGACATGAAATAATTAAAGGGGTGTATGATATTAAGGTAAACATTTCAAGCGATAAATTTGAAGATGGTTAATATTTGACAGTAGAATGATTAAGTAGTACATATTTATCAGCCCAATAATAGAGACTTAATCCTATAAATGACATAATTGAATTAATAGGCATAAGATTCCCATATATGTTTGTAATTATCATAGTATAAATGATGTAAGCATGATTCCTAATTAAATTGTGATGTTGAAGCTCATAAAGTCTATTCAATTCATCTTAAGTTTATGGTTGTGGCTAATATTTAATTTTATAATTCTTTATTTACTATTAGAGTCTTAAAAGTATAAATAGTGGAGGAAGAAATGAATTGCTAAAGTATAGTTATAAGATAATACCAAGCGAAAAGCCAAAACAACTCTCCATCAACAAATTAAGCTATATAGATTGTAAACAAAGACATAAGGATAGTCAATTTAAAGGATTAGCTCTTTTCAGTTTATGTCCAAGATATGTATTTTCGAAAGGTTATCCTTTTGGTCAGTAATGGAAAAACATAATAAGAAATAATAGTTATTAGAGGTGTAAAACTGGATTTAAATGAAATAATTTTGTTTTTTTTTTATTCTGTAGTGCAAGTCACTACTAATAAGGATATCAATAACAAAAAGTTGATTAAGATTTCCAGTAATCTTTTGAATTATGATAATTCTATCCATTCATTTAAACTTTTCCAATTAATATCTGTAGGTTCTGGAGCCTATCTTACAGCTAAACGTATCCCTTAAAAGTTTAAATATCCATCATTATTTAAGTCTAAATGCAATAATTATTTTAAATAATATTTCCACTTATTGTATTTAGCCTTCTTTAATAATTTAAGTTTATCCTCCTTATATTTAAATGATACTAGGGCATTGCCAGAAAATTAGTTTTGTTCAAAGTATGTATCTTATAATTGATCTAGAAACATTCTCTTGTTGTTTTTTTGTTTTATTATTTATTTGAAAATGAAGCACACTTTTACTACATTCTCGAATTCCTCCTTTATTTTCAGTTCTAATTCTTCTCTTGATAAATCCAAAGGTAACTTTTAGAATAGGACTGTATAATCTCCTGGGGTGGTTTGTTTTAAGTCACAAAAACTATCCAACTTAATTTAATTATGTCTAAAATAAATTAAGTAGATCATAGTAAAGTATAGAGCAGTGAGACTTAAGATGCTTTACTTTTCTTATAATCCTTACTATGTCTCTGATAATTCAAACAATGTTCCAATGTGAGTTATTAATTAGAAATTACCAACTGTGATGTATTGGATGGCAATAATTGTTAAACAAGATTTGATGAAATCAAAATACAAAGGATAGCCGGTGCCTAGAAATCCCAATTGATCACTAGATATTCCCAAATTGAAGTTTTCTCTTTCCTTTTTAAATATATTTATACAATTTGCAAGCCACAACAATTACAAATTCTTCCTTTATAATTTGGTCGACCGACTCTATTGGCTTATCGATGATCAAGTGCTTGTTGGATGGTTACTTAAGGCAGACTACTGATATCTGCAGAATTAGAAGGGTAAGGAACTGAGACATCTGGAAAAATTTCATTCATAATTTCACTTGGATTCCCAATTATTTTTATTATGATAATAACTTTTTATATATTTTCAGAAAAACATTTAATTTATGTAAAATTTCTAATATCCCATTAGTCAACCCGAAATCTGGTTAATAGAGATTTCTCATTTTTTTGATTCACTACTTTAATTTTATTGTATTCATTATTCCCTCTACATATCCCTTTAGATTTTAAAGAATCAGTGTTAGACCCTGGATCAGGATAAATAAAGATAATAGGAACAATTATATAATTTTTAATCACAATCATACAACCTCTATCACTCGATAGTTTTTTAAGAATTATCTAGTGTCAAACCTTTGACAAGTTTTTCTTTATAATTTGATTGAATTAATTGAAACAATCTCTAAAGTTGATATTTAATTATTTCAGAAATTAAATGTACTTGCAAATCATTTACCTTGTTATTTAATTACATAGAATCAGAAATTTTTTGTTTTCATCTACAATTTATTAATTTATGTGAAATAAAAAATGTTATTAGAGCTTAATTCAGTAAATAGGTTTTCTGTACTTTTACAATACCTAACTAGTTTTTAATAAATATAAGCTTGCAGATTATCATCGTAAGTTCTCAATTCATGAATTAAAATATATATATTAATTATGGTTTATTTTAAAATACTTTCTATAAGTGTTTATACATAACTTTAAGTTATTCTTATTCTCTAATCTGTATATTTTCCTCGATTTAAAATACAATTAATCGATTTATTTATATCAATTAGTGAGTGCGCATCATCCGATTCAGAAATTTATTTATAACTTCTTTTACAGAACTGATGTTTATTATACTAAAATTAAGGAATTGGTGAGGATTATAAAATCAATATAGAATTGTGAAGCTATGGCATTTTACGTTAAATTAATTAAAATCTGGAGTATTAACGTGACCTATTATTAATATATCCAATTCAGTCACTTTAAATTTGAATAAATCGTTTTTATTAAAACATTAAATTTCTTTCATAATTATGCTTTCTTGCCATCATTTGACAAACACAGAGATACAAGTGGATAAAGATGATAAGCCTACGTTATTAAAGATGTTTTGGAATTTATTAGTTTGTTCTTTCTAAACTGTGTTTGGATATGTCTGTTTGGACATTTGTGTGAGTATCACCTTGCATTACATTAACAAAGGGTAACTTTTTATATTTTATGAAAGAATGACTTAAATTGATGTAGCTGGGTATGGATTTGCTTTGAATTGTGTCTACATTATTGTGCTTCCTATTGGATTTGGATTTAATCAATCTCTAAATATGCATACAGCATAGGCAATTGGCGATGGAAATCACTAACTTGCAAAGCGATTCTTCAATGTCAATTTGTATGTGATGTTGATGTTTCTGATACCCTTTTCAGGCATTTTAATAGCAATCAAAAAACCGTTTAGCCTTATTGTGGAAGAATCTCAAAGAGAGGAAACAGCAGATTGCGCTTGGGAATACCTGTGGTTTCTGATTCCAGCCATTATTTTAGCAATCATTTTTGAAAGCATCAAAATTTTCATGGCTTCATACAAAATTACTTATCCATTTGCCATAATCCATTTTATCACTTTGCTCTTACACTGGCTTTTTAGTTGGTTATTTATAATGAAATTTGAATGGGGAATCCCAGGAGCAGGTTTTGCAATCATAATGACTGAAATATTCAACATGTTATTCATATTCTGTAAGAATTTTATAATTTATTATAGTATTCATTTAATTGACCGAATACAAAAGGACAATATTTTAAGGAATCAAATTCTTACCTGACATTCCTAGAATCAAAAAGCTAGGTTTACAATATTGCAAGACTTCAATGCCTATATTAGTCCACATATATTGTGCATACTTTATTTTTGTTTTGTTAACATTCGTGGCATTAAGTTTAAACACTCCATCAGTAAATGCACATTTAGCACTTCAGACAGTGTCAGGCACATTCTTTAGTAATAATATACATTAATCATTTAAGGATTGCCAATTAGTTTATCAATTGCAATTATGTCATATGTTGGCACTGAAATGGGATTGGGAGATATTAAACGAGCAAAACAATATGTAGCTGTGGGAATCCTAATATTCGTGATAACATGTGCCTTGTGTGCATCTTTATTGTGGGTATTCTAAGATGGATTTATTGATTTTTTCACAGCAGAAAGTGGAAAGGATCAGTTTGCAGATGAAACAAAAGATGTATTGAGGGATTCTCTGCCTTGGATGATAGGTGGCTCATTAATAATAGACGGAATGTAGGGAACTTTAAGTGGAGCATTAAAAGGAATCAATAAAGCAAATTTAGTTTAGGTATTAGAATTAGAAATATTTTAGTATTCCACTATATTTGCATATTTTGTTTGTTGTGTTCCTATAGTCTCCTTTTTCGCTTATGACTGGGGACTTGGAAATGGTACTAAGGGAATTTGGTAAGGATTTGGAATTTCAAATTTAATTTTGACTACTCTTTTTACAATTAGCTTATTTACAACAGATTGGCAAAAAGAATCAGACAGAATTATAAATAGAATTAGGAGAGAAAATGAAATGCAGAAAAGTACTGTTCATCAAATCGAAGACTAGTTGATCTATGATTGAATCTTGAATTAATAATAAATATTTATTAATAAAATTTCATCTGTTTTTGCATCCGCAATTATAATCATTTTTATAATAATCCTCTTGGCTTAATAACTATTTAAAATTATAATTGGATTGGCAATTTTTACATTTAACTTATCTTAAAAAGTAATGAGCATCTGCACAAATATCTGTTTTTTTGCCATTTATTTAAATTTCCTTAATTGTTTGTAAGCATATTCTTTTACTGCAATAATAGCATTTCCTTGCCACAGTCGTGTGGCATTATTTATTTTAACAATCTTGGCAATATTCCACTACAGTTCCAAAAATCTATTCAAAATTTAAAGAGATTTCAAATATTGCATTACAGCATTAACAATTCACAGTTTCCTTATTCTGCTATTCCTTTTTGCAACTATCACAAAGTTCACAAGTGTCAGACTATTATTCTAATTTTTCTAATGCATTACAGTTACAGCATACTTTGAATCTATTGTCACTACTTATTTTACTTCCAAAATAAGCATCCTCCTATTAAGTAGGCACATTAGATTATTACATTTCAATGCAACCTGAACTCTTTTGTTAAATTTCTGTTGGATTTAATTTTAGCTATCTACAAATTGTTAAACATTCTGGATGTTAATTCAAAAAGAATTTACGACATCCATCATCTTTTAAATTAGTTGAATCTGTTAAATTTTAATTATAAATTGAAGTGTGTATCGCTGGATCACTTAAGATATTGGTTTTCCCCTATAAATCTGTTACGATCATTTAACAGTTAGTATATTGATATGTAAAGTGAGAGAAAGCAGTTAAGTCTATGCATTCATCTCTGTACTCTGTATTGTTAGTGTACTTCTTCCAAGGCTAGTCAATATCAATGTAACTCTCTGCATATATTAGCTTTACACCCTTAAACGGCTTTTCTAATTAATATAAATATGGAGTTGCATAATAAAGAGGCGTAAACTATATATTTTATTTATTGCAGCAGAAATTAAAATGATGACTCAATTATTTCGCAATCAATTATTGTTTATATTTACTCTCTGCAATCTTATTTGCTTCATCAATATCATCAGCTGTCAAAGTTTTAGAATTAAATTTCTTAATAATATTTTTCTGTATTTTTATAATAATGTGCACATTATTCTTTTAATCGAACCCCTTAAATACTTCTTATTATTAACCTTATTAACTAACTTAAAGTTCATTGTTTTCAATAAATACTAAAGTATCCCCTTTTTTTTAAGTTTTTAAGATTTAAGAAAGAAAGAAATCATAATAATTCTCATTTTTTCTATTATTGTACATATAAGGCATATCTTTTTGTTTTGTATATTAAGCAGAGCAAACATGTTCATACTCTTTATTTACATTCATTGATATCGATTTGTTATAAGTAGAAGCTAGAGAGAATACAATATAATCTGAAAATTATTTATCAGCGATTTTTGCACTTTAATAGTTTTTTACCACGCTTTGAATCACTTTCTCCATTTTTTAAGTTTGCTCATTGATTTATAAGAATGAGAGAAAAAATCTTTATTTTAAATCTACGAATTTTTAAAGTTTTTCTTCCAAATCTTGAGCATCCGGGCGTTAATCATAAGCTAAATTATGGTACTTCCTCCCATGACATGGGGCATCTGTGATTATAAAAATCTATAAGAGACTTGCAGGATCTTTACAAATTTTTAATTTATATGCCATATCAAGAGCACCTTACAAATCCTCAGGGATATCATCACCGCCTTCTATTTTTAAGTTACCGAAGAATTTTTCAATCTCCTCTGGACGTACCGTAAAATTGTGATACTGAATATGATTTGGACCATCTGAAAAATCCTTATAGCAAACTGCAGCCATTCTTATAGCCGCATTTATTTATACTTTTTTCTTAAACTCAGCAATTATAGAACTGATGCTCTTCTTTGAAACTTCAATCCATTTATCCATACTTTTCGTACAGTCTAATATAAATATGATATCAGCTTGTGGCCTTTATTATATTTAGTTTATCATTAATTGAAGTGAATTCTTTTACATAAAAACAGCACATTTTAGTGTTTGAGGTTAACTCACATATTTATTTTTAATTTCATCATATTTGATACAAGGTTTAATAACTTAATCTTCTAAATTCTAAAACTCTCCTATATCTTTTATATCTTCCCAATTTTTATGTGGTTTTTGGCATCTGTGGTGAGGGCAGATTCCTTAAAAATACTTGATACAATATTTATCAAAATTATATTTTTGGGCTTCATATGAATCATCATCAGCACCTAATTTTTCAGGGTTTAATTTATTTATGTTGTACATTTCATAAACTTTCTTTCTTATGTCTGTCCATTTAGTTGTATGCCATAATCCTTCTTATTTCTTATCACAATTTTTATTCTCACAATGTACACAAATACGTTCCAACCATGGGGGATGTAAATATTTGCAATTACAATTATTGCATTTCTTATAACATAAATTGTGCTTATAGATTCCATTTATTGGTTAAGAATCAAATGCTTTATCCAACTCTTCTTAAGAAAAGTGATGTAAGCCACAATATTCTGATTATTAACAAATATTCTGTAAATAGCCTATGCAAACTCCACTAAAACTTCTTGGATGCAATCTTTCACAGTTCTAAATTTGGCATTTCTCAAGTTCATGACATAGATTTTCTATCTCATCACAGAAATTCATTTTATTAAACAAAATACTATTATTCTAAACTACTAAAAAAGATTAACCAGCCAAAGAAAATATATTCTGCTATTTATTACAATTGGAACGGAAAGATAAATACTTAATATCATATGTTTTCAAAAGACTTTCCTAAATACTCTTGTTCTCAAATATAAATTAATTAATAGAATTTGATTTAAACAATAAATAAAAGAAGCCTCTATCAACCAAATTGATTGCAATCGGCTGATTTGACTATGGTAAATCATATACTTCAGTAAGACAGCAAAGAAATTGTTATAGAAATGTTTAAATATCTTTGTGGCAATCATGGTGGATCCTACTATTTCATATATAATATTGATCCTCTTACTTTATGATTTATTATCATCATTTGCAAATTAAAAAACCCTCGATCAATTTAGATGATATGTAGTAGAACCTATTAAATCTATTATAAAATATTATAATATAATTAATATTTTCTAATTATTAATATTTAATTAAAAATATATTACTAAAAATCTAAAAGCAAGCTTTTTTAATTATAATAAGAATGGTGGCAATAGTATCACTATTTCAATCATAATAATTTGCAATATATGCTTGAATTAAAATTTGATAATTACAATATTAAATAATTCCTACTAGATCTTCAAATTTAATACAATATTAATTTAGTTCTCTATTAAGCTTTATTAGGTGTAAAAAATTTTTGATTTATAGAACTTTAAAAATTTTGCTTGAGATAAGATTTAATATTAGAATAAGTTTAAGAAATAAAAAAAATTCCTTATTATAAATGAAGAGATAATTACCAAAATAGACTCTGGTAAAAGTAGATATATATTTAATTATTTGATATATTTCAACTTCTTATGGATTTAAGGTGAATTAAATTAAATAATGATTTCCCTATTTTTTGTTCTAGATTTAGATCAATAATTATGATAAATGTTAATTTAACCTTTCAAATCAATAAAATATATATTAATTTATATATGCTCTTTATATTATAAATTTGATCTTAGTAAATAAAAATGGCTAGAAAGATTAAGCTTGAAGAATTAATTTACAACTTTGAAACTTTCCATATATTTTTTGAATACGTTTTAGAATTAAAAATATATTTTTTTCACTTATCACTAAGGCTCAAACTTAAACTAAATTGAATGAAACAATTAAATTTATTCTAAACTTTAATTAAAGCATGGATTAAATTAGAAGCATTAATATTTAAATAATGTTTTTATAAACTTTACTTGCTTTCCTTTTGTGGGTATAGTTGTGCTCATCTAATACTCTCACATGCTTTTATCAATATGATGATTCCCAGCTTGAAATTGATTATTCAAGGCCGCAATAAAAAACTATAAACCTTAAATCTAACCTAATTGAGAATAATGCAAAAGGGTTTGGATTTTGGTCAAAATACATAGCAATTATGGATTTTGATTCTTTTACTCAATATACTCGACCTTGTGATGAACAATATTCATTTATGGGTTAATGTATTTTTAATGGATTTTTTTTCATGAAAATACAAGATTAAAATCAAGATAATGTAGCAGCTATAATTCTCAATATGAAGGATGAACCAATAAGCCTGACTCATGAAATATACTTGTTTGCAGTAGGTCCAAATGAGTATTAATCTGCTAAATTTAATTTTGATGCCAGTCAATATCAAAATACTTGGTATTATACGTCAATTGTTTATTAAGATATCGATCATAAATTAAGAATGTTTACAAATTTTGAATATTAAGTCTACTCATTCGATTGCCAGATTATGACTGATGAAATAACCATCCTTTTGGGAGGCTATGATTAATAGTTTTATAACAACTAAGTTTTTGATGGATACTAATTACTCTTTTTTAAAGGGTATTTTTCACCAATACAAGAATATGATGAATTTGGATATTCTGATGATTTTTTTTAAGTCTTATTTACGTAATGCCAATTTTAAGAATAGCTCACACACACCAAGATATATGATGAGAATGCAATAATAGATCCAAGTTAATTTCAATCAGATGATTTCTCAACTTTATCTTACCAATATCAAATTGTAAATAATCGATACTTGGTTAAATGTTGGGTTAAATAAGATTACTAAGAGGTACTAATCGTTATAACTTATTAAGGCTTTTCAATATTATTTAAATTCATATGACCGAAAATATTTATAGCTTAGGCAAACATTGTTTCATATTGATTCATTAAAGTACTTCCTCCAAGAATTGCAGGGAGATAGACTTCTCGATTTATATTATGAAGTATTAAATCAAATAATTAGGTCGATTTTGAAAACAATAAAGAAACAATTATCAAAATTTCGTCAGAATTCATAAAAATACCTCTTCTAGTAGATTAGTATAGCGATGAGAACTTAAGACAATACGATACTGTAATTGTACGCAAGGATAATTTATATGAATTAACTTAATAATGGCATTATGTAATCATTGAATATGGGAGGAAGCCTTTAAATGGAGCTATTTTTTAAATACAATTTATTTTTCTGAATGAAGAACATCTTATTTATAATTTAGGAACATTAGGCTATAACACTTAGTTACTTGGTTCAAATATAATACAATATGTACTTAGATAGGATGACAATTATATAAAAAGCAGATCAAAAGTTCGTCGTCTTAAGTTTATCACAGGATATCATGAAGACAATAATTAATCAGAATTGGGTACAGTTATATTTGATTTTAGAATGCCATTCTAGTTGCAATGGTTGCTTTGGACCAATGAACTATCAATGTAAATCTTGTTATATTGAATTCAATTATGAATTAACTTCATTAAATATTTGTGACTGCAAGTATCTGACATCATTTGTTTAAAACCTACAAAAGTGCAAACCTATTGAAGAATTTGAATACCTATAAATTTCTTAGGAAAAATCACAGAATTTGTGCAATTTTGGGTATTTCTAAGTAAAGCATAAAAATGAAATATTTTGCATTTAGTGGTATGATGTATATTAAATTATTAGTCCAGAATATAAAAAAGAGAGATTGCTATGTGGCGATTGCTATCATTATTCGACCACATGGTATCTGAAGCCAGTTTGTACATTTGATTACATCTAATAATCAGAAGAATTGCCTTTTATTAAAATTGTTAGATAAAATATTCATAAAGATGTTTATTATTTAGACGATTTAATTTAACTACAGCTTCTTTAAGGAGCTGCTGATTTTTGTGATGACCATTAAGATGATTGCCAAGCCAGTCAAAATTATCATCTAGGCTAGTAAATCAGAATGAAATGCAAAATAAATCATTTTTTTTAAAATAATTAATGTTAGATCTGTGATCCATATTGTATTGATTGTTAATCTAAAAATATTTGCCTTAATTGTATCGAGACTCATTACTTCAATGCTTAATCATAGAAATGTGAATTCTGCCCTTAAGAATGCTTAACTTGCAAAAGAGATCATAATACTGAAACTGGGTATCGATGCTTGACATGTTATGAGTATGAATTAATTATTGATATTTTCAAGGTTTTATGCACTGACCTAGGATGGGAAATGTTAAAAATGCGGATTTGATTGTGAGTATTGTAGAGAAGATTAGAATATTATAACATAATAATATTTCATGAGATGCTTAAAATGTAGGGATGAAAAAGTAATGGCCATCAGATTTGATGGTATTAACTGTAGGGTAATTGTCATTTAAAATTGTTAATATGTAATGCTTGTTTCCAGGGCCAATATTTGGGCTTATTCTACCTTTGATTATAATTTTGAACCAAAAAATGATATTGATGATGAATTCCCTATTTGTGGATAATGTGAAAACGGTTATGGATATAATTTTTATTATGAACAATGTGAACCTAGGTTTTACGATACAAATTGTGTTTAGTCTTATTTTACTCAACTACTTTATAATGGTGCTATCTACGATTATTAATAAATTTGTTTGATTAATAATTATTATAGTGGTCCTGCCACTTAGGGAGACGATTGCTCATAATAAATTGCGAATTGTAGACTTTGTTATAATCCATCATAATCAATGCCTTCTTTTTTTTGTATTGAATGTAAATAAGGATATTACTCAAATCATTCTACTGGATTATGCTCTGTGTGTTTAGAATCTTTGAATTGCAACACTTGTTACTATTCTATCAAGGAATTTAATGATTAATGGAAAGTCAACCTTTAAACTTTCCATTAATTTTTGAAATAATAATACAATTCAAAATATTTTGTATTTAAATCATTCTATCCTATTAGTTTACCAAGGATGAGAGCAATAATCCTTAAGATTATTAATTAATATGTACTTCATGTAAGGCTGGCTTTAAGTTGTTGGATGGAAAATGCATTAAGTATTGTGATTCAAACTGTCAAAACTGTTAATACTCAGATGGATAATATTATTGTTATTAATGTGGGAGTAATAATTACCACCATTTTTTGAGTTTAATTCAATAAAAATGTTCAGATTGTCCTAGTTATTGTGAATTTTGTAGAGAAAGATCGTCAGATGAAATGCTGGCATTAAATTCTAATTTTGTTTAAAATTAAAAGAATTAAATCTATTCTTATTAATGCCTTAAGGCCTACTCATTTAATCAAAATCTAAATTATGATTAGGAATTCGGATAATTTATCCCTTGTTAAAATTAAATTGGTTGCGAGAATGTTATTAATTTTGAAATGAATCTATACTGTGCTGATGATGATTACTATAGAGCATTATCTTTAATTAGTGATTAGAATTAATAAATTCAATTCAAAATGAAGAACATTCGGTTTGATTCCTTGCTATAATCTAGCTCCCAAAAATCTAGTTTTGATGATGTAAAGTATATCCATTATTTTAGCTTGAAATAGATTCAAAATTTGACATCATGAATAAGAAATTTATTAGAAAAATTAGAATTTATATCACATCCAATCAAGAATAGACTTGTTCAGTTAATTAAATAAGTTATATCTCTTAAAAGTTTTCCAAGAACGTATTTAGTCTAATGTAAATATTTTCTTATAAAAAGTGATGTTTAATTAATAATTTCTTCTAAATTAGAATAGCCTCTAAAAATCAAAGTTTATCATGAGTTGCACTTTTTGGATTTTTCATTTTTAAGATTTGAAAATATTGAATTTGAAATTGAATAATCTACAAATTTAAAATTAATTAGTGTTGCAGGATTTTAACCAATTAATTTAGAAATGGAAAAAATAGATTTTTAACCTTCTGTGAAGAAATAACCATCCTTTCTTATATTTCAAGGCAAGCAAATTTCTTAAATATATTTTAATGAAATTCATATTTAAGACTTAATATTTGAGAATGAAAATATAACAAGCATCTTTCAGCTATCATTCTTATCATCCAATGCATTAATTTATATTAAGAAATTTGAAATCTTGAATTGCAATTTTCATAGAGTAAATGTGTTTGAATTCTTATCAAATTAAACAATTTCTATATAATTTGATCAAATAAAAATATAAGCCAATTTAAATATTAGTTCATTATTAACATCAAAAATCAAAGACATAAACCTCTTAAACATTTCAAACTTTTTAATTTCTGGTTAAATGTAAAATTCAGAGCCTTTCATAAGTTTTAACAATACAGAAATCGCTTAAGTTGAAAATCTAACAGTAAGTGATATGACCCTTATAGATTCCATTTTTATGTAATTTGAGAAGTATGTCTTAATCAATAATATAAATATTAATTAATGCAAAACTGTAGGAATTGTTTACATTATCAATAACTTTATGCCTAAAGAAATGAGTAATCAAACGCATTTAAATTACTTTATGAATCAAATTAAAATACAAAATTTGAATTCAAATTATCTCTCATAAATAATATACTTGTAACCGTTTCACTCTGCTTTATCTTCAGTAGATATAAAGAATATTCTACTTTCAAATATCACTTTAAATAATCAAAATAATTTTTAGATTGATTAATTTGATTCCTCTGTCATTCATATCGAATTGCAAATTGTGAGCATTTAATATTGTACAATAGAAAGAGGCTATGGATTCATTTAATTTTTGTTAAAAAACATTTAAATATTAGAAATAATAGAGTTGCAAGCACAATAATTGAAAAGACATTAATTGCATTAATTTTATGATTGTTCTGATTTTAACCCTAGTCACTATAAAAGCATTATGAAATTATTAGATGTACAAAGCATTTATTTTGAACACTTTTATATCATTGACTTTAATGTGATAAACTCTGCCCTAATTGTATTTTAAAGTTATTCTTAATTATTGACTGAATCTAAATATTACTTAGCAAACTTCATAATCAAAGAAAATATTATTATTGTATCTAAATCTTAAGAAAGTGCCTCACTAATATATCTTGATAGCAAATTATAGACTTAAGTCACTCTTATTAACATAGAGATTACAAGAAATTAATTGCATAACTATGGATAAAACTTATTCATATTTTCAGCCGTAGGAGTTTTAATAAATTGTCCTTCTGGAGACATTAAAATGGAATCAAACATATTCAATTCAAACTTTGCAACTAACTCAACAGACACTATTGCATACATCTTTGCAAAATCCATCGTCATGAATAAGATTCAATTCTTCAATAATTCAATTTATAACATAGATTTACTGTTAAAAAATATTATTCTTAGTTTCCCTAGAGATGACATTGTCAGGCTTAGTAATTTAAAGAATATCTTTCCATTAATAAGTGAGGTAGGAAATTCATATCTTTAAGCTGAAACAGTAATTGTTTAAAATTGCTAAGTTGAAAATTCATCAGGAAAGAGCGGAGTGGGATTTTCCATAAATGCACTCATTATAAAAATCATACATGTAGATTTTAAAAATTTAAAAACTCAATTCAAAAATAATGAAGAGCATGGAGCTTGTATTTTTATTGACATCCCATCTCAGAGCTCTTAGATTTTTCTTTAACACATTAGTGCCTAAAACATAATTTCCAAGGATTATGGAGGCTTTCTCTATATAAAATCAGATCAAGATTATTTGAATCTTACTCTTAAAAATCTCACTTTATAAAGATGTGCATCTTCTAAAGGAACAGTTCTGTACGCATCTTTTTAAAAATCTTCATTATCAAATAAATTGAACATTCTAGATGTCAACATAATAGATTAATTCAGTGCCTTATATGATTACTTTTAATAGATGGTTATCAATCCAACTGTCTAAATTAATCTATATAATAGAACTTCGTTTTACGCTGAAAATTCTGTTATGAACTTTTCAAATATAAACTTATCAAATGTGCATGGAGAATCATTACTTTATTGCATTGATTAAGGAAATATCATCTTGAATTAAATTAGTATCACTAATGGTACGATGCCAAAATTAAGTCTAATATACATACAACCTAGAAATGGTACCTATAATAAATATATAATATAGATTTGGAAACTATGATAAATATCAAAGCATTGCAAGTTAAGAATTTGTTATAATATAACTTCTAAGGTGAGGGATGTTAAATACCTAATTAGGTGAAATCTAAAAAAATTTAAAATATGTAATGTTAATTTGAGCTTCCAAATAATAATTTTTAAAGGGATATTGATATAATTAGTAGCTAAGTTATGGATTGTTTATATAATCAATATCTTTATTCCTATACAATTTAGTAGCAAGCCATTGTAACAATAACTTAGATAAAAGACTCCGATATTATCATGTTTTTGGACATAAGTTTCATCAACAACGATAATGCTCTATCGAAAAGTGGTGTTGTGTTTTTGGAATTGAATAAGTAAAAATACAATACTTATTAAATTTCAATTAAAAATGTGAATATAAGAGATAATTAATGCGGTTAAGTAGGTTGCATATATCTAAACTCCGATATTTATAATGAAAAGTCGTCCTCATTATTTAATCAAAAAAAAAGAATCTTATAAAAAACTAAAGAATAGATATTAGCACAACTTAAACATGATATAGTCATTGTTCATTATAAATGTTTGGGAAATTCTGCAGAATTCGGAACATGTTTATTTTCAAATTAAACCAATATTCTTATATAAAATTCAATTCTATAAAATAATTAAGCAAATTAAGTTGGAGGAACTATTTATTTTATTGGACTAGAATCTAGTTTATTTGTATTGGATTCTCAAATCTAAAAAAATTAGGCATAAATTGCTGGTGCAATCTATTATGACAATAGTATAAGTTAGGAGATTCGAACATTCGAGACTAGTTTTTCAGAAAATCATGCATCTTTCTTTGGAAATGATCTTGTTTAAGCTCCAGAACATTTATCAATTACATTAAATAACTATCGAAGCATTTTTAACTCTTATGCAATTTATAAAAATAATGACTCATTGTATGAATAATTAGCTAATTCGAATACTGAGAATTAAGTAATTTTTTTACCTAGTGGTACTCCAATTCAGAATTATCAATAATTTAACTAGGATTCCTAGGAATTATAATCGTTGGACTTAACCTTTAGGATTGTTGCTTTAGACAACGATTATTCTAAATAATTCAACTTGACCAATTCAAAGTGTGTCATAAAAACTAGGTTGTTTGATTTGGAAAAATAAGAATTCAAAGATGTTTAAAATCAAACATTCATATCTCAAAATTCTGTCTATTTTAATACAACCACAAATGATTATAATCTAGATGATTTGATTATTCTATTTGACAGTGATAATACAAATAAATAATACTTATAATTAGTAATAACTTGCGATAGCATAAAAATAAAACAATATGATGAAAACAATCTCATTATCAAATCATTCCACGCTAATTACAAATTATTCGTCAATATTAACACTTATAAATGTAGAGTAGGAGAAATCAAGTCTTTAACAGATATGTCATGCCATGAGTGTGCTTCAGAGTTAGACCAATATTCACTAAAACTTAATTCGAATAAGTGTAACATAAGGGACGAGCAAACTACCTTAAATGTCACTTCATTCAAATTAAATCTAAGAAAGGTATCAAATTTATTCTATTCAATCTAGGGGTTTTGGAGACCATACTTTGATAACAATTAAATTGAAGAATGTTATAACTTAAAAGAGAATTGCATTGGATAGTGGGATTACGGAGATAGTTCATGCTACGTAGGTCACATCGGAGCATTGTGCGAGTAGTGTGATATCTAAAACACAAGAGGACAGGGAAAATTCTCAAATGCTTAACAATATACTTGTGGATCTTGTGATGTAATTAGATTTAATTTGCTCTAAATTGTGGGGTTCAGTACTTGGTAAATTTTTGATCATATTTAAGGACATTAATAACCATTGTTCTTAGTGTTAAAGGGGCAATAACAAATCAATATTATTTCCTAGAATCTCCTTACTTAATCAAGATCTTTACCAATTATTTATAGATCATAAGTTCCTTAACTTCATTCAAATTAAATTTGCCAGTCAGCTATTTCTATTTTTTAAATGGAGTTGGAAGTCCAATACAAAGGATTTCCCATTCTATGGATTGCTATCTAAGTATTAAAATACAATATTCTATAGTTAATCTATCCTATTTGGATATTCATTATATTAGATTAATTTGGTAATTAATACTTCCATGCATTTACTTCTTAATCCTAGCTTTATTTTATTCTATCCTCATATATCTAAATCAAATTAAATATAGAGGGCCTATCGTAATGACGGCTATAATTTATATGTACATTTACTTTTAGCCCAGCTTAATTGGATCGCTGATTGCTTTAGTATCAATTCGCTAAATTTCAGGGGTCTCCTGGATCTAAGCCAATGTTGCATATAAATTTGATACGCTTGTGCACAAAAGATGGGTCCTAACATTCTGCACTCCGTTCCTCTCTTTATTTGGTATTATAATACCTTTGGGATTATTATTTGGAATGTACAATTAAAGACATAAGCTCATTTACAAAAGAGGTAAAAGCTTATTTGGATATCTTTATTATGAGTACAAACCATAGGCCTATTTCTGGGAGATAATTAAGATTATAACAAAAGAATTAGTTATTTTATTTCTGATCTTTTATGAAGACTCAATAATTTTAAAAGGTTCCCTTATCTATTTTATTCTTTTATTTTATTAATAATTAAACCTTAAATACTAACCTTTTAAGTCTTACAGATTGAATCTGCTGGATTATTAATCTACCTTGATTTGTGGAGCATCGATCATTTTGGGAATAGGACTTAATATGGAATATGAATTTAAAAGCATTTCCAACATATACTTTTTTGTCTTGTTTATTACCAATATATTTATAATCGCCAAATTATTGCTCTGCATCATAAATTCGTATGTTAATGAAATGGAGGACAAAATTGATGTAATTAAGAAAAAGATTCTATAACTATTACCTAATTCATTAAGGATGAGCCAGTAATGTCAAAGAATATTGCAGCTCAATGTTGAAAGAAGGAAAAGGGTAATAAATAACTTTAAAAGAATGAAATCTGCTTATAAGCAATTTTAACAAAAATCTAAACAGTCCTCCAATCAATAACTGTTTAATACTATCTCAATTTAGTAAATAACCTAAAGAACAACGTAATTACTATCATAAATTAATTTAGAAGTCAATTTACTGAAAGGGATCAAGGCACTAGCTAAAATGTACTTTTACCTAATAATAATAGAAAGGAGGGTCTTGAATTAGAAGTTTGAATTGTATATTATAATAATAAAATTATATGATTAACAAATTTGAATAGATTTGAAAAAATACATTTTTCTAGGAAATTTTTTATAATATAAGGAAAGAAATGGTTTTTTGTAATAGTAAATTTAAATTAATTATATATTACATACAATTACTTTTCAATATCAAAATGCCTTATGCATCCCGAACAATAATCTTCGATGGATATATACTAATTAATTTAATTAAATAAGAATTCAATTTCTTTTTAATAATAGTTAGTATAGGGAAAAATTGAGAAAAAGATGTCTTAAATGGATCTAACTAATTAATGACTTTTTATTGATGATGAAGTGTAGTAAAACTGTTTAAATGATATTTGGAATAATATAAATTGATTAAAAACAATTAAATATCTATTTAAAAATAAAAGGTTTAATTTCAGTATATAAATATTAAAAGGTCTTTAATATCTTCATCTCATGTGTATTAAAAAATTTAAATTTCATTCTGAAAATCTCTATTTTGCATTTATTATAAAAATTAATATGATAAATTTTTCGAAAGGCGATCGAAAGATATGAAATGGGTTAATTTTTATCCTAACATACTTACAACGAAGCTAAAAGAATCATATTGACACCTACATTATTTTCTACCTAAATTTTTTAAAAAGATACGATCTTTACTTATTGCTTGAAACAATTTATATATTATATTTCATTTCAAATTTTAATATAAAAACTAATCCTGATTTTTTATTATAATATTTAAATCTGAACTGAGTATTATACTTGGCACTATCCGTAATTAATTTAGATGAAAATAGTTTATAATTCTATAATTTCTCTTTAATTTATTGAATTGCATGATAAATTTAATAACTTTAAGCATTTTTATATATATTTTTCAACAATAATTAATTTAACTTCTTTATTGATAATAACCCTTGGTTAAATTTTGTAGGATGATTAAAAATTTTTTTATAAATAAAGCATTAATTTTATTTTTGATATTTCATTAGGGTTTGTGATTTTCTATATTGTTATATTAAAAATTTCATAAATATCTTTTGAGTAGATGAATATTTTAAAAAGCCTAGTTTTATTGCATCTCATAACAAAATGCTAGTTTGAAACCCTTGTAATATTAAAATTCTTTTAGCAAGTCATCACTTTAGGGTAAGACATTTGGATATCCTTATTTAGATTGGGTTTAGAACTATCTATCATCTCAAGCTGTACATAAACATTATTGCTGGTTTCAAGTTTGATTTCTTGGTAGTGTTACAATTGCTTTAGCAATAAGCTGTTTTCATAGTATATAATTATTTGTTTTCCAACTCACGATTATAAACTATAGAATAAAATTTTTGTTTTGTGAGGTTCATTAGTCGAGAATATATTGATAGAATTGACTAGTGGGATTTAAGTCTTTTTAAAGTTTATGTAGATAATATTTATTCCTCGTAAAGGGAC